CGGAGCTGCTAGGATGCTTGATTCGGGAGACCGTCTAGGGAGCTGAAGACAGCTATCTAGCATACCTAGTGCCAAAAGTCTATTTTCGGTTATAAGTAACGAGAAGGTGATGATTCTGCCTAGATTGGTCTTCTCTTTCGGTAATTGCATACTGTAGGTACCCGAATCTAAACACTTTACTTTGCGATATGCGCCAGACAAGACTGTATGCGTCTGCTGAAGGCTTTGAACACCGTCGGCAAATACTTGTAACGTCTGCTTATATTAGGCAAATTATAGTCATGCTCAACTGGTAGTCTAACAGCGTTATCCACATTTATCATTGCTCAGCCACATTGACCTTGATGGCTACAGATTCTCCAATGCGTAAATCTGCACAAGCTTATCTCGTACAGTTCATTTGAGTTGCATTGCGAGAGGCGGGGTCGCTATAACTTGTAGACGTGTAGACCAGCAATAGGGGCCCATTCTCTTTCTGTAGCTGCGCCGCAGAACTGGTGAGATATATAAGAGTGCCTGTCCGGCCCAGCCTGCGGATTGGAATTTGGCCCCCAACACACCCCTCTTTCCTTATCCCTCCACCATTTTACATCTGGATGGCGGAACTAATCAAGTTTGCCGTCAAAGGCGTCGCTGGAGGTATTGGCCTCGCCTCAGAGAGCGCAAGTGCGTACAAAAGTCGAAGAAAAGCGAAGAAAGACGCAGAGAGAGATGGAGAAGCTTCCCCTCCTCGCTATGGGGGGCCCAACGAGAGAGCTTCCTCCGAGGACGATGAAGCAGAGCAATGGGAGTTAGACGAAGCACAGGACGAAGTCGTAGGCGGATCGAACCCGCAGCGCCGACCAATTCAGGATACGGAAGTGCTACTCTACGAGTTCATTCGGCAATATCCCCAGCCGGCGTACTCAGAACGATCGACCACATCGAGGTTGCCATATCCAGTGGTCCTGCCACAAAGGCGACCAAAGGATCGTTCTCGCGGCTTTGTTAGAGCCTATGCACCCATTCTCGAGAATCGCGGCATTGATCAAACCATGTTCCTCGATTTCCTTGAAACGTTTAACGAGGCTAGTCAGGCTTCACAGTGGTTGAATGCCATTAACCTGGCTACTATTGGAACCATGTTTTTGCCGCATGGCATTTCTGCGGCTGTCTCAATTGCTATTCAAGTGACGACCAAGATCGCGATTGAAATGCAGAGCAGATCAAGGACGAACTCTTTCCTTGACAAGGTCAATGACGAGTTTTTCCGTCCGCGCGGTCTGTACTGTTTGCTCATGACCTGGAGTCCCGAATCGGACGAGATTCATACTGCTGTGAACATCACAACGACCGTGTCTGAGTCCCTAAAGCCAAGTGGATCGGGCTACGCTCAGAGGATCAAACGTAATCTGCGTTCATCTAGCGGAAAGTCGTACGGTAACTTGGATTTTCCAGAAGTAGCACCACTGATATATCCGGGACTAGACTATCTGGCCTCTCAGGAAAGTGAACCTGCCGTAGAGCAGAAGAAGAAGCTGAAAAAAGGCAAAGCTTTCGTTGAAGATTATATGGATAGACGAGCACAGGCAAAATTCGTACGTAGCAATGATTTCTGCTCCGTTGTTTCTTATGTGAGTGCTAACAAGACGTACAGGCGGGAAAGAATCCAGGCAACACATTGGCCCAAGGACCAAAGCCGACGTTTACTTCACGATACGCCGACCCCAACCATCCTGCCAATAGTGGCTCCATTGTCTCTCTTCTCACTGGAGGTTACATCAACCCGCCTTCTCTTGGCGGTGGAGGCGGAAGAGGACTCGGGGGCAGCGGACAAGGCGGAGGTCTTGGCGGCGGTGGTGGTAGGGTGTCCGGCGGCGGGCTTGGAGGAGGTGGCGGCAGAGGACTAGGAGGAGGCCTGGGTAATGGTGGTGGTTTTGGTAGTGGAAGAGGACTCGGAGGAGGCTTTGGTGGAGGTGGGGGTAGAGGGCTCGGTGGAGGTCTGGGGGGTGGTGGCGGTTTTGGCGGAGGAAGAGGACTTGGGGGCGGCCTCGGTGGTCTTACTTCACTTAGAGGACTCGGCGGAGGCCTGGGAGGAGGTTCTGGTGGTTTAGGCGGCCTGGGAGGGAGCGGCGGTCCTATAGGACTCGTGAAGAAGACGCTCAAGAAGGTATGCTCTGGCCGTTCGCTTCTTTTCGTCTGAGACGTGCTAACATGGTGACACTAGAACGTCCTCTATCTCATGATCGTCAATATGCCTACGGATGAAGAAATGGAGGAGGCACGACGGTTAACAGCAGAGCTAGAAGCTGATCCTGAAGCTAAACAATACCGGTACTAGATGTTTCCTGCTCTCAGTTTTAGTCTCCGCAATATTTAGTATGAATAACTGTCGCATAATGCGAAATGCTAAGCTTATATATGTTTAAACAATTATATATTCTGCATTTTTAATACTTAATTTAAAATTAGCCTTAAGTTTAAATATATTATAGGAGTATATATAATTCCTATAGTATAAGTGCAGAACCTATATATAAATGCAGTAAATATAGCTAATATTAATTTACCAGGAATAATAAGCTTTTTATCTCTTATAACTTTCTCGAGACTATTACTAGCCTTATCTCCAGAGGTTCTCCCTAAGTAGTCCCCATTACCTTAGCGCAGTTGCAGCATTGTTCCACTAAATTAGTACCTTTCCCTATGTTAACAGATACATAAATGAATTCTACTACTACTATTACAGTAACTATAAAATAGCTGTTAACACACCTCTCGCAAAAAAGACGCAGCTATTCCCGGGTTTCTAAGTCCGCGGAAGATATTCAGCATTCAGCACTTCAGCACTTCAGCACTTGCGATCCTTGAACAGCGTCGCCGTATCCAAAACAGTACCATTGGCACTGGCTACGAACTCATGGGTCATATGCGAGCAGTTGTGGAAAGTCAGTCTGCTCCAGCCATAGACAGAATCCGTTGCGTAGCGGGTATAGTTCTGAAGCGGATAGACCAAGGAGTCGAGACCATCATAATGACCCGCAGCACCGTTGGTGATATACCATGGCGCGCTGGGGTTGTCGAGTTCCTTGGGGTCGACGTTAAAGTTTGCGATAGGCGCGTTGCGCTCGTAGAAGTGGGTGTGACCGGAGAGGACAAGGTCAACAGTGTACTCCAGGAAGAGCGGTTCGAAAACTTCCCGGCACTCTTCGCAGATAGTGCTACTCTTGTTCGTGGCGCTGACGTACCAGGGACGGTGGCCAGCTAGAGTGGGAACATAGTTAGTACTCCTAGTAGCTCAAAACGGAAGAAGATCATGGAAGGCATACCAACTACGATCCAGGGCGTCTTCTTCCGGTCAACAGAAGCCAAGTCCTTTTTAAGCCAGTTCAGCTGGGCATTGCGGACGGCGAACGGACCGCTGTTCTCAGCCTCAGGACCACCGGGCTCATCAGGGGCAATAAATCCATGGCCGAGGTCGGTCTCAGTATCGAGAGTGACATAGTGCACCATGCCGTGATCGAAGGAGTACCAGAAGTTTTCGAGACCGCCGGATTGGGCACTGGGCATGCGGAAATGGTTGCGGAAGCCCGTGAAGTTGGTCTGACCAGGCATGCAAATGGACACGTCGTAGGTGATGTTGTGCGCCTTGTCCGTGGTACCACCGTTGTCACCTGTTGGATATCCACATCAGCTACTCAAGGTTAAAAGAAATAAAGTCGCGAACGAGATCCCATACAGTTAGCCTCATGGTTACCAGGTCCAACCATGTACGGCTTCCGAGCGGAGATCGCGGAAACTTCGTCATAGTATTGGTTAAGAAGCGACTCATAGACCTTGGCACCATCCTCGATTGTGGTGTTGGGGAGGAAACCCTGGATTTCCTCCTTCAGCCAATAGTCCGCGTAGGCAATATCACCGGCTATATGGAAACCGTATGAGCAGACTTTTCCCATCGATCACTCACTTTGGAAAGACTTACGATGCCACAGGAAGTCCGTGCCAGCGCCCTGAGCCTGCAAGGATTGAATTGTGTTGTTGTCATGGGGACCAAGAGGGTGGCCAGCTCCAGCGCCTACTGTTGTGGTCAAACCTCGAGGGCCCATGAGACCCATATCGATGGCAACCGCGATCGAGTAGGGGCTTTTGTCGCCTGCGCGACGACTGGTCTTGAAGGTGTAGGGAACCGAGGAGTTGCTATTAATAGGTTGATAGTAGTAAAGCGTGTCGGGCTCCAAATCCGGGATAGAAACATGGTTGTTGTAGGTCGTAGATGTAGGGTAGGTAACAGAGATGTTGGAAGAAGCAACGCGGTTCAGGTGCTCGGGGTCACGACCGTAACGGACAGTTGGGTGCGACAATTGCGAGTAAGTATTCCAACTAACAACCATGCCGGTTGGTCCGGCATACGCCAGCCTGAGTTGCATCGGGATGGTGTCATTTTGGGCAGATGCCCTGGCCGAGTTGGCGAAGAGAGCGGATGCCGTCAACACAGCAGAAACGAGAGTCACGACACGATCCATGGCGAAAAGCCTCAAGACAAGGGTCGTTCAACTACAAGTCCTTGTCGTTGATTGAATCAGGCTGGACACGGGTCGTTGTCCCGAAACTGGACAAGGTCCTCTTTTTATAGCCAATGTTGCGATTTGACCTTGGAAATTTATCCTGATGTTCCATGATCGAAGTTGTCGACTAAGAGTGGTTCAGAATGTCACTAGAAGCTGTTATCTCGCCTAGCGATTTAGATGAGCGTCCGCGGAGGTCACAACCCATCATGAGATGACCCAGGTAAATGCAATATAGGCGAACCGCAAGGCCGCCTGTGCGCATTCTGATAGCCGCTCTAGCACGTGGATGCAATTGAAGTGGTTATAGGATAACGTGAAAGCTGAGAGAAGCAAAGATTGGTCAAGCTTTGCCGGGAGAAGGCCTGAGCAAATATAGTGGGGATATCCAAGGCCCATCGGGCAAAGTGGGAGATTAGTTACCCGGCTTGCCGACTCGGATACATACTCCGTAAATCCTCTTGTTGTTGCGGAGACCAAAACGTGGCTAATTATTAATAATCGATCATGGAAATTGAAGGCAGTGATCAGCAACCCAAAATCTAAAGCAGCTTATAAGGACAAAATGGGACTTGCACTTCTCGGAACCTCTAATGGGGGCGGGGCCGCCTATCTCCTTATGAATTACAAAAACCAACTAGGTGTTACGAAAAGGCTAATTAGTGTCACTGTATAGAAGACTGTTGGAGACAGTATCGGAGGAGTTGATGGCTGGTATTATATGATCTTCAGGTTCTCCTAAGTTGAAGCATCCCCAGGTCTTAATACAAAATAAATCTTATCCCTGCCACGATCCTCTATCTCCTTCTGATTCTACACTTCTATCAGGGCTGACCATCGATATTCGTCTTTAAATGCACTTGTTGGAGGATTAGCCCCCTGTAGAATTTCTTGTCTATCTGGGGTTATAACCGTGCCTGTTCCTAGAGCCTTAATAGACTAAAGGTTTAAAATGTGTATATTATAGACCGAATAAATCTAAACAAGCTCACACGCTAAGTATTCTGCGCTAAATGGGTAATCTACATAACCTTCAGCGGAACCGATAGTATAGAAAGTCCGGCGTTCGTACGCACTAAGTTCAAGGCCCTTCTTGATTCGATACACCAGATCAGGGTTTGAAATGAAGTTTCGCCCAAAAACGACAACAATGTCCTTGTTTGGATATTCTTCCTCAACCAGTTTGAGTGCATCTGCCGGCCTGTATCCACCAGCGACCAGCAAAGGCCCATCCCAGAGCCTGTATGCAAAATCTAGCCGCTCTTTGCATTCGTAATTCTCGCTCCCAGATACCCTTGACTCGACCAAGTGAAGATACGCCAGATTTAACCGGTTAGCTTTGTCAATGATATCGGCAAATTGTGGGATGGGGTTCTCCATCCTCATGCCCTGGAATACACTCCACGGGCTGAGGCGAATGCCAACACGCTTAGGGCCAATAGCACGGGCAACGGCCTTCAAGATCTCATGGAGAAAGCGAGACCTATTTTCCACGCTCCCACCATACTCGTCTTGGCGCTCGTTGCTCACATCTTGAAGAAACTGATCAGCAAGGTAGCCGTTCGCACCGTGGCACTCGACTCCATCAAAGCCTGCGCGAATAGCATTCTCCGAGGCAGTCACGAACTCTTCAATTGTTTTCTTGATCTCTGCAATGGTCATAGGCTGTGGTATCGCGGCGCCTTCTTCAATTGGAATGGCGCTGGGTCCCATGATGTTCACACCCTCTTTTCTAGCCACTTCAACCTTTGCAGCACGACCCATTGCAAATATTTGACAGAATATGAAACAGCCTTTCCGATGGACTTCATCAGTGATTGTTCTCCAGGCAGCAACTTGTTCTTCACTCCATATTCCGGGCGTGTTGGAGAATCCGCCGGCGGCTGAAGGTGATATCAAAGTGCCCTCAGCAATAATCAAAGTGCCAGGAGTAGAAGCCCGTTGGCTGTAGTACATCTTCATCAGAGGTGTCGGCACACGCTCATCGGTTGCTCGCAGGCGAGTGAGCGGAGCCATCGCGATCCGATGCTTTATTTCCATGTTGCCTATTTTCAACGGCTGGAAAAGGCGTGTTTCAGTCATGATCGGAGAAGTCTGGAAGTAAAATAATGTAACTTTGTACTGTTTTTGGTTTTAATAACGAAGTGTGAAGTTCTGTCTGCTGGTAGTTTAGGAATGTAGAAAAAGATATGTTTAGGGACTGGGAGTTGTGGGTTTTATACTTCATCTCGTCAATCGATCACAAGCAACTCATCGCAGTAGAACGTGATCGGTAAAACAGCTTACAAATCCAGCGAGGTCGTCAATATATGACCGGATAAGCAAAGGAGGAATCTTCAAGAGATTGCATGCGTCATTTATTGACGACTGCAGGTTCTTTTCGATGAAAAGCGTTGACCACGTCAATTTGAGGCAACTAGATAGTTCCAAGTAAGGAAATCAGATATTTCCGATTTAGGCAAGGAGATCTTTCCAGAAAAGGTTTAGAAATTTCTTACATATTTCACTATTTATTACGTGAAATGGAGAAAAGGTAAAAAAGTGATTCGTTGACATTCTTATCGAGTATCTATGATTTCTAAGCAGGTCTGAAACAAACCTAACTAAAGTTTTAGTAATCCGCCAGGTACATCAATAGTTAACTACATAGCAGCTCCCAGAATATTGACTCTAACATTGATTATTGCGTTATAATCAATTCGACTTTCCCGGGTGCGCACTAGTAATACTCTTGCACAATGGTGTTACAAAATCCAAGTTTTAGTAAAGCTGAAAGCGAAGATATTGCAGGTAGATAAACCAGGTCCGGAGTAAATTTATACCATGTTCTTACTGACCTTTCTTCAGCTGGACGTTTTCTATTTATCTCGAGTCAAGCTTCAGATGAGGCAAATGGTCAGATCACAAGACGTCTAGCGCGATCGCATGCTGTAAAGCAAGCACTTGAGAGAAAACGGAGATTACAGGAAAAATCGAAAGATAACTTTCGTATAACGACTACTAAAGACAAACCCAAGAGATTTGTCAGAACAAAAAGAGATACCGAAACTCCAGCTGTATCATTATTCTCCTTATCTGCAGGAGCGCTTGATCCATTCCAAACCCTTGCGGCGGATTCTTCAAGATTGCGGATATTACTTAGCAATGGTAACCTCTTGCTGGTTTTTTCAAACTTGCTTTGGACGAGCTTACAATTGACTTTTTTTAGATAAAGTTAAGCGAGCTCCTGAACCAGTTTTTAGTACCGCAGAGCAGCTTTCATTCCAGAGTTTTCACTCTGTTTTCCAAACTGGTTTGGTTGATCCAGCTCTTCTTAACGCCGTTATGCTCTCATTTGCATTCGAAATAGCTGGAGGCTACATGGACCGAGAGTGTCTTTTGTACCAAGGCCAGGCAATAGGTTATCTTCGTGAGAAAATGAATTCACCAGATGAGGCTGCTTCGGAGCCGACCATCGGAACCATTTTACTTTTGGCTGGAGTGGAGGTTCGTAGACATTGTTCTTTTGAATATTCCCTGGAGTTCTCGCGTATATTATGCTGATATGTCATCTCCAGGCTCGCCTTGGAATGAAGTCTCAGGCTCAACTACACCTGGGGGCGGTTCAGCGGTTACTGGAAATCTCTCAAACGAAACTTGTTGATCTCACGGGAGGAATCAAACGGGCCATATTTTGGTAAGCAATGATGTTATATCGTTGTGACTTACTCTTACACTAGCCAATAGGCAAGACCTGAATTCGTCAGTCCTGATAGGATCTAGACGCATAGTCGACCATGAAACTTTTGTCGAGCTTCACTGGACCAGAGATCTATTACCTTCGAACTTCTTCCGGCTGTCACCAGGGTTCAAGAAGCGGTGTCACATATTTACCAAAGAGTTCATTGAAGTACTTGAAGATATATATGCATTACAATGCATTCGTGAAACCGCCAGCGTCATAGTGTCTATGGCACAGATTAATAATCAGACAGCATCTATTCAGTCTAGACTTAGGGGTTTATCAACTATCTCTCCGATCCTAGAGTGCTGTCACCTCGCTGCATATTTATGCACGGTTATGCTATGCTGCACAGTTTGGTGTGCTTTAGTAATCCCTGTAAGTAAACCATTTTACTCTTGTTACCCATGGTCTTGTAAAGACAAGCATGTGCTATTCAGATTCAATAATATGGCAGATTGACTTTTTAGTCTGATTTATACTTATGCTGACCATGAATTTTATAGCCCCATGTTTCCTCACAATTATTGCATAAACTACAACAAACAAATAACGACATCATATGGGATAACCATCCCGAGTTGCTACTTTGGATTTTGTATATCGGTGGAGCATTTGCTCCAGCAGGGATTGTGCGGTCTAGTTATACTATATTACTGCGCTCAAATAACGCTACCAGGTTTCAGAACTTATACAGATCATGGCCCGAGTTGCTTGAGATATTGGAACAATTCAACTGGTCGGAAAAATCCTTCCTTCCGCATGTCAAAATATTTTGGGAAGAGATTTTCACCTAGCATGGTATTCTAATACATGCATTGGATCGGGGGCAGGGCCATCGCTTTTACCAAAGAGCCGCAGGAGATAAACAACGTGGATAGTGAACAATGTCTGCAGCAAACCCAGTAGTTTAAGCAAGGACCCGTTTGAAACTCTCGTGTTTCAGCAAGCAATCAATATCCTCGACTGATACGGTAACTAGAGGATCTCTAAAGCCCCTGTCCGCGGAAAATGTGGTCCTGTACGCCTCCTCGTTTGAAATTGCAGATCTAGATTTCTCCCAATCCCTTCGCAATCGTGGCATGTTTCGATTTCTTAATGATGGCGGTAGTTTCCACTACCACTACTACTTTCCCAATTTGGCTATATCCATACCACTTTCCAGTATAGCCCTGAATAGTTTAACTTCCGAGTTTATTCCTAGTCTGGATAAGCAAATTGGGGAATAAACTGCTTGTGCAGGAACTACCGGTAATATTCGAAAAAAATAAATAAATATAAATAAAAATGGAAATAAAATAAAATTGAAAAGGAGGGAAAGAAAGAAAGAAAAGCCCTCTACAGTCGCCAATTCACAATAGGGGACACAGATTATTGGTGGTCCAATGCGAAAATGTGGTTATGGGCATAGACTCTAGGGAATGAACTGGAATGCAAGTCGGGATCTCCAACTGAAAGATTCACCAACAAAAGCTAAGCCGTAATCCAACCAGTTACAAACTGAAAGACCAACGACGCACATGACCAGGTGTACAAGTTTACCGCGCACTTCTACGGTAGACGTTTCGCTCTGCCAGACTGGAGCTGTTGCACAGTTTAGTCCATTTCCAAGGCCCATAACTGGTATTCGCCCGGCTATGATCATAGAGATGCTAGAAGACATACCCCCCAAAATCATGATACTGGTACCAAAGAGTAGTGTCTTCTTTCGACCGAGTAATCCACCAACGAAGAGAGTCAAAACCACATGGAAGAATGAGCCGACATCGAACAGCGCAGATATCGTTCCAATGAGACTGGGGTTGTTAACAAGACCAAGTGTAGTCAAGAAATTGTCAGAGATGACCACACCACCTATAAGCAATGGCTTAGCATTTCCTCTTATTTCCCGGTATAGAATAGAGCATCTTACTGAATACACCTTGGCCATATCCAAACAATGCCATATTTGTTGCACACGCAACCGTCAACCAGAAAGTAAGCCACCACCCTCTCAGGCCGATGTAAGGCTCCATGGTAACGGGCTATGATGATGAAATAGGTAAGCATAGGATGTGCCGGGAAGGACCACTGTGCAGAGTACAATTCCATTGACAAAAAAAAGGCCAAGTCGATTAGTTTCAATGCAAGAGACCCCCTACATCAAGGAAGCGGGTTATTCCACGCTATGTAGGACATCCTTCAACGGTGACATGTCGGACATGACACGAGCAAACGGAAATTCTCCGTGTCTCTTGACCCGTACAGCTTGTGTATCTGAATGGAGACCAAGAAAATCTTCCAGCGTTTTCTATTCGATACTTCAAACTGAGTGTCATTTTTTGACTCCTTGGAGTGTGTTCGATGTCGTTTTACTGCGGGACACAATCCCAAAGTAGACGAGACAGTAGGAAAGGCTATGCCAAGTTGAGAAGGTTCCCAGATGGGCAGGGGATCACTCTATATTCTTGTTATTCGAATAAGATATCTAAGTTGACTACGCTCCCTTTTAGACGAAAAACATCGACTCATGTTGTGAACAATGCTTGGCACCAAGCAGTGTCGCCAGCAGCTTAGAACTGAGGTAATACCTAATGGCACATATCGGCTATCTAGGCACGTTGATAGTGTGACATGGGCCCTACAGCATTACGAAGATTACCGGATAGTTATAGAAAGACTTGAAATTATCAACCGACATCAGCGGAGCAATTTGTATTGTTGTCATATTACGTCTTTTTTTTCCCATCTGATATCCCCGTTTCCCGGTCGGGAGATGCAGATGAAAAGGTCTAACCTGCGAATTAAAATGAAACCCCACGGCCCCATGTGACACCAAGAACTCCCAAACATACATCAAATCATCAACGCCAGGTCCGAGTCACGAAAGAGCCGATTTCAGTTTGTGCACCTATCAACGACCGCGGTTTCTCATCGCGGACGTCGAGGGCTGGAAAAGTACAGAGAAGGGAGGAGGGAAATGCTCGCAATGCAGATGTCATCGTTTCACAATTCTGAAAATGGAAGGGAAAATGAAAGAAAAGCACGTTCCGGTCGTCAAGAGACGCACTTATGCAGCGTCGGCGGTGGGAATGGGCTCCGGGATCTTGGTGACCTGCTGGCCAGCACGGATGATACGCTGACCATTCTCGTCGCGAACGTGGTCGTTGTTCTCCTTGTGGGCCCGCTTCCAGATCTCGACCTCGCACCCACCACGGATGACACCAACTCTCATGGTCGAGAGAAGGTTGTGAGCGGCGTTGGAGTGGTAGTAGACACCGCCGTTGAACATGGCGGTGGCATCCTTACCGATACCCGAGTTGATCATAGCCTTGCCACCGGGGTGGTCCTTGATAAAGTCGGTGACATCGTGGACAACACCGGCGATAGAGATGAGACCACGGCCATTCTTGGCCTGCTCGACGTACTCGTCCCACTCCATGACGGGAAGCTGGTCCAGAGGAGTACCCCAGTCCAACCTGGCGCGCTTCTGGTCGATCTTCTTTTGCAGCTGCTGCAGACGGCCCTTCTCGATCTCATTGGCACGGAACTTCTTCAGATCGTATGCGAGGCCGAGCTGCTTCCAGATCCAGATAGTCCACTTAGTGGGGTCGTACTGATGCCATTCGATGGCATTGCGGTAGTCGGAGGGGAACTCGTGGTGGAAGTTGTGGTATCCCTCACCAAGAGTGACCAGAGCGGTAATCACGTGGTCACGGGGGGAGTTGCGGTCATCGAAGGGCTGGTCTCCCAGCCAGTGGGCCAGGGAGTTAACGCAGAAGGTGGCCTGTTGGACGAAGAAGATACGCAGAATACCGGCGTAGATGAAACCACCGAACCAATCACCCCAGCCGAGACCAGCGACCAGCATGGGGACGAGAAGACCCATGGTGAAGACGACCTTGAGGTAGTTGCGGTGTTGCCACATAACGACGGGGTCCTCGTTAAGATCCGAGATATCGGTACGGCCGATGCGCTTGGGGTTCTGCTTCATGACCATCCAGCCCAGGTGGGAGTAGAGCAGACCCTTGCGGACGGAATAGGGGTCCTTGTCGGTATCGGTGTAACGGTGGTGAGCACGATGGTCGCGAGCCCACCAGCGGATGGAGCCCTCAACGGCACCGCCACCAACAGCTGCCAGCCAGATCCGCAGGGGGAGTGTAGCGGAATACGAGGTGTGAGCCCAGAGACGGTGGTATCCTGTATGTAGCCAAAGACGCTATTAGCCTCAAGAGGTCAATTGGTTTGGGATCGAGTCAGTAACGTACCCGCCGTGATTCCGAGACCGGTGAAGAAGTAGTAGACGACAGCCCAGATGGCGGTCTTGAGCTGCAGGGGCACCCAAAAGGCCTGGATGCATCCGTACAGCGGGATTCCGATGATGAGGAAGACATTGAGCCAGTTGACGTGTTTGTACCAGTTCTGGCGAGTCATGACCGTATCGGCGATATGGACCTTCTTGGTCTCAGCAGGCCGCGGCCGCGCAGCCTCCGCGGGTTTGGCAGACATGGTGAATGGACTCTTTCCTCCGATCACGTCCCTGTCTGCGTTTGAAGATAGGGAAGCGATTGAGCGACGGACGGTTTCGAGGGAGGGAGGGGAAGGATTGAAGGGGAAAGGGGAGAGAGACAGGGAGACGAAAAAAGAAGAGGGCAGAGCGAGAAAAATAAGGGCCGTCAAACGTTGAGGCGGGGAGGACGAAAACTGATCTGAAAGGCAAAACGGGTCTAGCTGATGTTGGGGCGGGCTGAGAGGCGAGCTTGATCGACCGGAGAGGGAGAGAGAGAAAAAAGAGAGAGAAAGCGTCTCAACTCAACGTATAGTAATACTGTAATAATAATAATAATAATAATAACAATGGGTATGATGCTAGAATGAGAGGATGCCAGCAGGTGGCGTCTTTCCCACACAGCTCTCTTTTTTGCCTCCGTTGGGTCCAGCATCCCCAACGTTTTCCGATGTCCGCGGGCGGTCAGGTTTCTACGCGCTGCCATTGGCCCATCGCGCGGTCCCTGAGTCCCCCAGCGTCGCCCAGACGCCAGAGCTTCCAGAACCATGTACGATCCTTACCGTAATGATTACTGGCTGTAATTTGTACAGCCCTGGACGGTGGACAAGCCTTCCGCAGCCACTCATGGCCGCCTCCTGGAGATAAGATCCGCGTGGCGTGTCAGAAGTCCGTCTCCCCAACGGTTTTCTGGCCTCGGTTCAGCCCTCACGCCACTGTTCCTTCTACCCGCGCACGTGATGCGGACTCTTTACGCGACAGTCCTCTACAGTAGAGATAATTATTATTATTATTGTGACCAGCAGAAGTCTCGTTGTTTTCCAGCGTTTCTTGCTGACAAGACGCTGCATCGGACAGAGGGTCAGGGTAGATAGCTGCAACCGTTGGGGACGGGCGCTCATCCTGCAGCTAGGACGCCCGAATCCGCGTAATTCTGCAACCGGACCCTGACTTACGCGCCGATCGATGCAGATATCTACGAAGTACGAACCAACAATAATAACAATAATAACAACGCCGTCCTATTCTCAATAATATTTCTCTCCCGCATTTCCAGATGATGGTGGAAGTTCTGCATCGACCTGGTATCGCCAGATTGCTAACCTCCGTCAGCAGCAGCAGGCACTTGGCATTCTTTACTACGGGACAAGGCAATAAATCAATGCGTATAGCAATGGACATGATCATTAGGTTGATGGAGAAGCCTCCCGGAATAATGCACATTAGGTAGTTGTCGTCACTTCTCTTATTGGCTATACCTGCCAATCATCATGTAGTGTCGACTATACACCGCCAAGCTGACGGCCAAAGCTGGCGACAAATACTAGCAAGAGTATTCTCGCTACCAAATCTGCAGCCACCGCATACTGATTGCAGAGGGAATAATTATTACGATAGATATGTTATTGTTATTGAAACTAGGGAAAAGCTTCCCCCATAATTTAATATTTTCCCCACGCATACTAGGTAGGTATATCTGCAAAAGAAAGGTATAACTAAGAGTAATCGATCTTAGCGTCAACTCAAGGGGAAACCTCGCGCTTATTCCAGATTGTGTGCACTGTGGAGACTTCTCTCGGCCCTGGTAGTACGAACAATCCTTGGGCTAATGGGCTTGGACAGAAATACATACGTCGCCCTCAACTTTCTAAAAAAACAAAAAAAAAACAAAAAAAAACAAAAAGAGCTTGTAAACCCAATTACTCGATTATACAAAAAGCATCACATCTGGAAGAGGACGCATTATGCCACGAAATGCCAGGTGTGGGAGCTGGGTATGAAAACCGGAATAATGCGATGAACCTTAGTCTAGCCCGTGTGTTAACGGAAGTCCACGTGGTAGAACAGTCTATCCCTGCGAAGAGTGAAACCCTGATGGAGTTTCTTAAATATATATATATATATACTTGTTTAGACCTCTGGCTCCTAGTTATTTAATAGCTCGGTCTGTAACTCGTATAGAAGGTTGGATGAGTTGATCTCTACGGTACCTCCGGAGAACCGTGCATTGTGTGCTCGGTTCGGGATCTACCTCAGTATATACATCAAGGGATAGTTATGCTGTATAACTGTAGTGCCATCTCTTTCCTTGTTATGGGTCTTTAATAAGCTTGTAACCCTATTAACTAAGACAGTGTGCGTAGTAGGCTCCAAAAGTCGTATGGTTAGTCCCGAGTTGGAATCAGAACTACAGTCCCGGTTGTTCGTATCCGGTCAGAGGGAAATACGTAGTTACACAGGTGACAGCTGTGACAGAGCTATGCGATGCGGGTTGTGGGAGAATTTTATTGGAGGAATCGGGGTGAGCATACTGGCAATGGTACTTTCCATCTTTCCTAACTGTTCTTTGTCGACGGACAGCTGCGTGCGCGATTCAAATAAAATTCTCCGGGAAGGATTGTATAACTAACAAATCGAATAAAAACGGGTACAATGGGTGCGACCTTGTAGGGTGATCCCAAGGATTACCAATCGTAGAATGTGGCAGTTGACTGTTCGTCTTCACTGGGATCTATCTCAGTACAATTGCATCCCACAAGATAGCTCCGCTACAGACTTAACCGGTTTACGCCCACGCAGGCTGTGGGGGAGTGTGTTTGATTATGATTATGATTATTATGGTAGAGTGGGCGGCTGGAGATAAGCATCACAGGGACCATCGGAGATCTCCAGGATACGACTATCGGGAATAGTAATACTCCGTAGCTGCCCGTGGGAAAACCTCTGTCAGGTACATCGGGGGCGGCCGACGGACGATGCAATGACTAACGTCGCCTGCAAATAATAAGACCTCGAACCAAGCACGGAGTATTCATAGTAGTTATCAAATAATGTCAACGCTTCATCTCTTATCACGCCCGCGCCCCGCAGTTCAGCGATAGAGAAGCCAGGATCGCGTCTCATTGGCGGGAAGCTACCGCGGGCGAGACTAGAGCACGAACCGGGGCAGATTAGCAGACTCCGCCCCCGGGTCTGTCTTGGCCTCGAGCTTTGAGGGATACTAATCGCATCAACTTTTGTTACTCGATTCGATTCCTCTTCATTATCGCTGCGGGAGATAGCTGGATGAGACGCATCGCCACTCCAGATTCAATATAAGGGCACTCTTGTGGTCGTCTCTTCACTGCAGTGGGTGTCCCATTGACCGTCACACGACCTCACGTGCAGATCCTCTTGACTCTCGATCAGATCAGAAGAAAGAGTCGACTCGAAGATAGGTTGGGTCGCAATGGAAGGTCCAGATCAGATTGGTCCCGAGATGGGACCTAAAAGAACATGGACGGACAAGCTCAGACGGATCAAGAAGACCTTGACCACCAAGTGAGTGGCGAACCAGCACATACCTAACTCATCGGGGTCGTGCAGAAAGCGAAGATATGCTGAACGGGCACGGCAGGGATGGAATCATTGGGGATTATGACTATGCCTTTCTCTTCACTCCCAATCTCCCCTTCATGAAGCGGTCCCGTCAGTCAGCGCCCTTCTTTGGGCTGCACGATAAAATGCCAGTCGTACTGGCCTTGCTGCTCGGGCTGCAACATGCACTGGCAATGTTGGCTGGCGGTGCGTCTCTTCTACTCGGATCTCCTCTAGACACATCCACCGATCAAGAAATTAATCCGTCACAGTTATCGCTCCGCCCATTATCCTTGCCGCTTCCGCGAACTTCTCAGCAGAGATCACCCAGTATCTGGTGTCAACCTCCCTCATTGCATCAGGAATGCTCTCGGCCATCCAGATCACCCGCTTTCATATCTGGAAGACTTCCTATTATGTCGGAACGGGTCTGATCTCCGTCGTTGGAACGTCCTTTTCTATCATCCCCATTGCGACTGGAGCGCTGTCTCAGATGTACAAGACGGGATATTGCCCCGTCGATGAAGCCGGTAATTCACTGCCGTGCCCTCATGGCTACGGTGCTATCCTCGCGACGGCTGCGCTGTGTTCACTACTGGAAATCGGCCTCTCATTCACAAGCACCAAAGTCCTCAAGCGCATGTTTCCCCCGCTGGTGACGGGCCCCACAGTCCTACTGATCGGTGCCAGTCTGATCGAAACCGGATTGAAAGACTGGGCTGGTGGTTCGGGCAACTGTGGCACCGACCCCTCTGCTCGTGCACTATGTCCCAGTGCGGACGCTCCCCATGCCTTACCCTGGGGTAGCGCAGAATTTATCGGTCTGGGATTTCTCGTCCTTGTCACTATCGTCCTTTGTGAGCGGTTTGGTTCGCCCATTATGAAGTCTTGTGCTGTGGTGGTTGGTCTGCTAGTCGGATGTATCGTCGCAGCGGCCTGTGGATACTTTGATCGCTCTGGAATCGATCAAGCGCCGGCTGCATCCTTCATCTGGGTCCATACATTCCCACTGAAGATTTATCCTCCTCTGATTCTACCGTTGCTGGCCGTCTACCTTGTCTTGATGATGGAAGCCATCGGTGATGTGACAGCCACTTGCGATGTCTCCCGCCTGGATGTGGAGGGGGAAATGTTCGACTCGCGGATCCGGGGAGGCGTGCTCGCTGATGGTTTCACCGGTCTGCTGGCCTGTCTATTCACCATCACGCCCATGTCGACTTTTGCCCAGAACAACGGTGTCATCGCGCTGACGAGATGCGCAAACCGGAAGGCCGGCTACTGCTGCTGCTTCTTCCTCATCATCATGGGCATCTTCTCCAAATTCGCCGCTTCCCTTGTCGCCATTCCGTCCCCTGTCATCGGTGGAATGACTACCTTCCTTTTCTCCTCCGTCGCTATCTCCGGCATCCGCATCATATCTTCAGTACCCTTTACCCGCCGTAATCGCTTCATCCTGACGGCCTCATTTTCCGTTGGTATGGGAGCTACTCTCGTGCCGGACTGGTTCTCCTACTTCTTTACCTATTCTGGTTCCAACAAGGGTCTGCTGGGTCTCCTCAACGCCATCGAGCTCATCATGGAAAATGGATTTGCTGTCACAGCCTTCCTCAGTCTGATCCTCAATCTGCTTCTACAAGAAGAGCCAGAAGACGACGTGGGTGTCATCACTGCGGATCTCGCTGACGTTGCGGACGACCAACGCGAGTGGAACCAGATCCGCCATAATAACGCAGAGAGAAACGGCGAGAAAGGCGCGGGCGTAGATGTGGATGCCCCTCCCGATAAGAATCCAGGGTCGGCATCGAATTCTCTGACACTATAGGCGATCTTTTTGATGTTGATGATTGTTATTTTTACGGGCCGATGGTCGAGCAGGGAGCTCCCAGAAATCTTTTCGGCAACATGTTATATATTTTCATTTCTAGATATCCATTTCGTTTGGCAACATGGCATAATTTTCGATTTTCCTGTTTCTTTATTCAGCATCAAACCATAATAATCTCATTGGGGGGCTTTTTCAAGGTATCTCGTGGTTACCTCAATAACTTACAGGGGGACGGGAATATTCCCTCACCATATTCTCCTTCATACGGGCGGATCAGTCGGCTTGAGCATTTTGATATAAAAGTGCTCTCCTTCCTCCAAGACAGTTATTGAGTCATTGACATGAAGAGTGAATTCTGTCATCACATAAGTCAGTCATTCGGTCATTCAGTCCGCAACACATCATGGAACCCGTGCCTGAAACGACATGAAGAGCGGATGAAGAAATGACAGGGAAACGGAGGCTCACCCTCTTTGCTCGGAACAAGCTGCATTCCCAAACACGCATTCGTCCGATCCCCTGGGTCGATGCATCGGAAGCTCTTGAGTGTCTTATCCGGCTCAGAGGGATGGCGGATTCCCGTATCGGGATCAACGTTGGGAAGACGACAGCGGATTGTCCGGCACGCAGCGTGGATCTCTACGGATTCTTGCCTCCTCTGCTTTTCGTGGCCCCATTCCCCATTGATTATGGTGCCATTTGGACTATTCCCACCAACGAGGATCCTCTTCCATGAATCTTCTGCATACGCCGGAGGTCCCTCGATGATGATATTCGCGCGGAACCGCCGCACACTCAGGTGTGGGATGGCTGTTGCACATCGCGCTGCGACGTCTCGTACGCTGGCAATATTGAGCAGATGCAGAGGATAAGCATCCGCGAAACCTGTCCGCGGCTGGAAGCCGAGGTGCTCTTTTCGCGGGGCGTTGCGGAAGATTTCCCGGGAGTGAGCTGGGGATACTCGAAAGAGGGATAATGGTGGGAAAGTGTTATCAGGAGAGAGAAAAGAGCGAAGAGAGGCAGGGAGATGATGTCCGTAGTTAAAGCCCATGGGGAAGTCCTTCCACAGACGAACCGGTAGGAGGGGATAATTGTCTATTCTCTCTGCTGGTGGATTGAAAGGGACGCGGAATGAGCATTCTGAAGAACACAGACGCAGAGCGACAGCTAGCTTGATTATCCCACTCCAGAACGGATTGCTTGATGTCCTTGGATAATGGACAACCAGCACGCCTCCTGACTTCACCTCATCCAAATCAGGATGATAATTCCTCGCAGCAGGATCCGGGACCCAAATCTCCGGCCGAATTAGAGCAAGTCTGCTGAACCGTCCATCTCGCATCGTCTTGAACTCCCATCGAGGCGCCTTCTCCTCTTCGCTCGCACCAAGGGGCACGTTCTTGGGCGTCAGGTACTCCGCGAAGCAGAATTGTCGGTCATATGTCAATCCAGTCGGCACGACGTCTGCGACGGAGAGTTCAACGCCAGCGCAGCTTTTGATAGGATACGCGAATAGAGCTTTGATGCGGTATTTCGAAGGGATGCTATTCCCCTTTACCTGATCGCAAGCAGGACGTGTGTATCTGGGATCATATTCATCGAATATATTGCTCTCCTTTGGGTCTAGACCGAGACGTCGACATCCTTTTGGCGTATTTTGAGATAATTTCCATCGTAAGACAAGGAATATAGGTGCAGCGCAAAGGATGTATAGTATCGAATTCGACATGGCTGGTGTCGAAAACAGCGTCTCCAGAGCCATTGTCGTATGTATATTATACAGAGTACTCTCCAATAGAGCTAGTAGACAGTAGATCGACAATCAAGAAAAGTTATGCATGATTGTCCCCTACATAATGATTTATTATTAGAACGAAATATGCAGATTGAAGCCATGTCAATAAAAACTCGAATCACCTTGGCAATCGCGAAATTCGGCGTTCGGCTTAAAAATCGATTTGGTCGAGCCCGGGAGCGGAGGCCGAAACTCGGGAAACGCGCGCGTGGTGCTTAAGTTTCCCAAGTTGTCCTAAGTAAGTGGTACGCGTTCCGCTCACGCTATCTATTCTGTCCATCTGCTCTATGTCCGCAAATCGCGGACATTACCATGAACGGTATTGATGATCGATTGGTAAGTAGGTGATGTTTTAGTGGTATTTCAGAGCTTCGATTCAAGGTTCTGAGGCATGTTATGACGAAATGAATCCTCGAACTTGGGTTGAAGATGAGCACGCAAGATATCACTAATCTCTCCAGTCCGGAGATCCGTGAGTAGCCCGTTCCGTTTTGAATAGAAAGAATCGTATTGACGTTGTGTATCAGACCGGGTGATCTCGCTTCCAGCGTCGCAGTCTCTACGAGCATCTGCAGTGTCAGCTCCCGGGCCACTTCCAACAGGCCTGGAACGACTCGATGAGGCACTGAGCTTGTCTGCCCCAGGAATATCACCCTCAACCCAGAGCCAGCGGTCGAAAGGGATCCCAAGGGGCCATGTCACAGAAGTCTTTGGTCCACCTGGGGTTGGCAAGACCTCTTTGGCGTGAGTGTTTTTTATTTTTATTTTTTTTTTCTCTCTCTTAAGCGAGGTATTTAGCAATCCTAACGGATGTATGTAGCATGAGAACGACTGCGAATGCTTTACTTGCCGAAGAGAAGGTCGTTTGGATAGGTTTGTCTTATGCTATTCCACGTCATGTTCTTTGTTACTCATTTTCACCAGACACCGGATCGCCCATTCCTACTCCCCGTCTGCGAGGAATGTTACAGAAGGCTATTATCAGCTCAGCTGAAGACACTCGACCTTCTTCAGGGCCTGATACATCAGTCGATTCTCTAATGGAGAATCTCACTTACTTCCGCGCCCAGTCCCTTCCCCATCTCCTAGCCCTTCTGGTGCATCCGCCCAAAGAGTTCCCTCCCGAAGGAACGGCACTTCTCGTTATTGATACCATATCGGGGCCATTTCCTTCCTACTTCCCTAATGTCACAGAGCTCAAGTCTCGTCTTTCCCAGGGGAGAGTTACAGATAGCCAGCAGCTCCAGTGGCTTTTGAATCGGAAATGGAACGTTACCAGCGACCTTGGGAACCATCTGAACAAGCTGGCGACTATCAATCGCATGGCGGTACTGGTGCTAAATCAGACACATACGAAAATAAAAGGACAGCCGCGACCGACTCTTTATCCTGCTCTAGCGGGAGGATCGTGGGAAACAGCCATCTATTCGAGAATCGTTCTTTATCGCGATTGGCCCGATCCCGAGGCTTATGAAGACGTGGATGATTTTTCAGCCAGAAGAGTACGGTTTGCAGAGATCACAAAACGGTCAGGAAGGGTGCGAAATCTAAGGAATGACGATGACATTGTTCCGTTCTTTATCGAGGATGTAAGTAGATGCCTTTTTCATCTATGAGACTGGTTTACATGGTTCTAATTTCCGTCAGGACGAATTTCGCGAATTGGTCAAGAGACCAACTCTGCCTCCGTCGAGTGCTGTCGTCAGCAGCAGTGTCGGCCCTACTGCTGCGAAGCTGCGGAAGAGAAAGGTCGACGAGATCGCAGACAGTGAGGATGACGATCTGGAGTCTGACGGCGATTACGGCTGGATTGAGAGCGATGACGCCGGCCTTCTTGCGGACGAAGACGAAAATCCCATCGAGGATTCTACTACAGATCCTAATCAGTAGAAGCAGTATCGGGATGATATGCTACATCTCAGGATCGACTGCCTTTCAGCATTCGCCATTGCAAGAGAGATATTCCTGTTTTTCCAACTGATAGAAGGACATGTCAGAAATACATGGACCCTGATGAATAGGATAATCAGGATATCTGCTGGATTACTGAAGTGAAAGGCATGCGGCTACCATCTACATATCACAATTTCTCAACACCGCGGCCGCAGCTTCTGCCCGGGAGATTCGGGCCGAATGCACGAGCAAAATAGGCCGGCTCAGCAACCGTTGAAGCTGTTGGGATCAATCGGGAACTGCTACTCGAGTCTGCTCCCTGGCCAGAAGTCAGACATGGTTAAATGCTCATCATGTTGCAAGTCTCGTCCGTTGGATGATGGGCGAGCATCTCGCCGTCCATTGGTGGTAATTTCGCTCGAGGATCCGTAATAGGCCTGTTGGAAGCGTTAGACTACTACACTGCTGCACGTTCTACTGGGAACACAAGCAAAATAGATGGCGAGCTAATCCGGTATCACTAGAACTGCAGAACCTGCAACGTGAGACAAAGGAGTTCCTAGTTATATAGAAATTGAGTCTCATGGGATTGGTTAAGTAAAGACCTCTCATCTGCGTCAACTTCACTTAATCTCAATCCCCAATTGCTTGATTTATACTTGGAGCAATAATACTATCAGAGCTGGGTTCATTACGAGCTGCGTTCGCTGTATGATATTGGCGCAGTATTTTCACCCCTCGCCTCACTCAAGGTTGACCATAGCGCTATTAGACCCGTCTTCAGTGATTCCCAACATCCTTCCACGGGCATTGGGTGGTCGGTGGCTACTTCGTTGGCGAATACGGCTTCTTCCTTATCCTGAATACAAATAGGCTCAAAGTAAGAGATGTATCAGGTCAAATATCCATCTACTTCCACATGTTTATAATTATCCGAAGCATTCCTACTTTACATAATATCTCTATATTATAGCTATAAAATCGGGCCCACTTTCAAAATGGGATCCGGTTAATTTATTAAACACTGGTACCCGAAAATATTTTACGAACTTCCACAATTTCTCCACGCAGAGGAATGGGGACAGTCAGAAAGGTCAATGCCTTCCAGACATCTGCTGTCCATTAAAAGAGGAAACACTGTATCTACAACCTTACAACTGAACCAGTCTCGGCACAGTAAGTAGCTCAACATTTGAAGTATAATGTTATTTGCATAGGCTTTAGCATTTCCCTCAGACCATTGTCCCAGATGAAGGAAGAAGACAACAGATGTATAGTAGAATGGCCATACGCTACACAGCTGCTTGAGCTCGCGTGCGCAGGATCTCTTCGTTCGAGAATGTGCTGTTTCATTGTAATGGATGAATTGAATACAACGAGCAATCAAGAGATATGATATATGCTTTTCTGCACTAACTTCGTCCATTCGACATCTAATATTGTGGCCCATAACACATAGAACGTAAGGAATCGGTAACAGCAGAGCACACAAACCAGCAACTCTGCCAACGATCGATAAGGACCTCATCTATAATTCAATGACAGGATGCCCATCAGAACTAGACTACATCGGCATATTTCGCATTTTCAAACAAGAGATGATTACTCCGTCTAAAGCTAAGGATGAGTGGTTAAAAGGTCAAATGCCATGCTAGCAAAGCGAACGTCGCTTCCATCCCCTATAAAGTGTGTTGGATAGATACAAAAGTGCTAGCTATTACGATTCAAAGACACATCCAGTCCAGTATCCAACTCTGAGAGAATTGGAGCCTCTAAAGCAATGTAATGGAATCTTCCATAGGATAAGGACAGCGTTTGATTACTGCTATTGGCGTAGCTCTTTCTATCGCTGTGCGGCTATCCTTCCTACAGTCTAGTATACTAACGACTGATAATTATCATGGCATGACCTACTTCGGCCCGGCCCGTTGTGGCTGACCGGACTAGCGACCAAAAGAGGGTGACAGGCTGACAGCAGACTTTCCCCGGCTTTCTCACCGGGTAAAGTCCATTCTTTTGTACGCTAGAGCAGATGTGTGCACGTGCATGGTTCTTAGAACCGTGAGGGGTAAATTGATGTCTAGATATGCATGAACATGGACTTGGACTTGGACTTGGACTAGCTGATGGTTAGGGCTTCGGGAGGAAATACCATATGCTAGTTAAGCATGCTAGCTCTGCATGGTAGGTAGTATGCGTAACCTTACTGTAGTAGGACTAGCTAGTTATGTAGTAATATTTTTTCGTTCTACATGTTGATCATGCTGAGTAGTCATATGTTCTGTTTCTTTGCTGTATAGTTCATGTTTCCTATTCACATGGGGATGTGAGCGTGATCTAACTATCAGCATGGTTATTATACCATAGATCGGTGCTTATCAGTGAGCTTCAAATCGGCTGTGAGGATCGGCACCGGCAGAGGAATCAGCATCACCTGACTCTTGCACCACCCCGCTCGTCCCTGGTCGATTTTTGTCCACACACTGTCACACCCAGCGCGACGGCCGGCCAGTGATGCAGCGAGGGACCCTGACGGTCATCGCGGATCGACGGCCAGACCGACAGCATCAATGCAGCTAACATCGTATCCCTGCCCGGATGCCAAGCGTTCGAGACTCGTATGATACGATGCAGCTCGGTTGCATTCCGCGAGATAACCTGGTAGTACCACGGGGTCGTTGCGGAGTAACTCTTTTAAGGCATACGCAGGAGGGTCGCTGGGTTGGAGACAGTTGAGATTACTTAATCCATTTTTCTTGTAGTTATCTCAAGAATAGCTAGTTATAGTTCAAGAATAATATGATAAGAAACGAAATCAACACAGATCTGAAAGAGGTCCACCCGCAAGCACGGCAGCGGGTTCGCAGAAACGACCCATCTTGCCAGCCACGCTGGACCACCGATCGATCTAATCTATAGCGCAAGTGCTGCTTTTCCGTGCAACACAGAACCCATCACGAGTGCCCACGAATGATGTGGTCAGAAGCAGAAGAAAGAGATAGAGGAGCGTGTCGTGGAGATGTAGGTGAATTAAAGCCGACTCCGGACGGCCGAGGAGAGGAGAGGAAAAGAGTAATTATCGAACAGCAGCAGCTTGAGATTGGGGTAGTCACTCTAAAGAGGGGTAGAAGAAACAAGAAAGATAAGAGTCAGGCACATCTCCTGGGGAAAGATGAAACATGATAATGGCCAAAAAGATAAAAACAAAACAAAGACCCAATCCGTCTATATTGCGTGGACTCCGTTTCAACCATCCAACCGACACCAAGCAGGTATGCCCGTAAACAGTACCAAATGCAAAACAAGTCTAATCGTGTCGTGGCATGCGTGAAGTTTTGTAGTAGTGATGATGTTGAATTTGGGGGGAACGGCCATTTTAAAATCGGTCGTTCAAGTCCCCTCCAACAATGGAAGCGTTTGCGGATGAGGAACCGGAGGAGAACCCACTACCTGGGTTCAGCATGTCCTGCACAGCAACCTTGGGGACCTGCGGGACAGGCAGTTTTCGCTGCGTGCCGTCTGGTCTCGACATGATATCACTGATGCTGGGGCCGTACGAGTGCTGATTGGTCGCGTAGAGGTTGGGGCCTTCAGGAGACGGTTCCATGGGGGCCAGCGCGGGAGTGTGCTGAAGAGACAGGTGCCGGATCGACGGCAGATGCAGGTCGTTGGAGCCATATGGTCTTAGGCGCGGAGAGTGCGCAGGCGTTGCCAGAGGAGTGTGATCTGGTGTCGGTGAGAGCGAGTCGTGCGAGAAGGTAGGAGACGACGGAGCGGTCGAGTTCGGCGAATTCGGTCGGGATCGCTTGATCCGGTGGCCGTAGCCATCCTCATCCTCGGTCGAGTGGGAGCGGCTCATGCTGTGGGAGATAGCATAGGCAGACAAAGACGGGAGGCGACCACTGCTGTGGTGGTGACGGCCAAAGAGGTGGTGGTGACGAGAGCTGCCGTGGTGATGGTGGAAGCTGGGGTGGTCATCCCGCTCGACCTGTGATGCGGCCGTGGCCAGCAGGTTGATATCCATACCTGACGATGCCCGCTCCGAGTTGCGAGCATAGGGAGCCAGACCCGAGCGCATATGCGTGGCATAGCTGGAGTACGAATGGGGCGGAGAGACATCCGGCGATCCCACCTGGGAGACGGGGGCGGATCTGGTGATGGGCTTGCTGGGAGGAGGCATCATCGAGCCCGCAGCGCTCGCGATGGCATTCTCCTGGCCTGCAGCAGCGGCCGCAGCGGCCGCGATGTGTTGCGCCTTGTTACTCCTTCTCGAGTTGGGGTTGTTGTGAATGCGCGAGTGCCGGGTCAGCTCGTCGGAACGGCTGAAACGCTTGGTGCACCCGGGGTACTGGCAGGCATGAGGCTTCTCGCCCGTATGCGTTCGGATGTGTCTGGTCTGGTGCTCGAGACGGTGGAAGGCTCGATCGCAGAGAGGGCACTTGTAGGGACGAGGGAGGTCCTGTCGCACCTCTTCGGTGGCCGGCCGCGCACCCTTCATGAGAGGCGGTAGTAGACTGACCGATGAGGCCATTGTCGTGTTGTTCTGTTCTGCAGCGGATGGAGCAGTTTCGATGCGGTCCGCCTGGGACGACTCCTGGGGATTCAGCAGATTGGAGAAATCCACTGCTGAGGCCGGCGACGGCATGTGAAAGAGCCTGGAGCGGACTTCACAGTGGCGGCGGGACAGGGCCGTAGATATGTCCTGCGCAATGCGGATGATCGCAGACGATGACTGTCGATCAACGTAATTGCCAGAGCGATCCCAGCAAGGAGGTCGATCTGGGGCAGGCAATTGCGCAAGAGGCAGCGGAAATCCCGAGGTCCTTTGGGGGGGGGGGGGGGGGGGGAGATAAAAAAATCTCCACGGGGAAGAAGTCAATGATGCGATGTCAGTGGTAGTGGGATAGGCAGGTGAGGGTCGCGGGGGACCGGATATATGGAAGGGTTGAAGTATAGGATTGGGAATGTGAGGAGGGTTGGAGCAACGCTGCCGGGGGAGGAATCTGGAGAAGAAGAGGGATGATCTGGGGGAGGCGTAGATGTAAGGAAGACGGAGGAAGGGAGGAATGGAGGGGAAGAAGAGGACAAGCGACGGAGACAGTTCGGGGGGTTTAGAGGGGGGGGGGGTATCCGAATCGGGGGTTGCAGGTGAAGAAATGAGGGTGGATATTTTGGGAGGGTTTATTGGGGAGGGTTTAGTGTGTGGGGGAGCCAGACAAGTACAAGACAAGACCAGACCAGACCAGATCAGGTCAGGTCAGGTCAGAGGAGGGAGGATGGAGGAGGGAGGAGGGGAGCGAAGTAGAGGGAAAGAAGAGAAAAGCAAAGTAAGATAAAAATTTTCAATCAATCAATCCATCCATCCATCCATCCATGAATTTAGTGGTTTAGTGACTGCCTCGTCTTTCTCTTCTGGGCGACCGTTCGCCGTCCTTCTTGTTCACCGAAGAACAGAACAGCTTCAGTTTTCTCCCGTTCCCAGCCAAAGTCGCCGTTCCAAGTGGAGAGTCGCGCCGGAAGGCAAAAAGGGAAAAAACGCGATGGGAATGTGGGGCATCGAACGAGCTGCCGGTGCGTGTCCCGTAGGGCCGTGTCGACTGGCCTTTTGGTCTATCTAGTCTAGGCGTGCCGGCTACCGCGGGTGATCTGGAGGTGCAAATGCTCTCCGGACGCCCACTCCGGGGTTGCTCCGGGTCCAACTAGGCAGGCGGATACATTTATTTTATTTTATTAGATAGATAGATAGATCTACAGGACCAGCAGGAAGGGAACGAGGAAACAAACAAATAAATAAATAAAGAAAGAGATGACATCCAGACAGACTAAGATACTGCTATTAATCTTGAGGGAAAGACACCCATAGAACCGAGTACAACAGCCACTTGCTGCACGATGCCAATAATGATGCTGCCATGAGGTGATGACGACCACGACTGGCGTCTGGGGGAGCGGAGGGCCAGACCGTCCGCGCATCCACGGGGAAGGCCGTGGGCGAAGGAAGCTTCAGGGATGATACCATCGCTGATTCATTCATCATCATCGTAACTATCTAACTTAACATAGATACTCTTAACTTAATTATCCTACTCTCCTCTCTTCCCCCCCGGGCGGCAGATCGACTGGCTAGCTGACCTTGGTCGTATCGTATCGTATCGTAGCGTAGCGCAGCGTAGAGTACGGAGTAGATCCGTACAGTATTCTAAAAATTACACCCGCTTTCTTCCTTCTCATCGTCAGTAGATAAACTGATAATAATACTCTCCCTCTCACTCCTTTCTCGAGGGTGTAGGAAACATCTAGCGATCTGATCAGGAGGCTTGATCAGGAGGCTTGATCTATCGCGCGTACGACCACCAACCCACAGGTCATTCATTCATTCATTCATTCATTCATTCATTCATTCATGGCCAACAACCTCCTGCACCGTCCAGCTGAGCGCCCCTCCTCCTCCTCATCCGCCCCGGACACGACATCAGCTGCCTCACCAGCGAAGAAGAAAAACTTATTATCTGATAGTAGTTAATTAGTTAGTGACTTCCTGAGAGCATCCGGAGAGAGCTGCTCCGGACTGGAGAAGCGAGCAAGCGCACGAAAATCGATCGGGAGCGGGTGAGATGTGGGGGAAACACCAGGCAGCCTCGCGACCGACCGTACCCGGCCCGAGTCTCTCCAACTAAAAAAAGCAGGGCAAGACGCTCCGGATCACTAGATATTATTACTGCGACTGCACGCCCAAAAGCCATCGGGGATAGACGGGAACTCGGTTCCAATGGCATCCTTCGATAGTCCTGGCTGAGACGAGATAAGGCGTCGCTCTGGGAAGATAATAATCATCATCATTCATTTACAGATCCTACCGTGAACGGCATGAATGATAAGCCAAAAACCATCTCCCTCCTCTCCATCGGCCGATGCCAGGGACCGGTCCGCCCCAGGCTCTGACCTCCGCCCCAAAGCCGAGAAATTGCCAGGCATGCCGCGTCCGTTCCAGCTGCGACGCACTTTTTCGCCCCTGCGCCGTCCGGACTAGACTAGCAAGCTCTTTTTTTGGTGGCAGCAATCTCTCCGCAGTGCGCACACTGCTAGATATGGATTTGGTCCTTTTTCTCTTTCTTTTTTTTTCTTTTTTCTTTTTTTTTCCCTCTCCCATGGGGCTCCACCTCCTGCTGCTACCACTAGCGACTGATAACGCGATCGAGTCGTCCTGCTCCTTCGGACAACCCCCGACACTAGCCCTCATTCCAGACCAGGAACAGCGAGGCCTCGATGGGTCGTAGATGGCGATAGATTCTAAACGAACTGTTCGACGCAGATTTTTCTTACGGAGTAAACCTGCATTACTTCCATCGAATGTTGCCCAAATCTCTTTGTCCAAGCGGCAGCCGCACCACCTAATAGCAGCTGAGTCAGCATTTTCCCTGCGCGAAGAAAAAAAAGGAAAAAGGAAACGCCCCAGATTTGTGCACGGACAACGCCCCGGGCTACTACTAGTACTAGATGGATGGTGGCTCATCCTTATCCCACAACTTCCGTGACGTGACCGGTCCGTAGCTCGCTTAGAGCCTGATATGGCTGCAGGAAGCAGGACGAAAACCAAAAGGATCAATCTCACAAGCTAGATATCTATCTACCTGACTATCTCCCTACTCTGGAGTAACTACTACTATATAGAACTTCCTCCCCCATCTTCAGTTCACCCTCCCCCGGTTGGTTCCTGGCCCCGCGATCCCGTAGTATTACTAGATACGGGGTAGCCGACGCTAGGATTATACCTGGGGTTGTTGTTCAGGGGTCTCTAACCGGTCTTGCCGGGAAAGAATTTCATATCGTAGATACCGTTCGCGGTGTATCTTCGGACCAAGTGGCCTGTTTCGTAGAGATGCAGAGATGAAACCTCGAGCCGAGGCACGAGCAGGAATCTCACTGGCCACGACATCAGTAACAACGCCGATGAGCTGGTCTCCCCGGAACTATCCAGGTGCTATCGGTTTTCTCAGGGGGGCCCTGGGGCGCAGGTCGTGACCGCGTTGACGGCTGCGATAGGTTAGATCTCCTTTTCTCCAGACTGTGATCAACCGCGGGATCTATCTATCGCAAGTTCAAGTCCAAATTGAAGCCTGCCACGGAGTCCCAGGACGGCAGCTCCGGGCCGTCGAAACGAAGCAGGAAGCTGGTGTGGAGCGCAGAAAAGCAAAGAAAGAGCAGAAACAGATGCCCCTGGCCCATCGCTCTGGCACGACTTCATGATAAACAGGGGCAAAGTAAAACCCATCGCTGATCCCGACGAGTCGCCGGGCCATTCGACGCCAGATCTTCGTCGCATCACTTTCTTTCTACGGGAGTCATAATATGCCATGTCACTATTATTGTCGCGGCCTAACTACGGAGCCGCATAGCATCACTTGAGGTCACCTTCGGGGAGAAGTTAATGGTTTGTGCAAGATATCGTCTTGCATCATCATCATCATCACCGTCTCTTTCGAATGGCTGGCATCTCCGCCCGGGGCTTTTTCTGACCGATTCAACAACAGAAAGTCAATAGTTCCGTAATCCTTACCAGGAAAATCGGGGAAAGCTTGCTCATGTAATAATGAGAATTATTTACAGCCCTGGCTCAAAAAGAAAACATGCTCAGGAACCAGTGTCTGGACTTCGACCGACCAAGGTCCACGCACTACTCCGTATGCATCCAGCTCTTTCAGGCCTCCTCACGGATACGCACCGATGATGGAAATCTAGAGAAGGATCACGAGCAAGGATCGCCATTATCGATGATCGCAGGGATCTCCCAGCCCGGTGAATAGCCTAATAATAATAATAATATTAGAGGATTAATAATAATAATAATAATATCGCCAATAATGCCAGCATGACGTGTCCATCATCCCATTCCGATCTTCGTCAGTTTCCCCTGTCGGAAGAGGGTAAAGTGTCGGGTAAAAACTGGAGCGGGATGCGGACCTGGGGAAAATTCAAAAGATCCTGACTTTCGTTCTTCCGCCCCTCAGTCAGCCTCGACTTGAGATCCCGTCGGTCCAATAACCTCGTTCGATCTCCTGTTGTTGTTATTTATCGTAACTTCCTCGCAGGCCACTTGCGACGCAGGCACGGCTGAAGCTCACCCGTCTTTGTCAGGCAATGACAGCTGTTCCTCGCTCACGCCACCGACCGCCCCCATCTGCTCTGGAGTAGAAGTACATACATAGTATTATTACATACATATGTAACTTCCGTTTGTCGGAGGAATCGACTCGTGAGGCTGGCTTACTCCGGAGTCCGTACAACCTCTTCCGGCGGTTTCCTTCCATGAGAAGAAAAAAACAAGGAAGAAGACAGATTTTCTACTCTATTGGTACACTATCTACAACTAACTATATCCGAACCCCACGATAAATGAGTAGATTCCCCCGTCTCTACTTTATCTACTCCGTAGTGCGGGCGACGGATAAGTCGATGGCCACTAGTAGATATCAACCCGGATAGTGTGGGGTGACTTTTCAGACCCGATGGCTTGCATTCTAGGTAGAGTAACGTAGTACAGTAGGTAGTAGTCTATCTATGCGGTTCGACTAGGGCCAGGATAATAATAATACCATATTCCCACACAAGTCAGGTCCCAGAAAATGGGCGCGATGCTTTCCTTACCTCCCCCGGCCGCAAAAAGAGGGCTGATCCCTGATTTACCCGCAGATAAGTGATCGCCGCTAAAGATGCCGGGGAGTGCCACCCGGAACGATCTTCGCCCAAGAAAGAATCTCTTCCCCTCACTCTCCCCACGAGCTGGGGTACACGGAGTAGTATCACCGATTCTTTTTACCCCAGACTGGGGAAAGGTTGAATGGTAGAACGGATTGGGAGATCACTTCCTACTGCATACTACTCTCCTGACTACATGAATATAACAGCGGAACTGCAAACATAATTACACTCTATGACACGAGACCATCCTGTTGTTAAGTGATCGACGGAGTCTAACTGGAAGACTCAATGCGGAGCCGCTTCCCCGACGAAGACCAACCCCCTCATTCCTTTCCCGGACATAACACTCCGGTCTCGCACGACACAACAAAGGCGGGCCTCTTCTCCTGCAACTTTTCGCTTCCAACGGCATCGAAGCTCGTCCTGGATGGACGATGGTCGAAACAAGAAGAATTAAAGACAGGCTCAGAAGATCGTATGACGCGATCGCCGTCTAATGAACGGGGAAGTCTACCGAAAATGCATACGGAGAGGATGCGTATCGCATCATTTACTACTGTCGATGGTTCGGTGTTTGCTCCAGATAGAGGCTATCTCCAGACGTTTGATCGACTGCTGCTTCGAGTGATTGCTTCGTGTTCTGGAAACACCCTCGTTGCTAGGCGCGATCTTTTCTTTTTCGATTGTTGATCGAGAATCGAGATCAAGATCGAGTGACTCACCTTCTGCTGATGTGTTGCCATCTCTCCGCTAACAATAGTCCGTCTCACATGAGCAACCGTCTCTGTGATATCTTCCCTCCCGTCGTGGCTTTCGTCGACTCACCGTTTTCTTGCAGCCATGTCATCGCTCACCGTTGCTTGGACACCCACTGTTGGAGATCTTCATCACTCCGCATTTTCCATGTGAGCACCTTGGCAACAGCGTAGGACAGAGTGGACGCCACCACGGCTACTTCGTGGGTTGACTCATGGATACATCATGACTAACTTAACTGTCGCGATAACCTTGCGTGGCCCTGGCCGTCTAACTATCGTGGATTCCTCATTAGGCGTTGCTGTGACCTCACATAAGCTTGAACAAAGTCAAGAATGACCCCACAATCAGGGGACTGCGAGACAATAATTATTCCGAGACTGCGACGGGAAAGACTGTCGGACGGAAGGGTACCATAAATAGATAACCGGGTTCTGGCACTCTGATGTTGACAGTCTGGACTCTTCGATGTTGACGTTGATGGAGGTTAACGTTGAAGTTAAACCAGCTGGTTTCCCAGGTCGTGACACCATCAGGTTGCCTGGAAATCGCATCATTCGCCCGTATATCCTGACGTCGTGGCCGGTGGGTTGGCGGCACTCAGGAATTCTTGACGTAAGCGGAAACTCGCTTGGCCAGCGATGATTTTCGTACCCAGCGCCCAAGACCCGGGGGAAAGGGCTGAAACCTGGGGAAGATAGATAGGTCACTTGGAGCGATGATCGTGGTCCTGATTTCAGGATTTGCGCGCGACACCAGCGGACTCCGATGATGAAGCGCTCCGGGTCCCCCCGAGCAATGTGATGATACGATTGAGCGCAGAGGGATGCTCAGACTATCTCCAAAACGCTTCTTTCCGTTTCCAAATCTGATTCCATCTGGGATTGGGTGTCGCGCGTTGGTCAACTACTTGGAGTATAGACTACTAGCTGAGCTCAGTTGGCGCTGAAGTCCTATCTATCTACGCTTAAGGAAGCTCTCTCCGCATTGCTAACGGCGACGTCCCTGGGGCTAAAGCATACAGCACCAATCAGCCCAAGTTGGCCGATCAGGCCCACAGCTTCTGGAACACGGTTTAGCCTTTTCCCCGGTTCCGTCAGCGGGCAGCCAATCCGAGTACGCCCTGCAGTATCTAAGGTACTCGATATCTCTGAGGGAGCTGATACCGAGGAGGGAGTGGACAATAATAATACGGAGTAATAATAACAAATTACCAGCGGAAAGACACTTAGGCTGATCTCTTGCTCCTATCTCTGCGCATCTGACAGGCTATCCTTTCTACCAAGCCCAAAAAAATAAAAATAAAAAAAGTAGATAAAAATAACACGAGAAGCACTGCACGCCAATCATGCGAGAACATCACACGGTGTCTCAATTCTCTCCGTATCTTGCGACACCAAGTTAATGCTCTCCTTTGCCGCGCCTTGCGCACCCTCCCCTCCAGATAGGTTCCGGCGGGCGATCCTGCAACGGGGATATCCGGGGTTCATTCCGGAAGATGATTTCCGGGTTCCAACGGAGCCCCAGACAGTTCAGCTGTTACAGTGTTTGTGATATATCTAGCATAGACACGTTTGAGGAAGTTTCATCGGTGTGGTTCAGCTGTGGTCTTGTAGATGCGACAACGTGTACGGCGCTGTAAGAGTACTTAAGAGTACGTAGTCTTGGCTTTCGGTGAAGGACTCCGGTGGGGCTTTCCCCATCTGGACGAGTTTAATAAAAAAAAAAAAAAAAAAAAAAAAAAAAAAAAAAAAAAACAATAAAATTCTGGCCCAAAGTCACCTTATCACGTGCAAACAGGTCATCTTCACATGTCTACTCCATTTCTCCAGGGGAATGTCGGTCATGCCACTAGATAGAGATAAAGAGTCGGATCAGATCAAATCAGGCAGTTATTCCTAGTAGTAGTAATAGTAAATAATGTATGTATTACGCATGCGCCATCGACTTGTCCAGACACTCGTCTTAACTTTCCATCCCACTCCTTGAGAAAGAATGTCTCTCTTCTGCCTGTCGCACACCATCGCGAACTGTTCGAGGCTGACCTGACGGAGCCCCCGCGCCACCCCGTCTGGGTTGGTTGCGTCATTCCCCAGGCGCAATGATGTGCAGCGATCCGGGGGGCGCAGACGACGGATTCTCTCCAGGCGGTGGAGAAGCATTCCATTCCATGCTGTTCTCTACCATTATTATTGGCATATTATTATTCGGGTCATCCCGCGGCTGGTCTGGGCATCCCCTCGGGTCTTTTCGGGGTCACCGGTCGGCCGTTGGGCGACGGGCGAGGACCTCCGGAGGCAGAGAGAGTAGTCGAGTTCGACAGCTCTCAAACGGTCCCCGGTGAGGCCCGCATTCTTCTTCCCCAACGCCGAGTCTGTCCCGAGGACAAAGTGGACTGATGCCAGCGCGACAGCCACCGTCCGCCGAGCTGCAAGGGAACCGCAGAGAAATCTATCGAGGACTTGCTTCACTACTATCTATCTACTTTACCTCTTGTCTCTTCGGCACTTGGAGCCGTCAAGCAGCCGTGCTCTTGCTGTGCATATTTTTTTTGCTACTGTTATTAGTCTACTCGCCAGAACTAACCGACCAGCTATCTATGGCGCCCCCAAAGGTCCTTTTTGTGGTCTTTTGCCTAAAAAGGAGGCCCTCAAATAATAATAATGCAGCTCATAGCTTCATGTACCACAAACAGAGTGGGGACAAGGGGACAAGGGCCAGCGATCGAGTTTCCCCGGGTTCACGTTCCTTCGACCATGCCAAGCCTGCGTCGTACTACTAAGTATATCCCACCACCTAACTAACAACTATACAGAATTATCATTACAGATTGTTTCGTGTCAGGAAGGGCAGAGTTCATCTGTGGTTTGATTTTTCATCGCTACTTTCTTTTCGTTCTCACATATACATCTGCTTCTTCCAGTCACTGTCGCAGATGAGAGGCCTGACAGAGGGAAGAGCTGTTCTGTTCGATCCTCAACCGCTCGCATGATCTCGCCGCCTCGCGGCTCCTAGCATGGCTGCCCCGCTCATCTCTTCTCTTCTCTGCTTCGGGGCCAGGAACTTCGAATAATATGATGTTTTGAGTAGGTAGTGTCTGCAGCAATCCATTATTATTATTATGTTTACCACTACTTAACATGCCGTTCACTACCTGTTGCTTCTCACGCGAGTCCTCTGACCTACCACCCGGAGTGCACGCCGATGCGCCTGGAGGAAAAGCCGTCTTTTCGCCGAGATAACTAGGGCTTGGGAAATGGAAGCCCTAAGGGTGAAGCTTGTCCCGATGCGGTCAGAATGTTCCAATCAGGGTTTGCGCTCTTGTTATTCTGCCGCCTGTCACCGCTCGCAGAGGTACCGGTCCTGGAGAGGGTCAGCGTTGCTGCTCTCGTCGTGTGGTTCACTGAAGAGCTTCATGAAGCTGCTCCGGACCGGTTCATGCGCTTGGGTTTGATCTCTTGTTCGGTCCTGACCGTCTCAGTTGCTTGATTTGAGCCCCTCTGCCTCTCGGTCTGCTATCGAATCTCTGTAACGGCCGTCATGGCGCCCCCGCGACAGCGTGCCCCAGCGAACCTAGACGATTCCCGCTCAGAAGCCTCCAGCGGCACCAGAGAACACAAGGGAGCCGGTTCGAAGAGTAGAAAACCGGCCAATGTATCTGCTGCGGCTATTTCGATGGCTACAAAGGATATGAGAGTGGCAGCCACCGTTGCCACTGTCAGCGGTCTTCCCACCAGTGAAGAAGCTAGACTGTCGGAAGAATTGCCTGCAGTGAGTATTATTTCTTACCCGTCGAAGCGATCATGAGGATTCGGGTGTCCTTTCATAAAGCCAGTTGCCATCATGATAACAGCACTCCTTTCCATCTTCTTGTCTGATTGATCGTGGTTACTGATCGTCTTTCGAATCCGTTAGATCCCCTGGTCCGACATGTCCCTCGCGACACTGCATGATTATCGGCACGCTTTCCGACTCTCCACCCCCAGCGCCTATTCTCGATCATACAATCGAATCCTCCTCTCACAGGGAATTGGTCTCCGGTCACCGACTGCTATTGCTGCTCGACGGGCGCAGTTGACCAAATCTTCCCGCGAGCTGAACGGTCCCGCCCCGGAAAAGGATATTTCGGATTCCGCCTCCACGGGCACCCTACCAGGTCAGGTTATCAGCCAACACACCATCTACCCAAGTGGCAGGGGACTCGACACTCCTCGTCTGCACCGTATAATCGGCCAAGGTCGTGTGAGTAAGGATCAGCTCGCCCTGGCGGTACGCAAGCACTTCAACTCTGCCGGACTCGTGGAACAGGAAGCAGTCGTGCGCTTCCTCTACAAAGTTCGCGAGGAGGGGAAAGGTCGGGAGTTTCGACTGCGGTTCCAACCCTGACGACTAGTCGTTTTCCTATGGCTTGTGTTGTCATTACGGTCTGCCACTACCAGTCCGACTGAAAGCTCGCAACACTCTCTGCAGCCCCGCAACCCGCGTCCAGTCCCGTTCAGTACACGGCTACAACACAGACTTGAACTCCTGCCTTTTCCCCTTTCCCCTTATAATTCTTTGCATGGTTGATACCCAAGGGCGTTTTGAGGTCTCACATTTGCTTTTTCCTGGAACGCAACAACGGTTTCTCCTCATCCTACTCCATTCCGCTGTCACCTTGGTTCATCTTCAGACCTGGTTCGTTTATATGTGTGTGTATATATTATACTCTTCCCTCCCGGTCTCCAGTACGGGTTCGGATGGCGTTTATAGGATTTATGGATGGCATGGTATATTATATCGACTACAGTGTTTCATGTGTTTTATCTCAGATAGAGTCAGATAAGCCGACCAATGGAGTTATATATCTTCATCTTTATCCCCCCTGAGTCTATATCATTAAGATTGCATCTGTATATCATAGTTACTCTTTATGCGCGTATGTGTATTTACTTTAAATTAATCAGAAGATACAGATATATATATATATATCTGTATGCGTGAATGTATATTACCCATATCTATCCAAGACGTCATCGCCACCTTTCTACAATATGCTCGAAACCAACGCTCTTCACATATATATATATACCTCTTTTAGGGGACTATGCTATACTCGATTACACACATGCGTATGCGCGTATGTATATATATATCGTTGGGATTCGAGGTTACGGATCATGGTATATATTACTGAATGGAAACCAAGATAACTATAGCAGTCCAAGCGATGAATAAGCAAGGATAAGTTGCATTCGGGAGTATAAACATGATACCTTAAGTGTACGGCGTCCGAGTTCCACACGTAATACACGCATATACACGCTCGAGCGACAAGAAGCAAAGCAAAAAATATCTATCTCAGAAATAGGCACCACCATGCATGAGATGAGGAAGAAATGTTGAAGGAAGACATTCAAAATAAAATAAAATAAAAAGAAACTAGGCCGACCCAATTCATCGTATCTGTGATTATTCTCCTCATTCCATCATATCTCCGTATCTTTGCATTGTTGCTTTGCTTGTTCATGCTCTTTATTTCCAGGCGCTGAGTCCAGCCCATGGGTCGCCCGATGAGGGAGGCTGCGGTGTCTGTGATTGCGACGGTACCTTGTGGTGCTGGCTCACGCCGTAAGGTCGATTTTGCGCGTAGCCACCCGGTCCAGAAGGGTATGGACCGCTGGATGGCGGGTACGTCGTCGTGGATGGACGGCGAGGCGGCGGAGGTGGGATGTAGCCCTGCGGCATGTACGGCGCGCGTGAGGGTGCCGGTGCAGGGGTGGCACTGGGGTATCCGCTATACGGAGTAGCTGTTGGTGAAAAGAATTGCTGGTTCGGCGGCGGGGAGACGGGACTTGGGTAGGGATATGCCATTGGATTGTACCCTTCAGAGAGGGGGATGGCCGCGCCCTGTTGGTATGGTTGACCGGGGATATAGGGTGCCGGCGCAGTAGGAGAGATGTATTGCCCGTACGGCGCCGGTGACTGGGAGGGCGGGATGTGTTGAAGGGGAGCGGTCGGAGGGTAATGTGGTGACACTGTAGGGGATCTGGTGCCTCCACTGGAAGGAGTCTTTGAGGGAACAGCAGGTCTTGACTTTGGAGACGAAGATGATGGGGACGGATCTGTGGATAGGCGCTCCATGAGCTGTCTTAACTTTTCTCTCTCGCGATCCTCACTGCCAGATGCACCACTAGCCTTCTCGCGTTCGATCTGGTTGAGAAGCTGCGCACCTTCGGCTCGTCGGTTGTTGACGAACGTATCGACATTCTTTCTGAGGTTGTCCACAGTATCTCCCATCTCCGAATAGAATGTCTGCGCCTGCACCAGTCCGGAAAGTAGCCCGTTGAAAGCGTCGTACACCTTCTTGTATCGTGCCATGACCGTATTGCGCTGACGAGTGATACTTTCATACTTTGACTGCTCCGCCCGGACACGCTTGTCTTGAAGGAGTTCGCTATATGTCTTGGTCAACTCCTTCATCAGGGATGCCTGCTTGTGATTCGCCTGGAGCAATCTGTTCTGGTGAGGCCTGAACTTCTCGAGCTCGGCCTGGAAGAGCTGGTTTTCTTGGTTGACTATCGACTTCTTGTTCAGAATCAGGACATTGGAGATGTCATCATTGTGAACCTATTCCGTTAGCGTCACTGTCTAAAACAGTCGAAAGATACCTGAGCGCTTACCTTTTCTTTCAGATCCTTCAAGACCTGCGCCCGCTCCCTTTTGACGAGGTTGAGCTTCTTCAACAGTTCTTCTACCCTTGCAATCTGCTCAGCTACAGATGTACCGCCTTCGTCGACATCGTCAATCAAGCTTCCTTCCGACGCTACGGAGTAGGAGCCGCTGTGGCCATTCTTGGCCTTTTGTTTCGAGCCCGCCTTGATCATGGCGCGCTGGAAGAGCACGTCGACCTCATCAGTCTCAACCGCAGAACGAATCTCCTCGAAATCCGCCTCGTAATGCCTGGCGGTGGCCATAAGTTGCGCGTCACTTGTGCTGGCTTCATTGATCGTGTCACGGTAGCTTCGGATATCATTGCGGAAAGTGGCTGTCAGTCTGGAACTGGGCTGCTGAGTCCAGTCCGCGCCATATTTGGTACGCATTTTCTCGCAGACGCTCTCCTCGAGATCTAGCTGTTTGGTGCAGGATGCCAATGTATCCAGAATCTCAGATTTGCGCCCCTGGAGCTCGTCAAACTCCTTATAGAACGGCTCATGACCAGCCAGCTCCTCGCACCAATTCCGAAATTCCTCGTCCACCGTCATCCCCTGGTCTGTTCCGCCTTTCAAGATGTTGAGACTACCGGGCAACTTCAAGTAGTCAAGGCTGGCGGCCATCTCTCCGTTTGCGGTTTCCACTTTCTCCGTCTCTGCTCGGATAAGCTTCGCCTTCTCTTCATCATACAAACTGGCCGACTCGGTCACAGACATGGGAACCAGCTTCTGGAAGATGTCCGGGCCGATAATCCGCTGGATGTCCTGGCCCTGGTAGAGCTCACTAACTGGGATCGCCTTGGCTGCCGGAAGCTTGGAGACCACGGAGAGGCCGGCTTCGTTAGGCACGGGCTGATGGTAGATGAAGTCATTGTCCTTGATAAACGTAGAAAGCTTCTCTTGTACAGTTACTAGATGCTGTTTCACGATTGTTTGGAGACTGGTCCCCGCCTCTACCGTCAAGTTGGAGTTGGCAGGTACAGACGACGGGTAGGATTTTGCGGTATTCACAGCACTGGTCGACTGTTTCTCTGCCAGCTGAAGTCTTGCGATAGCGACACCGTGTGATCCACTCTCAGCATCGGCCAGCGCTTGATAGTAAGACGCAACGGATGACATGTGGGATGCTTTGGCTTGGAGCACGATGGACCAGACCTTTTCAAAAACACCTTTCCCGGCATTGTCCGTGACTGTTTCTGATGCTTGGGTATAAAGGTATGCCGCTTGGCTGGCCAGCTTGGCCAGAAAGCCATGTTTCTTGCCGTCCACAATCTGCTTTTCCAGAAAGACTTCCTGCCCTTGAGCCAGGGTTATGTTGATCAACGTCTTCACGGTTTCTCGACTCAAATCCGTTGACGGCGCATGTAGGAAGTTCTCGTTGATGTAGGTGAACATACCCGCAGAGGCTTGGAAGGAATGGTAGGCGGTCTTGAGGCCCGCATCCTCAGCACGGTTCTGGTTGGCGCCATGGCAGGACAGGACAGCTGAAATGTTGAAGATGATGGAAGCCTTTTCATAGGCGAGAGAGTATTGGGAGATGGCTTTGTGCGTAAAAGCGTCGTACCTGGAAGGCGGTTGGGTTCAGTCTTAGCTTGCAACGAGCTATTTCAAGCAGCGATCTTACCATGTGAACGAGATCTTGATGTGATTCTCATCGATGGGAAATCTGAGATCCAGTAGTTCCAGCTGGCCGTAGTATCGATACAGCAGATCGCGTCCAGCAGCGCTATCCTTGCCTGCACCTCTCATGTCCTGGCGCAACCGATTCAGCGTTGCGCACTCTTCGTTATATCTGTCCGGATCATCACCGTAGACCGTCCTGATGTAGTCCTTGAGCGGACGTACCCAGTCGATCTCGTTGGTCTGCTTCAGCGGACATGATAACATCGGCGACTGGACCATCTTGACGGTGGATTGCAGCTCCGGCTGCCCATCAAATACCAGCAACGACGGCTGGAAACTCTTTTGGCACCGACGCGGGTAACTGAGAGAATGTGTTCCGTACGTCAGAGGATCGCGGGCTGTGTGGGGTAATACCTAGTGGTTTAGTTCGGACGTCGGCGGCTGGAGGCACATCAGCTTGGGCTGGGGATTGTAACCGCTGGGAATTGAACTGTTCTGAAAGAGTAGGTGGATTTGGCTGCCGTTCAGATAAAGCCGGCAGTACGCATGTCAAGTGTTGAAACAAAGGAGAACTGATGCAGGCAGAGAGGTTTCCTCAAGGGATGTCGGAGTTGGTGCCTTGGGCCGCCAAGATGGCTCCATCGTCCATGTTAACTAAAGTACTTAACTTACTCTTAAGCGCCGTGAAGCATCAAAACACTGCGACACTGGCAGTCTGGCGCTCTGGTTGGACCCTTGAGAGCGTTTCCAGCAGCGCCGGCACACCGTAAGGCACGGTGCCTCTCTCAGCCTTGCCTGACTCCAAGCAAATGTCGTACAAAGCCTCTGAAATCTATTTACATTGATTTTTCTTAATTTCTCTTTAAGTCCTACGCGGGGTTACAGTTACACGGGTACTAATTGAGCTCGTATGCTGAAGGGTCTTCTCGGCTCTGGCAAAATTCATCGCAAGGGAAACACCAAGACTGGAACAGATAGATCAAGTTACCCGCCAGTGTTTCGTCGGCGTCTATCCACTTATACGCATTCGTAAATACTGAAGACTCCCAGTTACCCAGAACGTGGCACATCTGTGGAGGTATTGCTATACTTAATATCCAGTCTTCGATCCTGAAGCAAACTATATTGGTTGATCCTCGACCTACACTTTGATATGTGGACCTGACCTTGTCCATGCGCGATATAGAGTCACTTAGAATACTTATGGGTGAGTTTAAAGAAATAAATCGATGGATTTCCTTTCTGACAGCAAGTAGAAACGCAACAAAATAGGACAAGAAAGTAGGAAATGGAATATTCAGAAACAACACGGCATACAAAACGAATCTTCAACGGTATTGTGGATCTTGAACAGGAGCTGGACTCGGGTCCGGATTCCCACACTGGCCAGAGTGCGTAAGATGTCGGAAACTGCCTACAGGCAGACCTCCAGTCGGGTTTCTCCCACGCCTTTCTAGCTCCACCCACAGGGATAAATAGGCTGAGCTAGTTGCTAGAGAATCCAAGCTCAGCGAGCTTCGCTCCAGATAAGATGCTGCTTGGCCCGCATACGTCCCTCGCAAGATAGGTGACTTCATGACCCAGGGAAACAAAGCAGACATCTTCCTGTAGATATCCGCACTAATAGTAGGCTCCCCGGTCGAGTTCAAGGGGCGTCTGATCTGGCCACAGCTTAATAACCCCGTTCTTTGCAGCTGTAACTTGTGCCGTGTCCGTGATAAGCTGATGCTGATGTAGCAGATTGATCTGATCCGTCGTCCAAAATCTACAACCAACTCCGTTTGAATCGAATTCGTATTTGTGGCGTCCATTCTGGATCAGCAAATCGTAAACATGTTTGACCTTCAGACCTGGGGCGGTGTTGAGAAAGAACTGTGCTTGAGCATCGCTGGAGAGAATATAGGACAGCTCAGAGATGATTACATAGGCTTTGGAGCCTCCAGGCAGAATGGTGCTTGGGACAGAGTAACTGGGCTGGCAATCGATTCTGACAGAGCTTTCGTCGGATGTCGCGAGGTAGAGACACCAATGATTTGTGCCGGCCTTTTTGCTGTGCGGCACAGCAATCAGATACTGAACCGGTAACTCCATCAACTGGGCCTGACGGTGTTTTGGTACGAAATTGACGGGCTGAAAGTTTGCCATTCTTTAGATTATGTGTCGGAGAGTCCTGGTACAAGTTAAATTCTGCAATGTATAACACCACAACGACATGGACACATACCTAACACGGTAACAGGTAGAACAAGAAGTTCAAGGAAAGGCGAGGAGAATATATTTCGCGTAAGTTTGTCAAAGGATGGACTTGGAGCAGTAAATGAGTGCCCTTAAATATTGTGTCAGATCCCGCGGCTTCTACAGGGGGCGAGCTGCAAACCTGCTGCTTCCCTATACAAACCGGATAGCAGCTGCAACGGGAAGCTACCTAGATCCACCTGTATAGGATCAAAGAATACGGGAGTAGAACCGTGGAACAGTTTAATTAGATGTTCAGCTCAGGGATAGAGTCAAGGGGCATATAAATAGCTGGTAGATTTCGGTGTCAATTAGTTCTTCAAGCAATCCAGAGATCATTCCATTTTCATACGCTTTCTCAGAATCTTTGCTTCCGTGATCTAGATCTTCACATGCTGTCGTTTTCCAAATTGCCCAAGCGCCTCGCTGGCTGTCGCCATGATGGACTGTTTCAGAACTCGCCGTACACATGATAAATGGAAGCCTGAGAAGCCGAATTGCTATAATTAGAGGTTTAAAGTTGAGGTCAGCGCGTAGAGGGACTAATCATTGACGGAATCGCGATCAATCTTTCATTATATGTGCCGCTCAAGGGAATCCAGGAAGAGAGGGGAGCCAATGGAGGTCAAATGTCCTCGTCGTAAGTCGGATGTTCATACAAACTTATCTCAACCGCCGTCCTAGGTAAAGCCAGCGGGACTCAGAACCCACCCGAGCGCTAACGGGCATACAGCTCAGCGCTAACTTCTACAACCTAGATGCATAGTTAACTAACAATAGCATCAACAATCTTCAACTTTTCCACATTCAGCTTACCTACCCTTTTCTTTTCTTTTCTTTTTTTTTTTTTTGCCCTCTTGAAATAGTACTTCCATACACACCCAGCTTTTTCCCTTCTCAGAAGGATTGGAGATATGGAAGGACTTTTCCGCCCATTCACCGATGTATTGACTCCCTTCTTAATTCCTTCCGGGAGTGAATGTTGCACTAACAATCTCGACAGCCGGCCAGTAGGGCCTCGGACAGGGCATTCCCGCTGGATGACAAGGACATCGACCGCGTATCCGACGAATCCCTCATCAACCTCTTCAAGTCTGCTCCGATCATTTACAAGCTCGGCCAAACGAGGGTGGTGCGATTGTCTAAGGATCTCGTTTTAAAAGGCGGCGGCAATGTGCTGCCTTGTGAGACAAATGTCCTTCAACTAGTCGCATCAAAGTCCAATATTCGAGCTCCTCGTGTCCATCGGTCTATCCATTTCAACGACAATACGAAATATTTTAGCATGATGGGGTATATTGTGATGGATTATATCGACGGTGAACCGCTTGATCGCTGCTGGAGCGACCTCAGTGATGAACAAAAGATGGATGTCGCGAAGCAGACGGCCCAGATGATTATTGAAATGCAATCCATCAAACTATTGGAGCCAGGTCCAATCGGCGGGGGCCCATGTCGCGGTCGCTTCTTCACGCACTACAGTGCCGGGCCTTTCAAGGACGCGGCTGAATTCGAGGGCTGGTTCAACCACAAGTTGGACATCTGTAAACACTACAAGCACGCATCGTCAGACCTTCCGCCCTTCAAGTTCACCGAGTTTGTTCTCACCCACCAGGACATCAGTCCGCGAAACCTGGTTCTGGACCGAAACGGCCTGGTGTGGTTCGTGGACTGGGCAGATGCGGGTGCGTATCCCCCGGCCTTCGAGATGGCAGCTCTACGCTATCAGTCTCAGTTCACCGACTTTAATGACATGGTGCTGTCATTACTCCCGCGATACCCTTTGGAAGAACAGCAATTATGTTCTATTGAATACGGCCTTTTAACAGCTGCATTTGCTTGATTATTTCTGGATGGACAGCATTCAGGCTATAACACTACTTGAGATGCAGCATACGGCCCTAGTATACCTAGGTAGTGTCTATCGAGATCTGTCGTTAGTTGAACTTAGGCGCGAGGGTTGCTGGACAGGAAGTTAAAGCCTAACGCGCTTTAAGTCTCAATTTAATATAATTAGTTTTTATTATTAGTGTTAGATATTTCTTAATTTCAATATATTTATTTTGATTCTATATTAATAGAAATAAGTAGCGCTATATTAATGATTTTATACTCTTTATATAGAGTAAATAGCAGCATTTTGCAGCTCGCCCACGAAGTAGAAGTAGAGATGTCTTGTGAGTACTATAGTACAAGATATGGCTCCAAAGTCTATTGGTACATCATCCTGAGGGCTGCCACAGGCTCATCAACGTGCAACCCGATCCCCGAGAGAAATAGAAGGAAAAAAGGAGCATATACAATAAACAAGTAGATAGAACCCAATATCGCCGTCGCTATGATATAGTTAAAAACACAGTATAAACGATGAAGCGAAAAGTGACGCCGTCGCGTTCAAACATACACTATTTCGACCCGGATGCCTTCTTCTGGTCATCGGAATCCTGCTTACCCTCATCCTTCTTCCGACCTTCAGCGTCCTTCGCGGAATCGGACTTGTGCTGGTGCATCAGTCGGTGCCAGGCAGACTTCAGGAAGCCTTCGTTTTTGTGGGAATCAGATGCGGTCGATGTCTCCGAGCTACTGGCTATGTCAGCAGCTCGATTTCATGGGAGGAAAAAAAAAGCAATAGATGACTGCCTGACTGCCTACCTTTCCTTTCCAATATTCATGATCCGCTTGGCCGACTTGTCTCCCATCTCATCGGCCAGGACTTCGAGGATCGTGCGCTGGTTAGCAGTGAGCGACTTGGGCATCTGGACCTTGAATTCCACCCTCAGATCCCCGTTGGCCTGCAGGCCTCGCCGGCCTCCAAGCTTCCGCATGCCCATACCGGACAAGGTGATCTTGTCGCCAGTACCAGTTCCGGTAGCCACTCGAACCTTGACCTCCCCGTCCAACGTCGGCACAGTCACCTCACCTCCCAGAACGGCAGTGGTAAGAGGAATGGAGGCCGTGTAGAGGATGTCCGACCCTGAGCGGCTAAAGCGGTGATCAGGCGATACGCGGATAAACACATAGAGGTCACCGCGCTGCGTGCGAGCACCTGGAGCTGCAGCGGTGCCTGTAGGAGGCGCATCTCCCTCACCGGCCACTCGCAACCGCATGCCGTCCTCAACTCCTCCAGGGATATCGACATGAACCGTCCGTCGATCTCTCACGACACCGTTACCATGACAGGTTCCACACTCGGAGCCTGGAGGCACAACCTGTCCGTTTCCACCGCAGGCGTCACACGTGCTGGCCACCTGGAATCCTCCCTGCATGAAATGAACCCTGGTTCCCGAGCCATTGCACTGCTTGCATTGGGACCGCTTCGCGCCTTTCTTCAACCCATCCCCATTACAGGTGTTGCATGGCACCAGAGGGGTGATGAAGATATCCTTGCCCGTTCCCTTTGCGGCTTCCATGAAGGAGACATTTGTCTGGACCTCGATATCTTCACCAACCAGAATAGACTCCTGGAAAGGCGACCGTCGCCCTCGAGGGCCCCGTCGAGCACCACCGGTAAATGCGCTGAAGATGTCGTCGAAATTGATGTCGCCAGTGAAGCCTCCACCGAACCCGCCTCCGCCAAACCCGCCTCCGAAGCCATGGAAGCCTCCTGCTCCGGCGAACGGGTTGCCGCCGGCCGCACCACTGGGATCGAATCCTCCATTCTGGTCGAAGGCCGCAGAGCCAAAACGGTCGTACGCTTCTCTCTTCTTGGGATCGGACAGTAACTCGTATGCCGACTGCGCCTCGGCGAATTTCTCCTTCGCGTTCGGTTCCTTGTTGGTGTCTGGGTGGAATTTCTTCGCAGCGCCATAATACGCCCGCTTGATGTCTGCCTGGGACGCATTCTTGTCCACTCCCAGCACCTTGTAGGGATCCGGGGTGGCCAGACGCGGCGAGGAGCTATGGAACGGCTAGATACGAATGTCAGCATTCATCCTTCGACCTCTTTGAAATCTTGCTCAGAGAACGTGCCACCTACCTTGCATGGGTTCAAAAAGACGATCGTCTTGTTACATTGAACGGCACCAGGACGTCTTGCGCTGGAGGACTTGGTGTTGGTGTAAAATGTTCTTGTTTGGGTCCGCCGTTGCACTTCCGTACATTGCTGGGAGCATGTCCGCGACGTCCGCAGCAGACGAGCGGGAATCGCAGCCGCCTTGGGCAGGGCAGCGGGAGATGCACTCATTCTAGACGGGAGTAATTGCACTTCCGATTTGCGTGGAGGTGAACGGTGGAAAGAAAAACAGCCGTGTTAATGTTAATAATAATAGCCTTGTCCGGAGTTGACAGGATATGGCGCCGTCGAAGCAGCCTCATCGACGACCAGCGAATCTTCGAGTCTCTTTTTTCTCCGCCGGGAAGCTGTCGGATCCGGAGAAATATAAACCCGCGATGATTTCAACGCCGACGCTCGGGGATGTTTCGTCGCTTGATTCAGTAAGCAGTCAAGAGGGTTGATCTCGCCTCTCGTGCTCTTCCCTCTCGTGTCTTTTCTCTCTCGTCCTCTTCTCTCTTCCCGCTCTTAATTCCCCCTCTAGATCCGACCGGCTGTCATATCTTTGAGCCGGTGGATATCCGTTAAACCCCCCCATTGTTGCCCTCCCATCTCAATCCTACATACATAGCTCCGTTCGTCATAGGAGCATGCTGCGCGGCCAAGCGGTTCACTGGAGAGCTGCCCTCCAACATGCACCACGACATGCGGCTGTGAGGCCATTCCTCGGGTCTCCCCGCTACCATGCGAACATCAGATCTGCTCTGAGCTCTCCCCGTCTTCTTCCAACCCTCCCGCCCGCATCCCGAACGTTCTCGTCGAGCGCGATCCGGCGGAAAGAGAAGGCCCCGCCCCCAGAGGACAAAGACCAAGACCAAGCAGACGAGAATGAACAGAGTGAGACAAAAGCTGACAGAGATGCGGATCGGACACCGGAATCGCGACGGAAGCAGCCCGAGCTGCCAGAGAAGCAGGGTTCGTCGGCAGAGCTGAGCACACCGATCCCGAGCTCCGCCAAACGGAAGGACAAGTCGACCGGGGAGAAGGATGACTCAGGTCTGGAAGAAGACTCAAAGAAGGATCGTCCAAAGGAGCAACCGAAACCTGAAGAAGGAAAGGCTGAGGAGCTTCCGTCTCCGATCCCGGCCACTGCGGGATCGACAGAGTCCAAACCCAGCAGCGGCGGCAACGAGGATGGCGGGAAGAAAGGGAGGAAAGGATCCTCAGAGAAGGCGCTGCAGAAGCCCTCCATCCCGGATGTCTATCCTCAAGTGATGGCTATCCCGATTGCCAAGCGTCCTCTGTTCCCCGGTTTCTACAAAGCGATTACGATTCGAGACCCTAATGTGGCGACTGCGATTCAGGAAATGATGAAGCGTGGACAACCCTACGTGGGAGCCTTCTTGTTCAAGGAGGAAGATGCGGATGGTGATGTGATCGAGAATCTGGATGACGTGCATAACGTTGGCGTTTTCGCTCAGATCACAGCTGCGTATCCCCTTCGAGGAGAGGCAACTGGTGTCACAGCGGTGCTTTATCCTCACCGCAGGATCAAGATCAAGTCTCTGGAAACCCCCAGCGACCCGTCACGGACGGCTACAACGGAGCCACAGCCTACCCGCGAGGGAACAGAGAAGCGCGGTGATGTGGTCGCCAGCTTCGAAGAAACCGCTGCCGAACAGACTCCCAAGGACATTTATGAACCTACATCTTTCTTGCGGAAGTACGCAGTCAGTCTGGTCAATGTGGAGAATCTATCGGAGGAGCCACATGACAAGAAGAGCCCCATTATCCGCGCCGTGACAAGTGAGATCGTGAACGTCTGCAAGGAGATTGCGACCCTGAACCCGCTGTTTAGGGACCAGATTTCGGCCTTCTACACGGATCAATTCCCTGGAAATCTTAGTGATGAGCCTGCGAAGCTGGCAGATTTCGCTGCCGCAGTCTCTGCGGGTGAGTTGCATGAGATGCAGGAGGTCTTGGAGACCATGAATATCGAGGAGCGTCTTCCAAAGGCACTGGTTGTCCTAAAGAAGGAGCTGATGAATGCCCAACTGCAGTCCAAGATCTCCAAGGATGTCGAAGCCAAGATTCAAAAACGCCAACGCGAGTACTGGCTGATGGAACAGATGAAAGGCATCAAGCGAGAATTGGGCATCGAGTCTGATGGTAAGGATAAACTGGTTGAGAAGTTCAAGGAAAAGGCGCAGAAGCTGGCTATGCCAGAAGTTGTAAAGAAGGTGTTCGAGGAGGAACTGAACAAGCTTGCGCATCTGGAGCCTGCTGCCTCGGAATTTAATGTTACCCGGAACTACTTGGACTGGATCACCCAGATTCCCTGGGGCCAGAAGAGCGTGGAGAACTTCGGGATCAAACACGCAATGTCCGTACTGGACGAAGATCACTATGGTCTGAAGGACGTCAAGGATCGCATCCTTGAGTTCATCGCCGTAGGAAAGCTTCGCGGCACCGTCGAGGGCAAGATTCTCTGTCTCGTTGGCCCTCCCGGTGTCGGAAAGACTAGTATTGGAAAGTCCATCGCCCGTGCGCTGAACAGGCAATATTACCGATTTTCGGTTGGTGGTCTGACAGACGTCGCGGAGATCAAGGGTCATCGACGAACGTACGTCGGTGCTCTTCCTGGTCGCATCATTCAGGCGCTGAAGAAGTGTCAAACCGAGAACCCCCTGATTCTGATCGATGAGGTTGATAAGATTGGACGTGGTCACCAGGGTGATCCATCTTCCGCTCTCCTCGAACTCCTTGACCCCGAACAGAACTCTTCCTTCCTGGATCACTACATGGATGTCCCTGTAGATTTGTCCAAGGTGCTTTTCGTCTGCACAGCCAACGTCACCGATACGATCCCCCGCCCGCTCCTTGACCGAATGGAACTGATCGAGCTCTCCGGCTATGTGGCTGACGAGAAGATGGCGATTGCTGAGAGGTACCTAGCCCCGGCCGCCAAGGAGCTGAGTGGTCTGAAAGATGTGGATGTCAAGCTTCAGGAAGATGCTATCGAGGAGCTGATCAAGTCCTACTGCCGTGAGAGCGGTGTCCGAAACCTGAAGAAACAGATCGAGAAGGTTTACCGAAAGGCCGCTCTTAAGATCATTCAGGACCTTGGTGAGGATGCCATGCCCGAAGAGGCAGCGCTCACGGAAGAAGGCAAGGCCGCTCAGCCAGAATCTGAAAAGAATGAAACAGACCCCGTCCAGCCTCCTGAGGATCCCGAGAAGGCGACAGCCGAGACACCGCGCCTCGCCCTGAAGGTTCCCGAGTCAGTGCATGTTAGCATTGGCAAGGACAGTCTAAAGGATTACGTGGGACCTCCAGTTTTCACCTCCGACCGACTGTACGAAACGTTCCCTCCCGGTGTGACCATGGGTTTGGCCTGGACTAGCATGGGTGGCGCTGCTCTCTACGTCGAATCTATCCTGGAGAACGCGTTGACAGCCAAGTCCCGACCCGGATTCGAGACCACCGGAAACCTTATGAACGTCATGAAGGAATCCACTCAGATCGCTTACTCGTTTGCCAAGTCAGTAATGGCTAACCAGTTCCCTGAGAACCGGTTCTTCGAGAAGGCCAGGGTGCACTTGCATTGCCCGGAAGGTGCCGTTCAGAAAGATGGTATGTATTCATTTTCAGGATCCATGCTTTCCTTATTTTGCTAACAATCAGGCAGGCCCGTCCGCTGGTATCACCATGGCGACGTCTTTGCTTTCTCTGGCGCTTAATCACCCTCTCGACCCGACGATTGCCATGACCGGAGAACTCACCGTTACTGGCAAGGTGTTGCGCATCGGAGGTCTACGCGAAAAGACTGTGGCTGCTCGCCGTGCCGGAGCGAAGACTATCATCTTCCCCGCTGACAACATGTCCGACTGGCTCGAGCTGCCTGAGGTATGTGATTGCCCCGTTCATAATTTGCCTTAATCTGCTAACGCTTTTAATTTATAGAACATCAAGGACGGAATCGAGGGTCACCCTGCAAGCTGGTATTCCGACGTCTTCAACATCGTCTTCAAGGATCTTGACAAACAAGCTGCAAACCACATCTGGAAGGAGCAGCTTTCTGACCGAGGCTCCAAGAAGATTGAAAGTGCGAAGGAGGAAGATGATGACTGAATACGATTCAACTGCTAGCGACTAAACTAATTTCCGGCGATGTTTTTGGTATATACGCTTCTGTCCACTGCGCGGTTTGTTTCTCTGCACGATCGGACTATGTTCTCCATACAGCTCGTTGGGCCTTGGAGGTCATGATTACTTTGTCTCGGTGTTGTGTTGCGTCGTGTACTGCATGGTCTGGGAGTTTGTGTGTACGATGCCCTCTTGCGAGGGTTGGTTGGATTGGGTTGGCTTTTCAGGCCGTGATTCGAGCTTTGATTTCTTTTCCCTTGCATGCCTGCTTCTCGATATAGAGGTTCGGGTTCACATAGAGAGACGTCGCCCTTCACAGGGAGATGGTTGCAAAGAAAAGCAGAAAGGAACTCCACTCCGGGAAATAAATCCCTTCATTACTATGTCTTGTTTACATATATAACTCTTTTACTCTTTTGATCACGGAGTGGATATAGAACACTGCAGAGAGTTTGAGGTAGTTACTGATGATATGTAATGAATTTTGTATGCGGATATAGTCTAAGCCGTCCATCCGTATCCAAATTGGAGTCGTGCACATAGCATTCAGTAGCGCCAATGAAATTCTATCTGAACTTCTGTCATCAGAAAAAAAAATACAATCTTCTATCATCTCATAGCGGACCGATAATTACAAATGATCACGGCTTTCTCAGAACGAGACGTCGATAGCGCCCTATGTTTACATATTAGAACGTCAAGATAGACACAGATAAGACAGAATAGATTTTCCCCATATTATTTGTCCGCGCACAAATGAATGCGCAGGTGATCTGCTATATCATCCGTTTGCAGCTGGTTCTCTAATCATATGGTGATTATAGAGTAGAGCCTACCAGATCGGTCAGATCGAGATTCCTCGTATGCTATAAGAGACATATATGGGATCAATCCATCTCCCCTAGCTGGATTTAGAGTCAAGTAAGTAAGCAAGCAGCAACCTAGCAACGTGGCTAGGCGGTTCCAGTTATCATTGCTTCCATGCCCGTTAGGATTCGATATCATCTAGTCACTGGCTTCGACCTTGTGCGGATATGTTGTATAAATAGCTTCCACTCAGTAGGAAAGGTACGAGAGAGAGACAGTTTTGAACAGAATATATACAGATGGTACTGGTTTGATATCATGTATCGTTATACTGTCCCATAGAAGCCTTTATGATTGCTATTGGACACTTTCATTCATTGTTGAAGAATATCCTTCATATAAAACAGAAGTATGATACACCTTTCTGGAAGTTTTATATCTCTGCGAATAGGAGTTGCCAGAAGGGGATTTTATACACTCTCCCAATCGGAGCACATGGATCTATAGTCAGGAACAGGACAGGGCCTTGAAGAGTCTGGATCGTCTGGGACTTGATAGTGTGTCTCTTTACAGCTCAGAGCTGTTCTCTTTTGGCATCTTGCCTGTCAAATAGTTCTTCTGGGATGGATCCTGTGGCTGGAAGACTGTATTTCATTGCTTGCGAGCTTGCCCAGTGATGCGATTTCTTCTAATATAAGATAAGATATATGCATCTGCAAGGATGTATTGCAGCATCCAGAGCTGCGGTCATATCAACACTTTTATCTAACTATCTATAGAGCATTGATAGCTTCCGCACAACTGGCTGCTCTGATTCGTTTTTTTTTTTTTTTTTTTTTTTTTTTTGTGCTTTACAACCGAGGTAGGCCATATTTGACTACTCTCCATATTCGGATTGCGCAGTGGACATTCTCGGAGTTCATATGACATCTTACCTTCCGATTAGGGTGCCTGGAAAGGCACGATTGACATGGCATAGCATAGCATAGCATACTCTAGCATGAACATGAGCATGGCATGGCATGACATGACATGAACCGGATAGTGCATTGCATCGCACAAACAATCCTATTATCCTGCTGCTTTGCGTCAGCGAGTCGAGTCAAGATGAAGCGACAAAGTGTAGAAGAAAGTTCGGTCATGCCCAACGTGGAGCTTCGTCCCGGTTGAAGGCGGACGGTTCGGGTACCCAACAAGCTAAAAGGGTTCGGATCCATGGAACGGGAAAAGTTAGGGATCGCGATCTACTTTGGTAAAACAACCTAATCATGTTCGCTGCTTCTACTCTATCCGCCGTTTCGAGTTTGTTAGATGCGGCGGTCTGCTGCTGGCTTTGCTGGTTGTTTTGTTTGGGGGTTACCGGAGACGGTTCGGTCAAGTAGATGAATATGACGACAGTGACATGCTGTGTTCGCGTGATGGCTGTGATCACCGCAACAGAGTTCTTGAATCTTGAATTCTTCTCGTAGAGAAGAGGTGCCTTGGATCATCCTCGAGGAGTGAGTTGGTCAATGGACAGCTCTGCTGCGTGGCCGTACGGGTTGTCCCTTGAAGATGGCCATCCATATCCAGACAATACCTACCTCGCTGTTCAGCCGCTACTACTGTAACAGTTAACTACCTACTTGGTGCATTCTGCACGTCTCCAGTCCTGGACGTCGTAAAGGTCGAAACGCATCTCTCCGGCACTTTTATGATTGGCTCCTTGAAGTCCTTCTAGAATCCACCTGTCTGGAGTCAGAGCCATGGCACCACGAGATTGGATGCTTACCACGCTGACAGTTCGCATATGGAAGCATCACTTTGAACTCTGAACCTACAAAATCGGGCGCAGCACTCCCACCTGCACGGGTCTGATGGAGACAATCGAATCAATGCTATCACGGCAGTCAGAGCCTCGCTGTCGGTAAGTCCACGCGCCGATAGAGACGCCGGTGTTCGTGGGAAAAGTCGCTACAAGGAGGAGTGGACGAGTGAGGTCGTCCCATATCGACATCAATCCTGCTTCGTGAATAATCCGATGTCGAGATCTACTACCTTCAACAGGGCAGGTTGGCTGCGTGCCATGTGCATGGTCGGATTGGGACAGATAGCTTAACCGTCATATCGAATTATCAATGCGCGCGATATCCGATCGATAGTAATTAAGGATCCGACCATGTCGAGTCTATTGCGCCGCCGGGCGTGCAAGAGCAAGCGCGCAGAGCAGGCATCACCACGCCTATTCCGTACCGACCCGTGGCATAGACCAACCATTGCGGGTAAGGCTCGAGAGACGATGCTGCAGAAGGTTGCTTAATGGAGAGCCGTAGTCATCCTCTGCTGTTCTGGAGGGCTACCTCTTCCTTTAGGGCCCGCAGCAAGAGGGGAAATGGACCCCAATCGTAATTGGAGCCAGCACATGGGTACGACTAACAGGCTAACGCAGCCGCCAACAGGGAGGAGTCGACGTCCCTTAAATCCCGATGAGCCCAACGCAGCCAGCTTGGGCGAGTCGCAAATCAGCGGAGAGACGATGGTCCTGAGCGGCAACGGTAAGAGATCCGGAGGGGCTGCCAATATTCCTGGGAAATTCGGCCTGGTGGTGGTGGCAGTGGGATCTGAGCAGATCGGAAGGCTGTCGAGGGACTGGTTGGCCGGTAGACAGGAAGAAAACGGACACAGCAGAACAGTAGAGTGATATCAGGAGCTCCGTTAGGGCGATCAACTGAGGACAACACAATTGCCCGTTAATTATATCGTCGTTCCCCCAAGGCGTTGTTGTCCTCCTCTGGTGGTCGAGGGACAAGCCCAGTCTTTCCCATCTATCACCCGGTGAACCAGTCGACCCCGAACCATCGTGGTTCAGCCGCTCCGCGTCGAACGTGAAGAGAGAAGAGAGAGCATAAGAGAAGACGAGCGTCAAGCAGCGGAGGAATCTGGATGCTGGCCATCTTGTCTCTCTCTTCGTCGAATCTTCCGCCGAGTATCGCTGGTCCTTACACTTGTCTGCCTCGAGCAATACCACTGCGTCCGTGGTGTCTCTCTTCGATATCGTTAATCATATAAATAGTCATTGATTGATTGATTGATTGATTGATTCGACTCAACTAGCTTCTTCTGATTATTTATTCTGGTGGTGATCGCCCCCAGGCTGTGCGGGCGGTGAAAGGCCAGAAACTCCTCCGCCTTCTGCCTTAACACGATTTGCTCTTTCGCTCCCCGACATCGCCAGCCTGACCACAGCCTCCTTTTTTTATTCTTTCTGCCTTTCTCACCGTCTCTTCCCAATTTTCCGTCTTCCTCGATTCTCCCCTGCCTCCATGCCGTTTGTATCCTTCTTGACCGTGGTCGCGCAGTCTAACAGCAGATAGCGGCCCCCGCGCCTGTGCTACTTACTTGGGCAGAAAAGGTGACGACGGGACACACCGACTGTGCGGCTGCTGGTGTAGAATATCTATCCCTGACACGGACAGAGAGAAGAAAAAAAAAATCTCATCGCTCCCATGTGCTGCTGACTCAATAGGCAGGCACATAAGCTCTGTCTTGGGCTAGTGACCGCCTTGAACTTCCTATGGACGCATTGCAGCGCGCACAAGTTATTGTCCCAGTCATCATTCCCCGCGCGGCGGACGGACCTGCACTCGTGGAGACTTCAGCCAAATGGCCATATCAATTGCAGACTCCACGAGCAGTCGGTCACAGCCTTTAAGCTTGCCGGACCTAGCCAAGGCCTTGCCCCCCAAGCAGAGCATGTGGCAGCGTTTGGGGTTCGGTTTTGGCCGATGGCTGGGTCGGGACGATAGTAATTCGAATTCGCGCTCCTCGTCTATCGCGCCGCAACCGAGATGCTCCGGCAACCTCTCCCGGAGAATCACCAGGAGGGTAGGCGTGAGTCTCCCCAGAGCTGCGACATTCAAGAGACAGAATTCCGAACGACGGGACCGTTTGGCCCCAGTTGACCCAAGTCCCCGCCGCGCCGTTTCCGCGGACCGTCGCCCGACCCAGAGTGCACAGCGGACGAGTTCTCCACAGCCCACAGTGGCTGCTAGACTGTCCGCCCCGGAGGTCCAGTGCTGCGATGAGGACCATCCCCCGGAACCGGCACTTGATGAGAGTCTCGAACGGGAAGAAGAAGAGGAGGAGGCGGAGGAAGAGGAGGAACTCAGCGAGCTGGTGCCAGAGTCAACGGCCGTTACGGAGGCCACCGAAGTAGCGGAGGGGGGTGTGGACGAGCAATTGGAGCTGGAATTGGAAAAGAGATGGATTCTCAACCTGAGCATGCACTTCCGGGACAAGTCAGAACGAGAGAAGTTTTTCGTCACATACGCAGAAACTCCGAACCGATGGCGGCGAGTCACCGTCTCCTGCGATTACAGAGGAGCTCCGCCAGACTCTCTCGAGCAGGACTTGAAGGAATTGCACTATCAACGCGACAAGAGCGCGCGGATCTACGAGTCGATTCGCGAGTCTCTTCCGGACATCCAATTTTATAATACTGTGACAAATCTGAAGCTGCAGACTAGCGGTGGACGCTTGCACGTTCATGTCACCGAAGATGTCAACGAGATCATACCTTACCCGGCAGTCATTGGTGTCAGACATCTCAATACGCCACTCATTCCAGAAAGTCACCTGATCTTCGATACTCATCTGTCAGGATTCGTCTACAAAGTTCAGCTCGGAAACAAACCATTTATCAAGAAAGAGATACCCGGACCCGATACGGTGGACGAGTTTCTCTACGAGATAAATGCACTGCACGACCTGCAGGGTTCGCAGAGTGTGATACAGCTGGAGGGCATCATCGTGGATGACCAGATGCAGGTTGTGAAAGGTTTATTGATTGGCTTTGCTGAACAGGGCGCTCTCGTAGACATCATCTACGAACGGAGAGGAGATATCGATTGGGCCCGGAGGGAACGCTGGGCAAAGCAGATAGTCCAGGGACTATGCGAGATCCACGAGGCTGGGTACGTGCAGGGAGACTTCACGCTCTCGAACATTGTGGTCGATGGCAACGACAACGCCAAGATCATCGACATCAACCGGAGAGGATGCCCTGTGGGCTGGGAGCCACCAGAGATTGCTACCAAGATTGAGAGTAACCAGAGGATCTCGATGTACATTGGTGTGAAGTCGGACATCTTCCAGTTAGGCATGACACTCTGGGCAATTGCCATGCAGGAAGACGAACCTGAACGGCAGAATCGGCCGCTCACATTGGATGATGATCCCGAAGTCCCGGACTGGTATAAACGGTTGGTTGCAACATGCTTGAGCAAATCACCAAAGGATAGATTATCTGCAAAGGAGCTCCTAAGTTTCTTTCCCCAGGTCTCGCGGGCTCATCGGCCTATCTATCCTGGTAGCCCTGCACCTAGTCGGGCGTTACCGCTGGTGCAGGACCATGCTGAGGGAGAAGCTGTGAACGTTATTGCACCCCTGCGGTCTTTCGATGTAACCAATGGACGCCCCATTAACGATATAGCGTACCTTGACCATTCAGACCTAGTTGCTTCGGAAAGCGATCCTGATCACCAGGATTACCCTCGACCTCCTCAGTTTACATCACGCCGTCCGAGTGGGTCAAACCACTACCTATCGCCTAGTCCGTTCGCCTATCCATATAACTTTCCCATGTCCAAATACCTACCACAAGGCGAATTTGACCCACAAGTCGGCCCTCTCTTTCGCGGCCGTCAGCCTGTGCCGAGTGAACTAAGAATGAGCGATGATCAGAGCCTTCTGCAACAGGAAGCAGATGGGGCCATCCATTCTACGGGCCTCGACGACCAATCTTATGTGCAGCAAACAGAAAGCGTACGGCACTCACACGGCTCAAAGACTGCTAGAGCAACCGTTTCGGGTGTGCCCACAGATATCAACGACGAAGCTGAAATAGACCTGGATGAGACCGTGGATCCGCTATATCGCGATCGAAATTTGATTGAAGGGGAAGGTCTCGAACCGATTCATATGGCCACTCTCCCTGGCGAACTTGCAGGTGTCGGCGCCAACCCAGCCTGTACACTTGGGCACTGTTTCTCGCAAGATGATATCGGAGATGACAAGTGCAGATCGAAACGCACATATTGTAACGAGGATCACCGGGAAAAGCCCCTCGTCAACGACTTCAAGGGAATCCGGCTCTCAGAGGTTAGATGGCCGCGCGAGACCTTCACCCCAACAAATCCATCACTTCTTGACTCGAGGCTGCCGATAAACCCCGCCTTTCGCTGGCCAGGACTCGGGTCGACCTGTCCAGCTTCATCTCTGATCAACTCGAGACTGCCTATCAATCCTGCCTTTACGACAGCGACATGACATGCTTTTGAGTCGATTGTGCACGGTGAAAGTATTAAGCCTGGGGCTACATTGCTTGGTTGATCCTAACAGCCGGTTGACCGACTATATCATGCGATTGTGAAATGAAGAACCTGGCACGAGTCTAATTGCGACTTCGTCTCCATATCCGATTACGACATACCAACGCCGTTTGATACCCATTGATGACTCTTTTCAGCTACATACCGGAAGTACACGATTTTTTGTTATAAATTCATATTCCGGCAACGAATCTGATATTCTGCGACACCATTTGATTAGCCAGACAGGCAGGGAAGGAGTCCGGGTGCTTGATTTAAGGTTCTCTTCTCTACGGGGCTATGCATGGACGGGCGATCCGGTAGCAGTTCCTCTATAGTCCGTACACAACCAGGACTATACACGTCTTTTTACTGTTGGCTCATCTTAATGGCATGCATTATCGAATTGTCTATATTTGCATTTTGCTTTGCCTACGTTTGTTCGCGATGTTAGACAGTTGAGTCGAAACAGGAGAAGCACCACACTGCTCATCTATGGCTCCCGTTAAACTTCGCGAGTGGCTTTTGATACGCGTTCGTATTGTACACGACGTATATCAGCCGTAAAGCTTCTGCTTTCACCCGACCTGTATTAACCTTATAGCCTTGATTATCCGATTTGACCCACCAACCGCCTGCTCTCCGTTTCGATGCTGTCAACAACTGACAAGACACGCCTCCTTCACGAAGACAGTCGCATGCATTGCTTACGAACACCAAAACAAGACCAAAAACAACTCAAGAAAAGCGACGCGCAAGCATAGCCGAATCCAAACGGCAAAACCATTACGATTACGAATTTTGTTTCTGTTCTTCGCCGTTTCTCTTCTTTTCCTTTCTTATCTCTTTGTCTACGTTAAGATATTTTTTGGGACATATTGCCTTGGGTAGTTTTGGGTGCTTTTTCTTTCTCTTCTTCTCTGTTGCTATTTATTTTCTAACCTTTTTCTTTTCTCTCACGATATGAATGATGCATAGTTTGGATATGTTGGTTTTCTGGTCGATTTATATATGTATGATACGATATACCAATGACACATCATGAGATCTAGTACTTTTGTGGGAATCTAAGACCACGGAAGCAAAAGTATTATAATGTCATTTAAGACTCTATCCTATTCCTGAGAATTTCCCAATTGCGACGTGTTCTGGTTTGATCCTATATTGGTGGAATTGGGTGGCTTCACGTTGTTTATTTCATACCCTTTATATAAGGCAGTAGTGGCCTTTTGCAGCTCGCCTCCTTTGAAGCCGTGAGCGCCCACAACTTTCCCGTATCTCTTGTCTCAGTCTGATGGTTGTCTTCAGGTGCAAGATTATATATACCCAAACTCTAGGTTTAGAAACACGAGGTCCCTTCCGAAGTCCGGTCTATCCAGATTCCAGATATATAGATCAAGATGAAGGACGTAGAGATAAAAAATAGCTATTTTATAGCACATAAGTTATTCGTTTTCTGATTTCGATTCCAATAAATTTCCGATTCCCAGTTTAAGAGATATAAGTGGTAATAATAATAATACAGAAATTCAAACGCCTTTCATCCATTCCCTTTGCGGGCGCAATAAATAGCCTTGGCTTTCTGCCCTAAAGTGACAAAAAGCGAATACGAATAAGTTCTCAAGGCGAAGCCGCACGGTCCTTCCTTTTTTTTTGCAGATTGTGCTGATCCTGAATCAAAGATGCCATGCCATGCCGTACCATGCATAGAAACCCGAGTATGTTGAAGAATACAAGATGAGAAGATAGACAAGGTATTTGAACTTTCTCCAGTGAAGAGGGGTATTACAAAAAGGCTAGGGGAGAAAGATCCGTACAACGTGAAAGATATCATCCAGGCGACAAAGGAGGAAAGCAATATATCTTTCCCGTGTAGTACTCGTTGCTTTTGTTTGTCCTGTTATGACTCTGTCTGAGGTTCTGAGGCATGATCCGTATCAGATTTCGTCTCACTTTCTGCCTCAAGTTCAGCTGCAGGATTTTTGTCGTTGTTATCCGCGACTGGAGTTGAGATCTCGGTTTCGGTTTCAGTTTCGCTATTCTCGGCTTTCGATGGTCCCTCTGATTCGGCTTCAGGGTCTGGAAGGTCTATTGTTTCTCGTTCCTCTGGATCAGGTGCTGGTTCTCCAAGTGCGGATGTTTCTGTTTCTGTTTCCTCTCTTGTTGTCGACTTATCGGGGGTAGCATCGGTAGAATCCTCCTGCGCCGGTTTTTCTGCTGGTTCTGGAGCAGACTCTGGACGATTATCTGCAACTGATGGCTCCTTTTCGGTGTCCTCAGCATGTGGCAAATCTTCCGTGTCCTCACTATCCTCCGCGATCGTTGTGACGGCGGAGCCAGTCGACGGGTTGTGCTTGTGACGCCGTGTGGTGGCACCTGTGCTGATCGAGGATGGTTCAAGCTCTGTGTACTGAGGGGGGTCATCACTGTCCTTGCGTAGGATCGTCAACCGGCGCGAGTCATCTCTATCTTCTTTAACCGCCGGTTTAGGGTACGCATCCGGCCCTTCAGCTTCCGGGGGGACAGTATAATTATCTTCCGGGATAAGGTGATATACGTCGCAGACAGTCTTGAAGAAGACATAGAGACCGTCGTGCCCTTCGACTTGCCAAAACACATCCCGGTGCTGGAACCAAGCATGCGCGAAGATACGATACAAACGACGAAAGATGTTCGTCAGGTGTCTCATACTTGCTTGAGGTCCACCAGCGGACTCTGAACCCAACGTTAAGCGGCTTGGAAAGTACTTCGGAGATGTGAGGATGTTAGTTGCCCAATCGAGTGTGTGGCAGCAGTAGTCGATGGCGCAGCAGGACTTGGGCGGATCATGGACGGCGCAGAGGTACTGCCACTCAGAGGCGCGCATCTCAGCACACGTCTGAGATGAACACGGAGGGTCTTCGGCGAAGAATGCGATAATGAGGTTATTCACTTTCATGGTAAGGAAGCGGCATAGTTCGTAGAGCCAGAGGGATCGCTCAACGCCCTCTGGTGGTTCAGCGAGATACATAGCGACGTCGCGGGTTATCGGAACAACCGTTCGTGAGCTATCCGGTTTGGTACAACTGTGATAGAGCGCCTTCAAGTGCTCCTGCAACTGGAACGGTGAATCGAGCTGATGTGATACGTCCGGAGTTAGCGTTATCGTTTCAATCTGTATGTCGTGGCCAAAACAAACCTGCGATAACGGGATCAATGGCGGTCCTGATGCCATATCAGCAGCCTTTGTACCCGGACGAATCCTCCGCATCGACGCATCATCTGCCTGTTGCGTAGCACCCAGCAGTTTCTCCCCAGCATTGCCGAATGGCTCTCCAACCGTAGGAGACTTGGGGCCGATCTGGACCTCCGTGAACGGCGGAGGACTGGGGAGTCGGGGAGAGCTCGAAGGAGAGACTCCCGCAGCAGCCATGACGGAGACAGCCACGGCCTTGAGATCGGGGAAAAGAGCGCGGTGATCGCGAGGAAAGTCGACGTCGAAGTCGAGATCGGGACCGTCCACGTCGAAGTCATCATCCTCCGGCGCGTCGTAGAGACCCCAGTCCGCCATAGCCCTAAGCCCTAACACGCCGCCGCTTGGGGCAAACGTCATATACAGTAGTAAGCCGGCTCCAAGAGGATAAGTAAAAGGAACACTCCGACTAGCAACTGTCTGCATTCACTGAAGTCCTAGTTTTCTTGTAAACAGAACGTGTCAGGATGGATCCAGTCATCGAGGATGATGACAGCCCACCAGAACTGGTCGACGTCGCTGCTCTTCCTGACTCGGGAAAGCCCGACTCGCAGTCGACTTTGGACGAGCATCCAGGGTTCAATCGCGTTCCGATTACGCTGGTCACTGGTATGAGACAGAACCCCGCAGCTGTTGGCACTATATGAACACTTATGGCCGTCATCATGTGCGGCTGTCGAATGAATTCACTGACCATGACTGCGTAGGCTACTTGGGCGCGGGCAAGACAACTCTGCTGAACTATATCTTGAAAGAGAAGCATGGCAAGAAGATTGCCGTCATTATGAATGGTGCGTTTTCCTTCTTTTAAAACAAGGTCCTGGCATCATTAACTTATGTTATTTAGAATTTGGAGACTGTATGTCGTTCCCGCATCGCATATTGTAATCCATGATAGACATTCGGCTTCTCGGCTCTTGGGCCTTTTATTACACTTGCGCTAACCGGGCTACTTGGACCTCCAGCAAGCGACATAGAGAAGCCATTAACAGTTAATGAAGGTGGTAAGGAAGTCACTGAATGGTTGGATGTGGGAAACGGCTGTATTTGTTGCTCAGTCAAGTAGATGATCCCACCTCCATTCCCTTGCCTGTTGAGGGTCATGACTTTTTGTCCTCTGAGGGTTTCACCTCGGGCTAACGTTTCAACAGAGACTCCGGTGTTATGGCAATAGAATCGCTGATGGAACGGCGCGGCACATTTGACTACATCCTGCTCGAGACCACAGGACTAGCTGATCCAGGCAATATTGCTCCGCTGTTCTGGGTAGACGATAACCTTGGTAGTTCTATATACCTAGACGGTATTGTGACCCTAGTCGATTCCAAGAACATATTACGTCTTCTCGACGCTCCAGCTCCGGAAGAGATGGTATCAGCCCATGAGCCAAACGATACTCATGCTCACAGCGGGCCTGTTCTTAGCATGGCCCATCTGCAGATCTCACATGCGGATGTGATCGTTTTGAACAAAGCAGATCTTGTAACCCCAGATGAGCTTGAAAGGGTCCGGGATCGAATTACTGCCATCAACAGTGCTGCTAAGATTCACGTTACCGACCACAGCAGAACGCCGCAGATTGAGGGGGTGGTACTGGATCTGCATGCGTACGATAATCTGGCAAATGTCGACTTCGAATTTGGCCAGAAGGGCCATGGACATATTGATCCCGTAAGTCACCATGGTCTATGTATAGCCGTTCAATGACTACTAATGCGGTAATATACAGGCTATCTCCACGATGTCCATCACTACATCGCCGATCCCACCTTCTAAAGTCCCCGTCGTAGACGCCTGGCTTCGATCGGTCCTATGGGACAATGTCCTTCCATCTCCGGAACAGTCCACGGGATCCGCTCCTCATTCCAATGACTTCGAGATCCATCGTCTCAAGGGAATTCTTGCTTTGGACAACGGATCATTCCAGATCATCCAAGCGGTGAGAGAGGTCTTTGAAATCCGAGACGCGGATGTGAAGAAAGAGACTCCCGCTCAATGCAAGATTGTATTGATTGGAACAGGTCTTGGAACTAGTGCAGAGCCCTGGCAGAGAAGCTTCGAGAGCTTCCTTGAGAAAGATGGTAGATGAAGACATAAGTCATATCTAACAGCGTTGTGGGTGAGGTGTTTCCATGGGGACAAGGTGTGGATTAGGACTTCGAGCTTGCCTAGGTTAAACAGTGAGTATTATATTCACAGGAAGAACGAAAAAGGAGTCAGCCAATGGTGTCTTGCGTGAGGTTATCTACCTATCCATGATATATGAAGTTCTACACGACTAAAGGGACTCTATTTTCTCAATAACTTTGGATACCGCTGAAGATTATATGTGATTTATGTACAGTAAGTGACATTTTATACAGAAATGCAAAGTAAAGGATGCTCCTATGCTCGCTTCCTACGCATACCGAGTCCTCGCCGCTAGGGGAGAGCTCTGCATGTCCAGCTCCCCGTAGCTCAGATCAGATGCATCATCTGGATGATCTGCAAGAGTATCATCAATGGGTTGCACGTGCACCATGGGCGAGAAGATTGGGCTGGTAGCGATCCGTGGCCGGGACTTGAAGACACTGGAGTATTCGGCGTCTTCATCGAACAGTTCATCGCGAGGAGTGGAAGCTCGCGAGATTTCCGGCGGTGGAGAACGAGACTTCTTACGGCGCGTTTCAAATTGATTTACTGGATAAGAAGGACGAGGTCGACGAGCAGGTTCCGCCTGAGGTCTGGTATTAGGTGGCGGAAGAAGTGACATCGACTTTCGTGTTCGTTCGACAAGAGTTGTAATGTTCGAATGGTTTTCTGCGATGGGTTTCATGTCGGACACTGGGTAAGATTCCGGCTCTGGCTCTGGGGTACCTGCTCCTGAATTGTCTTCGACATTTGTATCGGTAGATATGTGCTTTGCAGCTGAAGGCTCCTTGTCGATCGGAGCTGCATCGTTGATACCCTCTACGGGCCCTGCTGAACCGCGTTCACGTTCAGTTGATGTGATTGAAATACGGGGAGACGGAAGTGGGATATTGTTTCCAAGAGAGATCGGAGATAGCATTGTGGAAGCGCTGTCGCTATAATCCTCCTCCGGTGTGGGTATGCGCTTTGGCACAGGGCGATTGGGTAGATCTACGCGTCCCTTCAGCTTCGCTAGGGAGTCATTGAGCGATGAGAGCAAGGAGTGACAGGCCGTGCCCGGAGTTGTCGAGCCCGATGGCTGTCGCATGGCCTTTGAGATACTCGCAATAGTCAACGCTTGATGTTCCCTGAATACTAAGGGCGATTCTTTAGAACAATCATTGCTTGCGATGCGCACTTGATCCTCGGGCGTCTGGATAGAATCTCGATATTCACGCCACTTTCTCAGTCGAGCTTGCTGTCGCGATAGTCGGGATTCAAGATCAGCCAGAAGATCCCCAGCTGGGACATGGATCTGATTGTCTGCTGTCCCTCTGTTGGCCAGCGCCCACGCCTCGGAGAAGGGGAGCTCTAGAAATCTGTCAGTGCTACTCTGCGAACCACCATCTAATAGTGCGTCTGCCCATTCTTCGTTAGCCAGCCAGTTCTCCCTGAGTTCCCTGGCCAGATCTGCGTAATTTGCGCCTTGTTTCCGCCGGGGCTTCGGCTTCTCCCCGGACCGCTGCACCAGTTCATCCCGTTTTGCTTTTAGCAGATTGGTAAACCTCTCATAATTAGTCTGCAGCCGGGTCTGGCTCTCTGACATAGTACTCAAGGACCACTGATGAGCAAGAATTAAGGGAACCATCGTTTGATAATCATCTGGCACGATTGCTTTTGCCGTAGCCAGTCTCATGACGGGGTTCGCAATCAGGTCTGCTCTCGCAGCGAGGACTTTGCGAAGGACTGCGGTAGAGAATACGGCGAGAATTTCCTCGAACTTCTCACCCTTGCAATCGTCCAACATAGTCTTTCGTAAGATGGCCTCCCTCCCAAGATCGCCATTTTTCTTCACGTCTGATAGGGCGCGAAACAGCGCCGCTCTCAGATTCAAAGACTGCAGTGGCTCCAGAGGCGGAAAGAAAGGTCGGAGTTTCTGACAAGCATCAGTATGGGAGGTCCAGTTAACAGTCTGTGCATAGTCTTACGCTGTGTGTCTCCTTAGGGTTCCATATGGCGAAAAGATGATATAGACCCCATTCGACTCCTCGGATTCGCTGTCGCTGGTTCTGCTGCGATGGCGACAGCGAGCGTACGCTGATGTCGGGCCAGTCGGGCAACTGATCCAACTGAAGTAGCTTGAGATTGCGGACAAAAACAGCCAAGTTGGAGGGCGTTGGCCAGTCGATCCCTCTAGCCTTGCCTGGTGGACGAGACGACTGCATGACGGCACTGGTCTCTGATGCTCAATGGCACCGGCGATAGAGCATGTTGCGATTAATATTGGGTTGTCTCCTGGCGACGATGTCTCTGTTGATCGACACTGACGATAAGTAACGTGTTTGCAGTGTTTGGCGCGCCTATCAGAAGGCAAAACAACAGAGAGACAAAGAGACTCCTCCATTTATTATCTTCCCGGGCCCTCCCTTCCTTTCGTTCTGTTCTCTCTTCTCTTCTCTTCGCTTCTCTCTTGTGCTTATTTCTTCTTGTCGAGAGCGGCAAGTCGACAGCTCCGGCGTTTTATCTCTGCTCAATTCCAATCAGCAACCCAAAAAGATGGGTTCGCAAACGCCCCTCAATCCGGTGTGGACAACGCAGTCGGGTAAAAACCCTTCTCAGGTCATGAAATATCTACACCGCATATACTGATCTATTCACAGTCCTGTCGACCTTGCCGCATCCTCCCGAAGAGAATTCGACTTCTCCCGTGCCATTTTTCCACTTGCTCGAACGCCTGAAGACGACCAAACGTGAGGGATGGCGCCGCTTCGGAATCAGCCACGGCGAGTCTATCTCTGACCATATGTATCGCATGTCTATCATGACTCTGCTTGCTCCGCCGTCTCTCTCCGCTCGGTTGAACGTCCCTCATTGCACCAAGATGGCTCTTGTCCACGATATGGCCGAGTCGCTGGTGGGCGACATCACTCCCGTCGATACCGACGTGCCCAAGGCCGAGAAGGCACGGCGCGAGGCTGTCGTCATGGACTACATTGCCGATAATCTACTTGGTGGTGTCCCTGGCGGTGGGCTTTCTGGGGGAGAGATTCGTAAAGTTTTCCAGGAGTACGAGGACAACAAGACGCTGGAAGCCCAGTTTGTCCATGACGTCGACAAGATGGAGCTATTGCTGCAGATGGTCGAATACGAGAGGGCCCACGAGATCGATTTGTCCGAGTTCTGCCATGTGGCGGCGCGTATCCAGCTTCCGGAAGTGAAAGAATGGGCCGCTACTGTTCTTAAGGAACGTGAAGCCCTGTGGCAGAAGAAGGCCGCAGCGACTAATGCTGTGAGCGCATGATTCTTTGGCACCCAAAGTGGCGAGGCCAGGCCACTATGTATCGATGATACGATTACGATTTGACGGATAGACATGGGTTGTTATGAACGACTCGCTCAGGAGAAGGACATGGCACAGTGGCGTTCGAATTGTCGGTTCCTTTTTGATAGCATGTGTGGACCGCTCTCTGGGAGCCAGTACGAGGTTTGAGATTCGTGTCCAAGATTGATGTGTATAACATATGGAATGTAATAGACATAACATTAATTCACTTTTCGTGTTTCCAGTCAGTTGCTTAAATTGAATAGCCGGAGACCTGAAACACCGTCCGTTTTCTAGTAGCGTATACTTCTATCCTCTATATTTATCTGGTTTATATAGCTTTGTCTTTAATCCAGCGGCTCCTTCTCCATCTCTTTGGCCAACATCGCCGCCTCGGCCTCCATCTCCTCCATGCTGCGTGGTTTCCTAGCATCGTTATCCACCGCTGGAAACCCAGTTCTCCTTCCTTGCTCGCCCTCTTGGCGCGCCATCTCCTCCATCATTTGCCATTGAAATCGGCCGATATCCCCTTCCTCCCCATTCATCAGCTGATACACTGCGTCTGTGCCCCCTTTATGATCCAAATCCGATCGTCGTCGCGGGATGATATGCGTGTGGACGTGAGGCACACTTTGCCCGGCATCCACGCCGTCCTGAATGGCAATATTTAAACTCGACGCCGAGTAGACACGTTCGACCATACGTCCGACACGGCGGACGGTCAAGAAGAGATCCGTCGCTTCATCCGGAGTGAGATCAGCGACGCGGGGAACACGACGACGCGGGGAGACGAGCACATGGCCGGGGAGGATAGGTTTGAGGTTCACAAGGGCGTAGGTGAGGGGCGTGAGGTAGAAGACCTATTCCCGTCAGTCATTTTCTTTGTTGCTGCTGTAAGTATCGTAGATGCGGTGATTGTTTGCCGAAGACAGCGGCGGCCTGCAAGCGTGCGGTGCCCTTAAGTACCTACTTACCTGCGATGTGACCACGAAAGGACCGAAATAGATAGGTCCAGCAGCTTTTGCTGCAAGCGCCATATTCTACAGATCGGTGCGCTTGTACCTCGATCAATTGCCCTCTATGATAGTCTGGGTTGGCCCTGGAGCAGACATGGGAGATGCAACTGCGAAGGCGGAGAGCGGAGAGTGGGGACCGGCCCTATGACGCAGGAAGTGGAATGAGATCTTCAGGAACCAGACTCAGTACGCATAGACGGCCATGATATCGTATATATAGTATGGAAACCAATATATAGAGGGTTTAAAGGGTAATCTGAAGCTGCTCTCCATCATGGAGGGATAGCCGTTGTGGTCTTTCTAGACTGTAGAGTGCTCGAGGGCCCAGTTGCGGAAATATATAACTCTTCATCGATTCGTTCTGTACAACACCTATGATAATGATATTGCCGTTACCACATGCTGCTCTAGACTCGTGTCCAGGGGTATAGCAGATAGATTGTCGTAAACATGAAATGGTTTTCGCAGAATTCAAATACTTGTCTTTAGACTTAGTTGCTACTGGACTTTTCTTGTACGCTCATCCTTGGGGGGACAATATTCAACAAATGAATCTAGTGTACAAAGATACATAACAACGCAGGCTGCGTGACGGGTCAAAACTGTAGTAATACAATAGGGACAATAACGGTACTGCAAGGGGTATCATCTGCCTCCGCGTCTGCGCCGGACTGGAGCGCGACGAACCTCGGTATATTCGGGTTCACTATCGTCGTCATTATCATCAGATGAAAGGGAATCCACGTCGGAGCTACTGAGGTCCATTCCATCTTCTTTATCCTCGCCTTCATATCTAGGTGCACCACCGTCACCCAGAGAGCGAGTATGTGCTGGGTGATGATGCTCCACAATCAACCCCCCATCATCACTATCATCTTGTCCTGGCAGGAGGAAGCCACCGCCATGGTCAATCGGATCGGGCGTCGGCTCATGTTCTTCTGGGACACGTTGCGTCTGTCGCCGATTCGTGAAAGGATTATGCGAATCCGCTTCCGTTGCATTGGGATCTTGACCATACTCTTCACGTACTCGCTCTGCGATGCGCAGCCCCATGAGGAACTTCCGCCAGGTTTGGAGGATACGTTTTTCTTGCTTCAGCTGCTCCTTTTTTCGCCGCTCCGCTTCATCTGCGCGCCAGGCATCCTTCACAAGCTCTTCGTTCTCCGCAGCAACAACCACACCCTCGATTATGGGGACTGCCATCTTGCTACCAAACTCAAAGCCTGTTACGGCTTCCGCGTAGTCGATCCCGAGTTTCTTGCAAATACGGACCGTACCACGCCAGGGAATGTGTGATGCGCCCTGTGGTACCATGCTAGGCACGAAGCAGTCGATGTTGCCGTAAGCGTTCTTCGGAATAACTCCATTCTGGATGGGCGGCGGGATAATGTATTCAGTTTGATATTGGGCGTAGAGACCTTGTTTCGGTTTCTCACCAGTCTCCCTCTCGAATTCATCGACTTCCCGTTTGCGCATCAATGTCACAGCGCGGATTGGAACCAGTTTGAGAGGCTTCTCACCCATTTTGATTTGGCGACCCTCCTTGTGCCAGCTTTCCGATGACTGACATTTGACGACATCCTGTCGGCGAAAGACCTTCTCCTCCTTAGCCTTGTTACCTTTACCGCTAGTGAAGGTGCGGACATGTTTCGCTCCAGGACGTATGGCCTCCTCTCGACGCAGGAACCGTTCTAGGACAAATTCTGTAGAAGCACGTAGGCTCTGTAGAGTATCACCTTCCTTGACCGGCTTCTTGTCCGGTTGATGCGGAAGCAAGTCCTTCGCGTCTTCAACATCATCAACAGCAGCCCTCTTATTCTCTGGACGCATATATCCCCTCATTGTCACCCTAAACCAGTCATATTCGAAGTATTGGCCTTTACGGCCCGGTTTGGGAATCTTCTCAACCGGTAGCCGGTATCCCTTAGTCTTACCAGGCCACGTGCGGCGACGTAGGTAGCGCGTCGTGACGTCCTTAGCCGTTCCATCATTGGAATATGCGACGACATAAGCGATGACCTGTTTTGCTCGTTCAGCTTTGGCACCCCGCGGTTCAAATGAGGCTACAAGCTCCGGAGTAGTCGCAACAGCATTAGACAAGACTAGAGGATCGACCGGAATAACCTCATGTGTGACCGGCGATACGGCCTCGGTCCAGTACGTGGGAAACGGCAGATCGTGGTCGTAACCTTTGGAGGTGGAAGTGGTTTCATCACTCGTTTCAGAATCAGATTCTTCCGTTTTCCCTTCTTCTTCCTCTTCCTCTGAATTAGGTTGCGCCTTATTTGGTGGAGTGTATGTCTCTGCTTTGGTCCATCCGAATCCCAATGGTTGTAGACTGGAAACCAGGCGGGCTTCGATACCAAGTGCACGTAACAAAGAAGTGAATAGCTGTGCTCCAACGTCTCTTGAACCTTGCATACGGTCTGCCACGGCGCGAAATTCTTCTCGATTCCTAATGCGCTCGCCATGCTTGAGCGGATCATGGTCATCATTCTGGAATGATTTGATCTCCGCCTCAAGAACGGACAACGGCATGTAGCCGCGTTTGCGTAACCCCGGCGCCGTGACTTTGAATTGCTTCTTCCAGTACGCCGCTAGAATTCGAAGTAACGAAATCAAAGGATCTCCGCGACTCATATCAGGCTGACCTGGTTCGACACGCGACGAATCCTCACCCCAGTCACGGCTTGCTTCCTTGTTCTTGCCCTTCCTGCCCTTCTTCTTGTTCTTCTCTGGCGGTTTCTCCTCTGGCATCTCCAGCCCCGAGGAGATGCGCCATTTCTTCACCTCCTTTTTAATCGCTTCCGGGAGCTTGGCGCGCAGAATATCGTGGACCTTTGCGTCGCTTATCCAAGCGTTACGGATAGCATTGTGAAAGAGCAAGCACTGGACGTGCATGCAATGGGTCTGCATGCGGATGAAACGTTCGATCTTCGTAGGGCCCTTCTTTCCCTCCAATAGGTCCGTCAGGTGTATTTCATCTTTATCCAGTGTCAATTCAAGGTCTCCCGTCTCAACCGCAGGTGTAGCGGGCGTAGTATTGGATGCAGACGGCCCTGCAGTGTCCATAGCATCCTCCCAGTCGACAGCATCATCAGAGCTTTCAGCATCGGAGCCATCACTTGGCTCCTTAGATAGTTCATTTTCCGATGGAGGGGCATCGCTGAGCGATGAGTCTGAGTCCTCACTGTCGGAGATCTCTATGGAGGCGTGGACGGTATGTACGCCCGACTGCGCCGGACGTTTTGCGTTGGGCGGATCATCGACGGAAAGAGACCGTTTACGGGGAACGAAAGGCGGCATAAGAAAGATTTTGATATATGATCGAGGTGTGGCGGGGAGACCGAGACGAGTGAAGAGAGAAAAAGGTGAACTTGTCTGGGGTCGCGCTCTTATCTAATCGGGAGCGGACCGAATGCGGAAATAATTAGATATGGCATCTACACGAGGAAGAGTCCAGCAATATTAATACATCACGCTGGGTAACTACATCTACATACTACTTCTTCTAGCCATTACGAGGGCTGTCCCCCATTCTACAATGACCTCCTCCCGTCGCCAATCCGCTGATCGTCTCCACGACTCATCTGCCGCGACCATCTTCTCCGCGCACTCGTCTATCACATCCCCCGCGCCGCCGTCACCCTTGGCTTTCCGCTCGGGATGCGCCTGTTGCCATCCGTGAAATGCACTATAAGTGCGTATATAGCCCAATACCTGCTCCAGAGCTAGTGTTTTTGTCATCAGCATCGTGCCCTTCCCCGTCCCAGGCGCTGATAGCCCTGGTTCGTATTCAACGCGTTGAATGTCTGTCCAGTCCTCATCCGGGGGTTGCATGGCGTGCAGATTGTCCTGAATAATAGCGCGGCCATACGACCAGTAGGGCCCCAGCAGATCCGGATGATCCCCATAGGAGTAATGGTGGAGGATGGCAGTCGCTTCAGGATGGCCTGGGAAGACCGGGTCCTTGTAGCCCCAGAACGCGATACTCCCTCCTGGACGTACGACGCGCCGCAGTTCCTCGAAGAGAGGTGGATAGTTGAACCAGTGTGCAGCCTGACCTGCTACGACGAGGTCAACGCTTCCATCTTCGAGGAACGGTAGTGACTCGGCGGATGCCTGACGGTACTCGATGTTGGTCGATACCGGTGTTTTCTGGCGTGCTTGCTCGATCATCCCGGCGGATTGGTCAACGCCATAGACCTTGGTGAACGCGCCGCACAAGCTGCGGGCAACAAGACCATGCCCGGTGCCAAGGTCGACCAGGACATCGTGACCACCGCTGTGGTAGGATAATACTCTTTCGTAGAGCGAATCGGGATATGTAGGCCGGAAGGTGGCATATGCGGCGTGACCGAACGTCTGCTGGCTGAAGAACGTTACTAACGATACAGTGACTTTGTTGTAGGCCTTGTGAAGATTAGTCGTACCTGAACGTGGTCATTGTGCGGGGAATAGTTAGCGGGATGTAGAGTCTGACCTCGTCACAGATGCCGGGAATTGCTGTAGATGTATGGACGGGTTGACCCGACATGATACTAAGAAGCTTAATAATATACACTCTGGGTAGTTAACCAGTAGTTATTCTCAATTTGGTGGAAAATGGTCCAGTGTATTAGACCAATGATACGATATTGTGATACATAGGGCAGCTCCAACGTAGGAATCATCATAGGATAAGGATATTCAAATACATCATAAGAAAAATGGCACTCATTTGATTCGTTCGTGGTCGGTCATAACAATAGGGCATTATTAAAAACAGGATGTAGGATTTCCAACCGGTCGTTCCATCGCGCATCCAAGACAGAGCGAAGTCAGAGACGGCAAACACGGCGTCAAAGGGGAGAAAAGAACATATCACGTATAGGGTATCAAAAGAGAGAGACCGAGTGCTTCGAAATGGCAAAGCAGACAATGGATATTGTCCTCGTCAATTATCATCCAAATCGAGATCATCTTCGATCTCGATGCGTGTCCCCAGCGCCTCCTTACCCTCCTTGATCATTGCCTTCAACTGCTTGTTTAGACGTCGGATGCTGGCATCTTCCTCTAGCTCTTGCCGCCGTACCTTGGCCGCGTAGCGTTGCGCATCGAGGGCGGCTGGACTGCCTCGTGGCTTCGTGGGAGTCTTCGTTGGGGTGCTGTGAGAGGTGCTTGGTCTGCCAGGAGACAGGATCTGCCTCTTGTTAAAGCGTGGCATCACGGCGGGTCGTCGCAATGTTGCGTTTTTGCGAGGCACTTTGCGCGCTGAATGAATTGGGCTGGTCTCGCGCGACATGGGCTCCTCAGGGACGAGCACCCAATTTCCTGGCACGATGTCAGGATCTGGGTTATGCTCCTGGACCCGATCATCAGGGAATTGCCCCGGAAGGGGCGTCTCAACCCGCGTTTCGCTTGCGAAAACGTCGTCTGGGTGGGACACCGTCTGCCAGGTGCTCTGTTCGGGCTCGGGGGTAGTCGTGACCGTCATTTTGTATCCCTGGCCCCCTCCAGCGTAGAATCCTCGAAAAGCGCCTGACCAGCAGAAATCCCACACCTTCCCAGCAACACCTCCAACCATACTGAAGACTGCTCGTCCCCAGCCGGTAGAAGAAGCCTTGGGGCTTGCAGAAGGGGACGACGAGCGCTCGCGTTTTCGATTCGTGCCATCAGCACTCGGCAAGGACGCGACGTTCCCATCAGGAGACAGAGTATGGTCTCGATATCGATTTGGGCGGTAGTCCAGCTCCGCTGCGGTCTCATGTTTCTCGAATATTGTTTCCTTCGGTTCTCCGCCCCCAGCTAGATAGTAATCGGTGCTGACCAGCGGCGCCGGGCTCACCAGCTCGGACTGCGAGTCCCATAGTGATCGCGATTCGCGTGAGACTTGCGTCTCGACATAGGAGCATCGCTGACGTTTTCGACTGTTGGAGATGGAACGATACAGCGATGAAGAAGCGGATGGCGAGATTGGTGTCTGGAAAAGCTGGGAATGCGCGCCGGCAAGGTCGAGCTTGGGACCGACAGGCGTATCAACGAAGAAAGATCCGGGAATATCGGGCATGGTTGAGCTGCTCCTCATCGTCTTGGTGCTCGACAGTCCCGGAATATAGTGTTGAAGGCGCAGTGTGATGAAGATCTGGGGAAGTCGAGAGGCGGAAACGAGGCTTAGTTGATTCGGTGACGAAATTTTGGGGGCTGCCAGAGCAACCATCACATAGATAGTTAGATAGTACCAAGGAAGTTACCGCTGCTTTACGTAGATACGGAGGACATGTGAATAATTAATAACTGGTAATGGCCTACGAGGCTACACGACGTGTCGTCGCCTGAGCCGTAGTGGCCGACATTGATTTCTCTACCTGGAGCGGTTGTTTCGCCATCTAGATAGTCCTGTTGTGTTTTGTCTATCTCACAGCTTCTGACTGGCCCAGTTCACGCCCGCCTCCTCCAGGCCGTCTTCTCCGTCGACAAGCACACACCAGCCTTCGTAGCCTCGTCCTCCATCGCCAGCGATGACCGTCTCAAAGTGCTTGTGAGCGTATGCCAGCACAGCATCGTCGAATGTTCCCGGTTGCAACCAGACAGCTGGCACCCCGACCGCCTGAGCCTCCTCCAGCACCTTCAGCGTCACGGCCGGAGGAGTGACGACGGACAGCGACGTCTGCGATGGCGACGGCAGATCTCGCGGTGAAGCAACTGTGCTGTACGTCTTGGAGGGCAACGCGATCTCGGATGCGCGCGGGTTGATGGGCGTCACAGGCAGCGAGTGTTGATGATACCACGCCAGGACTAAAATCAGACACATCAGTCAGTACTTTGCTCATTATATTGCGATCACTGGTCAAGCGGCAGACGAACGTCGATAACCGAACTTGCTCGCATCATTGCTGGCGCCAGCGACTGCGAACCGCGGCGAGGAGAAGAATCGTTTGGCTGCGGACATGGCTGCTCTTCTTCTGGTAGACTAGATATCAATGGTATGTATGTACGTCTGTAGAATGGCGACGCGCGATCTCCCGTGTTTCTACCGGAGATCCTCTATTATATCATCTGCAGGTGGACTTTGCCTAGGTATTCTAATATTGATTAATTAACGACTGATCATTTTCCCGGCCCGTCGGAAGATCCAACGTTTCTCCCCACTCAATAATCCCTTCTCTTTCTTTCCGTACTTGAAGTATGGACCAACCAGTTTGCTATCCCAAGGATGGAACTTTATGGCATCTATCACGTAATTCACCGTCGATATGGCATATGGTAGTAGTTGGTACTTGTTGTTCCTTCTATGGCACCATCATACTCCCGTGTAAGCCAAGATTCCGCTCGCCCTAACTCAGAGTATTCCGTTTCTCTCGATCCTGTCGGCCGGAAACATTAAATGACGACTAAGCTTCTGTTAGATGGTGTTTTTCGACGTCTATCTTGATAGGGAGATCTTATCGATCTAGTCTACTGTCCAGTGGTCAAGTGAGGGGTCACCACGCGCCATTTACAGGGTAACTAGGTACCTAATGTATCGAAACGTTGTTACTGCTGTGATCCCTCTTCATGCATATACCTCATGTTTCAGTTTCAGAGCTCATTTAGCAACTCATAGAATTATCCCTTCTGGTTGAGCGGGTGCGCTCATATGATATACTAGTCAAGGTTAGGTCTATATTCTGTGTGGTATGGTGAATTTGCGCATTCCAATCAAGTCTAGGGGCCAATTGCACCACGCCCTTGCAGCAACACTATCGAGATAAGACCGATTATGTGGGTATGATGACTCTCCTAGAGCACATTCAGAATGATATTCGGATCATCATCTGAAATTCTTCGGGTGGCTCGCGGTACTCTCAGCCCAGCCTTCTCAACCAACCCCTTCAGAGAACCTGCCGACTTGAGAAGATAAAGGAGACGACGCCTGGGATCCCTGGAAAATAATGTTGCTATACACCCTCTGTCTATTGTCCTATAGAGCATAGCTCGTGAACGCTTTCCGCAAGACCGTTATTATCCTGCCGATTGGGCATCTCTTTTATCCACGTCTCGTTTTTACTAGCCGTTGATATCTACAAGATGTTGTTTTCAGGAACATGGCTCGCATGGACCTCCATGCTGGTGCTCTCCACAGTTGTCAATAGCTCTCCGATCCCTCCTACAGTAAGCTTCACTTCTGAACCCTCCTCTTTAATGAGGCTTTGAACAACCCCAAGCTCTAATACTGGTACACCATGAAACCTGGCTGACACTGACCTCAGGATGCCCCGAGTCCCATCCACCCGAACATCGACAACACCCCACGTATCGGTATCCCCGAGTCAAGCATGCACCATTCACCCCAGGAAGTGCGTCGTGACCCTCAATTGCAGGGTTCTGACCTCTTGAGCGCGCTCTTAAAGGGTGGTGCCCTGGACAAGGCACTTCAGTCGGCAACCCAGGTCTAAGCTGAGAAAGAAAATTCAGCGGGAGAAGAAGAGAAAAAACGATCCAGATGAAATCCACCAATTGAGATTCATGGTACCATCTGGTACCTAGCTTGGGGATTCCTATAGTTGCTGGTGATAGCCCGACTATAACGAATATTGGACTGAAGCCCAAGCAATTCTGCTGACGACGACGATGATGGAATGTTATACTTAGATGCGATTAGAAAGTAAAGTTACCATTGACAAACAAGACCAAGAGAGTAGAGACAAAAACATACTGGGTATTGTAACGAAACTAGATAGGATCATCAACCCTTAGCTGATACAGTCGACCCTCAAATGGTCTCATGACAACTGGCTCGTCGTTGGGGTCAGATGTATTTTTATAGTTAGATATTACTAGTTTTGCGTCTCTCAACGTTAAGCCTTCCTCAGATGGTCGCGATGCCACAGCATCACAAGAAAAGTTTAACATGACGAGATATAAACCATTCTTTGAGCGTCTGGTGTAAGTCCAAGTTCTGAGATTATCGGGATCGAGGCATTCATAGGTACCGCAGAACTGCGGCAGTTAGCGGAAAGAACAAAAGTTCTCACCGGAGAAAATCATTTACCAGAGTCGGATGTTGTCCACGAAGACGGATGATCTCACGGTAAAAATTATATACTGAGTCATCGTCTTTGCGCTGAGTTTCTATACACCACTCATTGCCATCGCGACATAAAGGCAGCCAAGGCTCCGCTGAAGGAGAGGTGAACCCCCCGTGGGGTGCGTCGGTCCACTATAAAGTGATATTAAAATCGGTTCTCCAGTGGAATTTTCATCAGCTTTCGACATACTTGGATAGGAACACGGGTATTATCTCGGCCTTTTTGTATGATTGCCTTCTTTGCGTTTTCCGCTCGATCTGGATGGCCGTTTTGAGAAGCTTCAGACGCTCTGTTAATTAGGTACTAGTCAGTCACGAAGTCGCTAGTACGATCACCGCTGAGAGATCGTCTTACGCCTTCCAGAACGTAACGGTCTCAATATCCTTGTTCAACTCCTCTGAGAAGCAGCCGGGGTTAATCATACCAAGCTCTTGGCCCTGGTAGATGAAAACGGTTCCTTGCATGGTGAACAACCATATCGCTAAGAGCTTCGCACACAGGGCTCGAAATCTCGGATTAGATGTGGTGAATCGTGAAATACCTCTTGGCTGGTCATGGTTCTCCGTCCAGAGAGTATTCCAGCCCCCAGATTTGATCAAAGCTGTCTGCCATTCTGTAACTATACGTTTCAATTCTGGCAGTTCCCATTCACGGAGCAGCCACTTGTCGCCGTCATGACAGTCTAGCTCTACATGCTGGAATTGAATCACAAGGTTCAGCTCATGTCGAGCTTTGTATTTAGACGTGTATTCAATTGCTTGCTCAGGTGTAACGCCGCAGGACATCTCCCCTATCGTGACGACGTCGTATTTTGATAACACCTTTTCGTTCATTTCTTGTATATATTCATGGACGTGGGGACTGGACACGTTAGTTCGCCTGTTATATCGTGTCAGTTTGACCTCTTTTTACTCACCCATTAGCAAATAGACAGTTGGCTGGCTGATAATAAGAGCCAGCCTTGGATACCGGCGCATCAGGGAAGCCGGGCGTCTTCGATATCAGATTCATACAGTCAAGCTGAAAATCGTTATTAGTAAGACGAAAGTAATGACGGTTGAACAAAAGGACCGTACCCTAAACCCATCGATGCCTTTGTCCAGCCACCATCTGAGAATATCATATAACGAATCACGGACCTCGACACAATCCCAATTGAGATCTGGTTGCGTTTCGCCGAAGAGATGTAGATCTGATCTAAGGTGAGCATAGAAGTCCTGATCGCAACGCGGCAACATGTGAAATTCACTCTCATACAGAATTCACCTGCCTCATCATCCCAAGTCCATGCAGAGCCTATGCGGAAAAGTCAAAATGTCAGCTCAATGCTCAATATCCAGAAAATAGGGCGATTAATACCCCCGAAAGCACTTTCCCAGTTGTTTGGGGCAATTCGATTCCCATCATTATCGATTTTCCCTGGATTCCATATGTACCAGTTTTTCTTAGGTCCATTCGGTGTACGCCTTGATCTTCGAGAAGCCTGGAACCATTCATGCTGTAGTTTCTGAGTGTCAGTCAACTGTGTCACTGACATGTTCGCCGACCGTCAATCATCCATATCTTAGTACTGACTTGAGAAGAAGTGTGATTAAGGGCTATATCGAGGATAATTCTCAATCCTCTCTCGTGCGCGCTCCTGATAACAAGCTCCAAGTCTTCAAGGGTCCCGTAAAGCGGATTGACCTTTTTATAGTCACTAATATCATAACTGTAATCTTTGTTAGCAATATCCTTTAGATAAGGGGGAGGAGTTGGGAACAGCACCCCATGTCAGCCATGGGTGACTCAAATATCGGCGAGAGCCAAACAATATTGATACCCAATTCTGCTAAATAGTCTAGATTCTCTGCTATGCCTAGCAAATCACCGTGACCATCACCATTGGTATCTTTGAAACTCGGTACGAGCACCTGGTACACAACTGCCTTTTGCCACCAAGTTAACCCGTGTAGAGCATCTTGTTCTGATATAGCAGCTTCGCTTGCGGACTTTATTGCGGCAGTTGTATTGTCCATCACTAGAAGTGTTCAGTCAAATCAACGAAGAGCCATCAGCTTGGTGTTCACGAACATTTACAAATATTCGCCTGAGCTTATTTTGATGCTAAAGCCTGGTCACAGCATTCCTCTAACCAGCGATCGATCTGTTTTATTTTTTCCCGCAGCTAGTACTTTCTGTCGCGTGGCGCTTTCTTGAGGTCATAACACGGTTCTCTGAGGTAATGTTGGAGGAGTGCGGACATTAATTCCTACCCAGAACATCGGAACCCGCACACCGTCATACATGCGTGACCCAAAGTAGCCAGATATTAAGAGAAGTTTCTTCCAGAAGGGCTGTTCTACTCCCGCTGACTCCCCAGAAGCACAATGCTTGGGATGAGGAGTCTGACCTACAGGAGACTGGCATCTCGTGGGTTGCAACTGCTGACTACATTCACGACCTTCAGACCATTAAGATCAAGATTACCTATATTCGTCAATAAAAGGATTATTTCGTCGTCCTCGCGCAAAGCTTCCCCACAAGTTGCCAACATGACAGGAAATCCGTACCAGCCTCTTGTCTTGGACTTTGGCCGCGTCTGGTGGCGCGAGATCATCATCTACGAGATCTACGTCCAGTCATTTCAAGATAGCAATAATGACGGGATAGGAGATCTCCGCGGCATCATTAATCGTCTGGACTATTTAAAGAAGCTTGGTGTCGATATGTTATGGTTGACGCCGATTTATGAATCCCCGCTAGATGACCAAGGGTACGATATATCGAACTACAAGAAGATCCACCCTCAATATGGGACCATGGAGGATTGGGAAGAACTGTGTGAGAAGGTGCATGAAAAAGGGATGAAATTGATGATGGACATGGTTTTCAACCACTCTAGCTCAGAGGTTGGTCTCAAGGATTCTCCGACCCGCAATAGATCGTGTAATTCAGATGGAACGACATGACAGACGGTTAACGAGCATTTAGCACGAATGGTTCAAAGAGTCCAGAAAGAGCAAGGATAATCCGAAGAGGAATTGGTATTTTTGGAAAAAAGGGAAAATTGGCAAGAATGGCGAAAAGATGCCACCCAACAACTGGGGAGGTCTTTTTGGAGGTTAGGTCTATATGATCAGTGTCCCGTCTGTCCTTAGTATGTGTTGACAGCTATTACAGGTCGTGCATGGAAATATGATCCAACAACAGACGAGTGGTGTATATCTCCCTAACATTGAAACCGGTGAATAGAAAAGCTAACAGCTAATAGATCTCCATCTATTCGCAGAAACCCAACCAGATTTGAACTGGGACAACCCAGAGGTCCGCGAAGCAGTGTACGACACGATAGATTTCTGGGCTAAAAAAGGCACCGACGGATTCCGGGTACGTGTACTGGTTTGGTGGCGCCTACAATCAAGCTGATAGTGGTATTTCCACACAGCTCGATGTTATCAACCTTATTTCTAAAACACCTGGTCTTCCTGACGCTCCCGTTACGGAACCAGATCAGTTCGAGCAAAATGCCATTCCGATGTTCACTAACGGGTCAGTAGTAGCCGGATAACATTGAGTTTGAGTTCGTGACACTGACGTGATGACCTGCAGTCCGAAAGTCCACGAGTATATACATGAAATGAATCTGAAAGTTCTTCGCAAATACAACTGTTGTACTGTTGGAGAGATGCCATGTGGAGTGAGCCAATTCGAAGCAAGTCAGTACGTCGGTAAAGAACGACGAGAGCTGTCCATGGTGTTCCAATTTGACCATATGGACCTCGACGGTCAAAATGGTAATAAATGGAAACCTCGCAAGTTCGAGCTGCCTGAACTTGAAAGAGTTATGAGAAGCTGGCAGCAACACATGCTAGGGAACAATGGTATGTACTGGCTTTATATGGCCTTTCGATCGCAGAAACGACATCATCTTTATTCAAGACAAATATAGCACGTGCTGATATTGTCGGTGTTTCCAGGCTGGAGTTCTCTGTACCTGGAAAACCACGACCAGCCTAGAGCCGTCTCACGTTTCGGTAGCCAAGACCCAAAGTATCGGGTGATAAGCGCAAAGATGCTGGCAACGTTCCTACTAACGTTGAGAGGAACTCCTTTCTTGTATCAGGGGCAAGAGCTCGGCTTTCCACATCCCCAGAAATGGAAGATTGAAGACTACCCGGACCTGGAGACCCAGGCGTATTACAAAAGGTGTGTTTCGGTCAATCCCAATGACAGATGCACATTTCAGCTAACATGGTGAAGCGAATATGACCGTCGGAAGGCCGCGAATCCAACTAAAGAGCCAGATATGTCCGACGTTATGCATGCTATCCGGCTCAAAGGTCGTGATAATGCGCGCTTCCCTATGCACTGGGACAAGAGCCCAAACGCAGGTTTCTCGGCCTCTAATGTCAAACCTTGGATTAAAATGAACGATGAAAGCGCCGACATAAACGTCCAGCAGCAAGACGGAGACCCTGATTCTGTTCTGAATTACTTCCGCAGGCTGCTTCACATGAGAAAACAACATCCATTGATGGTATGTCCCTCAGCTAAATGCTTGCAGGACACGTCTTAACCAGCGATCTAGTGCTATGGTGCATATGTTCCCATCAACCCTACGCATCCTAAAATAATGTCGTTCCTCAGAGCCCAGGGACCGTGGAGCACCTTGGTAATATGCAATTTCTCTACTGATGACGTAGATTACGTCGTACCGGATGAGATAGACATAGATTTGGCAGTACCGATAATTGCCAACTACCCTCTTGAGGAGTCCAAGTTCCAGAGAAAGACATGCTTAAAACCATACGAGGCAAGGGTTTATTCTCTCCGGAACTGAAGACAAAATGCATTTTTGGCAGGTTTTATACTTCATTACCATCTATACGATGGAAAGCCAGAAATCCAAATAAATAAAGTATTGAGCATAATATGCACCAGTGTTAGTTTCGCATTACTTGATCGACATATGTCTTAAAAGTTAATATCAGCTCTTCTGGGCTCGGGGATATCATTCGGCTCCTTGGAATCCCTTCGTAGGATGTCGCTACTTAACATCAAATTTCTCGACGGGGATAATTCTTATACTATCAGAATGTATGCCTTTGTTGGGACCGAAAGGGTTTCTTCCGGGCAGCAGCCCTGCCTAGAGAATATTAATGCTGATATAAAATTATGTCGGCGTACAAAGCAAACGCCAGGTGCGCCGGAAGTATATTCCTCGCCGGTGACGCAGCTCACATCCCAACCGAGGAGGCCACAGCGCGAATGGTCATGATCTAGCGAGGAAGCTTTCTTACGTTAGCTGCAGAGCTGTTACACTTATGACACCGAACAACAACCAATAGCTTGATTGAGATAAATGTTCGCTCGGCGAGATTTCAAGGCTCATCTCAAGAATCCTGATGCCAGCAACCAGCCACCAATTGACAACGACGCGATGCAATTCGGTCAATTATACCGATCAGATGCAGTTCTCGACGCACCCGGAGATCGTCCACCTCCTATGCGTCCAGAACGGTGGACAGGTCACCCGGGAACTCGCGCGCCGCACCTATGGCTAACACGACAAGGAGAGCGTATATCAACGCTCGATCTCTTCCAGCACGAATGGATTCTCCTGTCCGAATCGGATGCCTGGAGTAAATATATGGAGCAGGCGCGACAGGCGTTGCAACTAAGTATTAAGCACGTGCATATCGGTGTGGATGTGCAGCCTGAGGATTTGACAGCGTTCCGTGATGCCTTTGGCATATCATCAAAAGGAGCATCGCTTGTTCGACCGGATGGTTATGTGGCATGGCGTACGTTTGATACGCCTTCTGATCCGCGTGCAGCTTTGGAAAAATCTCTGCGTCAAGCTTCATTTGGGAAGGGGAAGGACTGAGCCTTCTGCATAGCGAATATTCTACCAAATGGGGACCAATTAGTTTATGATTTCAATATACGGTGCGAGATCCACTCCCCCAAGTCAAAACATCATCCCTGTGACATGTGTCAACTGGTCTCTTATGGATGCCTTGTTCTTTTAATCGGTCCTTAAAGCTATTATTCAACTTTTTGTCGCGGTATATGGATTCATTGTAATTGTTGATTACATTTATGGGAAAGGAATAGTCTTCCTCTGCAGTATATAGTGACGAACACACGTTTCTGGTGGACATACGGCCACATGGGACGACTACTGGATGTCCTTGATTCCCGCGGCGAGACTGTCTTCCAGACTGGTCCATCCGGGTCGTCCAAAGAAGTCGCGGATCAGTTGCTCCGCTCTCTTAGATGGCCGGATGTCGCTCAAATCCCGTCCTTCATTCTCAGGAGGATCGGGGAGCTTCCTCTGCGGACGAAGCTTTCGGAGGATGCCAATGACATCCGTCCAGTTCTGCGGCGCAGCAAAGGCAAACAGACGTTCTGACTTGACATCAGGGTCAAGGAGAGCAATCACATGGAGACGTGCAGTGTCTTCCACATCAACGAACCACTCTGTGGATGATATGAATACCGTTAGCAGTGCGGACAAAAGATACGCCAGGGCAACGAAACTTACGGGGAGGAAGCAGTTTCATGACAGAATCGTCTCCGTTAAAGAGGTTGCGTGTCCATCCCATGGTGGATCCGCTGATTTCAGGAGCCAGAATCCTGCCGTACTATCGAAGACGGTTTAATATCCAGCCGCAAACAACATAGTCGGAATACTTACATTCATATTGGGCAGTATAGTGTTGAAGACGAATCCAGGCTTGTTTTCCTTAACCCAGTTCCATGATTGGCGTTCTGCTTCCGTCTTCGAAGCTGCGTATACGGGGTATGCTTTCTGCTCCGCAGGGATAGACTCATCCCAGGCCATCTTCACAGCCGCGTCGTTCCAAGTATCTAGGATTATTGTTAGATACAGAATTCCGAACGGACTCAGTGAAGATTAATACTCACCCTCAGTCACCACAATGCCCTCCGCGTTTGGTTGCGGGATCAGAGCTGCCGAGGAGGACGAGGTCAGCACGACACGCTTTACCGACGGCTCCTTGGCCGCCGCCTTGAGGGCGTTGATCGCGCCTCCAACGACCTTGGGGATGACGGCGTTGGGGTCCGATTGCATTGAAGTATCAGATGCCTAGTTTCCATCAGCCATCGCGTTGGTACGAGAATCGACCAGCCATGAAACACATACAACATGCACTACTCCGGCCACACCCTGGATGGCCGAGTCAAAGGCGCCTTCTTTCTCCATCGCCTCCACGACAACACTCTCAAACTTGCCCTTCCCATACTTGTTCTCAAATAGACGGTCGAGCCATGGCTTCTCCGATCGGACGGTTCCACGGACAATGTAACCCAGTTCCAATAGAAGGTCGACTACATTGGAAGCGAGGTAGCCATTTGCACCAGTAACGAGGATGCGAGACCCTTTCGGAATGGCATATTCTTTGACGGCCATTATGGTATGGGACGGTCTATAGTCACGATTCCTATCTGGCTTCTGAATGCTCTAGTTCAAGGGACCCTGCGGCGAGAGCGTTCTATCATATAATAATAAAATAACCGTTGACATCATGGCGCAACCCATTAATCAGAATCGTGTTGGTCGGGAAGCGGATCCTCTAGATTCTAGCCATGGACAGGCCTCCATTTTCCGCCTAAAATCGAGCGGTCGAATTCTGTCTCTCTGTGGATAAGAAATATTATCAAGCATAGCGAACTGGTGAAGTTAACTGGTTCGTTCCTCTTGCTGGGAGATTTGTCAGCTGTGGTCGTAGATAACCATTTAACTCCGGGCAAAATCCGCTCTTCTGTCCAAGTGTGAGATGATCATCGTGATATCTAGTGTCTGTGAGAGCGAGATATACGATACTCCTCCGAATGAATACACTCTTTGTCGGCGAAAAAAGCCCAAGGATATAATTATCGACGGCCTCACAATGTGAAAAAGAGGCAGCACAGAAACGATTGCAAGGCGGGGTCAGCATCTCCACGATGAAGCGATCGACAATGTCTGCAGACAGAGAACAGCAGCATTTATCATTCTAGGCCATCACCCGATCAATCGACCGAGAGATTGCACATGAAAAGCTTTTTTCGACGCATCCAAGTCGCTGAGCTGGAACGCAAACTCACGAGACTCGCGAGTGACTGCATCGCCTAGTGCGATCACCGACTTTCGCAGTATCGCTCGCCTATAGAAGTATCAGATGCGCATTCGTGAAGATCAAGCTAATGATAATGACAAGTATCTGCTATCTACGCCAATGCGGCATCTTCAATAATGAAAACAGTCGTGTGCGTTGATTCTGTAGGTAGACAGTGATATAACTACTGTACGATTTTAGGTTGCGCAGCTTATCCGACAGGCCGAGGTTCCTCAGGATCTATTATGCGGGGATCCTGAGCTTGGCGACAATATAGAAGCATCTGCTCAATGTAGTATGTTTACTGATCTGCTCCGACCATTCTGGTGATTATATGTGATTCAATCGTTGTTGTTTTTGATATCTATCCACATCTGATGACAAGCACTACCACCACTAACAGGATGAAGCCATCTTCGTCTACTGACGGATTCTTCCAACCCATGCCAACAGTACATCCAGCGTATACATTCGAGTCAACTCAATCTCCAGAACAGAGCTCGCGTCTTCCATCCGATGATGTCGCGTTCGCTAGAATCATCGAGCTCTATCTACCTCGTAATTCTGCTCATGTACGCGCTTCCATTCACAGACTTGCTCGCCGTGCCCTGGATCCGTCAGTTCTTCGTCTAGCTACCGATGCAGAATTAAACACTCCCACTCTGCGACCCCTCACCACATTCGGCGAGGAAAATCGCGTCGATCCACTCTGGACCGGAGAAGGTTGGAGGACTCTCAAAGCCATTGGCCAGGAGGAGGGGCTTGTCACGGTGGGATACGAAGAGAACAACAATGTCTGCAATCGACGGGTGCATCAATTCGCATTGAATCATGTCTGGGCCAGTAGTGCTGCGATGACAGGATGTCCGGCGTCGATGACGGACGGTGCAGCAAAGCTACTGGCCTCTCATCTCAAAGACCCTGATGGCGATCAGCCCGGACGTGGAACAGTACTTCGGGAATCGTACCGGAGATTAATTTCGCGGGATACTACTATCGCCTGGACAGCGGGTCAGTGGATGACGGAGAGAACTGGCGGTAGCGATGTACGAGGGACAGAGACAGTCGCGCGACGGTTAACTACTGAGGAATTGACCAGAGCTGCAGAACTAGGGAAGGCTCATGACGCCCATGAATTGCCACTAGGACCATGGCAGATCGACGGCTTTAAGTGGTTCAGTAGCGCGACAGACTCAGATATGGCACTCCTCCTGGCCCAAACGGGCAAAGGCCTGTCTTTATTCTATGTTCCCCTACGACGGCGCGCAGGAGCACATACAAACGGCACCGAGCTGAATGGTATTCGGATCCAGCGGCTGAAGAACAAGATCGGGACAAGATCCCTCCCCACCGCGGAGCTGGAATTGAACGGAGTCCGGGGCTGGTTGATCGGAGAAGAAGGCAGAGGTGTGAAAGAAATCGCGACCATCCTCAACATGACCCGTCTATACACCGCCAGTTCTTCTACTGCAGGCTGGGGTAGATCTTTGTCCCTATGTCGGGGATTTACAAGAACTCGCAAGACCCAGGGAATTCTCCTTCGAGATAACCAACAGCATGTCCGATGGATGGCCGGCGAGACAGTCAAGTACTGGGCAGCGTTGCATTTCACCTTCTTCGGCGTAGCCTTGCAAGGCGTCATAGAACAAGACTGGGACGCGGTGGCTCGGAAGACGAAAGCTGCTGGTTTAATTCCACAAGACCGTACCAAAGCCATGCGACTCCTTCGGTTGATCCTCCCCGTTATGAAGGCGCGCGTTAGCGTCGCTGCGGTGGAAAGTCTTCGTAACTGCATGGAATGTCTGGGCGGTGTCGGCTATTGTGAGAACAATGAAGATGGGGGACTCTTAAACATCGCGAAGATATTTCGTGATATCCTTGTCAATCCAATATGGGAGGGCACAGTAAGCGTCATGGCTGAGGACGTAGTGCGGGTTATCACGGACCAACGCCTGGAGGGCGGACGAGTTCTCGAGACAGTCCTGGGGAGCTGGGTCAGAGAGATCCTAGCAACATGCCGACACAGGTTCGCCGATGAATGTGGAACCGCTGAGAAGAGGCTTCATATTCTGCTTGCCGTGACATCGGGCCGTGACAGATCGGAGCTTCTCTGGAGAGGCAGGGAGCTTCTCGATCATCTGGAGGCTATCGTCTGCTCTTGTTTACTGATGTATGACGCCTGCTCGGATAACGATGAAATCGCTACGGCTGTCGCATCCAGGTGGGTCACTTCAAAGGCTCTTCCTACCGATCAGATCTCTGGATCCCGGGATTGGAAGCAGGAGTCTGCTATGGATAGAAAGATCTTCCTGGGGGCTGACACAGGGTTCCAATCCAAGCTATAAGGATGTTTTCACATGTCTTGTGGCAAGCCCTCTATGAGAAATGTACAATGAAGTAAGTTAACAAATCATAAGTAGTTCTAGTTATGTTTCTAGGAATGATACCAGAGTCCATCATCAGCCGTATGTTCATTTTGTGAATCTAGAGTATTTTCATCACGTATATCATGTATATCAACATTTGGAACTCGTGACGCAGGATAGTCTAGATCTCGTTCTCAAGAGGCCCACCTTCCCCATCTAGTTCTTGAAGGCTTCGGCAGCGGGCAAGGTTTTAGGAAGATCAGTACGGGCGGTTTTCTGAATCAGATGGCCGAACGAGGGAGCATACGCAACGCGAGGAGTGAAGGGCTCGAAGTCCCACAGGTCACCCAGAGTGCGCAGAAGGGAGGAGGCGGAGTAAGAAACGGTCTTGCCCTCCGAGTTCTTGGCCTGCTGCTCAACGTAGGCCTTTTCGACCCAGTTGGAGATCAGGAAGGTAGGGACACGGCCACCGACACGGTTGAATGGCAGGGTGTATTCCTTGCCATCGGGAGTGCTGGTGGTGTAGCTAAGGTTGTCGGGAGCGGGAGCCAATGGCGGGGGCACGTGGTCGTGGAAGCCACCGGTCTCATCGAAAGAAATGAAGAACAGGGTGTTGTTCCACTGAGGCGAGGCAAGCAGAGACTCGTAGACTTTCTTCAGCAGGGCCTCACCGTCAGAGATCAGGCCAGACGGGTGCATAGAGTTGGTGCCAACACCGCAGCAAGAGGGGTTGATGTAGGTGAACTCGGGGAGCTTGCCCGCGGCGGCATCAGTGTAGAAGTTGGCAATGGGCTCAATGTTGTCGTAGTTGCCACTGTTGTAAGTCCAGTTAAAGAAGGCGGCGTCAGGGCCAGTACCACCGGCAGGGTCATAGTAGTTCTTCCAGGTGTGGCCGGTCTCGTTCAGCTGCTGGAAGATGGACCTCTGGGGGAAGCCGTGAACGCTCTGGTCGAAGGCAGCATCATTTGTACCGTGGCCATAAGAGGTTCCAGAGACCACATAAGCACGGTTAGGGTTTGTGGGCTGTCGAGATGTCAGCAAAACTCGGACATATCAACAGGAGGATGATCCGATTGCACATACCCCAGGGACGTCGGAGTGCCAGTGGTTGAACGTAACAAAGTTCTGCACCAGGGCAGTAAGGACAGGAACCTGTTCCTCGGTGTAGTAGTTGAGCACCTGAGTGGCTAGCTCTGTCTTGTTTGCTGAGGAACCATATACACGAATCTGCTCGTGGACAAAACCCTTCTGGTTGGGCTTCAACTTGCCGGATGCAATGGCACTGTTGTCAGGAGTGAACGAACCGAAAAATTCCAGGTTGTTCCCGTATACTGCATGGTCCGGGTCGTCGCTAATAGAGTCGTAGTCCTTAGCAGCACTGCAGACGATTCCTTCGGCGGGGTTGGTCAGATTATAGGGGTTGCAGAATGGGCCATTCTGGATCGGGTTCTCCAGGCCCTTGATGGTCTGACCGCCCAGCAGGTTGTCAACAGAACGGTTCTCCATAATAAGGACGACGACATTCTTGATCTTGTCCTTGAGGTTACTGGTGGATTGGGCATGTTCGGGGCGAGCAGGGACAGCCGTGGCCACCGCGGCGAAGGTCAAAAGACCCAGGAGAGCACTAGGATGCATCTTGAGCAGAACTGTACGAGAGGCAAATGTAATAGCCTTGAATTGACACGATGCTGCTGCACGAAAAAGAAGAAGACCTTGTCGACGGGCGGAGTCAGCTCGTTTTATACTCAAGTCTGTCCTCCAGCGTTATTGCCCCTTTCTGGCTTCATCGATCTGACTTAGCGGTGCCAACACCCGCATGGGCCAAAATTTCCTCAAGAGGAAGCTGTATAGCACCGCATAGAAGCAGCTCCGCGTGTGGATACCTCGATGAAGCTTGCTTTCAAGATCCGAGCAGCCGGCGGAGTATTAAGTAGAAACAGCTCTCCAATCAGATGGATATCCATGTGCACGAGGGGAATGAATTGATGACATGCCGATTGTGTTAGACCGATCTAGAGTGATCACGACTAAGTACTCGGCTGATTTACCGAGACGTCCCGCCGTTGTGGCTGTGAGCTGGCCGATCCCGTGTTGCAGTGCAGTCCTGCCCTCCAGTGTAGCAAGTCATAATAATGGCACTGCATCTATCACAGGAATTGCTTTTGTCGATCTAGAATCCCACGGGCGTTGACAATGTAGAGTAAATGATAGGTCAATGGACAGGCAAGACGTATGCCATTCTACCCTTACCCGCTTGTCATGCTTTAAGGGAGCAGCTTCATTAGTACATAGCTCCGATTAAAGACGATAGGAATTACCCAGTGATTCAGTTGCCCGCGCTAGTGCTCTCTCAGATCTGGAGCCAGCGCTGCCAAGTAAATATTCCGCGTCCCTGGAATGGCAAGCTTTGGCAGTTGACCACTCACCTCAGTCACAAATCTAATATACCAAACGCTTAGAGGTCGACCTGTCAGAGCGAGCATATCTCCATGTGCGGACGCGTCCCGCAGATTACTATGACTTTTCTGTATCGACAAGGGAGGTTCCTAGGTTTCTGGGGAGAAACCGTTCTTTCCGACCAAGTATACGCACGCCACAGATTCTAGAGCAATTCCAGAGTCCGGCGGGGCGTGCAAAGTTGAGATGCTCCCTTAGCTCCGCAGTCTCCACAGAGCTAATCTCATAGACCCTGGGGTCTGTACTCTCGGGTCCTAATTGCAAGAATATCTAGGATTTCGGTGCTGCATGTCCACAGACAATCATAGCATGGTTAATAGTAAAGAATTTTGCTAAACTTGTGTCACTCTACCTTCGATTCAGCGAAATAATATTCACTCATAGAGATGAGTGCCACACTGGCTTGTATACTGGAGCTCATTTAGGACGGGTACTGTGACGGTTGGTACTCCACCACGTGGGAAGACAATCAAGGCCTGATGCCTCAACTTCCGATATTGCGGGGCCTCGGTATGAGATGTCGGCTCATGCCGCCAGTATCAAGTCGGCATATCAGTCGGGAATAAGCGACTCCTATTTCTTTGTCGACTGTCAGAACAGTGCACGGGATAGGTTCCTGCAGAGCGATTGCTAGATTGCTCAACTACCCGGAAATGGCGGGAACAACATGTCGGGAATCTTCCGTAGGTAGAACGGTAGTAGCTACTGAGCCGTCTGTCCCTGACATGGAAAAGCACGCAAGACGTTGTGCAGAATCAATTATTAGGGTTGTATGGAAGCCATCCGTGGTGACATTCGAATGTATCACGAACTGCCAAGCAAGCTTAAGCAAACTAAGCACAGCGCACGTGGGTCGAACTACCACAATAGGTGATACCATATTTAACGCCTTGGCCCGGCGAGTAGAATCTCCGCAACGGGTTTCCTGCTCTCTTCGAATCAGAACTCCCAGTAGGTACAACGTGATGGATTGACTTGCTTCTCATCGTCCTGCTCGCTTGACTGGCCGCACTTCCCGCCGTGATATTAAGTACGGTGGACGGGTTGCCCCTTGCGGCCAAAATGTTGTTTGTATCCGTTAGTTTTTTATTGCCAAAATATAAACGCACTTATGAAATGAAATAAAATAGATAAATAGGTAGCCAATTAACTCTTTAGTAAAGGAGTAAAAGAAGAATACTAGTTAGGTATCCTACGGCGGCCCGGAGAAGGTAGCCGGAGCCAAAATCCGTGCTTATTATGGACAACGTATATTTCCATTATTCAGACTGGATCAAGGCCTCATGTGCTGACGCTGGAGCTGAATTGCCGTACCTGCGGCCTTGTTCGCCAAATTTCCACCCTATTGAGGATTTGTTTGGTCGAGCTGAAGGCCTAGTTAGTTAACGTAATTCCCGACCGACCTAATTACCCGCCCGACCTAATCACCTCACGAGCTTCTTTCGCAATTATTAAATCAGTTTTATTTAACCACCTACTATGCCACTAAAAAAGCCTATTTTATTGAAAAATCATATTGAGTAGGAGGGGAGGGTCTTATTAGCAATTAAAGCTTTAAAAAAAGATTAAATTCTCTCTATATAAAAGGCAGTATTAATTTTTAATATTTCTTATATAACCCTTTAGATAAAACTTTAAAAATATTAATTTTATTATAATATCTCTAATAATATATTTAAATTAAATAAAATATAGTAGAAATTACTTATATAATAGATATTATTTATAGATTTATAGGGATTAAATTCTTAGCCTGCATAAATCTAAGAGATAGGTAATTTTTTTATAGATTGAGATAGTAGGGTTTAATTAGAGAAGAACTAGGTATTTATATTTATTAAATATTGCCTTAAATTAAAAAGTGTTTATTTTAGATAATATTTCTATTAGTAAACTAAATATAAAGATCTAAAGATTATTAAACCCTATTTTAATATTATTTAAATAACTAGAATAAAATATAAGATTATAAATAAAGATATTTATAATTTTAATAAAACTAGATATATAATAAGCTTTATTACTACTACTAAAGTAGTAATATAAGCTAAATATTATAGAAAGTATTAAATTATCTAACTAGGCAATTATAAATAGGTTATATTAATTAAATATATTAACTCTATAGGCTGGGTAATACTACTATATATTATTTTTAAAGGCAAAACCTATATTTAAGGCTAATATAAGGATCTTAATATATTAAAAGACTAAAGAATTAAAGTTAGCGATAATAATTAGACTATAGACTAAATTAAATTATATTAGCTTAAAAAGGTTTTTATATTTTAGATAGCTTATTAAAAGACTAAATAATATTTACTTCTTATTCTAGATAAGTATAGTATAGCGGGGAGAATCAGCGTAAAGAATATAATTAGTTAAGAGGTCATATACTTCTGCTTAAAGTCTTTAAAAAGTCTATAAGCAAAGCAGTAGAGGACAGGAGAAACACACCTTCTCAGTTATTCAGAATGAAATAATCAGCTTTACCTTTCTATTATTATTCAGTATCAGTTCAGCATCAGATTATTATTGGTTTACTATGTCAGTTCGCAGCCAGAGCTTCTCCTCTAACTCTACTCTGAGCTCCGAAGTCGAATACTCTTCTCCTCCTTCTCAATACCTACTCGCTTAAAGACTCTATGCTAAGTCTTAATACGTCTTCCCACAACAATAGCAGTTATTTAATCCTAGAATTTAATAAGATATATAGTAAATATAATATTATTTTAGTCTATATACTACTATATTTATTAGCTTTCTATTAATCTCTAGATATTAACTGCTTTAGGCCTTTAAAAGGAGTATATAATTACTTAGTTTAAGATAAGTATTATTAGGGGTTTAATTATATTAATAAGCTTAACTTCCTAAGTATTTATTCTAGAGCTTATACTTAAATATTTATTTTAAATATTATTAAAAGCAGATTTAAAGCAACTAGTTTAATCCTTTTTAACTTAAAAGAAGTGCTTAGATAGTTTATTATTTAATTAACTATTCCTATATTATTAAGAAGCTAGTTAATTGCTTTTATAATCTCCTTATCTAAAATATTATAGAATTATAAAGATTTAAAAAAATATAAGATTATGTTTTAAGGCTTATTTAGAAGATAAATCTAAAATCTTTTATTTACTAATTAGCTAGTTCTAGATTATTTTATTTAATAATATAAATACTTAATAAGCAAAAAAATCTTTATAGTATATAAGAATTAAAATCTATATTTAGCTAATAAAGAACTCTAGCAAAAAAAGTAATAATCTAATTATTAAATAGGTACTATATAGGGTTTAAATATTAAAGAAGGTTAAGCTTTTATATAGAGAAATAATAAAATTAGTAAAGCTCTTACTAGCACTATAAAAAGATTAAATAATTTAATTATATAGCTATACTAGCGGGCATTACTAATATATTTAAATTATAATATTAGGGGCTATATTAGAGTTAGATATCTTAATTAATATAGCAATAAAATATTATTAAATTATGCTGCTATTTAGGTAGTAAAATCAGACAGTATTTTATCTAAGTGTTTGAGGTAATTAGGTTGGGCGAGTAATCAGGTCGGTTAGGAATTATATTAAATCAAGAAATCTTAGTCAGCATATTTTAGGCCCCTTGGTGCTATAATAGGTCGCCTACACCTTTCCCCCTTTAGGGTTAGATTAGCGCACACTGAATAGCTAGATAGAGCGTCTCCTGGATTTGATTCTTAACCAAGCATCTTTATCATTTTTGGCCCATGAGCCTCTGAGTGAGAGCATATAAAGAAAATCCCGACTAAGGGTCTTATGCTTGCTTTCGGCGGTGCGTATTTAATATTAGTGCAAAATAGGATAGTGCCGAAGGCTATTTCCGACATTTAGGTAAGATAGTTAGGTAACTAAAAGACCCTGTTTCTTGTCGTTATTCTGATAGTTGTTTTTGTTAGTTATTGCAATGATGTTTAAGTAAAGGAAGCTATACAAACCAGAATCTTTAATTCTTGATAAGTTCGGTTTAATAATCGCAATATTAAACCAACCTATACAATCCTTGTACTAGATACAACAAGCATGTTCTATGGATGAATATTATGGTGGTGAACAAAGGCGTCATAGATCCGTTTGATGCCCTTAACTGCATAGCCAAAAAAAAAAAAGAAAAAAAGAAAAAAAAAAAAAAAACTGAGGAGTAATTTTTCGGAAATTGGTATTTCAGCACACGGCAAATATTTGAGCACGATCGCCCTGGGTTGGATTATATCGTCGGCGAAATGCTATAGCGGTGGGTGGAAAGTAGATGGATCAACTCGATCGATGTGGCCGTAAAAAGGGGAATAACTCCAGTTACACACGCCTAATTCACGCAGATTCAGATAGGCGTTTAATTACCAGCGAGAACGATCTGAATCTTGGCCTTCTTTCGTGTATTCATGGTCGCCGTTGTCGTGGAACCCGATATTCGAGGTGTTTGTTTGTGGCCGCTACTCACATGATCCTACTGTATATATTAGATCCTCCAGCCCTCTTGTTAGACCTTAGCTTGTTCAATGATTTGTTGACTCTTCTATCCTCTCTTCCTAACACGAGGCACGGTGGTAGGGATGAACAGAAACCTCGCTTCGGACCTTCTGGCAGTTCTAGGGAGGTTATAATAGGCCCTAATGCAGGAATATAAAGAATCAGCGGCAAGAGAGCTCTTTCTTAGCTGGTGCTATAGTACTAACTAGAGAATCGAAATGTAACAGCATCCTCTATAGGGTGCAAGTTATTGAATTTGTATCCTAGTGTGGTTATAGAAGTATCATCAAGAACTAGTTTCTCTCAGCTGCAGATCCCGAGACCCAGGAAGGCTCTGTCTCTCTTCAAAAAGAAAAGACCACCCATTCTAGATACCGGGATGGTCCATTCAGCGTTAATGCTGAGCTGCGCGTATACCCCCTTAACAGAATACTCATCCTCTGCATCGTTGGACCCATCGGTGATGGCTATCGAGGAGTTTTTCTCAGCATTATCCCCTCCCCCCGCCTTCTCCGTCGACAAAAAGGTAAAAAGAGCCAGAATTTCAGTGAGAGCAAGCATCTGATAGGTCGTTCGCTAGAAATATCATACGCCTCGTAGCTCCTGTGCGTCCTCTGGTAGGGCGGGCAATAAAGCTGTCTATCTCGTTCAAAAATATTCTCATATCATAACACCGCATCTCCCGTATGACAATTTTTATGCGCCATGCTTGGCAGTTACTCTACAATTTCTCTAAGCCTGATATGTCTAGCTTTGATAAAGTAGCAAGCAAACTCAGCGACACATAGACATCATGGAACCAATCACCGCTATATCTATCTTGCAGGTTTACTTAAAAGGCAATCATCTTGGATAGATCTCCAGTACTACTCGTCTAAACGTACGCTTCATCCGACCAAGTATTTCTAGGCTTCACTTGTTGAAACTGTCTAGACACCCATTCCTTCACGTCGCTTGGCCGCTAAAATCAGTAACATATAGTATTCCTTCTCGTCACCGGTCACTTCATAACCGCTCCAGCGTCTAGCATATTCAATCATCTGACTTCTGTCGCATTCAGGGCCCGGTACGAGCTCCAGGACGTCGAACAAGGCATCGGATTCGCGCGACTTCACTGCAATGCCGGATGGGACAAAACGGGCTCCCCCGGGAGCACTGTTATTCCATAGGTATCCCCAGTGGTAGCCTCCGGTGCGCATGAAAATGAGGTCGTCGTCTTTGTTAATAGCCAAAGACCAGCCTCTGAGTGCTTCGCCCTGTCGCCACTCGGGGTGGTCTGCGGGTACCACGGAATTAACTGACAAACGTTAGTTTGTGCTAAATTATATATGCCGTTACTTATCAACCAATGTAATATATTCCCGTCCCGAAAGGCCCGAGTGCGACCTCCAGTCCCTGTTTTTCCTCTGCGTTGAAATAACCCATTTTTTGAGAGATTTGAGTCTGAGTGGATTGGAAGAATGATGCGGTGTTCTTGAGTAAAATCTAAAGACGTTCCCGGCAGGAGAAATCTACCACTATTTATGTACAGCTCCGATGCCACGTGAAAGGATAGCATTTGCGATGCTAGCTTCATTATCAGTGTAGAAATAGGAAAGGATCTGTGCCACCGTGTGACTCATTTTGTTTTTGTTCACGTCAGAGAATTCCTAAAGATTTGGGGAATCACAATAACTGGTTCAAAATTGTGGTGCGGAGGTTCATGTCGATAAAAGTTTTCAAGGATGGATAACCTAGCTGTGGCGGGCTGAATTCTAATTCCAGCACCCAATTGAGTACAGCAGAGAAAACATTATCCATCGATAGGTTTGTGTTTATTGACCAGATAGAAAAACACGAACCTAAGAGATCAAGAACTGTTTGCAGTGATCAAGTTTAACATCGAGAAGTGAGCATACCTTCAATTCAATACCCAAGTGCTTAAACTGAGGACACAAAAGTGGTAATTGAAAGACATTGACCAGACAAGGCTGTTCTTCACCACTCCGCTACAATCCAAAAGCGTGTTATAGTTATAGTCTCTGGCCCGATTTGGTGGGGACGAGCCGCGTATAAAAAATTGGAACGTGGTATAAATGTCAGCCAGCCACAAAACATGCGGGGCACAAACTGAAAGTCTAAGGGCACTACGCTGCGTTAGTGAACTGTAGATAGCCATCTCATAAGACGATCTCCCTTAGATAGCTTCAAAGTAGAGATGAAACGAACCGACTGACGAGGAAGCCTGCAAGATTGCCGAACCTAGCGCCCACATAGGGCAACAGATTATGCAGACATGATGGCTTTGCTGGCTCCACTTGCTCCTCCCTAAACATAGTTACTACAACTCGAGCATAGAATAACTGAGAAGAAGGGTTCATTTGAAGATAGGGTAGATACTAGAGAACCACGTTTCAGAGGGCAGAATACAGATTCGTAGCACTTTGCTGACCAGCGGCATTGCACAACCCATCATAAACTAGCAGCTCTATTCAGAAAACGGTGAATAAGCCTCGTCAGCCAGTGAAAATCCTTCCTCCGAATCTCATGAGCTCAAGACCACACAATGGATCGGATTCTTTTTGTGTCTGTTTCTCAGCTAACCTATGAAATGGATGGATTGGCTCTGGCTAGCGGAGCGGGCCGTTTCTGTCCCAAGGATAGCTTTTGCAACGGTACTTCTTAGATCAGATCAGGGGCATCAGATCGGCGGGCAGGAAGGAGGTTGGTAGGCCAGACGATCAAACCAGATCGCTAGAACTCCCCGCAGTCTACGTGGTTCCATAGAAGGCCCAGTAAGTATTATTAGTTAGTTATAGATAAGTAGTGAACAGCCGTTAGTTAACGAGTTACTATTGCCAGTTCTGCCAAAGTTATAGCAGTGAATCAAGATAGGTAAGTGTATTTCGGATTTATTTTCCGGGGTTGAAGTTGCAAGCGCGTCTGCGCAATAATACTTACCCGTTTCACGTTTTAACATTGTGTGTTTGTGGCTAGCAAATTAGTAATCAGAGATCACCAATCGCAACTCCTATGAAAGATCTTAGGGCTGAGCGTTTTCCCTGGGAGACGAAACTATTATTTAATGTCCGGATATTCCTCTCTGCCAGGTAACTCTAATACATCTTTTAAGCACCTGCTCGGTTGTGTTGTATCGGATACCATCAATGAATGCCAAAAATGTAGGTGCAAACTTGTTGGAAATTCAAGCATCTTCAAGCAGGTGCAATGCTGAAATAGCGTGACATCCAAATGAATTTCTTGTAAAGCAACGATAGACAGGTATTTGGGACAACTCAAATAACTAAATGTTGACGAAGATGACTAACTCCCCGTTTCCTCAAATGCTTCCATCATTCTGGGTTTCATAGCTCATGGCTATGTTCCATTGTACCGTAGCGCAAAAAAATAAAAATAAAAATAAAAAATAAATAAAGAGAGAGAGAGAGAGAGAGAAGAAGAAGAAGAAGAAGAAGAAGAAGAATAAGGAGGGAGAGAGTGACTAGAACAAGACACCCTTGGTCTGTGTCTCTTTAGTAAGCTTGATGTCCCTGATCACGAACATCCAAATAAGGGAAAGAGCCATAATCGCAGTCCCAGCAATCAACATCTTGCTCTGTGCCTCTGCATAAGCAAGGGAAATGGCGTGTCGAGTCTCTTCGCCACTTGGGTAACTCAGCTGCGATTCAAGCGAGTCATAGATTGTTTCCCAGTCAGCCTTGGCGGACTCAGGAAGTAGACGCTTCAATGCTGCAGGCAAAGTGTGCGTCCAGATAGCACCTGAGATACTACTTCCAATCGCGCCTCCCATAGAGCCAAAGCAATTAAGGAATGCGAGGGATGAAGCAGCATGATTGTGATCTGATGCGGCTAGGACGGCAACTTGTTGGCAGATAATCATAGTACCGCCAGCAAACGCAATGAATACCTGGCACATGATCGTATAGCCAACAGACCGGTCAGGGTTGCGAAAATAGATCATCAAGCCGACTCCAAGCATGTAGAGAGGTACTGCTCCCCAAAGTAACCATCGGAAACGGCCTGTTTTCTTGATCAGAACTCCCACAACTAAAAGCCAGACTCCAGAAACCACGTCGAAGATGCTGCTTATGTATCCTGCAACTTCGATACTTGTTCCGTACACGACCTGCAGATAGGAGGTGAAGTAGTCGGCCCAGCAGTAGTATGCGATCTGGTAACAGACATCTATGAGACAAGCACCAAGAACCGTTCTGGAGACCAATAATTTCCATGGAAGAAAGGGCACTGGAGCAAGGAAGCGCTCTGCCAAAGCAAAGGCGATCAAGCACACGATGCCAATCACAAGCATCGTAATGATCGAGCCAGACCTCCAATCGTCGGCAGTAGATCCAGCGATGGTGAAGGGAAGTAGGAAAAGGACCAGTCCAGCGGTCAGAAGGAACACACCCAGGACTGCAAGTGTTAGCACGAAGTCGTTCAGCGAGGGTTACAACTTACTGTCAAACTCGATAGTATAAAATATGATACTTTGCATTAGAGATCTACCGCTCGCTTCTTTCTTACGCAGGAGCCCCTTCTTCTTCGCCTTGTAGCGATTATACTGCAAGAGACCAAACATTGGCAATGCAACAACAGGAAGGACAATAGCGAAACAGCCGTATGCCCAACGCCAGTTGGTTTCGTAGAAATGCTGGGAAGCAGCAGAACCTGCGTATGCTGTGATGATATAAGGCGAGGAAGTGAATGCATACGCAAGACCTCGATCGCGCAGCGTCGACGTGTCTGCTGTGATGACGTCGACGCAAAAGATCATACCGGAAAATCCAACACTGTAGAATACCTTTTTTGTGGACATAAGTGATTTGTACAGTACTATAGGCGAAAAGTGCAATGGACTTACCTGCGATGCGCAGTAGGTTGCGATGCCCGTGCAGGTAGCAGACAATATCAATCCCACAGTGGCGAAGACTGCCATGAGGAGGAATCCAAGAGAGCGGTCCCAGAGGTTCAGTATTTTCGCGACAGGCATATAGGTTGCTGCTGACATGACGCTGGATACGACATAGATCACTGGAATTAGGGAGTGCGACTCGAATCCGCTGGTCACGTAGGCCGACAAGTTGCTAGTGATTGAGGACTGAAAAGCATTAACAAAGTATAAGAGAAACATTCTATTTTGCAATAGTCAGCGTTTTCCCTCTCTACGGCTATCACATCTGGACTCACAAGATATACGCTGCTCCCAAAGATGTCTTTGTCCATGATAAGGTGATAGCTTCGGCTTGTGTTACTCCGTTTTGGGCTGACTCGTCAGGGAGCTGGTCATTAACGGCGTCGTCGACTTTTTCAGCTGGCAACTTTGATTCTGTCTTCGTTAAAGTGTCCGCGGTTGCGAGTTCATGGTCTCCAGTAGGACCTGGAGAAGCAGAATCCGCAGCTGGAAAGACCCTCTTCAACATGGACAACATCTTCAGTTTGGGAAGTGTCCCTCCACTCTGGCTCTGATAGAAGGACTATGCTGAATGAAAATACTAAATCAGAATCCATGCTATCAGCGACACGAGGCTTCTTAAGACATTTCCAAGTTGGACTCTTTCACAATTAAGGCAAATCCAGAACACTCCGCCTGAAGGTGATCTGGCCATATCGATCTTTAGAGATCTAGTGTGTGAAAAATCGCATCAGAAAACTTTACTCGCAACTTAGTGGAGAGCATCTAGCATGCATTGGGGGCGGGTCGCCCGAGATAGAGTGGTATCGCTTCCCATAGCTTTCCTGGATCGCTGCCGCGGTTTTTCGCGTACGACATTGGGACTGAGGTGTTACGAGTAGTCGCAACTGAGTGGTTCTTGGGAAATTATCAATGCATTTACAATCTCATCCAAGGGTTACGGAATATTCGTCCATCACCTCCGTATTGGATACCAGCCGAAGAATGAAGATGAGGAGTAGACCGAATTTTCTCTTTCTTTCCTTTTCTTTGCCCTTCTCGCTTCTCATCTTCATGACTCGTATCGGCCCCAACAAACGCGTATAGTTACGCCACTCGGCTTCAATAACTAGGCTACCGACCTTATCAGATTAGATCTGGCGTATCAGATTAGATAATATAGCTTGTCTAGCGGCGTCTACGAAAGTCTATTTCATTAGCGGCGAGATGAATAGTGCAGCTTACTCTTGGCTCTTGAGTCTTGACTCTTGAGTCTTAATACATAGTGCATCAAAAAAAAAAAATTGCCAACGCTAGTAAGCTTGGCACTATTCCGTCTTATGCCCTAGATGCTAATAACTTCCTTTATTAGTGATAGATGAAGCTATTCCCTAGTCGCTCCAGATCATGTTTTTCCAATCCTCAAGTATCCGAGTGTTAGGTAGTTTATGATCTAGGGCAAACTGTAACCTACGACGTTTATTTCGTTAGTAAGTCTGAAAGTCCCTATTTGCGCAAAATCCGCTAAGCAGAGGCAGACATCTTGCTCTATATCCTTTGTAATCTTTGGGGGCCGTTCAGATCGTTTAGCATCCTCGATACACTCTTTTTAATGCGAACACTCAAGTAGTGGATTATAGTCGCGCTCTTGGGTTTTTTCTCGAGAGCTCTTTGCCTACGAGGAGGAATCCGTGTCGAGCGATAGGTCTCAATGGGATCAGCTCCGTATATGATCATAGTCGAACGAGCTTTTTTCATGGTCTCGGTGTTGGTCTTGCAGATTTAACTATTAGAGGAGTTTTATCAGTTCTAAGAGAGTCGATATTACGGTTGCTCGTCGGCTCGTTGGTACGATTAGAATGATCAAGCTCTATTGCAAAAAGCTTTATATCTGGTGACATCGAGCGAATGGGCAGTCAGCAGCACTAGGCAGCTCTACTAAGCTCTAATATATCATAGTACGGAGTTGGTGAAGCGTTAGGCGTAATGAATCTAGTACGGCCAATCTTACTAGCGTTGGGAGTGGCTTGAAGTGAAGGAGCATGCCCATGACTTATCGGAAAACGCCGAGCTAACTATTGTTTTACTGGGAAGCTATAAACGATGGCGGCGCTCACTCTAAATCCAGACTTAATAGGGCCAGGCTTTTCATCGCTTACGGATCCTAAACTTCACTTTACACTGCAGTACGTTCAAATAAATACTAGCTGAAGGGAACATGTTCCCAGGAAACCTTATGTATGTACTATGTCTGCTTCTACATTATGATCGATACATTGCTATCTGAAACTACTCTGTCTGGGTCTTTGTAATCCATATATTAACTCGGCACTCATACCGAGATTATTATAACCGGTTATACTATTCAGCAGCTTCTCGGAGATTCTTTACCATTTAGTATAGAGGGAAGTCAGGAATATAATACACTAGTCATCAGCTTAAAGTACTCGAAATAAAGCTTTGTGTAACTGTCCGTAGAGCAGCAGAGTAACGAAGTGCCTGAAGCTTCAGAGACGTATGGCACGATCTGAAACTATCAAACAGGATAAATTCGTGCAGTTGTTAAGACCTCTCTGAACTGTATCACATGAGGTCTGTCAAAGGTATCTTGAATTATCTACAATCATTCCGACAGCTATAGATCTGTCATAAGAGCACTAAAAGATACTCGCACTATATCTACAGCCGCTCTGACATTATACAACGCTGCTGGGAATGCCATACTCCATGAGAAAATCTGCTACCGGATGCGTTAATTGCATCAGATGCACGATATCTCATCTATATACCGGATCGACGTCGCGGCTATGGCAGACGTCCACGTCCGCCCTCTGCCACTGAAGAGCGCCTCGTTCTTCCTTTCTCGCCTGCACTTGACTCTTTCGACACAGACTTCCAACACACGTTGGCCTCACACACATTTTCAGTCGCACATTATTTAATGGAATCTAAGAAATAAATCCCCATGGGGAAAGTATCCTGAGACCGGAGAAAGTATCTAGCCGGGAAAGATCTTTTCCGCTGCTAGTTTAGGTAGTAGTGCCATTATCTGACGGCACGCTTGTTGGGATCTCGCCAACCCGTTTAGATCGACCACTACCTGTTAAATCATTGAAGTGTAGGTGTTAGGATAAGCCGATAGGTAACTTAACTATGTTGCCGGGTCGCGATGTAGAGGTGCACTGTGAGATGATAGGCAAATCAGGCTAGGGCTCTTCGTAAAGGCCCGGCATTCATAGCAGGCGAGAATAGACACCCGCATGCAACATGACAACAATAAAACTATCTATGGTACATATACCACCGGAACATGCATGCCCAACGGTAAACCAAAGCGGTTGAACGGCGTCAGTTATGACTGTTTTGATCGACCGTGCGAGACTGCCGAATCCACTACACCCCGCCTCTTCCCCGCGTGCCAGGAACAACACGGGTCGAGACTCGGGATTCAACGTCGGGATGAAGACGACAAGGCAGAAGATGGAAATGGAGAAATTTTTCCAACAAAAATTGGGAATCCTTTTATTCTCAATCTCGCCCAGAGAGATGAAATAGAAGTTCTTCAATTCCTTTTCCTTTTAACACTCCTCACTTGGTAGATTACAACCCCGCCTGTTACACAATGCGCCATCGTCTTATGGTCGGCACCTGGACGCCTCCAGGGCGAATCTACACAGTCGAGTTCGACGATGAGGCTCTAACGCTCACGTTGGTCAAGAAGACCGCAATCCCAGAAGACGAACCCATCTCGTGGTTGACGTTCGACGTGAGTCTCCCGAGATGCTTTGCGACTCCCGATCTCACAAAACCCGTTGCTAGCACGCCAAGAAAAATATATACGGCGCTGCGATGAAGAAATGGTCCAGCTTCGCAGTTCAAAGTGCCACTGATATCATCCACACTACATCTCAACCTCTAGGAGGTCATCGTACGTGCTTCCCTGAAGAAATCCAATTATTCCACGACTTTCCCTAGGCTCACCTCTTGTGTCTTGTCTAGCATCCGCATCCCGAGCAGACACAAACACCAGAGCTATCTTCGTCCTGGCGGCGAAGAAACCACCATACAATGTTTACGGAAACCCCTTCTACGATTATGCCGGTTACGGCAACGTGTTCTCCGTCGACGCCAACGGGGCCATTGAGCGTAACATCCAGAACTATGAATATGCGCCCAACTCCGGCGTCCACGGGATGGTCTTCGATCCCACCGAAACCTACCTCTACTCGGCGGATCTCCGCGCAAACAAGATCTGGACGCACAAGAAGGAAGAAGATGGTCGTCTGACTCTCGTCGATTGTATCGATGCTCCCTCACCTGACGATCACCCGCGGTGGGTGGCTATGCACCCCAGTGGAGCGTATCTTTATGTCTTGATGGAGGCTGGAAATCGTCTCGGCGTCTACGTGATTGATGAACATAGACATGTTCCTGTCTTCACGCGTCTCACATATCCCCTGATTCCTCCAGGTACTACCTCCCGTCCCCTCCCGCTAATATCAACTACGAACGCGATGGAACAGAGTAGTTTTGACTGACCACCCCAGGACTACCTCCACGAAACAAATACCGCGCCGATGTCGTCTTCACATCTCACAGTGGAAAGTATCTCTTCGCCACCACCCGTGGCAACTCATTCGACATCACAGGTTACATCAGTGCATTCAAGCTAGGACCAGCCGGCAACATTGAGCGCCAACTCTTCATCAACCCAACTCCCAACAGCGGAGGGCACTCGAACGCCGTCAGCCCCTGTGACTGGAGCGATGAATGGTTAGCCCTGACTGATGACCAGGATGGATTTGTTGAGATTTACCGCTTCCGCGACGAACATCTCGCACGTGTTGCGCGCGTGGATATCCCTGAAAAGGGATTCGGTATGAATGCGATCTGGTACGATTGAAGTTAGGTAAGATGCTATATAAAAATGGAGCAAATGAATCATTAGCGACTTTTACGCAAACTCTACGCGCGGTAATATATTTAGACTATAGTACCTTAGGTCAATCACCTCTGTATATGTGTTTAGACCTAGATATATATAGGAGAATTAATATGTGATTGTTTCGTGTAGATATCTACTTGGGGATAATTAAATCTCATCCCGTGTTTAATCCTTGGTTGAACGGAATAACACACATTAGGATTAAATCGAGTGGAAATGAGGATGTACCATCCCTGAAGTGTAAATTTTAATCAAAACCAAATGCAAGTATTACCTCTGGAGGACCATCAACTGTCCACGGTACATAAGCTTTAGTTGCACGTGACCCAGGATAGGAGCTCGCGATTATTCTTGCGGGTTCGGCAGTCAGAGTCGGATCGCGGTGGTATATACTTTCCCGCCTGGATGCGGGGAATCCGTCTTCGTGTCTGTTTTACTGTTTTTATTTTTTTTTTAATCACTGTTTCCTCACTTGTTGGATTTTAAGAGGCAAAAGTGCTAGGACTTTGTTTTTACTAGTGACTGCACCTTTACAATTGATTGCAGGTGACAATCATGGCGCCGGGGCTTCTATACGTAACGATGCAGCCGCAGGACGGCCTGTCGGATGCAGAGTTTCACGACTGGTATAACAACGAACATGGCCCTCTTCGTCTGCGGCTCCCGTCCATCCAGAACGGTTTTCGCTACCGAGCCACGGACCTGGATGGACCGGGGAAGGGCCTGCCCGAGTGGGTGGCTCTCTACGATGTCGCTGATATGTCGGAGCTGACCAAGGCACCCTACACGACGCTCCGGGAACCTGGTGTCAAGAGTGAGCGTGAGAAGGAAACAATGGCAAAGATCGCAGTGGATCGGCGGTTGTATGACCTGCTGGATGACCAGCACGTCGAGGGTTTCCGGCCACTGGAGGAACTTAACGCGCCCGTAGAGGGCAGCGTCCTTGTTGCTCTCAGCACCACCGTACATCCAGGCAAGGAGAAGGAGCTCGATCGATGGTACCGCGAAGAACATATCCCACTGCTATCCAAGGTGCCGGGATGGCTGCGTACGCGGCGATTCGCCAGTTCCCAGATCGAGAAGCATGATGAGGTCGAGTACCTTACCCTGCATGAATATTCCGCCAACAACGGACTGGGCGGTCCCGAATGGCAGGCGTCGACGACCACGCCTTGGACAAAGGAGATCAACACAAGCGTCGTCAAGGACAAGCGTCGCCGGGCATATTCTTGGTATTACACTTTTGGGCCAGCACCACGCGAGCTGGGTGCGCTGAATACCGGGAGTGCACCCTTCGTTTCCCCAGATGGCAAGACGAAGACCTTCCCCGCGTCCGACGGCCGTCGGGCTGCGATCGAGTCATACATCACGACTCGCGACGGTGTTGAGCTCCCGTATCGTCTCGAAGGGGCTGGGGAGCCAGATGCCCCGCTGCTGGTGTTGAGCAACTCCATCCTGGTTGAATGGGGGATCTGGGATTATTTCCTGGACGCCTTTTTCAAGGAGCCGCAGAACCGTCGTTACCGCGTGCTGCGCTATCACACGCGCGGGCGTCTCCGGCAGTCTGGCGCACGCCCAGTGACCCTCGACGTCCTGGCGGAGGATCTCGTCGCCCTGCTGGACGCCCTCCGCGTGCCCCAGGCGGCGGCGGTGATCGGGGTCAGTCTCGGCGGCGCGACGGTGCTGAAGACGGCCCTGCAGTACCCGGAGCGGGTAGCGGGCTTTGTCAGCTGCGACACCAACGCCGTGAGTCCGTCTGGCAACCGGAAAGCCTGGGGAGATCGTGCTGCTATCGCGATCCAGGAGGGTGCTTCGAACGCCAAGGGCGAAGCCATCGTCGGACAGGAGCTGGCGGAAGCGACGGTCCGCCGGTGGTTTGTGCCCGGAAGCTATGATAACGGTGTGCTGCACGCGCGGATCGAACGCGTCCGCGAGATGATACGCGGCAACAGCCTCAAGGGGTTCCAGCACAGCGTGCAGGCGCTGTTCGACTACGACATGCAAACAGACATGAAGGCCTCGGGGACGCGGGGCATCTTTGTCGTGGGGGGTGGGGACGGTGTCTTGCCGCAGACGATGAAGGAGATGGCCAGCAGTCACGGCAGACCGTCTGCGTTGCACGTCCTCGAGGGCGCTGGCCATCTACCGATGGTGGAGAAGCCAGCAGAATTTGCGGAGGTCGTGACACGCTTCCTGGATGGCCATTGATAGTTAGTTAGTTACATGTGGAACTGTGAATAAGCACAAGCACAGTAAGACTGTTGAGAGAGAGAAACCCTTATTGTTTGATCAGCCCGATGACGACAATTATGAATGTAGCGTGCTCTAGACAGCGTTTATGGTAACTTCGGTATGAGTTGATAAACCCAATAATATAATCAACAGGACAAACTTCGGACATTTCGGCGTTAATCCCAGGGCATATTAGAACTGCCGTGAACCATCGGGTTCCCTACGATATACTGTAGATACCTAGGTAGGTACTGGAGGCCTCTACCTAAGGTAACAATTAACCCTGCAGATGACGACAGAAGCCCAACACCATCGTGCACCGATGCTGCATGCCAAGATGCAGAATTTTCGATACTTTTTATGCATCGAGTAACATGGTATTAATACATATTTAATTAACTTAACTACGGAGTAGAGTCTGCAGAGAATAATACACAGCAGCGCGTGCCGAATAATCGACCGGGTGCGTTGTCGTAACGGGGTCCGTGGACGGAAGCCAGCTCTGGCGTCATCGGCCCACCGGGTGGACAACCCTCTGCGGGGCGGACGGTCGGGGAAGGAGGGGGACAACCGACGGGGACTGGAGAGGACCTGGAGAGAAGTGGGGGCTGGGGCACACAGGGCTGTGGCATTAATATTGATCATGATGGTGTGGGAGTATATGGATTTTGTGCTCTCCTCTCCTCTCTTGTGCTCTTACATCGAATCGCATCAAAATGTCCCAAAGAAGGCATTAGACTGTTCTTCTTCACGCAGCGCCACCATCGATTGGGCTGTTTCTTTTTTCTTTCTTTTTTTTTGGCGCTTACCAGAAAGCTTCGCAGCTGATCGACAGCCAGACGGAATCTGAGTCGGGCCTCCCGACTGACGCAAAAAACAGGACTCGGGAGCCGACGGTGCATTCGGACAACGATAAATGCCGACCGAAGCAAGAAGTTGGCCCGAAGGCAGCGGTGGGCAAACTTAACTTGCGCTTCACGATGTCCTTGTCCACTTTGATTTCCCGTTCCATGCATTGTTCGCAACCGGGGAGGGCTCGGCGCATGTAAGATGGGGATCATCGTCGCAGCACGCTGTGATTCTTTTGGATCTGCGAACAACGCTGACCGCTAGACCGGCCATAGATAGACTATGACCCTGCTAGACGACGACCAAATACAGACTCGGTTTCCGGCTGGAGTAAGCACAGGAGGAGGTCAGAATTATTATCTATCTATACTCTACCAAGTAACAGTTATAGTTAACTAACTACCATACTGACCCAGCAGAGGCCCGCTCGCGCTGAGTCAGCAGGGGGAGGAGAGGGGACGGGCTGTCTTGGTTGGTTACCAGACAGTGGATTTCTACGGAATCGCTAGTACTACGGAGTAATCCCATAATCCCATAATCCCATAGTTATGCATCGGATAAGGATAATACCATAATCACATAACGAATGATCGATGGTTGGTTGCTAGTGATGTCCGAGTATCTAGAGTAGTTCTGCCGACGAACGAAGTGCTTGTTTTCGGCCATCTGCCGACCCGATTCCGGGTTGGAATGCTGGTTGTGCTGCTTCCGACCGCCTTCGTTTCCCGGTCGAGTAGCAACGAGTAGCAACGAGAGTAGACTAACTACCATCCCTAGGTACCATACCTAGTCTATCTACTACCTAAGTAGTTACTACTACTCTCGAGTACGCGAGGAAGCTTTGCTCCCGGACGCACGGTCGACGTAATGGCCACTTCTTCCCCCGACTTCATCATCATCAGCATCATCATGGCATCGCACGCGGTTTGATAGTTCCGGAGCAATGCAACGGGCCACGAGATATCGCCACTCGCCGCACAACGGCCGACAGGATGTCGGATATCGCACTTAGCTTGATGCAGCGTGTCGTCGAACAAGCTTTCTTTGTTTTGCAAAAGCCTCACTGAGAACTCCACCGGTGGTCGTCTCATTGGACTATGGACCTTCAGGAACTACTCCATCGTCGATCGGTTCTTATCGAAAAAAAGAAAGACAAAAGAGAAAAGAGAAAAGACAGAAGAAGAAGCGCGGACGTGTGATGTCACGGTGGCCGACATGCTCCATATCGCTATGGGGACCAGTGGAACCGCAGCCCAAATGCTTAGCCAACGATCACCATGATTCAAGCATTCAACTCCACGACTATACAATCGCACAGGGCAATGTCGACTACTCCAGTAAGACCATACTCCGTACGGGGAGAAGTGGTGGAGTGTCGGGGAAACACTCCCCACACCCTTCTTATGCTCTACTCTTACTCTGCTCTGCGTGCGTGCTGTTGCCACGACGTCCTCCCCACGATCAGGAAACCCTTTAAACCTTGGATCCTCCCCTTTTCTTCTTCCCCAGTTCTTCTTCCTGAGTCTATTCCTCCAGATTAAAAAGAAAAAGAACAACCTCCTTTTGATAACCGGTGGTTGAATATCAGGGACCAGACAAAGACTAGGAACCCGGATTCGAGCAAACCCTACACTAACCCCATCTCTCTTTCGATGGTTGCGTTGTTTAAGACATTGAGGTCGTCCATCCCATATAGTCTACCATGGCGCCCACCTACGCTGGTATGTCCGGACGCCCACTGTCGCTGACCGTGTCTACGGTCGCGACTATGGGTTTCCTGCTATTCGGATATGATCGTAAGTGCCAGTCCCCTCGAGTTGCCTCACGTTGGCTCCAACAGAACGGAAGATAGTTAACGGAACACAACCATAGAGGGTGTTATGTCTGGAATCATTAGTGACGCCGCCTTCAACGATGTCTTCACCGCCACTAAAAACAATAACACCATGCAAGCCTTGGTAACAGCCATTTACGAGCTTGGTAGGTGATGCCGTTCTCCTGAATAGTACATCCCTGGACATCCACCAAGGCTAACTATTCAACCATATAGGATGTCTGGCTGGTGCTGTCTTCGCACTCATATTTGGTGACCGTCTCGGTCGCAGAAGGATGATCATCCTCGGAGCATCTATCATGATCATCGGTGTTATCATCCAGGTCACTGCTTTCCCAGGCCATATCCCCCTGCTGCAGTTCTTCTTCGGTCGATCAATCACGGGTATTGGCAACGGCATGAACACCTCTACAATCCCGACCTACCAGGCCGAGTGCTCCCATGCCAAGAACAGAGGTTTGTTGATCTGTATCGAAGGAGGTGTGATTGCTATTGGAACTGTCATTGCATACTGGATCGATTATGGCGCACATTTCGGCCCTCCCGACCTCGTCTGGCGTTTCCCTATTGCCTTCCAGATCGTTTTCGGTGTCGTCATCATTGTTGGAATGACCTACCTGCCCGAATCTCCCCGTTACTTGATCACAAAAGACAAGATCGAGCAGGGTGAATACGTGCTGGCCGCACTGGCAGGTACAGAGATCGATGATCCCCGCACTCAGCTGCAGAAGTCGCTGGTTCTCGACTCGATCAAGGCGTAGGTTCCCCCTGTCAGGCTCAGTTCTTCAGAATGACCAATACTGACCCGCCCTCTTACAGCTCTGGTGCCATGCGGAAGACCTCGTTCAGAGACCTTTTGACCCACGGCAGAACCCAGCACTTCCGCCGTATGCTGATCGGTTCTTCTTCCCAGATCTTCCAGCAGCTCAGTGGTTGCAATGCGGTCATCTACTATCTTCCCGTATTGCTCAAGCAGTCTCTGCATGAGTCCGAGAACATGTCGCTGTTGATTGGTGGTATCAACATGATTGTCTATGCCATCTTCGCTACGTTCTCCTGGTTCTTCATCGAGAAGATCGGTCGTCGCAAGCTCTTCTTGGGAGGAACATTCGGTCAGCTGACGGCCATGACCATTACTTTCGCTTGCTTGATCCCCGGAGACCCGTCGAGTGCCAAGGGTGCTGTCTTTGGTCTGTTCCTTTACATGGCCTTTTTTGGTGCTACTTGGCTGCCCCTGCCATGGTTGTACCCTGCCGAGATCTCTCCTATCAAGACTCGTGCCAAGGCCAACGCCGTCTCTACTTGCAGCAACTGGCTGTTCAACTTCACTGTCGTTATGATCACCCCTGTCATGGTTGAGCATATTGGATGGGGTACCTACCTGTTCTTCGCGGCCATGAACGCATCTTTCCTGCCATTCATCTGGTTCTTCTACCCTGAGACTGCCAACCGCAGTCTGGAGGAGATCGATATTATTTTCGCCAAGGGCAACCATGAGAACATCAGCTATGTCAAGGCTTCGCATGACCTTCCGAAGCTCCAGGATGAGGAGCTTGAGGCTAAGGCCTACGAATATGGTCTTTACAATGAGGAGCCTCCGGAGGAGGAGCTCGAGAAGGGCATTGCCAGCCACGACCCTCCTGCAAGCGCCGAGTTTGCCTCCTTCCAGCCTACCCAGCTGTAAGGAACTTGTTCGAATTCTTTTTTGTGATCTGAGGAATTTTGCTTGGATCTGCTATGTATATACACGATGGCTTTCTTATCGGGATACGATACCCACTTGGCATAGATGGAAGGGAATTGGTTTATAGAATAGACGACATCTCCCGTGTTATGTTATGACTTACAAATAATACAATTCATGAATACTACATATGAAACTGAATTCTTACAAACAATATAAGATAAAACGAAGTAGCTACCAGTACACACTGTCTTCAGTTGGTGCGACACATTCCAACCTGAAGCTTTTGCGACCGTCGAGCGCAGCCTGGAGGTTCGCCTCGGGGAACGTCTTTTATCGGGAATATTATGTCTTGGGAACTACGAATAAAAGGCTACATAACTAGATGGAATCATTGAAATAATTTACTCAGAATACAACCGGGTTAAAATAAATTTATCAAGCAACTTCCCAAGCTTCAGCGCAAGTAACCATCACACATATAGTATCCGAAGTCACATAATTCAAATCCGTACTGGTTGCGTATCACCAGACACAAGTATATCTCTTCCCTGAACCAAAGAATTCTCGCACTTCCTCTGATTAGCATAATCATCCAGATTCCGAAACGTCACCTCAGCGATCTGAGTCAAGGCTTCCTCCGTCAGGAACGCCTGATGACCATATATCAGCGCATTCGGAAGCGTGAGCAATCGCATCAGATCATCATCCTGAATAATCTCGGAAGAATGGTCATTATAGAAAAGATACGATTCAGCCTCATACACATCCAGAGCGAGACCACCGAGCCGTTTCGACTTCAACGCATTAATCGCTGCTTTCGTATCCACCAATCCTCCACGAGAGGTATTGATCAGTAACGCCCCGGGTTTTATCCTCGCCAGACTTGACTCATTGATGATATACTTTGTAGCATTCGAGAGCGGACAATGGAGACTGACAATATGGCTCTGCGCCAACAGCTCATCAAACGATACGAGATTCCCATAGAATTTCTCGAATTCTGCATTCGGATACGGATCGTACGCGAGTAAACGACATCCGAAACCCCGAAGGATCTTCGCCAGGGCCATCCCGATCTTTCCAATCCCAACAATCCCCACCGTCTTACCATGCAACGTGAATCCAATGAAACCATCAAGACTAAAATTCCCTTCCCGAACACGAGTATACGCACGATGCGTCTTGCGATTCAGCGCCTGGATCAACGCGACTGCGAATTCCGCCACGGACTCAGGCGAGTATGCCGGAACACGTGCGACGAAGATACCCAGTTCTTCAGCTTTTGGAAGATCGACGTTATCGAATCCCGCACATCGAAGGAGAACTGCGCCGACGCCGTATTGTTGAAGGGCTGAGAGAACAGTGGAGTCGAGCACGTCGTTGACGAAGACGCATACTGCCTGACAGTCGCTGGCTAGGGAGACGGTTTCGTTGGAAAGGGAGAAACTGTGGTATTGGACTTTGTAGGAAGGGTAGAGGGAACGTTGGATAGATTGGAAATATTCTCTGTCGTAGGACTTGGCGCTGAAGACGGCGAGTTTCATTTTTTATTAATTAGTATAATAATTAGTCAGAATAAAAGTAAAATAAACGATAATTGTAAATGGGGTATAAAAAGGAAAATCTAGATAGAGATTCATCTGTTAAGTCGACTTTTTCTTATACCAACATCTCCATCCGCTTTGGGAAATATAAAATCGGAAAATCACATCTCATGTCCAGTAGGCCGTAGTCAATTACGTCACATATTAAATATTGAAATACCAGACCAAACCGCATATACCGTCGACAGTTCATTGAGGATTTGGCCTGAATAACGAGAGAATGAACAAGCATAGAGTTTGCTTTGTGTTTGCATAGTATCGGTTGGGTTATCCATGATTTACGTTTCAGTAATACAAAAGGTAAGCTCCCCACGTGCGGGAAGCTAAAAAAATATACTTTGATTAATTTCGTCTCCTAAGTTCCAGAGAGGTCTCGTATAGCAGTAGAACTAGGCCAGTCTGAAATTGAATAGATTCGTGCCGCAGTCTAATCTAGCGCTACTTGTCGCCTATAAATATAGACATAGGCTATGTATTCCGCTTTAAATTATAGAAGCAAAGATTCTCGCTAAAAATATAGATAGCTAAGAAAATAAAAGGTTTTGCCTTGCATATTCTGTTTTGGAATGAGTTATAATTTAAGCCTAGGCGCGTTTAACAACCTGTCCCAATTTACCATCAGTCTCTCGGAAATTTCTAACACAAGCAGAGGAATAAAGTTGTGGAAATAGCACACAACGATACTCCAGAAGTTTCCTTCCCTATCAAAGACCTGAGATTTATGCTTCTTCAGGGTTTGACAGCTACTTTAAAACATAACTAGCTGGTGTTAGAGACGTCCCTCTTAGTCTATATCTACGAGGAATTCTACAGGCACTAAGAAAACAGTAAGAATAAACTAAATAAAGTCACCTCATTAGACAAAAAAAAAAAAGAAAAAAAAAAAAAAAAAGAAAGAAGCGGGAAACCCATCCATAGATAACATTAGTTAACTTAATTAGAAAGAGGCTTAGCACAAAGGAAGCCCCCTGATTTATCCATAGATCGCGGGCATAGATAGTCTATCTACGCTACCTAGGTAGTCAAACCGAATAACTAGATAGGTCAGCATTGTTTGCCTACCTACCTAATAATAATTTTAAACAGGTTAGAAGCAAAATCTCTCAGCGTGGTGCCAAGAAGTCGACAGGATTCGGAACCATGCTGAGAGTTTTTGGCACTACGCCGAGCTGGCATTTATCATCGCCTCGCTAGCGCTCGTCGATAAGATGCACGGATTCTAGATAGGTAGTTAAGTACTTGGAATCCAGGCTTTCCACCCCCTTTATCAGCTCCTGCATGAACCAAAGAGAAACATGGGCTGCACAGCTCTAGTATCTCGAACTCGATCAGAATTCACGGGTCCTTCTCGATAGCCTACAGCCTCCGCTATCCTTGCAAGTTGCCAACTGAGATTCATTTGAGATCAACACTTCAGAAAATCAATGCATATTTCAAGATACGCTTGGTAATTGATGTGCAGCAATGCAACCCTTCTATTCCTCTAAATCTAATCTAGATTGGACAGTATGTATCGGGAGTAGGTCTAGCCCTACCCCAAGCACAAACAAAGGATCTTGCGGCCCACCAGCGGATATAAAAGGAAGATAAATTCCTGGCACATGTCTGGTAGCAATCCATCAGATCAATTGATAGGAATCACTCACTTTGTTCTTGCTGCTTTCGCGAAATCACAAAACTTACACTCAAGAAATGTCCTAAAAAGCAGAGTATGCCACAAACTTGAAGTGGATATCGCATGCAGTGAGTGTTTATTCCACGTGAATTGGCAAGGGATAGTTATCAAGTAGTGCGATTAGACCATGTTAGGAGTAGAAATAGAGAAACATAGTCGAACTAGTGTGAATTAGGCTAAACCGGTCGATGTCGATCCCCCACTACGCCCCGTGGATCTGCTGTCTTATCAACGAAACCTACTTGTCGAGACATAAGACTTCGAAGTCAACTTTGTTTGAGGCCGAACTAAATGGCCGTTCTTACGATTGCCTCAAGGGCAAATGGTGCCCTTGTCCTTCCTGCGATGCTTGCAGCATCACACATCAAGCAGAGCAACCCTCATGATGGATTTGTGCTTGAGTGCAAAGATGTGGAGTCACCAGGAAAGGGGAACGAGAAAGTGATACTTACAACGAACAATGGCGATGCCATCGTTCATGGATCCGTCTTGCTATACTTGCTAGACAAAAGCGTACTTCCTAGAGGAGTAAATAGAAATGAGGTTTGTTGGTGATTCCTTCTGTGTAGTCTTCCGACGTTGCTCATCATCTATTAGGTCGATGAATGGCTGCATCGTTCTGCGGATTTTGCAGTTCCCAACTTCAAATCCTTGGAACAACCCATGAAGGAGTTGGAATCGCACCTCGCATTACGTTCTTACGTTGTTGGCTACTCACTGACCTTGGCCGACCTTGCTGTCTGGGGTGCTCTTCGTGGGAACAGAGTGGCTACCAACCGTCGAAACTACGTCAATATAAGCCGTTGGTTCGAGTTCATCGAAGTCACTAATCCTTGGATTGTGGCTGTCGTTGCAGATCTCAGCAATGCTGCGCGACAGAAAAAGGCTGCAGCGAGTGCAGCCGGTGGAAGCTATAATATTGGCCTGAGAAACACCGAAAACGGGATCGTTACTAGGTTTCCCCCAGAGCCCTCCGGGTATCTTCACATTGGTCATGCGAAGGCAGCTTTGCTAAATGACTATTTCGCCCACGAATACCTCGGTGCTGAGTCACGCGGTGTCCTTATCTGTCGATTTGACGATACTAACCCCACCCGCGAATCTGCGGAGTTCCAGGATTCAATCGTGGAAGATTTGGCATTACTTGGAATCCAACCTGATCGAATCTCCTATTCCAGCGACTATTTCCAGCAGATGTATGAAGGTTGTGTGAAGCTTATTCGCCTTGGCAAGGCATATGCAGACAACACACCGAAGGAAGTTATGGGGGAGCAAAGGGGAAAAGGAATTCCCAGTGCATGCCGGGATATGAGCGTTGAGGATAGCCTTGCCCAGTTTGAAAAGATGAAGGCTGGTTCGGCCATGGAATGGTGCATTCGTGCTAAGATCTCCGTTGATAACCCAGTGAAATGTCTGCGTGACCCAGTCATTTATCGCTGCAATCTCCAGCCTCACCACCGAACTGGAACAACTTGGAAGATCTATCCGACATATGATTTCTGTGCTCCCTTTCTTGATTCTCTTGAGGGAGTCACGCATGCTCTCCGGACCAATGAGTATCGGGACCGGAATCCACAATATGCCTGGATCCAGGAGGCTCTTGGCATTCGTCCCGTGGATATTTGGGATTTCTCGCGCCTCAACTTCGTCCGAACTGTGCTTTCAAAGCGAAAGCTTACCGTCTTAGTTGATAAGGGTGTTGTCTGGGGATGGGACGATCCTCGAATGCCCACTGTTCGTGGTATACGGCGTAGGGGAATGACAGTCCCCGCACTTCGAGAGTTCATCTTGAAACAAGGGCCGAGTCAAAACGTGATCAATCTTGATTGGACTTCGTTCTGGGCTACCAATAAAAAGTACATTGATCCGATTGCCCCCCGATACACAGCTATTCCCAAGCACAATGCCGTTATAGCAACTGTCAATGGGATTGATGAGACCAGCTCTTTGGATAAGCCAAAGCACAACAAAAATGCCGCCTTGGGTACGAAAAAGGTCTTCTTTTCTAAAGAGATCCTCCTAAGCCAGGAAGATGCTACATCATTCAAAGTGACTGAGGAAATCACACTCATGAACTGGGGGAATGCGATCATTACAAACATTTCAAGAGATGAATCTGGAATTGTATTGGGATTGACATTAAACCTTCACCTCGAAGGCGACTTCAAGAAGACGGAGAAGAAGGTGACTTGGCTGGCAAAAGAAACAGTCAATATGATTCCTGTCGATCTGGTCGACTTTGACTACTTAATCAGCAAGGATAAGCTTGAGAAAGAGGATGACCTCTTTTCATTCGTTACGCCAAAGACTGAATTTCGGACCAAAGCCTGGGCCGACTGCAATGTTGCGAACCTTGCTAAAGATAGCATCATTCAGTTTGACCGCATCGGTTACTTTCGGGTCGACCAAGGATATCAGGAAGGTAAACCAGCTGTTCTTTTCAACATCCCGACTGGGAAAGGCGTTTGAATACAGTGATTCACCGCACGGTATTATTCCAGATGCAGTTATTTGTTTTTCCTATCTTTATACTTGGCCTCTCTCGGTACCAAAATGTTAGAAAGCCTTTGGCTAGGGTTAGTCTAGGGAAATTTCGGGACAGCGACGGTTCCTTCGCCAAGCGCCTTGACACTTGCGGAGCTACCCTATGAACTTACATATTAATAATGAGACTAAATCCAAAAGTATCGATTCCCAACGAAGCGTTGCAGAAAGCATGTGTGGACATGGAACATTCATCTGTAAGTGGTATTTTGATATCAGCGGCTAAATTCTGTGTGTCGTCACAGTTGGTGCAGGAGATCGAGTCGCGGGCGATTGTCTCGCAGCACCAGATTGGGACCGTGAAGACCCAGATTAGCGCAAAATAGTAGGATATTCGTCTCCTAGGACTCACATCCAGTGAGCTCGGTACGCTGTTTAAGGATAGGAATGTCTACTAAGGTGTGGGCAAAACGGCCTCTAGGCTTATGCCAACACTAAGAATTCAAGATGATTGGCAGGGTACTAATGTCCTTGGAACCAACTTCTACAAACCTTAAGAAGTAATTACTACTAAGCGGGAAAGGAATTGGTAGCTCTTAGAGGATGATCCAAGCTAAAAGGCAAAATGTCTTTGCATAACGTTGGAAACTGAAATCAAAAGAGGTACACATATATCATTGAGTGATGCGAAACAATGTCAACCGTCAATCGTCCTCCTCATCCGACGAAAATTCAATACTTCTCCAGGTCAGCTTAGATTCATCCCCCTCACTCCACCAACCCAAGAATCCTTTCCTGTAGAGCCGTCTCCGCTGAGCCCATGATCTCTCCATCTCCTCCTCTCGAGCATGCTCTTCATCCTCGTCGTCAGGGTCGTCAGGAAATTGCCACTCAGGGCTCTCAAAGAATCTCCATCGTACCAGTCGCGACTGATCCCACATCACGTATCCTCTCCTCCGAAGGTCCCGCATATACCAACAGCCCACAAAATTCGATCGTGTCAATTTCAAATGTGTCCATTTCCATGCTTGTGCTGGGCCGGGATCGGGATCTTTCACGAAGGAACTACCAAGAACAGCTTCCAGGTTCTCGCCGTCGTAACGCTCCAGCGGGACTTGGTCATCCTCCAAATTTAGAGATCTGACTATGGTTGAAAGGGTCATACCCGCATAATCAAAATTCGGATTTAGAATTCGATAACGATCGTCATAACCCTTGGCCGTGATGACCTTCCGAAGGAAATTTAAACCGCGAAACATCTGTGCGGACAGTGTGAGAATGTATGAAAGGTCATTCGAGCGTCACCACGGGAATGCTCACATAATAATCCTTCGCGACGTTCATACCGTCGCCCTCCCATACTTCGGTATCATCGTACCTGACACTCCATACACCCCACTGCACGTCATGAGCGGCAACTTCATTGAAAGCTATGATTATCTCAACAATCAGCGGACAGAAGACTTCTAAAACATTGGCAGATACTTACGTATGGACAATTCTCGGTAAAGATACTCATGGACAGTATACATCTGTTCCAGCTCCCACGGAGCGAGCTTCTGGAAGAAGATATCCCATTGCTCTTCCGGACTAAAGTCAGTAGTTTCTTTGGGCTTTCGTTCGTGGTCCTGGTTCCGTGTCTGAAACAGCCATGTCCAGAGCTCGAATCGATAGAAACTGCTGATGAGCCGACGTTTTTCATTGTCTGATAGGGGCAGACCAGTGGGGTCTTCAGAGACTCCACTCAGTGGGTTTTCGGACAGTGCAGCGGTTGCAAAGTCCGCAACGAAAGCCTCGATAACCCGATGAAGCCTTTGCATGCAAATCGCATCTTTAACGGTATATTCGAAGTTTGAAGGGATCCTGCGGTTCAAATAGCAGTGGAGGATTCCTAAGACCTTCCCTCGTGTCCATGGTTCGATCTGTGAGGACTTGAGGACCGCGATAACCTCTGGAAGTAGATCAAAAGAGACGATATTCGATACTATGCTTTTAATGATTGCGTTCTTTTGGTCAAGAAAAGCATTGTATAGGGAGGAATGTGAGCGAATGGCAGTTTGAAGTGTTGTAATGTCAGGCAGCAATCGCAATATCAACTGCCTACACTCAATAGGCAAAGAGGTGAGAGATGCTGCAGGTCGTTGTTGCAAGTCCATCACAGGTTTTGTCCCTGCAGAAGAAACTAAAAAGTCTTCAATTTGCTGTGCTATGAACCGCTACTTGCAGTATGAACGGCCCTTTAATTAGTCTTGCAAAGGACATCAGCGAAGTTAGAACTACCTTTCGATTACTTGCAAGAAAAAAAGCGAGTCATAAAGTGTTGCGATACTTCTCGCTGGCAGCTCAAGGGTGTTTTGTTAACAGCCGTCAGCCGCATTTCACTGATACTGGACCTAACTAGTAATCACTCGGTGCATGGTCTTACTTAGTGCACGGTTTTTGCTGCGGAATCTAAAACTTCAGGATACATATATATATATATATATATAGGTATATATATAATATATTGATAATGATTTGATTAGATTGTTGTTAAGACATTCGTGTTTTAAAGGTTTAAATTCCTTAGCAAAAACTGTAGGTCCAGTAAGTAAGTAAGCGCTAACTACTCCCGAAGGCATTTTGCCCCTCGGGGTATAACTACGCACTGAGTCCCCGAGCTTAATCCCGCAGTTATCTGCCCTCTCAACATTCATGGTGACCATGACAACGAAATCTAAAGCTAATGGGCTTGCTGCACTGGCGTGCACAGAGTGTCGAAAACAGCATCTCAAATGCGATGCTCGCAATCCGACCTGCTCACGTTGTCTGCAGAACGGCTATATCTGCCAATATCTTCCCTCGCGACGAGGCGGCCGCAGGAAAGCCCGACAGACTACTTCCAGCCTTCCCAATCAATTGAACGCCAACACCGATCATGATCTCAGCTCAAGGTCAATGAAACAACGAGAAAGAGGACTCCAGAAGGATCTTGGTTTACCTGTTCCTCTGCCTGAGCAGCCTGATAGCACACCACTGCGTCACGCGCCACCTCCCACCAGTTTTTCTGCTGGCCAGGTCTCATGGCCCGGGGTCCCTTCTAGGGACGACATAAACGAAGAGCAACCAGACCAGATTCGGGAATTGAACCCACACGATGAGCGCTTCGTTCGTCTCTATTATGAGAACTTTCATGTCGCTCATCCCATCTTGGTCCCCAGCACCACGTATCATGACCGACAGTACCCCGAATTCCTCCAATTAGTGGTGAACTTTATTGGATCTCACTATGTCCCGTCCAGCCCTATCCTGCAGTACAGAGAGAAAGTGCTCACAGAACTGACCTGCAACCCAGACCGATCGCCATGCATGGTTCAGGCTTGGTTGATCTACTCAATCGCTACCTACGCCCGTGGGGAGTGGCCGGGCGCGCAAGATGCCCTCTCACATAGCGTTGAGATCGCTTTGGAGCTTGGCCTGAATCACAAGGAGTTCGCCATGTCGACGCAGCCGGAGAACAGTATCGAAGCAGAAAGTCTGCGAAGGACATGGTGGGAGTTGTATATTACTGATATCTTCATGACAGCTTCGTCCAAAGGGAATAGCTTTTTCTGCGGAACAATGGCTTCGGAAATTGCATTGCCCTGCGAAGAGTCCGCATACACCGGGGTTTGTGACATCCCAGCACCCCAGACAATGCTTGACTTTAAACGCAGAATCTTCGCACCTGAAGAGACCGTCTTCTCCTCCTTCAGCTACCGTATTGAGGCTGCCACAATATTGAGCCGAGTCCTTGTCTTGAATCGGCTGCAAGACTACCATCGGGATCATCTGCAAGCTGTCGAAAATGCGCTTGTGAGTTGGGTCAACCACCTGCCCGCTAGAAAATTGGACATTGTCGATTCATACGGAAATATCGATCAAATGATGTTCCAAGCTCATATGACGATCGCATACGCTAGTATGCTATTGCATCTCCCACGAAGTGACCTTCAACGTGTGTTGCCACAAGCGGACGAACGATTCTGGCCTGTTACCGCGCGCAACCTATCATCAACGTTCACCCGCCCAATCCACAGCATCAAGGCCATTGAGGCTTCGCGACGGATTTCAGACGCCGTTTCGATCTGTCCGAATGTCCCCAAACATACTCCTTTCGTAATTCCCGCATTAGTGCTATGTGGGATGATCCAGCTAGCCACATCCATCAAGCATACGGAAGAGTGTTTTGATCACCACTATAATCGAGTCATTCTAATTCTTGGATGCTTGAAAAGTACGAAACGAATATGGAGTCTAGCTGATGCTGCCTACGATCGCTTGCGGACTTCTGCAGCAGAAGCCCTGTCGGATTCCATGGAGAGATGGAGTACAGAACCACTGAGGAATCTCATGCCAACGTCGTCGACTTCCAGGGATGAAGGACAGACGAATAGGGCCGCACGCCCAGCGACAGCACTCTCAGAGGGACAAGATATATCATTTCCGCAAGTTGTGCCCGCCTTTATTGACCCAACTTGCTATAATGATTCGTTCTTTACCCCTATTCCGGACTTTGATATAAATTGAATCAACGATTTTCTGGATATCAGTAGGCATAGTGAGAAATAATTTATGCACATTATACAAAGAGCTCATTCCTTTTTTGTCTATTTCCAGCGAGCTGGACGTTGAGATCCTTACCATAATGGGCGTTCCGCTCGTGTTGGGGGTTTCTAGCATTCGGCGAACCAAACAAAGGCGAGGGTAGTTGATCGCCGATTGAGCACCGAACGTCGAAACTCCATCGGCGATGGACGCGCAACCCATGATCTGAGGACGTGGTATCATCTTATATAAAATGCGTTCATCTCTATCTCTCAGCAGTGTATCCTGCCTAAATTATTAGCTCAAGTAATAGCCCGTTACGTCAATTATTACCACGAAAAATGTCGACCTCCGTCCTGTCCACGAGCTCCGCCACGGCTGCTACAAACAAGGACCTGTACTCTCCTTGTTATTCGCCCCCGGAACGATACAGTCTCCAGGGCCTTATACGAGACGTCAAGCAGCATCTAGGAGAATCCGGTGGCATCTCTTCTGAAGATGTCGATTCTCAATACTTGATATCCCTGGCACAGAAGTACATTTCAGATCCAAGTGATTGGATCAGTTACTTCTACAACGACCGCAGCAAGAACTACACACGCAACGCTATTGAGAATATCAACCACAAGGCTAATATTGTGAGTCGACCCTAACATCCTCTCCTTCTATATACCTAATCAGAACTGAACTGACCTCGTCCTCGTAGCTTCTTCTTGTATGGAATCCCGGAAAGGGCTCCCCTATCCACGACCACGCAGACGCGCACTGCATCATGAAGGTCCTGAGTGGAGAATTGCATGAAACCGTTTACGAAACTCCCGATAATGAACCTGGTCATACGAAGCCACTGACCGTCAAATCATCGACTACCTACGGAGCGAATGAAGTGACATATATCTCGGATAAGATCGGTCTCCATCGAGTACACAATCCCAGCAGCTCCCAGGTGGCGGTCTCTTTACACTGTAAGTCCCCAGAATGCGAATATTAACGCGAAAGCAATCTGACAATTGTTCTTTTCAGTGTACACCCCGCCTAACGCTGCTGACTACGGCTACAATATCTTTGACGAAGCCACGGGTCGCGCAAGCCACGTCTCTCAAGCTCGCACCTCTTAGATGACCATGGGGAGAGGACGAGATTTCTATATACCCAGTCAAAGACTTCAGCGAAACTAATGCGGTCTGGAGACCATCTCGGTGAAATCATGCATTTACGACATTTGATATCTTATCCTGTTATCGAATCTGTACTTTTCAGCGATGTTATTTCTACATTTAAGATTGTAATTAGATTTCTAGTAGCTGTGTTTTATATATAATCTCAACTTTCAAAGCAATAGTAATAGTTTAGACGTCTGCAAGGATTAGATCTTGATATTCAAGCAGCCGTGAAACTGAGACAGTGAAATATTGCAGAAGTTTACGATCGCGTCCTTGTAAGTTCTAGAGAGTAAATTGTCCATAACTACTATAGGTGATGACGTACCGCATGTATACTTGCCAATTGGAAAGTAGACTCAACATTCCATGTGTAAGGAGTTTTATGTGCAACTGGCTGTCGTCCATCCTTGTCTCAAGATGAAATGCATTCAAGGGTGGCTGTATTCGCGCGATAACATTGGGCAGTTCAGAATTGCGGTCTGCACCTGCGACCACTCTACCCGATCGCCGATCTCCCTGCATCGACAATCCTTGAGTCGCCGATTGCTAGTTACAGTAGCTAAATGTCGGTGTCAACATTTCAAAAACGGGATCTTGCGTGTTCGATATCAGGTTTGCATCAAGACGTGGCTGATACTTTACTTCCGCGAAGTAGGCCCCTGATGAATCCAGGGAGTTGTAAGATTTGGACGTGGCATTTCTCGTCTTGCGTATATTAGAAGAGGTCATTCGGATATAGTTATTCAATGTTGAGGTTTGCCTTCTCTCCTATGCTATATCGAAGGCTCAACGCGCTCTCGAGGGCTGCTGACGAAACAGAAGCGGTGAAAGATAGCGAATTATATCTAGAGACGATTACTAGTAACTTCAAGTGTTGTCGTCTGATTCCCACGAAGGACGCGGTCAGGGCCAATCCGCGAGAGACGACGAACCGATTAAACGCTCGCCATCAGTATCAAAAATACCCTGTCCCTAATAGTGGCTTGAACGGTTCAAGGGGGTGACCAATGCCGTAGTTCCTACCTAAAATTAATTGATACCAATAGGATTGTTTTGATATTTTCGGCTCCACGGTCAAAATTGCACGACACCGCAACTTCGTCAGTGTAAATGTGTTCCCGTAGATACGAAAAAGCTCGCAACCCCCTTGTCGGAGAGCGCGGATGATCCATAGTAATGTATTTATCGAGTGCCAAAAAAGGATCTTCGTTCACGGATCTTGCCACTGGTTGGAAACCATGGCGAGGTGCGAATTGACGCCGGATAAAGAAACGCCTGACGACGATAAATGCGATAGCGATCAGCGTGGAAGCCAGCACCAATGCAAGCCGTGGATGGAAATCAGGAACTATATCCACAGCCAAGTCATCAGTAGAATAACTAAACAGTAAGATGAGAGGATGAAACGATCAGATTGGAAGACGGATGGCTAATGTTAACTACCATACATAGTTATGGTACCTAAGGCTTAGTCAAAGAGAAGTATCTCGCCTTCAACAATCTTAACGGACCATTGGATTATTCCCAGTATCACAGACAGTGGGATTCAGCAGTTCGATTGGCACAGTGGATCTACCTAAACTGCCACAGGCTGCCCGAACCTTGATTTTCCCATGGTTACCTCGCCCTGCTACGGTTGATCTTAGTTGATACTGTACAACATAACAAGCATTGGTGATCTGTACCGAGCGGTAATATCTATTCGTCGGGAGCTGACGTTATCATGTTCATCTTGACCATAGGCAACTGAATATCAGAGACGAACCCCTTCGGAGAGACTTCTGGGCTACTTACACCTGAATATAAGAGGATTAGCTCAACCGTGGTCCTTCACCAACACGGCTGTAGGCTTGGCCAAGAAAAACCTACTTTCGCAACATGGTTGTCAGTTTAATTGAAAGTACTGACATTATTGATAAGAGCTATGGGACGGAGAAAGGCTATGTTTTTCCAGGGATCGAATGGTACATACAACTTCTCTGATGCAGTAGTTACTGCGTATTCCAGTATTGGATAAGCCAAATAGGGTCTACAACGGGAGCCTTCCAATGCCAAAATCACTACAGTGGCTATGTTCGGCTATAAACTAAGGAGCAGCCACCTGCGATCAGGGATAGCTCTGAAGGAGCTCTAGACCGGAGAAGCATAGTGAAGGGAAAAGATATCGACTAAAGGAGACTTCATGAAAACAGTCAAAATGCGTACGCAGATAGGGCACGACCCGGTGCAAAGGATACTACCATATGTACTGGAATACATACCAAGGTTGCCTTCTCGAATATCCTTACCCTCAGAAGAAACATTTACGCTACAGTGACCTCACCTCTACTAGTTAACTAGGCTGAAAAAGTATCTAGCTACATATGGTACTTGGGCGCCTACAAATGGTTACCTGATCAACAAGAAAGTAAGTATGAATGCGATAGAGTGATGTCACATGAAATTTCCTTTCACTTAATGTAATACTTTCTAAATCCATCAACGGCCATGCCAACATGGGTGACAATGATATCTGATAGAATCGGGGGCCATAATGCAACATTCTAGCAATTTATCAGTTTCCTGAAACAGGATATACGGCCCTCACATCTATACGAAATCTTCGAGAATTGAAAAGTTCGGCAATACAACCATCCCGCTTATTTTCGTTTATTCTCGATTTTGAGACATAAGAATGGGCATCTCGGACCGTCTCGGGGTGGGGGAAGATCCACCGCAAACGATATTTAATACTTAATACCCGGCAAACCGGGCACGAACAACGCCAGACCCACACAGAGATCTACCATACTTAATCTGAGTACAGCAGGGATCAGAGGAAATACATCCCAATGAGAATCGCGATGCGGCTCAGATCTCGGTTGTTCATACTCCAGCTTCCGCAGTGTCCTTGCTCCTGGAGGTTCTCATATGAAATAGGTATACAAGGTGGGAATGACTGGAGAATGCTGTGTTGATTCGTCTCCAATCAGCATGCCATATTTACTGCATATCCATCCTTGAGAGCTTTTATAATGATATGAATCTACAGTGACAAAGACCCACTCAAGCTCCTGAGCTGCGAAAGCAGTATCGATATCCCCGAAGCTATCAAAGCCACGTACGTAAACCCTTCCCCAGATCTAAGATGTATTAACCAGCCCCACTGGTTCATCCAAGCTTTCAACCTTGATGTGACGAACGATAAACACTGAACACGCGAGATCATTAACCCATTAAAGTATAGAGAAGACCCAGTATTTGGAATATCTTTTGCTCTTATGATCAAATCAGGAATGCATGACATCGGTAGTCTCTGCGTCACAGGTTAGCTGGTGAGAAGCTACCTGTGACATGAATTCTAGACCTCAGTTCAGCTCTTGAAGAAACGATCCATTGCCACATATAAGTACATCCTTCACAGCTCATGCATGATTGATCTTCTTGGTTTCGAAAATCAAACGTTCCCGGTCTTTCGTTGTCCTATCTTCCTCCGTCTGAAGTATACTTACGGAAACGTCGATTTTTCAACTCATCAAAATGGTTTCCGTCCGACAGCTTCTCCAGGGAGCCATGACACTTGGCCTCGCGGGCTCGTGTCTTGGTGCCTCTCTCTATGACCAGCCTATCCTGAAGTCGAACAGCCATACTTCCAGCAGGCATTCAATTTCGTCCAATTCGGATGACCCAGCGTGTAGCGACGTATTCCACGCGACGATGCACGTTGCTCAGAATGCCACCGCTGGAGATAAGTCTCTTCCAGTTGTGCATCGAAGTGGCCGCCTGTACGCCATGAAGGACAAAGACCCTACGCAGTGGACGTTCGAGAGAAAGGACGACGGTTATATCATCTACAACGTGCACCCGTCCGGTACCAAGCACTACTGGAGCTTCAGTTACGACAACACCATCGGCATAACCAACTATGAGTATGAGGCCAAGAAGGCCTACATAGTCCGGGGCGACGAGGAAGACTCCCCTTTTGGAAAAATCACCATTTCCTGGGACGATAGATGCATTGTCGTTCCCGCTGATGAATCCGATCCCTTCCAGATGCTCCAGCTGTCGGCATGCGACCCCGTCATCTTGGAAGTCACAGAGCCTATAGTCTGGAGAAATCCGAGCGACCTCTGCAAGTCTCAAGAGAGTGGAGTGCACGCACAAGATAGTAAGATTCACCCTATAGACACGAGACTCCTTCCTTCGGCTATTAGTTCCGATTGCATCGACACATTGAGTTGAACATCCAGAAGGCTAACCGCGACCTGCAGCGTGCAGCACTTACACAGACTGCCCCCGTGGTCTAATAAGCTGGAGGTGCTGTCGCAAGAGTGATCATAAGTGTGACTATGCGGACCCTCTCGCCGGGAGCCCAGCCTGGGCAGGATGGTGTACTTAACCTGAACAGTTGCTGCATAGTGAGGGAATTCACGAAGAAGCTCAGCATAATCGTTGATTGATAGAGAGTTGATAATTACATTGAAGGGAAAGAACATTTTTATGTGACATCACTTTGTCAGATGCATACCTGCTTTCTTATTGCTCAGGTAATTGTTGTGCCAGTCCAAGGTGTGCGCAGACACCCAAGTACCTAGGTATGTAGGTAGATGCTTTTTCGATCCAGTTAACTAGCTAGTGTAAAGGTTGGACGTTTACTACTACTACTACTACTACTACTACTATTACTATTACTACTATTACTACTACTGTGATAATATGGGCCAACAGAAAGACTGTCACTGGTAGCAAGAGCTTTGATTAAAATTTCATAATACATGTCGATGATCGCTCCTTTCGTCGTCAAAGCAAGAGGCTAGTGGTCCATCATATCTTCCCAAGTCTGGGACCCCTGACCCTGTGACAGGGGCTGGATGAGCTGTTGCTCCTGGTAGTGGTGGTGGTGGTGGTGGTGCTGCTGCTGCTGCTGCTGCTGCTGTTCCTGCTGTTGTTGCTGTGGCTGCTGTGGCTGTTGTTGCTGTTGTTGCTGTTGTTGCTGTTGTTGCTGTTGTTGCTGTTGTTGCTGTTGTTGCTGTTGTTGCTGGTGTTGCTGGTGTTGCTGGTGTTGCTGGTGTTGCTGGTGTTGCTGCTGCTGCTGCTGCTGCTGGGCTTGCTCGCGCTGCTGTCGCCTGCGTTCTCGGCGACGAGCTTGTGTGTTTGGACCGCGCCTGCCTTGCCAGGAACCCTGCAGTAGAATACTTTAGATTAGACTCATAATAAGATAAGTACTGACAATAGTACTTACCAGGATGAGTAAAGCTCTACGCATGTTACAGGTTTCGGGACCGTGAGATGAGGTCCGACAAAATTCGCACCACTGGTACCACAGATATAAGTATTATATTAAAGTATGGAGTAGAGGTATTCAGAGATATCTATACCTTCTTCTTCCTTAGTCGTCTGGTATTGGTCCCGCCACCTCGACGATCGCCTCCATCACGACCAGGTTTTTTGCCATCTGACCCAGAAGAGGCTACTTGGGTATTGGCGACACTGGGAATATCCGTAGTACCCGACATTGTCTTCGTGGATGCCCAACAGCTAGTGTCAATAATCAAGGTAATCGTGAAGAATGGTGAGGGAAGAATAGTAAGGGACAAAAATAAGGGACGACAGTAAGGGACGTAAGGTAAGAGGAAGAAAGGTGAGAGGAAAAAAGGTGAGAGGAAGAAGAAGAAAAGGAAGCAAGGTGAAGAATAAAGAAAAGGGTGCGTTCCCTGTTGTGTTGGTAAAGCATCTATTGCTGAATGAAACACATTAGAACTCGGTCACCACCTTCTGTTCCTAACCTCCATGATACTCTTAAGACTTCTATTTTCTGTGGATTTCATAACTCTGGCAGACTGCCTTCATCTTTAAGCACGCATAAACATGGCATCTGACAAGCATCCCGATATCCCTTTCTTCTCCATTCCAGGAAACCTGGCGGAGTTGCAAGCACTCCTGAAGGAGGCAGGTCTTTTCAATAAGTCTATCCATGATCTCCCCGGTAAATGGCTTCTCTCTGGGTCCAAAGTAACTCAGATGCAGTTCCTCGCGTTTCATATCGTCTTCCCTCGAATTGCAACTGCAACCCGTCTGGTCGACCGAGATCTGGCTCAGTATGGTCTACACATGTTTTGGAGAGAAGCCCAAGATATCTTGGGAAGATTCGACGACTTCCAGAAATATCTGGGCCTTCTCGTACATCAACTGTCGATAGAGGACATCTCCAGGGACCATCCATTCTTTCCTTCATCTCTCAGAATATTGAAAGACATGCAAGAGCTTTGCAGTCCATCATACGTTTCTAGTAAGAAGGGCGCTGTACATAGAGATGCTGAACACTTATCGAAAAGGTCTGTGTTTGGAAGCAAACGTCGTCCGGATGAGGAAGACACGTTGGCGAACACTGCCAATGAAGAGGCAGAAATCGAAACGGAAGCTACGGTCAACTCAGCGCTTGTGGTATTCCTCAGGGAGCTAGCATGGCTAGTCGATGATCGCAATTGTGAGTTTGTGTATGATCCACTGGCCGAGAAGGCCTCGTTCTCGAAAGACACTTCTTTTACTGCAATTACAGACGGCAGTCTTCGAAGGCTCAATACGGGGGAAACTTTGGCCATTCTTGAAGTTAAGAAACGAAAGAGGCGCCAGGAGCCAAATGCGATTCCCATGCAGGAGGCTGCGGAGCTAGTCTGCTGGTTGAAGAGCTCTTACCGAAGCACTCCTTTCCTAGACGGGCAGTATGTATGATTCATTCCCTTGCAAACTTGTGACAAACTGACGCTCTACTTTTTGGTGCCTTAGTCCGCTCATAATTTCCCAAGATGCACATGAAATCTTCCTGTCGTTCGCGTTTCTTGACCAGCTGTACCTCGAGTACCTTCAGATGCCCTCTGTCGCCAACCCTGCCTGGAAATACGCAGCAATACAGACATACGGCCCCTTCAAAATTGACAGCGCGGAAGACATGAATATGTTCGCGACTCTTGTGATATCCATTACACTGGCGGCGAAAGCGCTACCGAGAAACTGAGTAGCAGGTACTTAACTAATGCTTGGCAACTCTAGTTACTGCATGAACACCGCTGAAGAAGTTGTACCTGGCACTGAACAAGTGTTATCCGTCACTGAATAAGTGATATCATGCGCTGAATAAGTGCTATTTCACACTGAAAAAGTGTTACCTGGTACTGAAGAAGTACCCCCTCCAGCAATAAGCTCGCACCTCACCGTGGTGCTGGAGTCTAGTAGCCAGGCTGGCGAAGCTAAGACGAGCTCTAAGTATTTAGGCCAGCACGTATTTTAGTCAATATGTTTCCTCCAACATGCATGTCGCACTTTTGCTACTCGAAACAGAAGACATATAAATGTTTATCTGCAGTTATTATAATTCGTACAATTTGTTCTGTCTGTGGAACGCAGTCTGAAACAGAGACGAGGGCTGTATCTGAGGTTCTTGTACTTATCGATCTCAAGGCATTCTGAGATAATAAAACGTGGGATACCATTCTCGATATCAGTTTTCATTCATTTTGCCTCCGAGGGCCAGATATAGAGGAATATGTTGATATGCGTACTACCGGGTAGCAGTACTAGCTAGTTCAATGTAGTTGGACTTTACATGGGATACCTTGTGGAATGCTGGAAAGCAGTGATCTCATTATGACCAGTCCATAATTACTTGCGCAGAATATTGTAAATTCCATGATATATTAGGTAGGTACTGCTCGTGGGATGAGGATGATATCCTCTTTGAACATGGATGAGTCAGCTTCAGGCAGCGCTGAGCATATAACTATCCGCACAAAGCCCACAGCTTCCGTTAGGAATCTTGCGATAGAACACATCCTTCGCACCAGATACTATCCTGTCCTTTTATCCCCAGCTCTTACTCTACTTCGCCTCTCCATATACATAGAGTTGAACTGGCCATGGCATCATCCATTCGCCTGAAAGGTCGTCAAGTTCTCAAAAGTATCAGTTCGAGTTTGGACCTTAGAAAATTCCCCAAAAAGCGTGAGAAGGACGCATCTGCCGCCACTGTGATCAAAGATGTTGCGCGCAGCACAACTCGTGAGAGTCTAAGAGTCATATTGACGTCCATTTTGATGAAAGGCGACGAAGATTTATACTTGGAGAACGACGCTGCAAGCTCCTTATACATCAATTTACTTGACCTGCCACTGGAGGAAAATGATCATCCCGCAAACAATGATTCTTCCTGCTTTTTCAGTCCTATGCCATCTGATCGGTTAAAATCCTTTCCCTTCGATAAAAGCGATCCAGCTACAGAGCGCTTCCTAGATGGGTTTGATTCCTGGGACGAGAGCAGGGAGACACTGACTGGATTTCGGGCACAAAGAAATCCTGAAAGCCTTATATCTGAACTCAACTGGCTATTCAGCCAGTGTCGGCGAATCTCTCCCAAAGGTGATAAGACATATCTCCATCAAGAAGCGAATTGGAAGCATATGTGGGTGTCTCCTGCTCTACTTAATAGAAGGGGGGAAAAAAGAATATCTTCTAATTATTTATGTCTTAGGGCACTTTCTCCGGAAATATTCCACGATGACCTTTTCGGTATGGTTGATCGTGCCGGCCAGCTTCATAGCAAGGGTAAATTCGGACGTTTATTCGATATCACAGACGGATATTGCGCAGCGCGTTGGGATATTCGTATCAGTGAGCCACATATCATTGTTATGATTGAGCACGAATACGTCGCCGATGAAAAGATCTCACGAGCAGAAGTTTCGACGATCCTTGCTGCTATGATCACACAATTGGGACATGGACATCTCGAAGAGCATTGCATTCCTCCCGTAAGCGCATTTTATGGCCCCTTCCTTTGAATAAAGACTATAAATTAACTATCGTTACGCAATGATTGCAGGTAATGCTCGTCTCGTTTATGGGCTCTCTCAAAGGAAGGATCTTGCAGGCTCACGTCACAGACAGCGGACTTGTTATCAAAAAGTCTAAGCTGTACGATTTTGATAAACAAGTGGACTTTGAACGATCTATCACTTTGTTCACACGACATATGGCATCTGATAGAATTGGGGACACTCGCCAATTGACGATGTTTGATCTGGAAAACAAGACAGTGCCTATACTGCACTCTGCCGCCACTGACAAGTCTATACGCGCTGTCGCAGACTCGGAAAACAATATTCACGAGTCTATTGAGCCGTATGACCGGGGCCTCTGGGAATTAATGCAAAGTGTCTACTTGTAATCCTAGTTGAGGCTGAGGGAAGTCTATCCTGGATAGGTAGGCTTCATGATTTCCTGCAGCGCTCGCTTTACTTGCTATGACAGTAATTACTCGCTATGCGAAAAGAGTGGCTGGTTCAGGATGCGAGTCTCGTTTTCTCTTTTTCTCGCACATATGTTCAAGTAATAAAATGGAAATTTGAACGATTGCAAGATGTGAGATTGCTATCCTTCTGTCCTGAGGGCCAACTCCATAATCAGGAGAAAGTTCTCGACTTCTGTCGCGTTGCGTTGCATTGTACTCTTTCTTAATAACGCAAGTTGGCAAGGCCACTAATGCTCAGTCTTGGGCGAAGACTTTGTGCGAGGCCTCGGAGAAATTTGGTAAACCTGTGGATATTGCAAACAAATAATGGGAAAAGCAGTTGAAAGACGCATGGGGGAAGGAACCATAATCTGACACTCTGGTTACGAGTATTTTCCATATCCAACGTGACTTGTCTAACATACTGGTCAATAATTCCACGGACTATGCTGTTTCTCAGAACTCGATTTGCGTGTATACCGTTTTTAAACAATATGCCAGGGCTAGTTTATCCAAAGAGGTATCCTCTCGCTTGCCTAGTTAGGTACTTAACTGATTATCTGAGTAGGTACCTAGGTAGGTAGTCAGAACTGGGTATGATGTCATCCATTCCCTACTTAAACGATTTACAAGCAGAGAGAAGTGAGTATGCATTTCGAAATCGACATGGTTATTATTGTAGCTTTATGTCCAGCTTTCACATAGCGCCAAACATGCAGAAATGCAGGCTGTTTAGTTTGTGGCAAGCGCCGTTAAAATTTACTTTATCTGGTCGAAACGCCTATCGCTGGCGGCGGGGCTTCCCCCCGCTTAAGCCACTATTTATCACTCGATGTAACGCTCAGTAGGGCTGAGCATTTTCTATGCTTGTCGTATGTTTTTTCTCTAAATATTATTCGAATCCTATTAACCATATATTCCACTTTTGACGTAGCAAGCAATACCTAATTGTTCTGGGAAGTAGTCGTCGAAAACACCACACTCTATACTTATTGCTCTAAATAACCGTCAATAGCGACAATCTCTATCGCCATAAAAGGACGCGTCAGCGGACCCCAAGCTGTCTACCTAGTTGGTCAGATAACAAAAGACTGTTTGATGTCCGCGCTAAAGTGATGCTTGATTATCAGCCTCACATATGATTAGCCCCAGGACCGTTTATTTTATCTGATCTTGTAAATGGCGCCAAGCCACTCCGCCAAATCCCTCTGACACGCGGCCCAACTCTACTGTGAAAAATAGTATGTATATTCGCGACAGCTCCATTTCGCAGTTTCGATTCCATTTTCGAAACATCTCAGATCAACCGTCGAAATGAGCTCTCGCCGTCGAAGATTCGTTATCTTCTCAGCCTTGGCCTGTCTGGCCTCCGCTATACCACTGACCGGAGCAGAACGCGATGATAATAGATCTACTCTTCCAAATGCGAATCATATCTTCAACGCCGTCCACTCTGCCATGAGACAATGGGGCTCGTCGCTCAACCATAATGGAATGTCTTTCTTCCTGGCCACCGTGCCAAAAGGGACGCAGTTCTACCACGGCACATCCTCTTCGGAGCCTGTGAATGGTACGGAATGGCTTGCCTTCGAGCCAGAGCATGCGATGGGCTTTGCGCGTCCACGAGGAAGAGGCCCTCCGGGGCGTGGAGGCCGTCGCGGCCCTCCACCAAATGGGGCTGCTCCTCCACAGCGACCACTCGAGAGTCTGGCAGACGACGACGACACGCCCAAGGCCGGATATCTACATACCTATGCAGCTGCTAAGGATCTACGACTATTGTATGTCGATGGAATGTCAGCAGGGAAGTCTTCCATAGGCACATTGGACTCGCAGGATCGGATCCTCTACAATGATAGCGTCGATTCCTCCGAACGTGAAGGCCAGGGACGGGGACCGGGAGGACCACCTGGAGAACGAGACCGTGCCATCCAAGGATGTAATATTGCAAAGGAAGTTTGGGATGATCGTATCGACGGTATTCTGCGTATGGAGGCCGGATTTGAGATCATCTTGTGCAACTTTGGGCGGGATCTAGACGTCGTCCGGATCACGCAGGCGAAAGGATTCGAAGAACGTGCTCATGGCAAGTCTAGACAAAAGCCGGGTCATCCACACAGCCCAGGTATGAAGGCAAAGGCCGGTAGGATGGGTCATAATACCTGGATCAAAGCGATTGCTGCACGTTATCACAGCATTGGCGGTCATCGTGTCATCGTGGATTATGACCACTTTGTCACGGCGTATACCTACGCGCTTGACCTGTTCCCAGGAGATGCCAGCCTGCCGCGCCTCAAGCATCTTCCAACAGAGGAGCTAGAGCCTTTACGCCAGGATCTAACCGAAATGGTCATGAAATACGATCCGCCTCGACACTCGTTCGACTGGCAGTCGATTGCTGATATGATTGTGACGCGATACTCTGACAATCTCCAAGTCCTAGCCGCTGGAAACTTCACCACGATAGAGTCTCTTCGCGAGGAACTCGAAAACATACTCGCCCCGTTTATCGACTACAGCGACTACAACGCAGGCAGCAGCGCTGATATTACGGACCGCTGCGCGGGACAATTCATCCCGCACGACGCGCCCAACAACACCGTCGCTCGCCAGGCCGTTGAAACAATTTCCCACAAGATCTGCTCTACCCTAACGACTGCCCTGCTGGATACCACGATTGACTTGAAAACAGCCATCAACAGCTTTCAAGAACTAATCGACTACCTTTCCTGGTCGACCTGGAAAGAATGCCGGGGATGCGCGTACGACGAGCTCTGCATGATTCCCATGTGGCCGATGGGGACCGTCGAGGACTATGAGCACCCTCGCTGCAAGGATCCCGACGAGCCAGGCTCGCAGGGGAAGAATTACTGGGGAGGTTTTGGACGTCCTCCTCCAGACCATGGGCATGGGTATGATGAGCTGTAAGGCTGGTGGAGCGTAGTTAAGGTGTTATGCCTTCCAGGATCCCTTTCTTTTCTTTTCTTTTCTTTCTCCCTTTCTGTTTCTACTTCTATCTCTTTCCTGTGTATAAATTGAAGTCTGTCATTTTTACCTCGATATCCCACTAGCATTAGACACTGCCTATCCAGAAAGGACTCGACTGTCTGGAAAACCGATCCATCACACATCACAGGTTGAGAGCTAAGTTGATACTCCATTAAACCAAAGAATCAATATACCCAATATGTAGCAGAACAGATCCAAATAATCACATTCTCAATAAGCACAGAGAAACCTTCCCTTTCATCGAAACCCATATTCATTTACAAAAAGTACATACTGTCCGTGCACGAACCTTAAGCACCTAGACTAAGTAAGGTTAGTTTATCAATTCGATAAGCCAAAACAGCAACAGTACTTCTAAATCCAAATCGGCCTCTCCCGATCCAATCTTCCCCGATTTCTTCGCATCGCATCGCAGCTAGATTTATCCAGCATTCTTCACTCTGAATTCGAGAACTGGCATATACACAAAAACGACCAGCACAGTTTTAACTACTTCTTCTCTCAAATAAAAACAAGCAAGAGAAAATATCCTCCCCCGCGGAGTCCAGATCGACCGCCACCGCGATCTCGCAGCTGTTACTTTAGGTACCTACGCAAGCTTCAACCCGAACAAGACCTCCATCGCAACAAACGAAGAAGCAGCACAAGCCTCAAGAACAACCTAATCACTCTATCCACGAATACTTCCAAGAGAGTCGCGCTCCTACGCGATCATCGCTGGCCACAATGACCTCGACAGAACCCGAACGCACAGAGTCTACAACAACCACGACAACAAATACCATCACACAAGATTCGACAGAAAGAACCCTCTCCCCCTCTCAATCTCAATCTCAATCTCCATCCCACGAACCAAAACCCTCAGACTCAGACCAAAACCAACCCGACACCACCCCCTCTCGTCCCCACCGTCCTCGAAAACAAATTCACACCCACCACTGCCGCTTCTGCAGTCACCTCCTCCTCGCCACAACGCGAGACATATCCCTCCTTCATCGACGGCGCGAACCCGCTCAAGACGCGGCATTCATCCTACCAATCTCGTCTCCATCGGGAGATGGTGAAGGATCGGATTCTGAGTCCGAAGCGAACGGGGGCGGGAAAGAGACAAATTACACGATCCTTCTCTCAACTCTCCTTCCGGATCGGAAACATACTATTATCCGTCGTGCGGATGGGTTCGAGAAACGGCTTTTACTACGTTGTGGTCGGTGTCGGGTCGTGATTGGGTATTTTTTGGATAATGTGCATTTTAGACAGCGGAAAGGTCAAGGGGGTGCTGCAGATGCAAAGAGTGATGGAGGGAGGGAAGAGGGTGAGAAGAAGGGGGACGATGACGAGGCGAAGGTGGTGTATCTCCTGCCTGGGAGCCTGGTGCGGACGGAGCAGTTGGATGTCAATGCGGAGGATGTGGAGTTGAAGTTGGAGAGCGATCGGGAGTGGAGGGCTTGGTTGAAGGGGGAGCGATGAGATCCTGCCGATTTGGGCGGACGTTAGATGATATTATCATTATGAACTACTTGTCGCATTGGGCGACAGAACAGGAGAAAGGATATTACTCCTTCCATCGGTGGCATTGATGTGTATAGATAGTTAGGTATTTATTGAACGCGGATTAGGCCGATGTTAGCCCGGCCACCAGTAATGTACATACATGACTGGATATAATACTTCGATTGCCTACTCTGTACTACATATAAGGAAGCCAACGCATGCAATGACCAGCATCCATTGAAAAACCACCGTCCACAGTCCGATTGACGCCTACGACTCTAGACAAGGATGCGACCGGGCGGGCCGCTGGCCGTGAGATCACGACTTCCGGCGGAGTGCCACGCCCGGCTCGTGGGGTAAGGAGCTAAGAAACATAAATCGCGGGAGAAAAGCATCGTGCATCGTGACAAGAAAAGCGCGGGTATCGTAGAGTGTTTAGTTGGCGAGGATGGTGCGGACGAGTTCTGCGGAAGTCAACACATGATCCAAAACGAACAGATTATTCCACGACATGGACACATACCGGTGTAGTTGATCTCGCCCGAGCTGGTGTCAACCGCCTTGAGCAGCTCGTCGACTTCTTCATCGCTCATCTTCTCGCCCAGATTCGTCAAGACTGCAAACGAAACGTCAGCCGCTATCCACTCATCGTCTATATGGTTCGATCCCAGGGACTACCTACTGTAACGCAGCTGGCCGACTCCAATGAAGCCCGTCAGGTCCTTGTCAAAGACCTGGAAACCACGGCAGTATTCCTCGGGCTCGCCAGGGTCGCGGAAACCACCGGGACGGTTGAGGACTTTGGAGAAGGATTCGAAGTCGACTAGTGTGGCAAAAGAGCTGTTAGCTTCCATATCGATTTCCCGGATGTCTTCTACTCTCTCGACATCTACTCACAGTCACTGCCCAGTCCCTTCTCAAGCTCCGCGATCTCCGCCAGCGTGGGGTTCTGACCGCAAGCACGGAGCAGGTCACCCAGAGATTCGAGGGAGACACGGCCGTTGCCGCGCTTGTCGAAGAGGGAGAAGGCCTCCTTGTAGTTGGTAGTCGAGGCCTGGTCGCGTTGTGAGTTCTCCATGTTGTCTGCTGGATGGATTGGGTTCCGCGGAACAGAAGAATGAACGTGTTTGTTTCTTTATCTGCGCGGCGAAACAAGGGAAGGGGATAGGAAAGGGAAAGTGATGAGGAATGCGACGGTTGGTCTCTCGCGGGATGATGGAGTCCTGGGGAGGGGTAGTATCCAGAAAGTGGGATGGAAGCTGATGAAGCTGATGGGAGCAGAATGGATTGATTGATTGATATGAGAGAGTTGACAGCGGATGGAAGGGAAAGGGAAGGGCAACATCAACACTGCCCGTGTTGAGGCTGCTCAGCCCGTCCCCGGCTCGTTCTGGCCTCCCAGTCGCCGTACCAGAAAAGCCAACCCAAGCGAATCCTCCGAGAGACCAACCATATTCATCCAACCACCAACAGGGGGCTCAGCAACAGCAGAAACATGCCAGAGAAAACGTACCATGACGGACTGAACGGGCCGGAATTCAATTCAGATCGGGAAATTTGCACAGGGAGAAGCAAGACGGGCGACGAGAACAACGACGCTGAGCAAATGAGATAGATAGAGGTGAATGAGGGAGAACAGGAGGAATGTGTCTTGTTTCTGGGGAAGAGTCACCAGGAGGTCCCAGCGTCAGGTTGGCTCTTGTTTGGCGCTGGCTGGTTGTTGTGGTAACCATCTCAGTCTCCACCACGCCAACACTGCTTATTCTCCCTCACGATCGGCACTAACTTGACATCCTAGAATAGAATGAGTGTCCCCGGGGTCTGATTTCATTATGGCGGCCAATGGACCCTCCTGACGGATCCTGTCTCTCCCGCAAATGGTCAAGACTGAGATATCACCGCAGTAGGAAGAATGGGATCTGGCTGAAGACTTATAATCTGTGAATAAACGGGCAAGGCATCAATAGATTCCTCCTATACTTATACGATGCCCGCTTAGATGGCACAGAAGTCTAGATAGAACACGGATATGCACAGACACTCGCAGTCCTGGTATATATATATACACATAGATAGAGGCAAGGTATCAACAAACAGCAATATATCCCATCTGTTATCACAAGAAAAAAAAAAAAAAAACTGAGCTCCTCGAAGTCACATGCTTCCATTCCATCGCTCAATTCCAATCCAATACCTGATATATCCCATCGATACGCCCAAGCTCCATCAGAGAATTGTTACAAGCAGGGAAACCATCCCTGCTACGGCTTTCCCGCGGACGCCATCTGCAGCTTCTCGATGCAGCTGTCCAGCAGATTGGCTGCTTCGTGTAAAAGTTCCCATCGAGTATGCTGAAATGTCTCGCGCAGGGTCATCAGTAAACCGAGGCATCGATTACGACCTTTGATCGTCTCGAGATCACTCGGTTCGCGCACGCCGCCCACACGCTCGAGGAACTCCCGCATGTCCCGTCGCTGAGCATCCGGGGTCGCTAGCATTGTCGACGACGCCAATGGCCCATCGAGCGCATATCCGTAGCACCACACCACCAGCCCGGCAAAATAGAGCACCCATGGCCGATTAAGCAGGAAATCCTCCCGCGCAGAATAGCACTCCTCCGTCAAAAGACATTGAGAGAGGAACTTCAACGCGTAAAAGGTCGCATCCCGTGCTGACGCCTTTGACGCCCATCGCTCCGTCATCTTTTCCCGCGCGGTGCTGTAATCCTTTGGAGTAATGGACCGCCCAAGCAGCCGTCCAGCTCCCGCAAAGATCTGACAGTCCACAATGTCCACGTGGGATGCCATGTGGGCGAGATGGTGGAGCACGGTACGAGCTTCGAATGTGTTTTCATCGTCCATCGGAAACCGTTGCCCATATGCGTTCAAGGCAGCTGTGGGCGCTGTCTGGGCAAGCGCTTGGTCGAAGTCATGTCTCCAATGGTCGAATGCCCGCAAGAGAGACGATCGCCATTTGTCTCGGCCTCCTAACGCTTGGGTAACGCCGAGGGAGCTGACCTGCAGGTCTCGTTGATTCATATGCCAGCTGACGCTCAGCAGTCCGGCCATGATAATCGTCCGTCCAAAGGGGTTGGTCCGCACCGTCTGCCCGTTAAGCGTCTTTTTGAGTCCGTCCAGAAACATCGTCGGTTTCACCCCGTTCGCATTGAGGCTCGATTGCATCCGTGCCACTTCAGCAGCACTCGTGGCTGACCACAAGGCTTCGTCACATGGTAGAGGCAGACGCATCTCATGGGCGACCATCTTAGCGGAATGTCCAAACATAGCGGCATGGGTTGAGTCCAGAACAAATGCTGCAAAAGCCACTCTGCGCGTTGCTTCTGCCTTGATCCAGTGCGCCCAAGACTCTTCGGGTCCATCTTCAGATACCGGTGTAGATCCAGTCCCGGAACGGCCCTGACGTTCCTCTCTTGCACTGGATGGGGAATCAAAGGCTGACCTTCCGATAAGAGAGCTACCTCGTCGCATCAGCGTCAAGGTGGTGTCGTGGTGGATGTGGGCCCGTTCATGCAGTGCCCGGGTCGAAAACATCTTTTCGTATATCTCGAGAAGCAGCAACGTCTGAAACACCCACAACTTAGCTGGGGGTCTGAAGTCTCCATCCATAAAGATCTCCCACCGCAGATGCCAGGCTATAAAGTTTGCCAAGTCTGCCGCAGCCTCTGTGACTTCTGCACCGTGCGCTTTATCCAGCGTTGATGCTCCGATCGCCATGACTGCCAGGAGGAGGAGAGTGGGTGTGGTGTCAGCGGTGAAAGTCGGTCGATGTAGAATTGGTAGTTGTGGATGCAGGTGGTACCAGTAAGAACCGATATATGTCTGCATCATTCGAAGACTTAGAACGTGGCCGTCTTCATCCATATTACCTTCCAGCAGAGCATCTTTCCGTTTACTCACGGCTGAGTGAGCGGGTTCGTTGAAACGCGTGATCATTAGGTGCAGCAGTTCCTGCCGTTTCTCCTCAGACATGATCGCCTGGGGAGGTCCAGAATCCAATATGCTCGTGACACTCATGGGATGCTGCGGGATCACGCTTGTGAGATAGTTGCTGTACGCGGTATCATTGATACGGTAGGAATTCTGAAACTGCGTTGGATCCGAATATCCAGGTATGACTCCTGATGGGGCCGTATATGTGACGGGAGATAGATTTGTCGCAGATCCGTTGAAAAGCCAAGCTGCAAAGTCATCCGCCATGGCAAAGGGAGACCTATTATACGTTTCCCCTCCAAAGACCGGGTAGGCAAAAGATCCCGTAGGATCAAACGCATGTTCCGCAGCACTAGGATCAGGCGCCACAATGCCGGTGACCGGATCGAAACTGCTTAGTCCAGCCGCTCCATACGATGCACTTGCGGGCGATGCTAGACCCGGCGTCGAGTACCCAGGTGGGCGCTGGTGAGAGACGTATGTGGTCGTGTCCACAGAGATTATATTTGGAAAGGTAGTACCTGTAGACTCGGAAGAAGCTGTTAACGTCTGATCCTGACCCATCACTCTCGCTGACTCGGAACGTTGCTGTAGCTGACTGGGACTGAACGCGGCGCCATGGTAAGCGGAAGTGCCCATTGACCTATACTTGGCGGATGGATTTGGGGGACTATACGAGGTGGTAGGGTGCACCTTGGGAGAATTCATGGAATACGTGCTGGCGCTGTTCGATCGCTTAGCACTCAAATCAGAGCTTCCATATCCTGTTTGAGGGGTCAGAGGAGGATACGAAGATTCCACTGATCCAGAGATAGCCGATCCCGTCGTTCGATAACTAGTTCGGGTCGCCGGACGGTTTGGATGACTGATTCCGGGACTGACAGAAGTGTCCGCCAGGAACGACGGTTGCGATGGTCCGGATGCTACATAGTTGTCTGCCGTCGGAGCTACAGTAGCGGTTGAAGTACAAGAGATGCCTTCATCGAGAGCCGGTGATGGAGGTACTGCCGGGAGATGACTGGCCGTCTGCGCGAAGCTGTCTCGTCTTTGCAGTTGCGATCCGTTCGTTGTATGTCGCTCCCGATGGCGGACACAGAGATCTTGTCGCACAAACGACCGATGACAGTCTGGGAAATCACATCGATAGATTTGCTTGGGAGTGTCTGGATTGCGAAGCGTCAGCCGAATTCTTTCTCGCTTTGGTGGTGACTCTCAGTCGTCAGTGGGCATACGGTTGAGTTGATGACGGTACAAATGCTCCGCTCTGGAGTAGCTTTTCCCGCATCCCTCATGTTTACACTCAAACTTCTTATCGGTTGGGATTGTCCTTTTTCGTTTCTTGGTCGATCCGCTATCCGCGGGGTCAGTGTCAGCATCCCGGGCCATTTGTGTATTGCCATTCGTATCACGCTGTCGCCGGGATCCTCGATCTGCCCGTTGTTCTCCTTTGGCCATTCCAACGGCAGAAAAGGTCATCTCCTGGACACTCCTCCTTGGGATGAGACGCTGGGAGATACTGCCAAACAGAAGGCGCTGCACTTTGGATAGGAGTAGCCTTCTAAGGTCACCGGGGGATTCTACTGGTATATTCCGAACCCACCCGTTTTCCTGAGAATACGATAAGAGGTAAACGACAGTAACCGCTGCGAGTGGATTTGCCAATGTCGCGCTGGGCCGGTTAATATCACTTTGGATTCCATCTGTAACATCGAACGAGCAGAAGCGGGCCACGGGACACTTTCAATCTTCCGTGCGGAAGAGAGGAATGGCTGGAAGATTGTTGTGTTGATTTGCAAGTCGGCAGGCAGCGACTGGTAGGGAACGACTCCGCGGGGCTGATCAGCAGCAGCAGCAGCAGGCGGAGCAGGATGCCCGAGATGAGAAGAAAAAAAGAAAGAAAAAAAGAAAGCAAAAAGAAGGGCCAGAGGGATATTGCAAGACGGCCGTGACGCTTACGGGATGGCCATGATGGTTCGTGGAACGAATCGCAAAGGCGTCGACCAGGGGAGACCGGCTGATTGGACGCCTTTCTGCTGGAGGGAAAGTTGAACGGCCAGAGATGGACTTGTGATCCTCCGCGTCGTCCGGATCCAACAAGAGGATGGCGATGGGAGAAGAACAAAAAGAAAGGAGGAGGATGAATAGTTAGTTGGTTAGTTGGTTAGTTGGTTAGTTGGTTAGTTAATGTTAATTAGCTACTTAGCTGGGCGATGCTGATGCTGATGAGAGCTGCTGATCGAGGTGGGGCTTGCGACGGGCAATCTCGAGAACGAGTAAGTAAGTAAGTAGTTAAGTGATTTTTATTTTACGTGCGTTAGTTAACTAAGTTAAGTATGATTAAGTAGGAGGATCGTGCTCGAGTGTTCGCGAGCTAAGTAAGTAGAAATGCAGAGACCATCAACGGCTTGGGCCGACAGCGATACAGTCTATTGGAACCATATCGCCAGAAGAGTTCGTGTCGTTACACCAGGGAGGGGTTTATGATGATTTAATGATTATTATTGGAAGCGAGTTAAGTAAGGATACTGCGTCAGATGTAAAACAGAGATCGAGTCCGCTCCCTATCTGATCATCTCAGCCGGAGCCAAACCACGGACGCAAAAGACGGCACGGATAACTAAGTAGTGTGGAGACAACACCACGGCAGAAACCTGGGGAGGAGAGGGGCAAAGGCCAGAAAAAGAAAAAGAAAAGACGAGAAGAAAAAAAAAAAAGAAAGCTAGCAGCGGGTGCATATCATACTGCATAGAAGGCCGTCAGAACGTTGGTAGAAAACTTTTCTATCGGGCACACTTCTGATTTAGATAGTCCGCATCTTGAAACATTCGACTAACTAGATCTGCTGTGGCCCACAGATGGGCAAATTTGCTTCTTATAGATGCTTCTCGTCATCAACAGAGTACTACTAGTACCATATGATCTCACTGATACCTAAGTTACTACATACTACAGTACTCTAGTGACATCCCATGGATCCTCTATTGGGCAGGCTACTTACCACGGTAGATAGCGTCAAACCGCGGTGCCTCGATAGTAATATCGTCCCCGAACGGCCCCTGCGCGAAGAACCGCTCATGGGATCCTTGCCAAGCAGGTCGTTCGCGCAGAATGATCAGAAACTCTGCCGTTGGTCGAGTATGTTCCCGGATCTCACAGTGACTGCGTTTCGTACGGAGTACTTGGATATCTTGACGCTCTCGATCTTCTTCTACTTAGGTACTTACTCTGGGGTGAATGTGAATGAAGATGAACGGTCTCCAAGTGGAGATCAGATCAGACCCAGCGGGACTGCCGCCGCGTGGAGCACGAGGGGCCGGTCCGTCAGCTTCACGATCTCGGAAGTATAATCCAGGTACCGAGTCTAGGATCTCGGACAAGGTCGGGGATTACTCGATATTATTCACAGGGATCGTTTCCGTCATTGCAGGGGATCTGTTGATAGATGAGATCGGACGGTTAAACTTCTATACTTACCTCCTGGAGAGAATTGGGTTGGTCCAGCGGCAGTCGCGGCAAAAAGATAAAGTTAACTTGTCACTGGAGGAAAATCAGAGGGCTGACACTAAGTAGAGTCCATTTCTCCATACGAAGAGATCTTCGTACTGTATGTATGTGCATACATACATACATACATACATCCGATTCTTCTGCAGGTGGCGGGAACCAGCGACTAGGGTTCTGTGTATATCACCAATACCACGGCAGAGCCTGTATGGTGAGCAGTCATGAGAACCATTGCATTTCCCTGTTTTCTATTATCTAAATTTGCAGAGCGGTACAGCGACTACCTACCACAGGAAATCTCTGACGGATCTTCAAGAAAAAGAAAATTTTTGCCAGCCGCACCTCGAGACGACGACTGATCGCTAGGAACAGGCAAGAGACCCCATGGCGTCAGCATCGCCAGGCCTGCAAAAAACTACTCTAGGCGCATACTTACGCCGTTCTCCACGGTAGCATGGCGAGATTTCTAGAACCCGATGGGGTTATTGTTCCAATAATAACCCGGAACGGTCAAGTCCTGGAGAAAGAGATTTTCGCCGGGGGATGATCATCGAATCTGTTTAGTCCCAGTGAGGTAACGTAGATATGTTTGAGGTCCATTCGAAGTTCGAACGCACAATAAGCTTGCCAATAGAATATTCTTATTGCAACCCATCCGCCCGGAGTTCTCCTGGCCCGTACTCGGTGGGTGCCGCCTTCCGCCTCCTCATACCTATTGTGGTGTAGAGTTTACCATGCAGGAAATGAAACCAAGTTCCAGATCAGAAGAATCTCTCTAATAATGTGAACTTTGTGAAGCAGTCTAGTCTTGGAGATCCCTGTGCTTCCGTCGGCCTCCGGGATATGGCACAGGTGTGAGACACGAAAGTAACGTAACGAGAAAAAAGGGCGGTTTGAGGGGTTGGGAAGGATGCGCCGATAACTACTGAAGTAGCTAATCATGAAGTTGATATTTGCAATGCGGATTAGCAGCCGTTTCCCCAATGGCACCCTTCCACACACGTACTGACCGCTTTGTTATTGTTTTTTTTTTTTTTTTTCTTGTACTCTACAACAGCTGGCTTAGTGCGGCTGTCGGGCTTTACATACGGACTAAAGGAGCTGGGAGCAAGTACTTAACAATTCCTCCAAGGGCAAACGGAAGGACCAGATACTGACGTCAAGCCTGGGACCTTGGTTACGGTTGGATCTAACGGTAGGCATCACTGGCTGAAATAATAGGTATGTCGGTCCAATATAAAACCTGGAATGGAAAAGGGGCTCTGTGAAATCTGTGGTGACGGGACAAAAATCTCGATTGGCTATGACCCCGATCAGACAGGCAGAGTATGTGCTCGCGGGGTCGGGGGCACCTCGAGAAGGTCACGCTGAAGTCGCAACATCGTCTTCCCCGTTTGTGGAATAGTACCGGACGCTCAGTAGGAAGTCATCTCATGTCTCACTGTCTTCTTTGCATTTATTGCATTTGATTAGTTGTTACAAGTTCTGATATCACCGCCGTCATCTCATGTGTTCACCTCTACCGCCTCCCAGCATCGTACGTGCCATGAGGGGAAGACACTGATCCTCGATCTGTGAGAGAGAACGCGTCCGCCTCAAGGAGGGGCATACTGTCTATATTTCTTTCACCGTTCCTATTGATATCTTACCTTAATCATAACAGAAGTGACCACTGGGTCAGTGCAGACTTTGATAATTCTGAATACAGAATTCGTTCGCGTCAGGCAGCATCAGCCGGCGAGGTAGATCATAAGTAGCCAGTTGACTAGCCACTGAACCGGAACCGGGTTGCTTCGAGTCTCCCGAGGCCCTCCCGCGGGGCCACATTCCGTCGTCGATAGGAATTGGTGAAGTCTGTTCAGTTCATTAATATACGCACACGGAAACATACTTGACAAGGATGAAGCGAACCTTGTAGCAGCACTCGAATCCTCCGCATCTCGCCAGTTTGGATCTTGTCCGAGATGCCCTTTATCAGCTTCTCGGACTCACCGGGCTTGATTGAGCCGGGCGGAAGCATCTGAAGAGTGGACTGCACCCATGTTCCCGCTTCCGCGGGCATCATCTCAAAGAGCGTCATCAAGACACCAGAAGCATCTGGGAAGCAGTCTCCAGGGAAAGTGAACATCATCCCGGTGAGGATCCTCTGAACAAGTAATTGGCCTTGAGAGGCGACGAGCTGTTTCACAGCGGCTTGGATCTCGACGGGATTAGAATATGGTTCCCCATTTGGCCCGGCGAATTCAGAGACCGAGGGGTGCTCGAAGCCGAAGCTTAGCAAGTCGCGGTAGTAATGTAACGTCGCGATCAAAGGATCAACTTGCTGCAAAGTGAGTGCGCTCAGGGCAGCCGAGAAGATAGGAATTGCCAGAGGAGAAGTCACGCATTTTTTAGGGTAGAACCGCATAGCGTCACTAGCAAGCCGGAAGAAGTCCTCGATCACTAAATCGTCTGTTAACAATGATACGAGCAAAGTTTGCGTTTCACCACCGAACTTACCATCGGGCAGATTCTGTGGAGGGAGTTCATTAAGAATCCGTAAGAATACAAGAGCTTGCTGCTCGAAAAATTGATAAACCGCTTCGCTAGTCGGCAGATCAACGTATTCTGCACCATCAGCGAATTCTCGGATGATGGCGTCCGTTGCCCATAGAAAACAGCCTTCTCTCGATAGCTCGAACCCAGATGCAAGGCTCTGCGCCAAGCTTGGCAAAAGTGGTATCATGGCGGTGCGGTATGAAATGATCATGTACCGCCAGCAACGACAAACACGTTCTAAGATCGGTGTAGATGTAGTGAAGTTCATCACAATCGTGCTCATCACTGGAAGAATTTCTCCGCAGTACTTCACAGCAGGGTTCTCTTGGCCGGGTCCGACATATGGAGACACTACCTGGACAAAAATAGTGATTAATTGTAGATGGTCTGCAATGTTCAATATTAGTTCAGTGAGCATCCTGTGGGGTCCTTGCTCGAACATACCAGCAACTGCTCTCTGGCCCTGCTCATCCTTCGCGTGATTAGCAAGGTTCATGATCCTAGCCATGATCGGGTCACAAAAGAGCTTCATTGTCTCATAGATTTTCTCAGTTGGCTGGACTGCAACCACGGCAGCTACTCCCTCCGTGACTTCTTCCTGACTCGCAGGTTTAAGCTTATCGATCACAGACTCATAGAAAGAGTGCAGTTGTGTAATGTGTCCTCCAAGCAGCTTTTGGCAGTCCGTTCCCAGGAACTTGAAAGCTAAAGCAGCGGCCTGAACAACCTCCGGCGAACTATGTTGGAAACCGGAGATGACATAATTCAGTTGTGCTTCGAGTGTCTCTGGGTGTTGTGCGGTCCATTCTGTGTACCTCCCCAGGGCCATAATTGCCTGGAAACGGACTTTTTCTTGGTCCGGAATCTGCACAATCAGAGGTATCACTTGTGGCAAGACGGAACTCTCTTCAGGATCGACCATACGTCCCATAGCTCTCATACTGAAAAGAGGGGCCTCAAGCTCTTGCCAGTGAGGAACGTGAGTGTTTGTTGCCTGAGAGGCATACTTGGATACCCATTGTTGGATGAGCTGATACGACTTCCCAAGGCACTCTGTCACACCGATAACTGCACAGCAATCCTTGAGAACGTCCCCCATAGAGTGTCTGAACTGCCGGAACTTCTCTTCTTGCTCCCTGTCACCATCGAAAAGATCCTCTTCGTCGCCATCAGGGGTTGGGAACTCAAGATGCTTGATCATGATATCAACCAGCTGAGAGAAGATATCGGCAAACTTGTCGCGTGCTGCCACATAACGATCCAGGGTGATGTATTGCTTAAGCTCGTACCAGAAGATGAATGTGAGTGAAATAGCATCGCGTTCCTTGTCTCTCGCGCAACACTCCAAGACAGCCTCGACAAGGCTACGGAACTCGTCGGGAAGACGGGCGATCAAAACAACCCAGGCTTCGCCTGCTTCAGCAAAGAGCCTGGTGACTCCACGCAAGGTATCCACATCCTCAGCTTCCGCGGCCTCGCGGATCTTCGGACGCAGGGCGATTATGCGAGGATATACCGCTTGTATGACGGGTAAAGAATCGTCCACCTCCCGCGTATCTCTGTATATCGTACAAATACATTCCACGGCAGACTCGAACGATGGCTCATTGTCCAATGCCTTTAGTATAACATTCATCAGAGGCGAGTCAACAATCTTAGAGGCTGGGATTTCGCGCATCCAGGATGTAATACAGTCGAGCAGGCGAGGACTCATCGCGGCGGACGCTTAGGCGAAGTCAGTATCCTCATCGAGCGGTAAGGGCATTACAGGAGACATACGAGAAGATTGCGCATACTGCGTGAGAAGGTGCAATACCTGATCGGCATTGTCCTCTAATAGCTCCTTCGTCCTGTTTGAGAGTTCCTCTTCCTAATGGTCATACGAATTAGATTTGAACGTCTGGGTGTAATGCCACACACGGTCGCCGGATCGGAGTGTTGGAAGCTGGATTGGTGTATGTCGGTCGAACGTACAGTAAGATTGATCTTGCGTCCTTCTGTCACCTCCTCAGGCAAGACCTTAAGGAACTCCAGAACACAGTCTCCAGCAGTGCTTCCAAGAGCGGAGCCCACCGTGCTCAAGACGTCCTTCCATCCTGTCATCTGTATGGCTAGACTGGCGAGACACACGCATAACTGCGTTTGTATAGGCCTAGGCCCGGATGCATAAGCCGTAAGTAGAGCAAGGATCGAGTCTCTTAGTGCAGGCAATGATTCCGCGGGCAACTGGTCCAAATCATATGTGATCTGCTACTGTCAGTCATTCCGTAGACCGCCCCGCACGAAACAAGATCGATTTGTTTACCTTTCCCTTCAACGTCGTCGCCGCGAAAAGCTTTGCCTCAATCTGAACGTCTGGTGATTGTAGTAACCCGTGCGTAACTGTCCATGCTTCGATCTAAAAATTGGATGCGTCAGCTTGTTGTTTAGAGAGGAGCGGGGTACAGTGAGCTTCGGAGGTCATACCGATTTCTGGAACTTTTCAAGAAATTCGTGAGCATGAGTCTTCTCTGTACGCGAAGCATTTCCCTGCATCGTAGCCACCGCTGCTAGGACTGGCCCGAAAGCCTGTCCTGCGCCTTCATCTTTGGTCGCCATAGTCGTCGAGCGTGTAAGTGGGTTGATCTCGGGGGGGGAGTAACGAGAACGAAGTAATACGCCGTCAACCGGGCCAGGAAATGCGATCGCCACCTATGAAACTCATGAATAGTGTATGCGATCGTGAGTATATAAGTTTCAGGGCCCTGAATGAATACGGCGCTGTAGAATCCGATGAGGACCAGGCGTAGGTGGGATGTGATGGTTTCAGTGACGAGACCCAAGCAGCCCGAAAAAGTTGGGTTGAGCCGCAACCACAAACAGGCCGACCGGCTCTGGTCATTCTCCGCGAACCACCACAAAGCTTCCCCGAACATTCGTGATAACCAGACGGCACACCTACAATTCTTGCACTCGGTCGCGCCTCGAGCTATCCTTGATCTAGTTCTGCTATCTTGGATCCTGTTCTCCTTGACTACTTGCAATCCCCCAATAATCACGTTCACCATGGCCGGCAGAGGTGCTGGGGCTGCGCGCAAGACGCTTCTTGCGCCAATCCATTTCATCTTCAAGCTTCTACAGCAGCGATCTACTGTGTCCATCTGGCTTTATGAGCAACTTGCATTCCGGATAGAAGGAAAGATCAGGGTATGTGCGGTCTGTGGCGGTGGAATTGCAATGCAGTGGCTAACCAGCGAGCGCAGGGCTTCGATGAGTTCATGAACCTCGTGGTCGACGATGCTGTCGAGGTCCGGTTGGCTACAAAGTCTGAGGAGGAGAAAAGGAGAAATTTGGGTTCGAAGAACATGTGTCTATTTGTGATTTTGCAATCTCTGACATCTTGCGTCTAGGTCAAATACTCCTCAAGGGAGACAACGTATCGCTGATCCAAGCAGTACAATAAACTCGACTTGTCCTCTGATCTATTAATAATCTTATACCTTTGGCGTTGGAGGAGCGGCTGCGCAGTATCCAAAAAAGGGAGAAAAGTCTGGAGAAAGAAAGCATGTGAGATGCATATCAGCTTCTGGGGCTTATGATCTGGCCGTCACCGACAATGACGGCATCTACCGGCCAGTCGTGCTCAGACACCGGTATTTCCTCTGGGGGCTGAAGAACCTGCTCTTTCAGAGCGAGAGCGACTGTATCACAAAACGTTATGTCAGATAGAATCCTCTAATGAACTGTAGACTGTTCCTCACCAAGGAAAGGTCTTTGAGGTGTGCTCTTCTTCCGTTCCTCGTCTGTCGAATATCTTGCGAGAAACCTATCGTAATACCCTTTCCCATGGCCCAGTCTTCTGAGACTTTTGTCAAATGCCATTCCCGGCATAACGATCAAGTCTAAGCCTGGGCTTTTCCTCGCAGTGTGTGGATGCCATGGGGAGGCGACTCCGTAGCCACCTAAGCAGTTCTCCCTGTCCGAAATAGACGCTTCATCGAGTGATGGTATGCCCCATTTGTCTGGCTTGAGCGATTCGAATTCTTCCATAGAATTCAAAGCAAGCATATCCATGACAGAGCTCTTTGGTTGTGCTGGAGCATTCTCAGTGGTATGGATATAGGGTATAAACACTTCCTTTCCGCTTTTCAGTGCATTCTGAACGATGCTAGTCGTTGAGATCTCTCCGCTTGGCATAGAGAGATAGACGCCTATCCTTTTGGCATTGCGATATTCCGGCAATGACAGCAACTGGTTCGTCACAATTGTGGCTACGGTAATTAGCTTCGAGTTCCGTCCGCGAGGATATGAGAATGCACTGACATTGACTAGCGATCGATTCTTTCGGTAGAGTTAGAAGAACATCACGGACTTTTCTTCGCAAGTCCTTTTTGGCCGTCTGCAGAGCGGCCATGGCTACAATCAAGCCAGTCCTGCGGGGTCGTCTGCTACGGATATATATTTAGAAGGCGCCGTTGATCTGTTTCTCGTTACCTGCAATACCACATAGAGTGGGCGTGCAAGTGGGTTGTTTTGCCCAGTTTTTGTAAGACTGCAGATTCCACCAAAGATACCCCAAAAGACGGCTATCTGCAATCAATAACGAAAGAGGCACAATGTGTCGTATCTCACACCCGTTTGGCGGAGAGTTTAATGATCTGCAGATCGGCCGTTTAAATTTATGTCTTGGCGTTGTCTCGTACCGCCTTGTCCGGTGGCATGAGGAGTCGAGAATGCCTCCACTTGACAAGCAACGCAGGCTATCGAGGAGGTTGCTGGCCCCCTTCCTGCGATACTCACTCTTTACAACATTTATTCATGCCCATACTGAAAGATGCTGGACATGGTTAAAGCTTTAGTCTTCCTGAGCTTCTTCCTGGCTGCCAGGGCAGCGGTAGACCCCGACCTGGTCGGCACCTGGTCAACGAAATCGCGCCAGGTTATCACAGGACCGGTATGCCAGAGTCCCTACACGCAAAACAAAAGATTTTACGCACCGAGAGCATATGTTGATACCTTTCTAGGGATTTTATGATCCTGTAAATGAGAAGTTCACGGAACCGTCGCACACAGGCATATCTTACTCGTTTACAGAGGATGGATACTACGAGGAGGCTTACTATCGCGCGGTCGCCAACCGTAAGTTACCTGCCCCATCTGGTGGAATCGCTCGCTGACTGAGACTATATAGCAAGTTCGCCCGATTGCCCCCAAGGCATCATTCAGTGGCAGCACGGAACATACTCGAAGGAGCCTAATGGATCCCTGGTCTTAACGCCCTTTGCCGTGGATGGACGTCAACTTCTATCGAATCCATGTGCTAGTGATCTGTCAGCGTATACCAGATACAACCAGTCAGAATTGTTCAAGGTATGTTCCTCTACTGCAGATTTTCCTTACCGATCAGTGATTAACAAGCACCTAGCAATACGAGATACAGACTGATAAATTCCACAATGTTCTCCGCCTGAACTTGTACCAATTCGATGGTACGCCGGTCATTCCGATGTACTTGGTCTATAGACCACCGCAAATGCTCCCAACACAGACACTGAACCCTATCGCCCAAAAAACTGGTTCCGCCAGAAAGGCGAAGAGAGACCTTATCGATGAAGAGACTATTGAGCCGTTGAACAAGCATGCGTTTGTGAAGCGATCAGAACCTGAAGCGATTGATAAGTGGTGGTGGTTTGGGCTCTTTATGACCTCAGCTGGCGGCCTGGCCCTGCTCCTGAAGTGAGTCAGGCTGATGGAGCCTTAGCTGGGCAGCAAGGTTCCTCGTCACCCTGGCGTTTGGACAAGTGAAGATCTAAAGATGCTATTTTGCTGTTCGTTGCAGCCAACATCACGAGCTACAGTGCATGTATCATGGCGCAAGGGTTTCTTTCTATGCGGAGTTTTACACGACCGTCACGCTCATACCGCAAGCTATTCCCGTTCTGTCTGCTTTTGTTATGGTGATACGCGCCGCTTAATTCTCGATATTTTGTTTTCCTGCGCTAATGATGTCCCCTGGACTCGTACGTTTTATCTACCCCCCAGAGCTGTTCGAATTTCATGTTTCCTGGAGTTTTGTCCAGATATCCTTTTGAATCTATGTCATTGACTATTTCTTGGCAACCTACACGGTATTGCTCTATTCATAATCGTATCGTTGCCCGCATATGATCAGGATAGCAGGGAATTGGACGATTGTGTAAGTCAGGGTTTAATGAGATACCGTGCTTGTCGATCCCGGCAGCAAAGCCGCTCAATGTCCCAGTTTACTATGGCCTGGCTACGCTGTCTTATCAATGGATCTTATTGATGCGGTCGCTTAGGTGGCTGAGCAGAGGGGTTAAATCACCTATCACTCTAGTAGCAGTCTGTGTTTTAAGCGGCTGCTACCGTCTCCTTTGCGATCTTTGCAACCTCCGCCTTTTCGGCCGGCTTGCCGTCCAGAGCACCCCCAGGCGCAAAAATCGTCTTGAGTACCGTTCCAATATCGGCCTTCTTGCCTGCTTCCTTCAGACTAGAGATAGTCTGGGAGACTGCTTGCCTGATCTCGTCGGTGCCCATCGTCTCAACCTGTCCTGCATATTCTTCCCATACCACGACCTGCGCATCTTCTTTTTCCTTAAGATCGGCACGACCAGCCTCCTCGAACTGTTTCGCAGCTTCTTTTGAGGCAGCAGCTCTCTTCCGTATCAAGGACAGAAGCTGAAGGTCGGTCTGAATAGGACTCGGCGTTTTGGCAGCATTGTTCGTCTCGCTAATAATCGCGCGCAAGACATTCAATCTACGGCAAGCGCGACGGGGTTAGTGGTTGACACAGATAATGAAAGGCCAATTAGAAGAAGATTCCGTAATGTACCTTGCAGTATCCTTTGCTCTCATTGCCGTCTTCAAGTCTGTACGGATTTTAGCCATCAATGGAGGCGCGCCGGAGGTTGCGGTCGAGTTGTATCGCACGGATCGTAGCCCCAATCGGGCCGAGAATCTGAGAGGAGTGAACATCGTAGGTAAGAGAGCGGTCCGTAAAAGTAAGGAGCGTGGTGAATGGAAATGGCGCAAAAAGGATAATAATAACAATAACGAGAATACAGTCTATTGTACAAGTGCTGAATGGAATGTTGAATAGAGATGCAGCTGGATTATGGGGAGAGTCCGAAAGCTCTAAAGGCGGAAGAAGCTTGGCTGGAGGAACACGACCAAGGATAACCTGGTCCGTGCACAAATTTGTTTCTACCGCTCCTCGCCCTCAGTCCGTATTGTTCGGTGCATCTCTGGCTGGGTTGTCATGAATCTCTGCACACTTCCTGCAACACTCCATTCTTGAATACTTCGCATATCTCTCAGCCCCAGCTAATTTAGTGTCTTATACCCCTGTGCTTGAGCGCGACAATTTTCTCAGTCAGTGGAGCGATACGCGGGGAGGAGCAGAAGCAACCCCCAGCTGCAGAACAGCTGGTGATTGAATATGTCCTATCCGACACTTACGCCTCCAAGACCGCTTCCAGGGACCTATTTTCAGACTCCTGCTGTTACAAATTCACATCATGGACCTCTTTTCCAGCCTAAAGGAGCACCAGTCTCTGCAGGGCAAGCTCCATCGCCGAGTTCTTTAACAAAGCTCACCCCAGCGGCCCCGAAGAGCAAAAGCGAGACATTGAGCACTCGAGAACGCGCTGCGCAGACGATAAATGATACTCTCGTTCAAGAATCACGTTATCCTGATTTGGACACATATCTTTCACGTATGTCAATTGCTTGCGCCTGTGTTGATCACGCGGGTGAAACTCGTCATGTACTGACTGGCTTTCTTAGAGGGTTTCTCGTCGGACTACGACATTCCAGCATCGCCATCATGGGCGCCTTTTCACAAAGTCAAAATGTATAATATCCCCGATCAGATTTTCGACCAGTATAACCGTGCGCAAGTTTCGACAAGTATGGGTCTCTTCGCGGAGCTCAATCACGCATGGGTTGCTATTGATAATGCTCTTTATCTGTGGGATTACACCCATCCGAATCCTCAGCTGGTGGGATTTGAGAATCAGGCCAACAGCATCAACGGTGTGAAGCTGGCGAAGCCTCGCGCAGGCGTCTTCCTGCCCGCTATCACCCATCTACTTGTGGTTTCCACGACTGCGGATGTCCTGCTTCTGGGTATGGGCGTGGAGACCACCACTGGGGGTGCGACACAGGTCACCCTCTATCAGACGGGAATGTCTACATCGATCAAGGGTCTCGATATCCATGTCTTTGCCTCGTCGGATTCTACTGGCAGAATATTTTTTGCGGGATCGTCGGATAACGATGTCTACGAATTGACCTACCAACAGGAAGAGAGATGGTTCCAGGGCAGATGCGGAAAAGTGAATCATACTGGTTCGCGTCTTGCTGCATTCACACCCGCCATCACTTTCACACCGAAGAGGCCAGAGCATGTGGAGCAGATGGTGGTAGACGATAGTAGGAAACTGCTCTATACTCTGTCCTCGCTATCAACCATTAGGGTTTTCCACATGAAGCCTGATGGTACTCTCTCACTTGCGATCACGAAACCTGCGGTCGACATATACTCCAACATCGGACACATTATTGCCTCGAACGAAAGTCTGAACCCTAAGGTTAAGATAGTTTCCATCAGCCCTATCCCGGCACCAGAGGCGTCCAGATATCATTTGGTAGCGACGACGGCTACAGGATACAGGATATATCTTAGCGCGACTGGGTCATACAGTTGGTCAATGACTCCGAACGGCACCAGTCCACCGACGAGCATGCAAGCGCACCACGTCAAAACTCCTCCTTTTGACAATCCTTCTGCCGCGGTATCGAACTCTGGTCCACCAGGGCAGCTTTATAAGTTTCAATCGTCAGTAACCTCAAAGGTCCCGATTCATTCGCTGGATCCGACGCGGTTCGCGTCCCGGTTTCCACCTGGTTATTTTTTCTGTTTCACCTGCAAAGATCCTACCCAGAAGGCGGACACGTTGTTCATATCATCTCCAGACTCCGGACGTGTAGCTCGCTCTCAAGAGAGTGTGATGCCAGCAAAGGCTTCCGAGTCAGCAATTTGGCTTTCTCTGGGGAGCAAGGCCGAGGATATTGGCCTGTGCTCCCCACCCGTCTCTGCAGCGAATACGCCTGGTGGTTTCAGTAACGAGCTAGCTATCCAATATGACGGTCCTGCTGCGGAAATTGCCATACTTACCAATACAGGCGTTCATGTTGTTCGTCGGCGGCGACTTGTGGACATGTTTGCCGCACTTGTGCGCACTGGAGGTGGTGAAGAAGGCCTTGAAGGGGAGATCAAAAATTTCATTCGGACATATGGTCGCAGTGAGACATTGGCTACGGCTTTGGCTGTTGCATGTGGTCAGGGCATCGAGATTTCCGACTCGCGGCTATCCAAGATTAACGACCCGGACGTACTCGAGTTTGCTCGTAAGGTCTTCATCGAGTATGGGGGCAGACCGACGATGAACGAGAATGCAGTTGCGGACAACGCAGCTCTGGCGATTGATGCTATTGTGCCGTCACCCCGTCACGCCGGTATTGCTTTATACATGTCACGATTGCTGCGCTCTATATGGAAAAAAGAAATCACCGTCACAACTAGTTCACCCAATAGAGCACTGAGCATTGCCCCCTCAGTCAGCCCGGCGAAGTTACAGACCATTCAGCGAGATCTGTCCGCTCTGCAGGAGTTTTTCAAGGCCAACAAGAGCTTCATTGAAGGGCTAAGTGGCCCTGAAGCTCTCACTCGTGCATCAACGAAACAAGAGGAGATCGCTCTACAAGCTGAGCATCGTGCTCTGCATTCTCTTGTTCAGCTTGTCTCTGACACCATTGAGGGAATTTCTTTCGTACTCGTGCTTTTCGATGAACGTGTTGATGAAATCGTGGCAACGCTTCCGGACGAATCCAAGCAGCGTTTCTTAAAACTCACTTATGAGGAACTCTTCAGTACCAGCAAGGGCTACGACATTGCGAAGGAGCTCGTCAAGGGCATTGTCAACAGAAACATTGCTAAGGGCTCGAACGTCGAGACGGTCGCTGATGCTCTCCGACGACGATGCGGTAATTTCTGTAGTGCCGAAGATGTCATCATATTCAAGGCACAGGAGCTTCTGAAGAGAGCTGGAGAAGCCGGCGGAAACTCAGAGCTAGGTCGTAATCTGCTCAACGAGAGCTTGCACCTATTCCAGCAAGTCTCTGACAACCTGCCTATGGATTACCTCGTTTCTGCAGTTGATAATTATATAAATAGCCAGTTCTTTGCAGGTAAGACTTATAAGTGTAAGAGGAAATGAAAAGTACTGACATGTCTAGGCGCGATTCAATTGTCTCTAAGTGTCGCTGCAAGCTTGGATAAAGCGAATCTCGCACTGTCCTGGATCATGGATGGCCGGCCTGCGGATGTAAATACTTGAACACCCCGTTATCTATGTTCATTGGCTGAATCTCTCGTTCTAGGATCCCCGACGGGCAGCTTTTGAATCCCGAAAGCAGTGCTACGACCTTGTCTTCAAGGTTATCGTTGCGGTCGACAACACAGCCTCGCAAGACCCAGGAGTGATTGATGGTCAATTCACTATCATTGCTAAGCGGAAAAACGAGGCCTATGGAGTCATTGCGGACTCTAAGGATGAGGTTTTCCTGACAAGCTTGTACGATTGGTATCTGGAGCAGGGCTGGAACGACCGTTTACTAGAAGAGAAATCGCCATTCGTCGTCACATATTTGGAACGCAAATCGGCAGACGACATCGCCCATGCCGATCTTCTTTGGAGGTACTACTCACAATCGCAACGCTTCTTCGAAGCCGCAAACGTCCAGTTCCAGCTAGCCCAGAGCGCATTCACATTGTCTCTGAGTCGGCGAATCGAATATCTTGGTCGCGCCAGGGCAAACGCGTCTGCCCTTACTCCCGACGTTGGTCGACAGGCTCGTCAGCGACTGTTACAGGAGATTACCACCCTCATCGACGTGGCCAGCATACAGGACGATCTGCTGCAGCGTCTCAAGCAAGATCCGAGGATTGCCTCTGAGAGGAAAGCTGAAGTCATCAAAGAAGTAGATGGCCCGATCATGGATATCAGCACGGTATGCGCCTTGTTTCTCTCGTCTCAAGATTACACGCTTACAAACAAATTAGATCTTCAACCAATATGCGGATCCCGGTAGCTATTACGACATCTGCCTACAGATCTTCTACCTAGCCGATCATCGCAACACGGCAGACATCAAATCTACCTGGCAACATCTGCTGCAAGACTTGCACGACGAGACTGTCGAGAGAGGTGAACCACAACCGTACGAAGCAGTCATCGACAAAGTTAGGAGCCTTGGAAGCCGGCTGCGCATGTCCGAGATCGTCTTTCCCATTCCGATGCTCCTGCCAATGCTGGAGCGCTATGCACTGGAGCATCAGCGCGGTGTTGGCCCCGCAACATGGGTGGTCGATCTCTTCCTCGACCTCGAAGTCCCTCATGAGACGCTATACACGGTGCTCGAGGCTATGTTCTACAATGATGAGGCTCCTTTCCATGGGCCCAACCGCCGCTACATCGCCAGTGACCTGCTTTACCTCATACAGCATTGGTTCCACAGCACTGTCCGTATGGGCGGCATTGTCTTCGGCAGCAACGTGGTGGCTGCACGTGTTTCAGAGACTCTTTCACTCCTCCGAGAGGCTGGTCTTAGCCAAGACTTAATCAGGGTCGTGGATGAATTGCGGATCAGGATCGAGGATGTTTTGCGATAGGTTAGAGATTTGCAATGTCACGATTAGCTATGGAGCTATCCCCACAGATTCTCCCTTTTAACATTCCTGTATTGGCGTTTTGAAAGAAAAAGGGTGACCTGGGAGTGCATCGAATATGATGGAGGTTGTTGGTATATGGTCGCCATGTGCAGGAAACCGTGGCAGCCCATTTCATTTCTGGAATTATTTTCGCGTCTCAAAAATCAAATGATGTCCCGTCATTTCTTATGTGGAATTCCGGAACATGTACCAAGAGCATCCGATTGTTATACTATCGTGTCATAATGCTTGTCTTGTGCATCTATAATATTTTTTGAGCAAACGATAATAACGTAGCGGCGGGGGGCTATTGATTCTACCACGAAACTCACCAAGTATGTACCTACCTAGGTAGGCATTAATGCCCCGAATCGGAAACGTGATCCTTCGGCTGCCGACTGGCCTCGCCTTCCCTGACATCTGCTGTCGCAGCGGTTTAACATGCGCTATTTGCTTGATTCTAACTCTACATTATGTTTATTCTACCAATATACGACGCGAGCTGATTATGCGAAGACATTTATTTCGAGGGAGAAATGCTATTTGTGGAAATATTCGAGAATTTAAACTTTTTCACTTTTTCACTTTATTCGTCACAATGGAAGACTAGCATGCATGCATGCGATATAGACCGGGATCATGGCCCTCTTCTGCGTTTCCTTATATGCCCTCGTCCTCCTAATGATGATGCTCTGGAGCAAGAAGACGAAGAGTCTTGTTCTGAGTAAAACTCATCGGGGATTCGACATCTCACAAACTGAAAAAAAAAAAAAAAAAAAAAAAAAAAAGGAGGAACCAAGACATTTCATGCGATTATAGATTATCATTTTTCATGGCATGCAGTCTGATACTATGCGCAATACATGTGTTTGATTGTATAGTGAAAAAAGTGGCTGCTTTCCACCCCTTCTTCTAATACTCTATTTGTCCTGCGTTTTGGGCGCATGAAGTATAATTAAGACTCTTTGTAGAGTAGTCAATCACTACCCACTTAATTCGCTAGAGCCTAGGCCGGCTTCTGACCAGTCATGCAGAACGTAGCTAGAAAGCGCGCGATAGATAGGTCTATCTAGGCCAGTTTAGGATGTGAGAAGAGCTGAAACTCAGGCAAAGCGAATCACGACTTTGTGCTCCCTGTGGTCACTGAAGCGCCGGTAGTACTCAGGTACCTGCTCGATGTCAATGATCGAGCTGACCACGAAACTCGGCGTAGCTCGTTCAGAGGCAACAAGATCAACAAGCGCTTGCGCGTGTTCCAGCGGCAAGACAATTCCGCTACCCATCGTCAACGCCTTTTCCCAGAGAGAGGAGACTGAAAGAGGGACCTCCGCAGGTATGCTGGAGGCGCGAGGGGCTCCTCGCGTGCTGTTCTGTCCTCCGGTATAAACGCCCGCGATAGCGATACCTCCTTGGTTCGCGGTAACGGCGATGAGGTTGCGCGGCACCAGCCCATCATCGCGCTGACCGGCGGCATTGACCGATTCAAACCCCACGCAGTCTAAGGATCTTGTAACACCATTCGGTTCTTGAGCCAGGATCTGTTCGACGGGGTCGGAGACATTGAATTGGATAGGTACTGCCCCAATAGAGGCCGCCAGCGCTAGACGGTCAGGCACTTGATCCACCGAATACACGCGCGATGCACCACGAAGCAGGGCCGAATACGCTGCTAGAAGGCCCATCGGTCCGGCCCCAAAAACCGCGACAGTGTCGCCCGGTTGGAAGCCACTGTACGTCAACGCCTGCCAGCCAGTAGTAAAAATATCCGCAATCATCAAGTAGTCCAGTTCTTTGGTGACATTGCCGGTCTGGTTGTTGAAAGGAATCGGGATGAGGCTCTCATCAGCGAAGGGAACGCGGGCATATTCGGCTGGCACAACAATGTGAGTGGCCTGTTGGGACACGTAGGGAATCAGAACGTGGAACGGGCCAGGGCATACCTTGCAGACCCCCATAGTCAGGTAGGCCGGTACCAAAAGAGATCGGGTGTTGCTGTCCATAATGGCCACTGTGGGCGTTGTCCGGGATAATCACATAGTCACCAACTTGGAGGGAGGAGACGGCGCTACCAACTTCCGAGATGTAGCCAACTGCCTCATGACCGAGACCCCATGGGACATTGGGAGATCCCATGTAGCCGTGGTAAAAATGGAGATCGGAGCCACAGATGGCTGAAGTAGTGATCCGAACGATTGCATCCGTGTAATTCACGATGCTGGGAACAGGCATGTCAATAACGGACACATTGTACGGTTGTCCGAACCAGGCTACTGCCCGCATTGTAGCAGCTAGAGTTGCGTTGGGTGACATCAAGAATGATAGGGCAATACAAGACGGGAAATATTTGCTACTCATATGTTGGCCTTGGTTAGAACGAATTGGCAGGGTATATAAGCATCGTGGCCCTTTATGTATCTCTCTAGGGTTTTGTGAGAAGCCTTATCTTGTTGGACAGCTTGGCTGCGTCACTGGAGGCCGAGTGGTTCCACCTGAATCCTCAATCCCGGAAACGTATTCTCTTTGAGGATTGAAACGGTGGACGATAAATATAAGATCAACCCGTTGACAAGCTCATCTAGGAAGTAATCTAATGGCGGCCCGGGTCAAGACCAATGGTACCCCCTATCTGTCTTGGCAGAAATGAGAAGACAGGTCCCTGCTTGTCTAAGTGGGACACTTTCTATTCCAACTAGCAGAGGATTTGCAATATGCTGCTGTTCCGAATGGTTTTGGAGGGAACCAACCAACTGCAACATGTGTGGAGGTCGAAAGACAGGTGGTGAGTCGAATCAGCAGATTCCTGCTAGATGGTGCGAAGGCTAACTAGCCCTTGGATGTGCTTATATCACAGTAAGATTACCATGGTAGCCGTTCCCACACAGAAGCCAGAGCTATCGGGCTGGTGTATTAATCTTTGCTTGAGGGGAAAGTCGAAAGTTGATGGGCTTGCCCGTGATGTGTATGCAGCGGCTATATTAGACGTGATTATCTTTTGGTCAAATTGTGTGGAACGACCAATACAGCACCGCTTACTTCCATCTCGGTGTTCTTGCTGTAAATGGTATAAATATACCAACAAGCTTCAATATCAGCATGGAAACTGGGAGTTATACTTTCTCAGGGAGGCTAGATGGATAGATGAAGATGCTTGGGTTCCTACCTAAGCTCCTAAAGCTACGTGCCTATATATGCCTTTGACTAGTCCAAAGCGGAATGTAAAAGGGACATGCCTACAAAGCCCAGGTGATGGGAGTCACCTACAAAAACACTTTAAACAGCAGTCTTCCCGGTGCCCAGTTGAGAATATACCGCTCAATCCAACTGGCAGTATTCAGCACTTGCCTTCTAGCAGTGTCTTAGTTTGTAGGTGTATCACACACAAAGTCCTCGCGTACGGCTCATGCAGAATGCTAGTTAACCATGGAGTAGACTTGCTTACACACTAACGGTAGATCTGCACTGAGTCTCCCTGAATCGTTCTACCAGTAACTCCCTACAGGCCCTGATAGGACAACCTTTATTGGGAACCAGTAGGGAGGATCAGTGCCAATAGATAAGCTCCTTCCCACGGATCATGTTCCAGCCCTCCTCCAACGCATCAAGGATGTCCTGCGGGAGAGGGCCTCCGTTTACAGCCTTCGGATTCTCCTCCAGCTGTTGAACGCTACTGGAACCAATGACGATTCCATCCCCATAATCATCCTTCAACTGCGAGTGATGTTTCAGCCACACCAGCGCACACTGTCGCGAGAATAGCGACTGGTCAACATGCCAGCCGCCAGCGGGTTGAAGCAATAGAACGAGATTCCGAAATACCGCAAACAACGTAGTAGTTCCGGCTCCACTGCCCTATGAAAGGCGTTATATATACCTTGGCAGATACTTGGCATCACCCATCCATTCTCGTTGCAAATATCACATATTGTAGCCACCTCCCAGGATTGGTAATTGCTAATACCTAGTTTCTCGAAGTACCCCTGCTGGTACAGTACAGCTTGTTCACTTCGGATAGTGTCTCTTTAAATGGGACCGTCCGATCAGGACTATGCAAGTACCAAATATGAACTTTGGGGACGTTAAGTGCTTTTAGACTGCTCATCAGTCCTCGACGCAAGTCCTTCGGAGTATGGTGGTATAAATGGATCGAAGATGCAATGTCGGGATTAGCAGCTGACGGAAAGAGCTTCGTGGCTAGATAACCCTGAAACGCTCTTTGACGATGTAACACCAGCTAGATAGCAACATAGGGAATATGTAATTCCACAAAAGTACTATGCTGCAGCTCATATCAGTTATTTCCTCCATTAAGTTCTGCATGAGATGGTTAGTTAGTGCTACTTGCATTTATAATCATCCCATAACTTCCTCATGCAGCCTCAGCTGCAGTAGATTCCTGCTTATCAGCCACACCATGGAGGATGCTTACTACAGTTCAAGTAATCATGAATGCAATACTGGCTTTGACGCAGTTGACCTTGCATACTTGCATACTCTTTAGTTGAGCTGAGATCCTGGTTCTAATTCAGTCTCGGTGCATTCATAATGGTCAGTTAAGGACCCCACCTGCCAGCTAAAAAAAAAATATAGAGTGCGGGCCTATAATTGTAGAGGCACAGGAAAAATTCATTGTCGATACTCCTTTATTCTGCATAATGAATCATCTAATGCATATGTGTGATCCTATAATCTCTCACGGACATCGCATATTTGGCTACCGTTAACCGTATATTCACTAATCCCGAAGCAGCTGAATTCATATTTAAACAAGTACTCTAACTGAAAAATAGTATTCAGTAAAACCTGCCTATAACGAATCATTTTTTCCAGGCAGTCTAATTTGTTGTATAGAGGATTCGTTGTATGAAAAGTGGGTCTATATTAGTAATATACGTATTGGTAGTGAAATTTTCTAATAAATTTCCTTAATTAGTAATTTATGATGAGGTAATTACTGACTAATAAGGTAAATCTGTACTTTTCTATAACGAATCGTATGGGAAAGGTCTGAAAAAATTAACAAATTTCGTAGTAGGGAGGAATAACGAATTTTGTATGGGAATTTGATTTTGACACGCTGTCAAATTCGTAATCTAGAGGTATTCGTTATACACGGGTTCGTTATAGGCAGGTTTTACTGTATTCGACATGTGGATGATATTTACAGGGTTCCGTAGTCGGATGAGTCCATCTATAGATGGCCCACTCCTTAGCGCGTAATCCACCTACATTAGCGGAAATTTTCATATTCATACTTTCCGGTAGAAGGGATAGCTCTGGCGATAATTGGTATTGGTTCTAACAGGCCTCACTACCTGCCACAGGCACAACGGACTGGCTATCGGACGACATGTGGCCGAGGGGTAGACCATGTCCTCGAAACCGGTGGTTCAGGTACATGCTTCCAGTGGCGAACACCTCGGCAAAGTTTGCATCAATGTTCCGTAATGAAGAACTGCTGAATTTATAAATGGCATCACCAATGGTGGAACGTTACCATACGGGAACAATGGACAAGATTTCTCTTTAGGGTTCATTAGAGAAAGAATCAAATGTTCTCTTCTAATACTCATCCGAACGTTGACTGTATTCCCGCTGATTTGTATCATCCATAAGCGGACTGCTGATAATTATTGAGAAGCCATAAGTGATGCGACACAAGTAGGAAGTCAGGATACCGAGTATGGCGATTCTATATGTAAAAGGGTAATAGCCCGTTCCTTGTTTTCATTGAGCTGCAGCAAGTTGAGAACATAGTTTTAGCTAACAGTGTATTACTAGTTCAGCGATCCCAACATAACTAATAGCACAGTTCGAGTATATGATGTACAGGAGTTTAGGATCGGCCTTAACGTATATGACACACTAACTAGCACTGAGCCAGATTGGAAGATACTCCAGTAAAGTGGCTACGCCCATTGCAGGTATATAATATTAAGAGACTATCTGCTTAAAACCCCCGCGTACTATATGGGAGGGTTGGAGTTCCACTCTCAGGAAAACCATCCAGCGTAGGAACCTCGCACAAGAATGAGAACCCGGAGTCTGAGGAAGAATGACCAAGGTAAATCCCATTCATAGGATATGAGGCGCGAGCAATGGGATTGGCCGTGGAGGCAGGTAATGTGTTCACCGAAAGGCGCTGCTAACAAGACTTAATAAGAATGCTGGACTTAACTATAGCTACTTAAATCAGACGAACTGCATACATGACAGGAAGCCCAGTGATAACAAGACCAAGGAAGCAAAACATGTTAGTTAGATCGTCACGCCTTACGAGGCCGCACTGGCGCAGGATGTGGGGAAACTTCAATCTGAGCAGACACCTTCGTCAGAAAGACATCTGCTGCCGTGCTGTTGGAAGAATAGTGATCGCGAAAGATAAAATTCATTGGAAAGCCAACATCAAACGGAACCGCATTGTCAATTTCAGCCAGGTCCTCATCGGATAGGACCACACTGAGGGCTTCGATATTGGCTTTGAGATGTTCAACCTTCCGCTGCCCGATAATGGGGAAAACGTTGGGAGTTTTATGCATCACATACGCAATCGCCTATTCAAGGATTAATTTTCATTTGGGACGTTGCATCAGCTGAGGCGACTCACGATAGCATGGATGCTAGTGTTCTTTCTCTTGCTGATTTTCTCCAGTGCTTCAGACACCTTGATGTCATTCTCACTCAGGGCTGAAGCCCTCGCACTTCCAGCATTATGCTCACTATTCCGTTGCTCAGCCGACTTAAATTTGCCTTGGCCTAGAGGTGCCCAGGGGGCGATAGCCATTCCTTGGTCACGGCACATAGGGATAATATCTCTCTCAAGATCTCTGAAACCAGCGTTCCATTTACCTTGATAGACAGAGAACGGTCTTAAGCCATTAGATCGTGCGTAATCATTGGCCTTCACCACGATCCAGGCTGGAGTGTCCGAGACCCCGAGATACAGTACTTTGCCAGAAGTGATCAGGGCGTTAAGTCCATGCATGACCTCTTCGACGGATGTAGTAAAGTCCCACCAATGGACATATAGCAGGTCAATGTAATCAGTCTGAAGCTTCTGCAGACTGTGGTTGACCGAGATTCGCATGCTCTTCGTGGAATTACCCACGAAGTTGGACTGCAGAGGCTCCGTATCGAAATGTGATGTTCGAAATCCAGTCGTGTACTTGGTTGCGATACTGGCCAGCGGAAGGCGTTAATAACGTATATCGGAATGACAGTGGCAACAACATACACTAATTGATCTCGATTACCACGTTTCTTGATCCATTCCCCCAGCCACATCTCGGACTCTTCCTGTTGATAGTTGTTTGCGCTGTGCAAGAACAGCATGTCAGATATGAAGTACGTACAGGTGTGATATTCACTTACGTGTCCAGAAAATTACCGCCCAATTCGTAGAAAGCGTCCAGCACTGCAAAGGACTGCTCCTTGTTACACTCGCCCATAAACTCCTTCCTGTGTAATGTCACTTATGTTAGCTTCGTTTGCCAATGACCCGCAGGACAGAGAATTACCAGGCCTCCCCAAAGTTCATCGTTCCAAGACATAGAGGCGATACTTTGATGCCAGCAGAGGGCGCCAGCACTCGGTGATAGCCTAGCAAACTTGCTGGCTTTGGCGCGAGGGAAAACACAGACATCCTTCCAAAAGAAGTTTGTCGTAATCGGCACGGATAGAGTCTGACTTCAGGCTGGTTGGTTTAAGAAAGAACTGTCAAGTATCATGAAAAAAAGGCCATGTGACAGTTATTATATAAAGCAGCGCATCGGCCGGTGCCTGGGTCACTGGGAAATTACTGTTGATGAATGATTTGAGCTAGAACTTACGACGTCCGATTGTTATCAGAAATGTCTCAGATGTCTGTCATCCGAATAGCGATGGCTTCCCTCTCAGGATCTCGATTAAACCTCATTAGTAGAAAGATCGCACCATTACGTAGAGACGAGCCATGGGGAGAATCGAGCAATCCGCCTTTACTAGTGGGGACACCAGTCGAAACCGAAACAGACACATGTATCCTGATGACAGACTCTTTCTAGTAGTTGGTGGCGTCGGATTATCCTCCTTTTGCCAAGCCTAGCCATTGTTTCACACTTCATGTATCTAGAGGATTGATTGGCAGATACTGTGGCTATCTAGTAATTTAAGATGTAATGTCTGATAATACGGATTGAGGTCAGTGAAGATAATAATAAGTAAGTCCTGATCCACATTGTCATACCCGTGCATGGAGCTAAATTGGTTCCACCCCCAGCTAATCGCAGTCTATCTAGAATGAAATAGCTTCAACGGGGGAGAGATCTGCTTACGCGCTAAGGGTGGGGATGTGCTATTGAACTATCAACTACCATGCTGTCCGTTTTGGCAAATACCTAGTTAAGTTCGACAGTAACCACCCACTACTGTCAGGAGATAGTAATAGATAGGATCAATGCCGATAGATAAGCTTCTTCGTACTGATGACCTTCCATCCCTTATTTAGCGCATTAATCACCTCTTGCGGGACCAGGCCTCCGTCGAGAGATCTGATAACGTTCCTATACCCATAGTCAGCATTGAAGTATGCTTAATTGCCAATACCCCCAGTACGTAGTCGACCTCCGTTCACTAATAATTCCTAAAAACTAGCCTTAGATAACTGAATGTTTGAAAGCAATTATTATAATCATAACGCTGATAGTTAATATTCCTTAAGCCTATAGTGGGGCCAATTTTGCTAACTACAAATACCCGTATATTATTATTGTGAGAATACTGTCTAATTAATATAGAGATCCCAACTATAGTATTGCTGAAAGCAGAGTAAATGTAGTCCCATACATACTTTAATAAAGATCTGGCTTCGCCTAGTTATCCGTTTTTATTACAGACATTGCATATTATCGCTGTCTCCCAGGATTGGTAATTGCTGATGTACGCACTATCAGGGAGGTCTGGAGAATACACCAAATTATAAACGAAGCATTTAACAGTATAAACCTGGTCAGATAGAAGTATCGGTGACGCAGCTTTCACAAACTGGGTTTGTAATGTTCATCTACTGTTTGTTCATGGAAAACAATCTTGTGGGAAAGGTAGCGCTGGGGTAATGGAGAGATCCAAAAAGAGACAGCCTAAATAAACCACTCTTTTTTTTATCTGTACATATAACGCACGGCTTCATGGAGAATCGATATCAGTGCTGAGAGAGATATCCTTTACCTCCTCCAGATTCTGCCTGACTGCATCTAACTTAGCCAGGATCCGAGGAAAACAATCGGACCCAAGCGGCAAGCGAAGTACATGTGTCTTTCCGTTTCCCAGACCAGTCCCCTGAATTACATCGAGGATTCGACTGACTGCCTTCACCGGATCACCGGGTTGCTTGCCAGCGAAGGTATCCCAGGTAGCCATAGCAGCGGCCAGGGGTGTCCCTTCATAATCCCTAATCATACTAGCAGCAGGAAGCCTATGAGACCCGAGGAAATCAGTCCGGAAAGCTCCTGGCTCAACCAGCAAGACTCGAATGGTGAACGGCTTAAGCTCGACGGAGAGGGATTCCGAAAGGGCTGTATTCGTCGTTGTCAGAGTACACGCAACACAATAGAGATGAGAGTATTCCTGTACGTACCCTCAATGGCAAATTTCGACATAGAGTAAGCAGCAGACGAAGGCCCAGCAGTAAAGCCAGCAATGCTGCTTATGTTTACTATGGTACCGCTGTGCTTCGCTCTCATGTAAGGGAGGACAGCCTTGATAACGTTAACTGGGCCATAGACGTCAGTGCGGAACTGAAGGTCCAATTCCTCTTCACTAGATCACTCATCAGCATTCAACGATAGCGGACAGTCCAAATGGGAACAAGGACAAATCCCGCGTTATTGAAATGCGTTTCCACCCAGCTTTCTATGCGCTCAAGGAGCTGCCCAGCACATTTTTCCTTGTCCTGCCCGAGAGTTGTGCCCTTGTATCGTTGGTGCGGAAAGACAGAGCTGGCGCGCAGAGAATATCTATCGTATAATAGCTCGGATAAGAATGTGATAACCTAGTGGGAATATAGGGGTTCAGGCGTTGGACGTGGGCCCCTTGAAGGGCGAATCCTTGCAATATCATCTATCTGGAAATGACTTGTCCCTGCAATTGGCGAAGCCGCGCGTGCTTTCAATATACCGCGTACGACCCTACGAGATCACGAATAATCACGCACCCACGGTTGTAAATTCATTGATTCTGAAGCGAATTCACTTCTATAATACTTTCGGGGCAGCTCTCAATATACTGTCGGAGCGCAGCTGATTCTCTACGAGTAACAAGGGCTGAGGCATAGGCAGATGCCAAGTGATCCAGCATCCGAGCTGCGAACGCATCACTCCTGATGAGTCCAATCAGAGATATACTAATGTCCAACTAAGGCCTCATGTGCCGCGGAGTATCTGTTTCCAGATGGCTTGGCAGCATCGACAATTCTCCTCATTTCATGTTTTTCCTCCTCCGTTAGGTCAATCTCTCTGGACGCCCAATTCTCCTCCAATCGCTTCACCTTAGTCGTGCCCGGAATGGCAATCATGCCCTGAGAGGCAACCCAGGCAAGTGCAATCTGAGCCGTTGTGCAGCCCTTCTGAGAAGCGAGTTTTTTGATCTGCTCCACGATCGCGCGATTCTTGTAGAAGTTCTCCCCCTGGAATTTAGGGACTATTCGTATTTATGTCAGCGACCATCCCATGTTAGATATGCTCAAATGCGGAGAGAACTTACCCGTCCGGCGGAAATCATCGGGCGCAAAGTCATTCGGAGATTTGTAGTCGAAATTATCAACTAGCCACCCATGGCCCAATGGGCTATAGGCGACATAGGCCACATTCAATTCCTTTGCCGTCTGTATCAAACCGTCGCTCTCATGTAATGTCTCAAAAGCCGAGTATTCTGCTTGTACAGCATCGATTTTGGCAACTGTTAACAATGTCAGCAGAAGGGACAAGGAAAGGAAGAGATGTTCTTTACTGACTTGAATTGGCCTTACGCAACGTAGCAGCGGAGCATTCAGATAGGCCAATATACTTGGTTTTCCCTTCCTTGCGGATCTTGTCGAGAGTTGTAATAGATTCCTCGAGGGGGGTTTCTACAGAGAATCAGCACCCGCATCATAACATTTCTGGTACAATTATCTGACGCACTAGGATCGATTCGGTGGAGATAATAGAGGTCAGGAGCAAAGCCAAGTCTCGCAATCGTTCCTTCGATGTACTGCTCGATGTGGGAAGCAGAATTGGTCACATCCCCCTTTCCGAAGACATCAAAACCACACTTCGAGGCAACTAACAGCAAAATTTTGTCAATAAGGAAAACTTTTAGTAGTATAATAATAATGTGGTTGACCAACCAAATACTTTGTCGCGCACGCCGTGTTTCCTGATAAAGTCTCCCAGGAGTTTTTCATTCACTCCAGCTTGATACACAACCTTGGCAGACAGGGTCAGCAGTTTCCGCAGAATGGGCTGTCCTTGACTTACCGCTGTGTCCCAGAATGTGCATCCAAGCTCAATCGCTTTCAACAAAACAGGCTCAGCCTCCTCGTAAGATAGATTAGACCCCAAACCAAAGCTAAGACCCATGGCCCCGAAGCCTGGTGATGGAACCAGAATGTCGCCAAATGGGAGTTCCTTGACCATAATGATGCCTGTCTGCGCGTTTGATGAGCTTTTGATGGGTCACGAACACTGGCTATATAGGTATGTATGTATGTAGGTACGTATGATGGTGGATGGATAAGTAGGTAGGTAGCGGGGGGTAATGAAGGACGGTTTAAATAAGTAGGTAAACAGTACCCGATTTGGCACTGGGTCATCGGATTTAAATCTTCATCATGTTAATAAGTCCGTGGCGGTGATAAGGCATCCGAGAACCACAAATAACGCTAGCTATTCTGATTTAGGAATAACCAATCTGCGACCGGATGACAGGTGGGCCATAAATAATAATTGTTAGAGTCGAAGTATCATTTATGATAGCTGAAAAGGGATAGATAGTATGAAATATGAACCTTGGAAGTCTACCACTGCAAGATTACAGACCATCCTAACCCTCGACAGTATTAGTCCCAATTCTTTTCCATCTCCTGGCCAATATTTTCAGACCCTTGCAACCAGATCATACCATTAGGTAGTATCGCGTATAGACTCACAGCCGCTGCAGCAACGTCATCAATGATTGCCCATCATTACCGCCGGCTTGTTTCTACTTACCCAAAGGCCGCCCAGCCAAGAGCTAACTCGGTCGCGGACTGAATATAACAGCAAAAAGACCAAGGTAAACAGAGACGGGAGTGGAAAACTTATAGAAACCTTTTCTGCTGGGTACTCACAGGACCGTATGCCGGAAATACAGTCCCTGACCTGTCTGCCTACCTCAGTTGTTGCACCATTAACCAGATCCCGAATCATTTCACTTGACTGATAAGTTGGCTGTCTCCTGGATATCTGACTAACGAGGTCCATTTCTGGAAAAGCGAATGCAGGTGGAATCAAAACACAAGCAATTAAGAAGAGTGTTATAGACCTCATTCTTAAATATAAGCAAATAACTTTCCGTTCTAACAAACTAAAAAAAAAGAAAAAAAAAAAAAAAAACGTATATTATAACACAGCTAAGATAGTAAAGACAACATCATAAGAGAAGCGGGCCACCTTGGGATTAAATACATAAGATTCCACGGAGTTATCGGCTTTTAAGAAACGAATTCAAGAAGCAATTTTCGTTGGTTATAAACAATATGTGCAATAAATACTAATAGGTTCCCAGTCCTAGGCTTTAGGAGAAATAAAGATCTGCTTTCACAGAGAAGTAGCACCAATTACTAACAAGAATTTCTAATATCTTGGCAACATCACTTGCATCGGAGGGCTCGACTCGGCAGGCTGTGTGAACCTCCTGTTGTTTGGCGTCCCAGATTGTAAAGTTGTCCGTGTTGCTATAGTGGAGTGCAGAACTGAATGCTTCCAAAAGCTCAGCGCACTGAATCCAGTAAGTAAGATATCTCATCATTATAAAACAAATAAAACACAGAGTAACATATTGCTTGTTGACAATTCAGGGATACTGTCCTGTTTAATCCGATATTATCTCTTGGATAGGAGGCGGCACCCACAGCTATATTGACTCCAGTGAGGAGGTATGCAAATAAAGCAGAAGCTCTCATGACTTCAACTAATCTCTAAAAATGATATACGTGAGGTGCCTAAACAACAGAGAACGAACTTAGTTCTTAACACTTTTTCTCAGGGGACGACGATGTGGATTTCGGAATACTTATGCATGTATGTATAGTACATCTAAAGTGATCATCAACTCGGCCATTACTGTGATCAACCAAAGAAAACTGAGCCTTCTTTTAAGCCAGTACAGCCTGTGCTATGTCTTCCAGGGACGTTATGGAATGCCAAGAGTATCTGTTGTCCCTGCGATTTGGCAGGTAAACAGTGAGCTCAGGAAAGCTTGCAATCTACGCACATCCCATCTATCAAAAATAAGACCAATTGAATGATAAATAAACCTATTAATAATTCCCAAATAGTAACTAGCGAGAGTTATAACAAATAGAAGTCTGGATATACTACATTTCCGCAAACAGCGGTAGTAATTTGGTAACATTTATGGATACTAAATCACTATTCCTAATGCAAGTTAGCTCTATGCAGGAGTATAATAATGTGGGGTCATAGAGCTGTCTAACTTAGTTGACTAACTAGTTAGTTAACTATCCTGTATGATTGTTACCGATCCTGAAAATAACCGGCCATCTTAAGGTGGCTGTATTTGAGGGAAGCTGGCGATTTCCTATTTCCCGCTCCATCCTATCTTTATTCCTCTGACCAATCTCATTACTACCTGCCTGTCAGCTAGGTGCATGTTTAATAATTATCGGAGACCTTACCAACCAAACCCACAATCCCATCTATAACAAAACGTCTTTATCTCTCCGAAATGAGCGGTCGCAGAACGGAGGGTTCCCGACTAGCTAAACGCTGCATCATTGTGCAGCCGTTCACCTAGCGCATCAGTGTCTGGCCAGATGATGATTGGTCGGGAATTTCCGACCGATATCAGCGTAGAAGGCTTCAGAATCGGTTAAATCAAAGAGCAAGGCGTAAGTCTGGTGGGGGGGGGGGGGGGGGGGGGGGTTTCTTTGAGCTATGATATTTTTGCGCAACTACTAGTAAGCGGCTCACAATTCTAACGTATACAGGACTGCGAAACACAGAGATACTAGCATCTGCGGCATCAAGAAGAGGACAAGGACGCAATTCAGATTGTCCCGGTAACAGACAGCAAGATGATTCACCGGCGGACTTTGATCCTTCCGTCCAGAAAGATGAAAGGCCTTCCGGGATACGCACGATCAATGATGATATAACCCCCGCTATCTTTCTACAGCGGCTCGAAGGGGTACATATCCTAGATCCAGATTTGATAGCCACCAAAGAGAAGATACAAAAATTGGAAATAATGGTGCATACCTATATGTCTGGCTCTCCGCGTCTTGATTTCCTGTTCCCGCTCGTCGAGCTCAATTTTACTAGAGCCCTCGTGGAAAATATTGAGATCCTAGGCTTCACATCAGAGAATTTGCACGATGATGCCCTCTCGCCCTTTAGCACTGCTGGGCCATGGCCACATAACTTTGCAGCTTCCGTCCCCGCAAGTCTTCATCCCACCGAAATCCAACGGACAGTACCGCACCATCCGTGGTTAGATCTGCTTCCGGTTCCACAGATGCGAGATAATCTCATTCTAGCCGGAGAGTCGTACGATGAAACAGCTGTGTGTCTCGATCTCAAAGGGCATGGGAGTTCGCGGACAGGAAGGACAGGCATCATAGTCTGGAAGGATCCTTGGGATCCATCAGGTTGGGAGATCACGGAGTCGTTCGCTCGCACTTGGGGCTGGGTCATTTGGAATTGCCAGGACATCTTTCGCTCCACGAATCACTGGCGAGCTCAGCGGAACGAGAGGCCACTCTTTCGCACGAGATGACCAAAGCCATCTCGTCTACCATGCGTTGCTGCGTTGCTTGAATTGTACACTAGGAATCCATCCTTTCGTTATTATCCATCGAGGAGCATCCTCTTCCGCGATTAATTTGTAGAGTCTACAATGCAAATCTTCTTGGATTTGACGAAACTACTAAGTGATTTTCATGAGGAAGGATAGTTTTCTTCGGTGAAGTATCGACAGAATCTGACAATACGGCCACAATACCCTATTTCCCGCTCTCAGCAGGCAGTTTTCGAAGTTCAGAACGAACAAGGGCATATATCAAATCCTACAGAGGCCCCTCCGGGATATCGAAGGATGATGTTTCATTGCGAAAATTTTCTTCTCTGCATGGCCGGTGTGTTCATGCTATGTGCCCAAGGGAGGAGTGTCGGTATGAAGAAGTTCGTCAAACCTAACCCAGCAGCTTGGATTTCACTGCCATCTGGGAGGCAAAGGCAAGGCTGAACCTTGCCGGGCTCCTCCAACCATCAGAATCGGTTCGAGTCGTATACTAGTCACGTACTATCCTCATGTAACGAAGAATCGGGCAGAAAACGAATAGAAAATACAAATAAAAACAGCCAATAAAACCCCATAGAGTCCGGATAGATCACCTAACATAGGGCTCACTCTCGGGCCATTCGTTTCTGCATGCTTTTGCAATAGTTCTGGATGCTGGGCTAGGAGCTCTAATTCTTTACGAGCTGATTCTCTTTTCTCTATACCATGGTCAAACACTAACGAGTTGCACTATGAACAGTAGGCTCAACACTTTACTTACTCCAAGCTTGCTGATTGAGCCTATTCTGACGTCTATGTTGCTCAGCAGGAAACGTCTCATTTTTAAGGAGGTGCCGGCCTGGCCGTAGCAGTAATAAAGAATCGTCACCTTGGACTTCACGCTGAGCTACACAACCTGCATGCCGGTAATACCATGAACCACGCGGTAATGCAAGCCGCTGACACGGCCCCACTGCTCTAAGTAAGTACTGTAAGCTCCGCCAATCTTGTCGTTCTAGCGATCCAAATCAACAATTGCAAATGTCATGGAGAATTCAATAATATTGATATGAGATTTGCAAAGGGACTGTTTCGGCAGATGACGGTTGCTATGCTCCTGGAAACTATGATTCAAAAATCGGACTGAATACTCAGTGTGGTAAGATCTCGGCCGTTACGGCAAGTAGGTTCTGCATATCTGAGCACATATATAATAAAAAGCTCGGTCAGGTACAGGTGACAATGAGCTTATGAATCGACCCTTGCATTTCAAGGCGTCTTTGGCTCCATTTCTTTCCATCTACGAAGCTGTCTGACGTCTTCGATCTCTTCGATATGACCGCTTTAAACGAAACGATGCGAGCCGTTGTTTGGCAAGGACAACCATTCAATATTTCTGTCCTCGATGTGCCAAAGCCAATCATTATGAACCAGACCGATGCAATCGTTCGGATGTCAAGAGCAGCCATCTGCGGGTCTGATTTGCACATTTATCGAGGCACAATGGAGGGACAGGTTCTTCCAGTTGGCAGGAGCTGTATGCCCGGTAGAGTATCGATGTATTCAAATATGGCTGTCAATAGGATCCTCGTCCCGCTCAGGCAATTGAGGGTGTCACAACTAGTTTACATAGATTATTTGATAGGGTGGTTTACTGTGAATAAATGACGGGATCAGAAATCGCGATGTTTGAAGTTTGTCCCTTTTTACATACCTAGTTATCTTTGCCCCGTCCCCTTTGGATAATATACTTTTAGCCAGCTGCTTTGCTTCCCCTTGCTTCCCTGGGTCTGCTGAGGGCTGCCTCGCCTTCCGGGCCACTTCTGGGCTGTTTCTGCTTTGCTTACAGTTGCTGGTCCACGGCACTGCCTTGATCTGGCGGCGGATTCGCCTGGATGCCTTAGGTATTACCCGGCACGTGGCCAGTTCAAGCAGCGACGCTGCCCAAGCAACACCAAGTAAACCGGTCGATATTCAGGGCATGAATAGATGTGGTACCTTCCCCAAACATTTATTTGTATCTCGCCTCTCACTAACCGTTATGATCCTAGACTTAGCTAGTTTTTATCATACCACGAATCAATCAACTAATCATCCACCTACCCCTCCACCTACATCTCTTTTGGCCTATCCTAGGTCTTGCCCATCAGTACCTAAGGTACCTCCTATCTTCTGAATAGTTGTTTTTCTGTCTGCAAACAAGAATGGGCAAATCCAAAAGACCTCTATCGGGAGCGGCACTTCAAGCTCCCAAGAGCAAGATCCAAAAGCAACAGCAGCATGCAGCTGAAGTTGAAGAAAAAACCCAGGCACAAGAGACACAAGCCGAGTCTTCTGGAAATGTCCAAGTTGAACGTCCGCACGATCCAATCGAGATCGAAACGGAGGACATAATACCAAAGGCGAAATCACGAATCCAGGGTTATCAGAGGAATGACAGCAATGATCGAACAGATAAGCTGCTTGATGATATTCTTGATAATCTCCCCCTAGAGGGCCGAAAAGCATTCGCCAGCACGATTCTAGAAGCGCGGAACGATGAAGGTCTGCGGGCATTGATAGAAAACTTCAAAACCAAGCTGTTAATACCACGTGAGTATTCACCTATATTGAGTGATTGGAAAATAAATTCATAGATATTGTTATAGTGAAAGCCAAGGGGGGCACAACTCCAACTCCTTCCCAGATACCATCTTCATCCTCGTCTGAGAAAATGGAGCCAGAGGGATCACCAACAACGCTTCTGCCTTTAGCGATTACCAAATATGCGTCGAGAAGTGGTCAGCAAAAACTGAAGGACTACTGCTTAGCCCGTGATGGTTATAAGTGTGTTGTTTCTGGAGTATATGATCTAAACAGCGAAGATCAAACACCTCAAGATGCAGATACAGCTATCACAGAGTGCTCCCATATCATTCCGTTTTCTATGGCACCGTCATCAAAGGGAAAGAAGCCGGTAAATAAGAGATTTGGCCTTTCTAATATTGGGTCTATGCTAAGTCCAGTTAGATTGAATCGGTCTCAGCGACCTGGAGTATTATGTATCAGTGTTTCCCAGCTCTCAAAAATGTATTGGATATGAATGATCCTTCTAGGACTAATGATCCAAGAAATGCCATGACCTTGTTACGTGATCTACATGCTGCACTGGGATCATTCTCAATGGCCTTTGAAGAAACCGTAAGTTTAATTATTTCTACCAGACAGTTTCCTAATACTCATTCCGTATAGGAGAATGAAACCGTCTACACACTGAAAACATATCGGTCATTCCCATCTGCTTTTAAAAGAGCGTTTCTACCGAAAGATGGAATAGTTCGCTTTAAGTCTCATGATGGTAATCATATATCATTGCCTGATAATGCCATATTGGCGGCTCATGCAGCCATTGCTCGAATACTCCATCTGACAGGAATGGGCGAAGAAATTGACAAGATGCTGAGAGAATTCGACAAGCTCAGCTGTCTTGCTGAAGAAGGCATCCTGGATCTACCATGGGAAATCAGCAGATGGCTCTTTGAAGCATCATAATGTATTGATAGGAGTCTCATAGACAACGCTTACGGGGAGTAAAGGTTATGCAATATCGGAATGGATGGTTAGAGGGGCGGCGCCGGAAACGGTGCCAGGGAATAGGTAATTTGAAAATGATGTCGTATTTTTAGAGGCCACTGTAAATCAAAAGGAAAGTTTCCATATGTCTCTAGCTATCTTTTTAATTAGAGATCCTCAACCAAAATGCGCAAAACAGTTCCTACCCAATCCCCCTTTAAAATGGATGAGTCAGCACCAGGCAACGCTGAGCGTCATTATTGCTGTCCACACAAAGCCCACAGTCTCCGGTAAGAATTCTCTTGTACTTACATAAATTTACACTGGTGATCGTACTTGGTTCTTTATTGACAGCTGCTAGCCCACATGTTTTGTCACTAGACGTGGTGTTGAAGTAACCATGTCATCTATTTGTGTGAAAGGTCGCAAAGCTCTTGATAGGCTTCGTTCGACCTTCGACCTTATGAAGCTTGACACAGGATATGCGGAAGATAAGCCTATGAGGGAGACACCTCTGACAGAGACACATATAAAAGAGATAACCACGAAGGAGACACCTGTGACAGGCGCACCAGTCGAGGAAATACATGTGAAGAATGCGCCTCTAGTTGATGCCCGCAACGAAACCTGCGACAATCTCAATGAGATATTGATGTCCGTTTTGGACCAAGAAAGTCTATACCTTGGGAATGAAGCAGCAAGAAGTTTCTACATCATATTAAATGATCTTCAGCTGGAGGAAACCAACGATCTCGCAGACCCAGATAATTTCTGCTTTTTCAGCCCTATGCCATTAGCTCGCTTGGAATCTTTCACATTTGACAAGAGCGACGAAGATACAGAGAGATTTCTACATAGATTTGGCCGCTGGGAAGGACTATCTCGACCTCAATCTGGAGAGCCTTTGATGAGGAATGCTAGAGCTCTTATAGGCAAGCTTCGTTGGCTAGTTGGAGCCTGCAAACGAATCTTTCCAGACGAAGATCGGAAAAGCTACCTCCTTAAAGCAGTAAACTGGAGGTATATGTGAGTGCTTTTTGCTCCCATTAACAAGAGAGTTAAGGATATTTCTAACATCTTCTGTTTCTAGTTTTTTTTGCCCCGAGATACTGGACGAAGATCTTTACGATATGCTAGACAGTGCTAGCAGACGCAGGGCTATCATACCTGACGGCATCGGCACATTTGTTAAGATGTTCGATATTACCGATGGATATATCGCTTGGCCTCCGGATATTCGTGCTGACCAGCCACATGTCATTATTATGATCGACCATAAATACCCTGGTGATGATATGATTTCACGAGCAGAGATTCTAGCAATTATTGCCGTTATAATGACACAACTCCAACATGAGAACCTCGCAGAGCACTGCATTATTCCGGTAAGAATATTTAACAAGAAACATCCTACAAATCTATATTTACCTAACTTTTATCTTTTCATGTGATATTTCTAGGTAATGGTAGTCTCATTTATGGATTCTCTGCAAGGAAGGATCTTGCAGGCTCATATGACAAATAGCGGGCTTATCATCAAAAAGTCCAAACTGTACGATTTCGACAGACAGGCCGACTTTGAAAAGTCTATGACTTTATTCTCGAGATACATGGCATGTGATAGGATTGGAAACACTCGCAAATTTGTGAAATTTGACATGAATGCCCGCGACATGTCTATACGTGCAGCGACAACCGCCGCTCGTAAGTCGAAAGATGTTACGTCTGGCGCAGAGAACACCATGGGTTGACTGGAGCATGACATAGGGAAATGATCCACGGAGCTTGAGGAGAAGTTACTCAGCGTTGAAGATTCATCCAAACGTGGTTAACCGGGGTCCCTGATCGGGGAGACGTGCAATTTGGATACTCACTACGATGCAAAAGTGACTGATTCTCTGGACGCAATTCCTCGATTTGTTTTGCACTTCATTCTCACAGATCTCAGCAATAAATCGACAAGAACTTTGAATTGTTGCAAAATGCGAAATTACCATCTTGCGGGATTCAGCGTATCCAAAATGAAGCCTGAATTAATCGCATCGACCTTTAGAGTATCATCAATCTTCTGCCAGGATTTGCCACGGTCCAGCCTGTACCTGCAACAACAATGCGTCCCGCTAGGACGATTCCAAGAATTTCCCAGCAGGCGCTGCGAGGACACTCCATCCTGAGATCAACAACGGGCGGTCGTCGGAAACTGAAATCAGTTCTAAGAGGGTCACGTGAAAAAGTACTGATTCTTACTGAATTCGGGCACTAAACCAAATATCCCAAACTAGCGTCGCCCCTTTCCTATCCACTCGTAAACAATTTAAGCATAGGCAAGTCTATTCTGATCAAAGTACTACCAACAACAGGATTAATGATAGCGACATAGCCGATCCTTCCTTGTTGTCAATTTGGATGAGATTGATTCTTTCGCTTGCGCCAAATTGAAACGCGAAACCATCTGTGAAAGATGGCCTCATCAAAGTCAACGTCGATTTGGACACGGAAGCGAGATCTCGTGTATCTTGGATTCTTCTTCACACATGTTCCTATCATGTTAAGTATGTAATTACCGTCCGTCCCCAATCTTCCTATCCTTCCAGTTGCATAATAAGCATGGCGAATGGAGAGTGCAATGTGAACTATGAAATGCCTACTATGCAAGCTCGATCTGTGACACCCGTTCTCGGAGCAGTGAACAGTCTCATGTCAACTCCAAAGTACTATGGACGATATCAATACTAACCTTGAGTGCCAATTCCGAAAGTGGTCGACATAGTTCCATTTTACCCCGAAGCCATCAGATCTGATGTACTGGTCAACATTCGCCAATTCTACATTGAGACATTCCGCGACAAATTCTTCGAGACTCCACCTAACTGGTTCATGTTCTTCCTTGCCATGGAACTTGTGTACCATTTGCCTCTCAGCATCTGGGCTGTTGGTGCTTTGATCAGAAGTGAGTCTGCGCAGACTGCGGATCGGTTTGGAGACTACTAACTGTTTACAGAGGACCCTCTTGTTCCAGTTCACCTTCTCATCTGGGCTGTGCAATCCTTCATCACGACGATGACGTCTCTAGTCGATGTGTGGTCTTGGACCGATCGCACGACGGATGAGAAGTATAATATCACGACGCTGTATGGGCCTTATGCTCTTCTGGGTACGTTGCATCTTCATCTAACCATAAGCCTGCATCTTCGATGTTTCGTCAACCAGTTCTAATCGGAAATAGCTGCATTTATGGGTTTCGATATGTTCTTGAGGTTGCGCAGTCTGTTGGTGGGGAAGATCAAGAACGCGTAGGGGAACTATCATAGATGCTAAACACAGCGAGGCCAAAGTTGTGCTTGGAGGATATAATACGAAAATAATAGTCTCAGACTGTTCCAATGCTTAATGTTCTTTATTCTTTTCCGCGATGCTAATTCTCCAGTTCACTATGCCTCACCCCATCCGGGGATAAGTGGTCTGTGCCCAGTTTCCCCATAGGTATGATTTCGAGACTCGACTGTAATGGATGACGTATATGGCGAATATCTGGAGAACTGAGGCTCTTTGCCTGCATTTTAGGAGGGATATATCTTGAAGGGTGCTAATTATTTGAAGTAAACCCACGCTAGGATTATAATCAGGCAGAGCAACGTTAATCTCGAGACTACTCGATGGGAAAGTTAAGCAGGTTGAACTGCCAATCACTTGGCCTGCGGGGTACTGGTACGCGAAGATACTTGGAGATGGCAGAGGTATCCCGCTTAACAAAAGTACCATAGCAGTATCTCTACTTCGGCTAGGCCCCGCGTAACATCGTTCCGTCCAAGTTCCACTCACTGTCGTAATTGCGCCTGATCCGATTCTCGCCTCGGACAGTCTCTTCGAGATCTCCGGACTGATCTTCACTGCAGAACACAATCTGTGTTCGAGAAGTACTGTGCGTATACTTCTTCTGAGGACGCAGTGAGTCGCACAGTCCTTCTTTGTCTATCTCCGTCATTTTTAGCGGTCCTTTGGCCCCTTCAGCGCTGGGATCCCGAATTCTCTTGCCGCACCTTCTGTTACGCATCGCATATTCCTGGTAAGAGGCTTTCTTCCAGTCTGTGCAAAGCCAGTCTCGCGAAGGATCTTTCTTGATGCTGCATACAGCGCTCAAGTAGATCTTGACCAGCAACCAAAGTAGATGCGGTGCTAGCTACGCTTTTTGTGCCGTGTTCTATGCTGACCTTTTATTGTTGGAACAGTCTCAACTGCCAATCGCGCCACGCCACTTCCTTGCCGCCTCTCATTCTTGAAACGTTGCGCAGTAACGATCCTTTGATAGGCGATTCGCTGTCGCGTTTGCGCCTCTTCATTGAGCAATCGGTACTAGGGTCTTGACTGCTTCTTTGTCGAAATGACTGAAACGATGGAGACTACGGATCAACGGTCACGCGCGCGCGCTGCCATGGAGACTACCGGGCCCGCAGAGCCCTCCAATCCCAGCGAGATTTCTGCGTCGACCGGTGGTGACCTATCTCGGATCTCTTCGCGCGCAAGCATTGCTGTTGCGGACGGTGTGCCGCTAGAAGAAGCCGTTGACGACGAAGATGAGGACGAGGATGTCGAGGAAGCGGATGAAGAATACATTGATGTGGACCATGACGACATGAATGATTTCTCGTATTATTTCCGGAGAGCGCCGGCACAGCGTCAACGTACAGCAATAGACGAGCTCCACCCGTTCGTCCAGGTGCTGACTGTGTCCAATTTGGAGGACTGCATCAGAGTCGAAGAAGCTTTCCCAGAACATGAGCGATGCTCGAAGGAAAAGGTGCGTGAATATGCTGTGGCGAGCGTATAACTCTCAATGGAGAGCTTGTCAACAAAACGAAGCGTTGTCGTTGTTCTCTATCTATCTTTCTTGCTTGCGGTTGTTGATATATGTCGCATCATCGCTGATTTCATCCAGTTTATCTACCGCCTGACGAAATGCCCGGAACTGTCTCTGGGTCTTTTCACTCTTCCAGTCCTAGAACCAGAAAAGCCCAAGCCTCGACCAGAGCTCGTGGCTCATGTAATTGCCACTCGCACCAAGGCTCCGCAAGTGACAGATGCTGCGATGTCGCTTCCTCCCGACTGGGAGACCCGGGGTAAGAATAGCGACGACTGCGACGAGCTGGCACCGGGACACCATGAGTGGGGTAGCACTATATGTATTCACTCTCTGGCAGTTGTGCCGGAGCACCAAGGCAAGAAAGTCGGTTCTACATTGATGAAGTCATATATTCAGAGGATCAAGGAGGCCGAAATCGCGGACCGAGTCGCGCTTCTGGCCCATGATGATATGATTGGGTTCTATGAAAATCTTGGATTCGAGAATAGGGGCGCTAGTAAGTGCCAGTTTGGTGGTGGTGGATGGTCCAACATGGTACGTATCCCTCCTATATGGAGCAATGTCCATAGAAACTAACGAAATCTCCAGGTCCTAGAATTTTCAAAGACATTGTGAGCTTATGGCGTTGTGTTTCCTGGACACGATATCGGGTATTATTGCGACTACGTCCGCAATAATGCACGCTTCTTATTTCACGTTTCTATGACGGGTACTACAAAGAGAAAGGAAATGGAGTTTAATGGTCTGCAGTAATCGGGAGACGGAAATCATGGTTCCAAGGATGTGCATCCGCATTACGAGCCGGGAAGAGAGACAAGGCGCTTGGGTCAAAGACAGCGAGGAACTTGGTTGTACCATACCATACATTACTAGCTACGATATCATACATACGATATATAAGTATGGGAGATACGAGCAATGTGGGTTGAAGTCTCATGCGATTTGCTTTCATCCGTACGAGGCGAGGGATAAAATGAGGCGTTCACGAAGCAGTCCTTCTGGTCGGTTAGGAGTGGCTTTCTGCAATTGTGAACAGGCTGTGGTTTCTTCGCATCCTAATACAACATCCTTCTCTGTGTCCTTGTGATCCTCTAGTTATCCTGTAGTAGTAGTAGTAGTAGTAGTAGTTAATGCTTTACAGACATGAAAATGAAGCCATCCCCGTATTTATCTAAGTAGAACCGGAAAGTCTTGGCACTGCGGCTGGACCTGCCGTGCCACCAGGCCATCTTCACCGCCCGTGAAAAATTGCCGTGTGGGACAACAATCGGGCGCATTTTATTTTTCAGCGACTTTTATCTGCACAACAACATCCAACAGCACGACGGCAGTTATCCAGTCCGTTCGTTGCCCATCATGAAGACCACTTGGAAGGAGGTAAGTTACGATTATAGCCCTGATGATTTCAGACAAAATCACCGCTTCACTGGTCTGGAGTAGTCGCTGATCTTTTTTTCTTTTTTTCCCCCGATTAGATCGCCCCGGTGCCGACGAGCCAGGAATTTCTGGACATCGTCCTCAGTCGCACTCAGAGACGACTTCCAACGCAGATCCGATCTGGATTCAAGATCAGTCGTATTAGAGGTATTTTCCCACAGTTTATTGGAGGACATGAAACCTCGGATCCGACAGTGGATGAGGAGACGAGATGGGCCGATAAGGAATATTTGCTGAAAATTTCGTCCCGCCCACAGGTTTCTATACCCGAAAAGTCAAGTTCACCCAGGAGACTTTCTGTGAGAAGTTCCAGGCGATTCTCGATGGATTTCCCAGACTCCAGGACATTCATCCTTTCCGTACGTACAATTCCTATGCGAAACTCTCCAGGGGGGACAGCCGCTAATTTCGACCAGACAAGGATTTGATGAACACACTTTACGATGCCGACCACTTCCGTATTGCGCTCGGTCAGGTCTCGACTGCGAAGCACCTAGTTGAGACCGTTTCCCGCGACTATGTCCGTTTGATCAAATACGCCCAGTCGCTCTTCCAATGCAAGCAGCTCAAACGTGCTGCCCTTGGTCGTATGGCTACCATCTGCAGGCGTCTCAAGGACCCGCTTGTCTATCTGGAGCAGGTGCGACAGCACTTGGGTCGTCTGCCCTCGATCGACCCAAACACACGAACCCTCCTGATCTGTGGATACCCCAACGTTGGAAAGTCCAGCTTCCTGCGCAGCATCACCCGCGCAGACGTTGATGTGCAGCCCTACGCTTTCACTACCAAGAGTTTGTTTGTCGGCCATTTCGATTACAAGTACCTGCGATTCCAGGCCATTGATACGCCTGGTATTCTCGACCACCCTCTGGAGGAAATGAACACCATCGAGATGCAGTCCATCACCGCCATCGCCCATCTTCGGTCCGCTATTCTCTACTTCATGGATCTGTCTGAGCAGTGTGGTTACTCAGTCACCGACCAGATCAAGTTGTTCAACAGCATCAAGCCCCTTTTCGCGAACAAGTTGGTCTTTGTCGTTATCAACAAGATTGATGTCAAGCGCCCCGAGGACTTGGAACCTGAGATGCAGGCTGAGCTCCAGTCTATCCTCAAGTCCGGAGAAGTTGAAATGTTGCAGCTGTCTTGCACAACAACGGAGGGTGTCACGGCTGTGAAGAACGCGGCTTGCGACAAGCTGGTCGCAGAGCGAGTAGCGCAGAAGCTGAAGGCCGGTTCAAACAATAGTGGCACACCATCCGGTCGTCTGGGTGATGTCCTCTCCAGGATCCACGTCGCGATGCCCATGGGCGGTGTCACGCGCGAAACATACATTCCGGAGGCTGTCAAGAGCCTCAAGAAGTACGACAAGGAGGATCCCGAGCGACGGAAGCTGGAGCGCGACATCGAGGAGGAGAATGGAGGTGCTGGTGTGTACAACATCGACCTGCACAAGAACTACATGCTTGCAAACGACGAGTGGAAGCAGGACAAGATGCCTGAGATCTGGAACGGCAAGAACGTCTACGACTTTGTGGACCCCGATATCGAAGCCAAGCTGGCTGCTCTGGAGGAGGAAGAAGAGAAACTCGAGGCTGACGGCTTTTACGAGTCGGACGAGAGCGTCGAAGATGCGGAGGATGCAGACATTCGTGTGAAGGCGGATCTCATCCGCGAGAAGCGGGCTTTGATCCGCAACGAGGCCAAACAGAGGAAGTCGCTCAAGAACCGTGCGGTCATTCCTCGCAGTGCAAAGGCCAAGAAGTTGTCCGAGATGGAGGCTGCGCTTGACTCTGTTGGATACGACGCCGGCGCTGCAACTGCTCGTGCTCGCGAGCAGAGCCAGGCTCCTCGTGGTCGCACCACAACCCGCAGCGAGATCGACAACGACGATGCTATGGATATCGACGCGAGCTCGAACCCTCGCGAGGCCATCGCTCGCGCCAAGAGCCGCGCTCGCAGCCAGGCGGCAACGAACCGTCTTCTGGACGGTGTTCAGGACGCTACTTCTCGCAGCAAGGCGGAGAGGCTGGCGAAGCTGGGCCAGAAGAAGATGAACCGGATGGCGAGACAGGGAGAGGCCGACCGACACACGACCGCGTCGCTGCCGAAGCACTTGGTATGTAGCCACTTACTATCCGATCGTGTTGATACTGATGTGCTGACCGTTACTCTAGTTCACTGGCAAGCGTACCATTGGCAAGACGCAGCGTCGTTAGACTTTCGTCCAGGTGGTGTAGTGGACGACACGATGAAATCTGGTCGTGCTATGATTGGTATAAAAAACGGCGTTCTGGGGAGTCTTATTGTTTCTTATGGTTTTCTAATCGCCAACGGCCGTCTTAAGTCGCGAGTCTCGATTGTAGATGTTGATACCTGTTCATATCGATATACGCTTGTCAACGCAATGGCAGGCGCAGACAAGATATTAAATACGCCATTTCCTAGTCTTAGAAACATCAGACATCTAACTCCATACGGCGGCAGTGATTAACACTGTAAATTATGATAACAGCCACTGTTCTACTGTACGGTCGGTGCGATATCGTCTAGGCGCGCCCATATATTGTCATCAATAATGTCTCGAAAGAAGAGCACCTCGCTTGCTCAGAGGTTCTCACCACGGCTGGGATCCAGACCAAACAGATCCCAATCCATTTCAGGCATCTGTATATTCGGACCTGGTGAGCCAATCTCATGAACGTATTGGTCGAAAGATCTCTGCGACCAAATCAGTACTTAATCACTCTCATCCGCAGACATTTATTTACAACTCACCCAATCTACAGATCTCTCATCACAAAACATATCTAACATAGCATCCACATGCGGTTCCTCCACCAGAGTCTGGGAGAGACTTTCCGAAACATTTATGCTAAGTGCAGTAGTCGACTCCTGTATTCCAGCACCCTTTCCTGCCTTCTTACCTTTCACTTTCCGAATCATAAGTTCCAATATATGCGCCGCCGTTCGCGCTTCAGTCGAGACATGGCTCGTACTATCCCATATCGTTTTTGATTTCTCCAGAGCTTTTAACTGACCTTCGAAATCATGCCCACGACTCGCCCACGACGACTCAGACGGACTCTTCAGACCGAGAGATAACGATAAACAAACCACCATAGCAGCGAGGAGGAAGTCATGTAACGTGAGGGAAGAAATCATCCAGCGATCTTCATACAGACGTCCGCCTGGCTGCGATGTCTCATGGAGCTCGTCTTGTCGATGCAGAATGACAAGAGCAGCATCTACGGCAGCAAGTCGTGAGAAATCATATTGCGGATTGGAAGTCTCAGTGCTCAAGTACGGGCGATGCAGGACGATGATGCTTTTGAGAAATAGCACTTCGACAGCACACCGGTTCATGATCACGGCCGAGGAGTCCATGAGTGATTGAGAGATGGGTTTCATTCGAAACGCGTCTGGGATGGTGCTGTATATCTCTCGAATAGATGCATCAAGGGCGATCGTGCTGGCGTAAGATGGTGAGGAGGGAGATTGGGTGCCAGCGACGACTTTCTTGAACATGTCCATCACCCCAGCCTTGACGATGGTGTATAAAACCGGCGTGTCGTCAGTTAAAGGACGAGCAGGAGGTAGAGATGTAGACTCTGGAGAGAAATCTGAATCTTTCAGATTACTCGGAATACTTGTGTTGCAGTATTCCATCGGTATCATACTTGGCACACCCATCTGGAAGGACATCAATCCATCCATCTGCAGGATAGTATGCCATACACGCCGTCTCATCTCTCCATCAAATGGCGAGAGTCTTTCACCAAAAACCTTCGCGTCTCGATGATAACCGAGACGCATGGCAGTGCGAATAATAATACCCATAAGATGCCAGAGATCTAAACTCGAGTCCACAGACCCGATGAATTTTGATTCGAGATGAAGAATCAGTGTCTCGAGAACATATTCAGAAGCGTGAATATACTTCCCCAGAAGAAGACATTGGATTGTTTTCGTCTGTAAAGCTCCGATTGTTATGGGTGATTCGAACGATCCCCCGGTTCGTATCTGGCGGAAGCCAGAGGAGACGCTCAGGACTGCATAGAGAAGGCCGATCCAGAGTACAGGGGCTGCATGTGGGTTCATCCAGAATTTTTCGTACTGCGCAACATGTTATAAATTTGAAATAATAGATGGGATTGATATCGCATTCACCTCTGTCTGAAATTTAGTTGTATGTATAATCGCTAAAAATGTCAGTTAACTATGACTCTCACGAAGCCTCGGAGACTAAGTAGCATACGAAATACCATATATTTAGAACCGAAGTAATACGATACAAGCGTATCGCATACTGGTCTCGGAGGCAATGAGCCAACAATCTCAGCAATCGTCGGCAGATGCGCGGCTCCAAGCACCAAGTCGACATCTTCACGGTCGAGCGTCTCCTCCGGGATACTAGACGGAGTAACAGCCAATTGCTCTCTGATCTCTTTAATCTCATCAACTATCGAAAGCCACGGACTAGATTGCAAAGTAACTTTATGCTCTTCTCTAGGCGGCCGGAGCGCATTCCGCACTCGTGGCGAAGTCGTCGCACAACCTGGGACTTTCACTGATGAAGGAGATGCATAGCTCGCTTTTAGATTCTCTCCTATCTCATTTCGTGAGATTATCGTCATTTCCTGCGATAATCTATTCTGTCGCGCGAGTTCAGAAACCATGTCTTCGACTTTGCGCAATCTATCCTGCAGCTCGCGCGCTTTAGGCTTGTTGCGAATAGCATTGCTGGCATATGCGCATGATTCGCCTTTACCTCTCTTGACGCATTCATCGCAGGGGGTGCCGCGACTACATCGTAATCTGTGAGTTGTAAGCACATCGCATAGAATAGAATATTGATATTAAAATAGATGAAATCATACTTCCGCGTCCGACACTGTTCGCATGATGTTGGTCGTCTGTTTCTTTTGCCGTCTCTGAAAATTGGTTCCATTTCGATTATTCACTTTCCTCGCCCAGTTAGTTGAGTTTTATTTAGTCCATCGTGAGAGTTAAATGATCAAATTGTTCTATCGAGAAGCATGGAGTTGTCTATAACGATATGAGCGGGGATATTATCTCCGCGCGGAGTTAATATCTCCGACCCATCATAAGTAACTAACGAACAATATACTTAATTCCCACACTTCGAAGTCACGGAGATGGTTCAAGTCCGCGATATGGACTCCAGCGGAATTAGATATTGTAGTTGAAACATTCTGAACGCGGATGCCTAGTCAGTAGGAACGACTTAAGGGTCAATATAAATATTCTCATGTCTGGCGCTTTTTAGATCAGTATACTTATACATGCATACGTACTCTTGGTATATCCAATTCACCAAAAGAAACACATCTAGAATTCAAGCAAAATGTCCCTCGCCTCAACAGCCCACGGAACCATCTCCACCTTTTTTTCCAACTTGTTCATCTCCCTCCCCTACCCCAACACCTCCTTCGAGAACCAAACCATCATCGTGACGGGCTCCAACACCGGTCTCGGCTTCGAAGCCAGTCGTCACCTCGTCCGTCTCGGCGTCCACAAATTAATCATGGCAGTACGCAATCTCGAAAAGGGCGAAAAAGCAAAACGCGAAATCCTCACTTCCACAAATCGCCCAGATGACTCTATCGAAGTCTGGAACCTAGACATGGATAGCTACGAGTCCGTCAAGAAGTTCGCTGTGCGGATTTCTACTTCCCTAGACCGGTTGGATGGAGTCCTCGCCAACGCAGGTATCATGACTACTGAATTCCGCATGAGTGAAGATAACGAGAGGACCATTACCGTGAACGTGGTCGCGACGTTCTTGCTCATTTTGCTCCTTCTACCGAAACTGCACGAGTCAGCTGAGAAATACAAGATCAATCCTCGGATCGTGATTGTCAATTCGGCATTACATTACGTGGCGTCTACTAAGGAACTTGATCCGAATGATAATAATAATAACGAGATATTTTCGCGGTTGAATAATCCCAAAACGGCAGATATGAGCAGTCGGTACGCGGTGTCGAAACTACTTGTGCTTTACGCAGTTCGTGAATTGGCCGAGAGGCTCAAGGCCAGGAAGCCATTGGTGGTCATCAATACGCCGAATCCGAGCTTCTGCAAGTCTGGCCTTATGGGTAATGATGTATCATTTGGGGAAAGAACAGCGGAGAAATTACTCGCGCGGTCTACGGAAATGGGTAGTCGAGCGCTGGTTCATGCGTTGAGCTCGGGGGTGGAGAGTCATGGAGAGTATTTGACGAATTGTCATGTTCAGCAGTGAGTACTCAACGACTGAATGTCATTTTTTTTTCACTCTTTACACTGCGAGAATTGCTAATGAATATTAGGCCATCATGCCTGGTGACAGACGCGAAGGGAGTGCAGATACAGAAGAAGTTCTGGAAAGAACTGGTTCAGAAGCTAGAGAAAGTTGCGCCGGGAATTGAGTCGAATATTTGATTTCGATTAGACTGCATTGTAGTCTTTTTTGTATATATTGCGGTTGCGTTGCTGGATATTCGGCCTTTTACTTGTACTGTATGTACAATAATTTCGTATTGGTATCTGTACTCAAGATCTTTCTGTTAGTTTGTACATATATTTATGATCCCTGACGCTTGCCATGAGTAGAAAGATCATAAGACGGCCTCTTTTAAATTGTGAAGAGACTGGATCACCTGCTCAGTCACTCTGAGGCGATGGACCTTTACGTGACAGTGGGGACAAGTGCCGAGCAAGGTCCCTCCTTTACCATCACTGCTAAATATGCAGGGTGCATCAGTTATATAGGCTCATTACAGATATAGTAACAGGATGCGGCATTTATCACTGTATCTCCGGTTAATATCGGCAGATTCAGGCTATATATAGGACCGTTTGAGTACCTGCAACACTAAACGCGAAGTTCGTTATAAATAATCAGAAGAAACACTGATCAAGATAATGCGTTTATTATATTAGTTCCAATATCAAGATGCAATCTCTTCCACTCCGTCCTCTAATCCACCATCTGTGCAATACCAAGCGATGCTTTTTTTCTTTTTGTCAGATGAGCATGTGCGAACAAAACAAGAGAAATAATACATTAGTCGTCAATGACAGTAAGTCTCAAATTGATATATTAAAATTAAAAAAAAGCGGTGATACAAAACTTTCATACAGAGAAGGTAAACGTCAATTCATGGCCATCTCAAATGTAGATGAGAGAGAACTTGGCTACCTACATCTGAACTAGCCACTTTGTAAATGACAGAAGACGCCTGATTAGTAGTAGTGATTTTCCTAATTCTCTTCTTCCACCGGAGCAACGTCATGAAGTTCGTGCTCGGGTTCAGATTCAGTCTGTTCGTGCTCCTTGGCTCCGTGCATGGTCCTGATCGGTGGCGTCCACTTTTTGCTACTCCACGGATGCACATGCTCGATATACATGGTGTCGACCTCTTCTAGAGTCCGACCTTGAGTCTCGCAGAGGAAGAAATAGACCACTATCACAGCCATGAAGTTGCATGCTGCGAATATATATCCGTATCGGAAGTCGATGGAGCCGGTGATAAATGGGGTAAAAAACGAGATTAGGAAGTTCCAAATCCAGTTCGTGAGGGTCGAGATACTGTTGGCAGTAGAACGGTAGCGCGATGGATACAGCTCCGTGCAGACGGCCCAGACGATAGGACCCCAGGTAACTGCATATCCAGTGATGAAGAAGCATGCGAAAACGATCATCGCGGTTCCGGCACCTGGGGTTTGTGGCGGATCTACCCGATTCAAAGAAAAGTGACCGACACTGGCGAAGACCATGAAGCAGATGAACATCCAACCCGCACCAACCATAAGTGACAACCGACGTCCGTAATGCTCGACGACATACAAGCCGTAGAATGTTGTCCCGAAGTTAACACCTCCTAGAATCATTTGCGTGACATAACTGTTGTTGATACCCGTCGCCTGAAAGGATAGGTATCAGTATCCGTGCTCGAAATGTTGTCAAAAAGTAAACATAATCAGCTTACCCGAAAGATTGTGTTTCCGTAATAGAATATGAAGTTTGCACCCGTAAGCTGCTGCAAGGATTGGAGTACCATCCCTAAGATAATCCGGTACAGCATCCGCGGCGCGGTAAACGCATCGTACCAGCGGGTAGTAGCTGCTTCGGCCTCTTCCTCCTGCAATTTGTACTTCATTTCCGTTATCTCCTCGGCGATAACACGGTGATTTTCTGAAATTCCATACAGCTGCGCCATGGTGTGCTTCGCTAGGTCTGGGTGGCCTTTCCGGAAAACATGGCGGGGACTCTCTGGGAGGAACAGAACTCCAAAAGCAAGCACGCCCGACCAGACGAAGCCGATACCCATTGTTATCCGCCAGGACGAAGTGTTGTGGATCGACTCGGTGCCATAGTTGATACAGTAGGCGATGAACATACCAAGCGTGACGAACAATTGGAAGCAACTGGACAGTAACATGGGTTAGCATATCATTGACTAAATAAATACGATCAGTCTCCTACACACCTAACCATAGCACCCCGGATATGCTTGGGGGTGCATTCACTTTGGTATATAGGAACCAAGACCGAAAGAGCACCAACGCCGAGACCGGCCACCAGACGGCCCACAGCGACTTGATACCACTTGTGATCCGTCGTCATTTGGACAATGATACCGACCATGTTGATCAAGGACCAGAAGACCATGGAATATTTCCTCCCAATCTTTTCCGACAGGGGAGCCGCAAATACGGCTCCAATAACGCAACCAATACAGATCTGTTGTTGTTATCAGCGTTTTGCTTGAAATATACACTATGGCTTATAGCTTTTCTGTAAGGAAAGGAAAAAGATAGAGCGTACCAAAGCGACAATAACACCGGTACGGGCATTATTGAAGGTATATGTATCTGTGTTTGGATTATAATGTGCGAAACGGACCTTGAAGTCCTCCATAGTCATGAAACCAGAGATCTGGGCTGTATACGTAAGATTGTAAGCAGGAATACTAGCATGGGATATTATAAAGGAAACCTACCAGTGTGGTATCCAAAGATGAACCCTCCCATGGACACAACAATGACCAAGAGGACGGTTCGCCAGGTGAGAAAGGGAACTTTGGAGTGATCTAGCATGCCCGCTTCTTTCTCCAGGGCCGCCTCCACTCTAGGGGACATGTCCCCGTAGGCGTCTCTGAACTTGGGTTTCACCCTCCCCCATAGGTCACGGACTCTGAAATTGAAATGCATTGATATGTGTGAACGTTGATGATGTCAATTGGATGTTTGGATTGATAGAACGTAAACACAGAAGAGACGAGGGACTGGCAATTTAAGGGTGAACTGAAAAGGTCCAGATCTAGGGCCATGAAAGCATGCCATTTGGTCTGGGGGTCCCGAATAGAGAGACATCTCGAGCCATGGTGCGGATGTGAGCGACGCAACAGCTGCTGGAGGACTCTGTAGGTCATGGGATACTCAGATGACCCGAAAGCCGTCATACCAGAGAGAAGTTTCTCTCGATCATGAGGTTCAAAGGCCGTTACCAAGGCTGGCGCTGTCGCTCCATCCTCGGGGTGGAACCACGATACCGGTGCAGGCGCCATCTAACGGGATATAGACTCTCGTACGGCTTCCTATCGCCAGGACCCCGGAATAAACGCGGAGTCAAGATCTCCACAGCGGAGATTTCGTGGGCATGTGCCCTTATGCTGGAATTGTGCTTAGGTACTTGTCTTCTTGTTAACAGTATAATACAATACTGGTAGTTTCTTTTCAGACGGCTTTGACGACGGCGAAGAAAAGCCGCGTCTCCTGATCGGTGAACAGTGACTGGACCACGAAACGCAACTAGGGCTATGGACTGGCACGTTGCTGTGGACTATATTTCATTTGAGACTTTGGTACCGCGACTGACAAATGCAATATACGTCCCATGCATGGAAGCATCTCCACCATGCATATTCTCCAGTTTGCCGGAAGCTGTCTTCAAGATCGAGAGTAGACATAACTGGGGCCCCAGGAAAAGTAGCATTAGATGACCTTAACAATCTGATTGACGCTACTGTCTCCATTGACGAATTACAGCAGAGTATACGTAGTAACGCCCCGGGCTGTAATCGGGTGGTCATCTTTGACACGGAAAGACGCCGAAAGGCTGCAAAGAGCAAGCTCCCTCTAGATAATTACAACAGTACGAATCGTGCGTATCATGGCTGCTTGCTTGTAGCCGGACAGTCCTAGAACCAGAGGATCTCATGGACTTTCCCTTCCTCTTTTTTCTTCTTTTTTTCTTTTCTTTTTTGGCAACAAACGTGGACAAGCACTATCTCTCCTGTACTGTCCCAGCTATCTTCCCATGCGAGACTGGACGGAGAGCATGATAGATGGCGCAACTCAAGGCGTATCCCGAATAATAAGTAAGCGGGTTTTCGGTGATCTCCTACACCGCAAGATAATAATGACACAGAACTGGTTCTGCAGGGGTCAGGAAATCCTTGCGTTCTCGTTCGCAGAACCCGGTTCGCTGCCCATTTCGTTTCGGGAGCCAGGCCCTGACGCAAAGAAGGGTCATCATCCAGAGGAACTGCAGCTGTAACCCTGGAGCAACGCAACATCATGAGATATCGATAGAAACCAGCGATTTAGCCGTCTGCTCTGAGAGAGGTGAAGTCTAGTCTACGGCAGGACCGCTGGATAAAAACGGACGGATAAAGGCGCCTGCCGACGTGGTTCGGCCAGGGATTAGACCGAATGATAACCACTCGGATCGGCTTTCGGGAGGCAAGTTAGGTTGTTCAGGTAGCGATCAAGAGGTCCGGTTATGATGTCCGTAGAGAGGAAAAAGAGGGCAAGAGTGGCATGATCGTGACAAAGGTACCATCACCTATGCTCAACTACTCCTAGTTCACCAGTACCATAGTTCCTTTTAATTAGTTACAGTTGCATCCTGTCGGTGTTCCCCATTGTAACTTAACTATTCCTCGAATATTGGTACCTACCTACAGAAAAAAAAAAGCCCCCATCAACATCTATACAAACCCGCCTAAACCACCGCCCTCCATGACCATCAGCCACCTTAACGTCACATACTTTGCCAAGAGACGCCAGACTCCGGCAAAAGAAGAAATAAGAAAAAAAAAAAAAAAAAAAGGCGAAGGAAAAAGAAAAGGGAAAACGGCAAAAAGGCATATGCTTCGGCTTCTCGGCCTCCCGAGTCGGGATCGTATAACGTGGTTCTAGACTGCGCCTCCGACGTTGTCATGTCAGGTACTAACTGTTCTTCTCTTGTCATGATGGGGGCAGTCTGTTGTTTACACCATCATGGCCGCGTTAAGGACCATCTATCGAAGGAAACTCTAAGCGGGTGTTTCCTTCATGACTTCTTTGTCTAGAACAGAGAAGCTGAAACGAGGAGTACTTGGGCTTTTTACATACTGAAACCGTAAGGCATAGACTGGGAATCATAACACACGTTACGCCCGGGTCGGATCATTATAAATATGTCTGAGGTTTCATAAAGCAATTAGACAAGCCTCGAGTAGAGGCTCGTTTTTTTTATCTTAATAATAATCCTTAGGCCATCTTCCAGTATCTATTAACTGAAGACAATGAAGCGGATGGCCATCTCTCCCATGGTATAGTAACGACCCCCAGGGAACCATGAAAGAACCACGTAGGAATCTTGTAGGTAATCGTCTCTACAGAAGGAAATCTAGATCGCCTTCTTGCCCTTCTCGCGCTCAGCCTTGCGCAGAGCACGCTTGCGGATCGACTCGTGCATGCCCTTGTTGAATCCAAGGACGGTCTTGGTCATAGTACCCGTGATACAAGTCAGGAAGTAGGCCATCAGACCGTGGCTCCAGTAAGGAGAAGAGCTGTAAGCGTAATCCGGGGAACCGCCGTTGTTTCCGATCTTGCCCAGCGTCGCCTTAACGAAACTGCGGGGGTCGGGGATAGTGGCGCTTGCTCTTCGGATCTTGGACATAGCCGAAGTGATCAGGTAGGCCTGGACCAGCTCAACCGTAATACCATGGGGCTCAAGCTCCGCACCCAGCGCAGAGGACCAGTGCTGCAGGAAAGCCTTGCTGCCGGAGTAGGTGGCCAGAAGAGGCGTAGGGAGAAGACCACCAAAAGAACCCATGGTGAGGATCAGACCACGCTTCCTCTGGATCATGCCCGGGGCAACCAGTTGCGTGACACGCAGTGTTCCCAAGCAGTTGATCGTGACAATATCCGTAAGCTCATCCTCAGGTGTAAGGGCAAAAGGCGTGGGGATGTTGTGGCTCTTGCCAACGTTATTGATCAGGACAGCGATATCGAGCTCATCGACCAAAGCCTTGAGCTTCTCATAATCGGCATCATCGTTGCGCGCGAAGTCCATAGACAGGAGCTTCGTCTGTACACCGGGATTCTTGGTGGAGATGTCATTGGCGAGAGAGGTCAACTTGGACGCAGTGCGGGAAACGAGGACAATATTGTAGCCAGCACGAGCGAGCTGCAGGGAAAATTCCTTGCCAATTCCATCGGAGGCACCAGTGACGAGGGCCCAACTACCTTTAGGACCGAACTTGCGGAGCTGCACGACCCGATTATCAGCACATCTGACCTCACAAAATAACACATAAACACGCCAGGAATACTAACCGACTTCCCAGGAAGGACAAACAAGCTGAGAAGAACGCGAATAAACGTGTAGATCCTTGACGCAGCGAAGAATCCACCCGTGGCCAGCAGAAAGTATGCGCCTAGAGTCTGCCATCCCGGAGCTACCTCGAGATGCAGCTTGGATAAACATTCCGTATGCTTGGACAAGAACTCCATTGTGCCGCTGTTGTCTCCTTCTGATGGAGGGGAATCCGAAGCGAAGAACAAAGGAGACAGAAAGCGGAAGAGTGGGAAATTTCAAGGCAGATTTCCCTATCGGAGCTATCGAGCTGCAAAACGCAAGGAGCAACTTGGGTGGGAGCGCCGGAGCTTTCTCGACTTCCGTTGGGGCCGCCAAGAAATGCAACAACATGTCTTTTCTAGACAGGCAATCTAGTCTATCTAACCAGCTTCTAGTACCATAGTCCATTGCTTTTCCTCCTGGTTCATAGGCATTAGTTCCTGAGAATACCACGCAGCAATGGAGTCTCTGCTCGCATACCTCCCTCCTCACGCTGGGTTTCTGCCCAAATGGCTTTTCCTGGTATATCACCGTCATCCAATGCTATACTTTTCAATGCAAACCAACTAACTAGGTCCTTTCCCCTATTACAGGTCTCTATCATATCTACCGCTAACAGCGTCTCCTCCTACGTCGACCCTGACTATGCGCGTCAACTCTACGCCGGCTCACCCTCTACGGGCAACGTTTCGCCCGTGAATCCTCTCTCCGGGCGCACGTTTGGCACTTGGACCCTCCTCTCCTCCGTCGTGCGGATGTATGCTGCTTACTACGTGAACTCCCCAATCGCGTATGACTTGGCGCTATGGACATACGGCATCGCGCTCTTCCACTTCATCAGTGAATGGTTGGTCTATGGGAGTGCGCAGCCCAAGGGACGCTTCGTCGGCCCGTTGATCGTGGCTTCGTCGACAGTGGCCTGGATGTTTACGCAGAGGTCGTGGTATCTGGCTCTGTAAACCTGCGGAATTGATTATATTGAAACGGAGCCGATACGAGGCGGTCAATCGAAGGATATATGTACAGCAATAGTATTGTGGATATAATTAAGGCGAGATAACGATACCCATGTACAGTATCTAGCGTATATTTTATGCCATGCACCGAGCGCTCCTTCAGAGGTATAAAAACAAAGCCTTCCCAACAGAGCAGTTGATCCCTAGAGTTTCTTTCTGTACAACTCTCCTCCGCAATTGCGCAGTCTCGCTACCGCTTGTTCGGGGGTGATGTCGCGTTGGGGCTCGGCCATCATTTCATATCTAACAGCTGGTCAGCAGAGTTACCACGAGCATTGCTGAATGAGGAATACGCACCCAACCAGAAACTTCCGGACGGTCGCACTGCGGAGCAGTGGAGGGTAAAAGTGAAGGTGTAGATACGAAGACTCGATCTCCTCTTCCGTGCCCTCCAGTGGCGCTTGGTGAATACCCATGCTGTAAGGGAAATGCGTCTCAAAGAGGTTGTCATAACGCCGCGTAATCTCAGCGATAGCTTCAGCCAGGTGTCCCTTCTCGTTAGTGTCCAAGTCCACGAGCGCGCGCTTGTGCTTCTTGCTGATAATCATCGTCTCGAACGGCCAGGTTGCCCACCATGGGCACAACACCAGGAAGGAGTCGTTCTCAAACACTACACGCTCTTTCTTTTCGCTCTCCAAAGCGGCGTAATCCTGTAGTAGATGCTTCCCACCTCTCTCACGACGGTATTTCTTCAGCTGCTCAAGCTCTAGTGCTGGCTCCTCGGGCAGACTGCTGGTGGTCCAGACTTGTCCGTGAGGGTGCGGGTTCGAGCAACCCATAGCAGCACCCTTATTCTCAAAGATCTGCATATATCGGTACTGTTGCTTTGGCCTGCTAATGAGTGTTGTCGGAGCATCCGGAGAGGCCACGGAGGCGAGAGGGGACTTGGGGGACAAATGCGCTCTGTAGATTTCGGTCCACGCATTGATGACGGGTAGAATTTCGACCGGAGAGAGATCAGCCAACGTCAGGTTGTGGGCAGCTGAGAAAGTCAGGACGTAGCATTTGCCCGTTACGGGCTCTGCCTTCAAGAATAGCGATTCCGGGCCTTTTTCCTATATTAGTTTCTCACCAAAGAAGAGTTTCCTCGCAAGGAATTTGTATGGAGGAAGATACGAAGCACATACTGCCATCCTCACTGTTCGGTTCGTACGGTGCCTGCTCCTCCTTCACCGCACTGTAGTCGTTCACGAAGACAAATGTGCTTTCATATTTGGGGTTGGTATCGCCCTGCGCACGCTTGTTTCCCGGGCAGAGATAACACGAGGGGTCGTAGCTGGGGAGGGTTGTCTTGGAGGGGCTCTCCTGCTGTCCTCTGCGCAGTGATCTTGTCTCAGTATTTTATGCTCTCATTTGGATGGACGTATTTTCCGGCTCACAAGGTACTTACTGCCAAGGTCGCTTCGTGCGATGCGGGGACACGAGGATATAGGAACCCCGCAGAGGATTGTATCTGCGGTGAGAGATATCGTCCAGAACGTTTTCTACCATACTGCGGGTGGGCGGTGGGATGGAGGGGTTCCGGTCGGGAAGATAAGTATATTGTTATCAGGTGGGAGAGAGATGGCCAAGAATGAATGTGTCTTTGCTGAAAGTCCGACGAGGGAAAAAGATGATATTCTTCTCCCTGCAACTGAAAAAGAAAGACAACGATAACTCCACAGTCGATCAGGTCCGCAACGAAGTCTCTCGACTGTCACCTCGAACGGCCGATGCTACTGTACTTCGTAATACCCCGTGGGCCGACACGGGGTTAGTTCGGTCGGTCTGACTGCGGGGAGTTGATGGCTCCGGATACGAAGTACAGAATTTGTTTCGGTGATCCAAATGGGCTAGACAGATCGTTTTTTGTGGTTACCAGGTGTACTTCGACTTCATACGAAGCATGATCATGAATGATCCATCATTATCATGCTACTGTACAATCCCACCGGAGTTCTGCTGTATCTAGTTGGAGTGGGACCTGCACTCGTCTAAGTATCTGCCCACTGAGACTCCTAGGCCTTTAAATAACCAGATGACATGAGAAGTCGGGCTCAGGTGCTTAGTGTACCATCATTGCTAATGCCTCATTTATGACTAAGTACTCTGTTCAGACACAGATACGTATCGCCCATGAAATATCTCATACATTGTTATCCATCCACTTTCTCAACTCGAGTCTCCTCAACACCGTCGGTTTTCTCCAGTGTCTCCAATGTCTCTTCACTGTCACCAAAGAGGACAGCAATATCCTCGAGAGACTTTTGCCGTGTCTGCTGATATATCAGTACCAATCGCAAAGAGACGAGACATGATTCATCCAGGACATACCTCCGGAAAAAATAACCACATGCAAACGAAGATCACCGAAGTGACACAAATGAAGACAAGATAATATTTCCATCCTATTTGTTCGAAAGCAGTAGGCGCCGACTGCAGGAATAAGATGGTCGCAATGAACAAGCCAGATATAGACACCGACAGACCCTTTGCCCGGACTGGAGTCGGGAAGATTTCCGATGCGTAAACGTAAGAGGTCGCATCCGTCGAGATGGAGAAACTAACGATGTCAGAAGAATGAAACATCTAGTTGGTAGACAATCCTTACCAGCCAATATGCAAGAAGAGAAAGAAAACAGCTGCGGATGCCACTTCTTTCTGGCCCGTACGTTGGAAGATAGACAACGTGATGCATTCGCCCACCAGGGCGATAACGCACCCAGCAAATCCGAACACTACGCTCTAGTCAGAAGGATCATCTTACAAGATATGAGTTCTACTTACTGAGCATCCGGACCCTTCCTACACGATCTACAAGAAGGGCGTTGATCGCATTTCCAAACGCACCGACCGTGATCCAAGCAGCCTGCATCACAATCTGTAGAACATTGTCGAAGCCGAGGTTGCCATAAAGCAACGGTCCGTAGTCTTGATTTTCGTCAGCAATAGTCGAGACTGAAGTCCTGGAAAAAGACTTACTGTTGATCACCAGCGTAGCAGTGCCTTGAGCGCCGAACATGGTAAGAAAACCAATCACGCAACGTTTTCTCAGACTAGGACGCCTGAAGAGCTCGATAAAGCTCACGGCGTCATGTTTTTCATGAATAAGTTGGGCACGAAGCAACTGGAATTCATTCCGAAAAGCCTCTTCATCGGCATTCTCATCGTCCACCTGGGTCAAACAGAAGGACCGGTACGCTTCTTCGGTACGGTCTCGTGCAAGGACTGTAGAGCTCTCAGCTGGCTATCCACAAAACTGAACACAGACCATCCGGGGCTATCACTTACGCCATCGAGGAGACTCCGGCAGATACATAATTCCACAACTTAATATCAGCGGGGCGACACACTGGAGCGCCAATGGAATCCTCCACTGAGCACCAGAAGCACTGACAAAATAGAATCCGAGACCAATCCAGCTAGATATAGAGTATCCCGTACATATGCAGGCACCATGTGTGCCAACAAGCAGACCACGAATCTTCGCGGGGGATATTTCACTCTGGTACAGCGGTATCAAGACAACCAGAGCTCCTGTTACAGATTAGTTTTCCTGCTAAGTTCGTGGTCTAGTAATGCTCATACCAATTCCCACTCCTGTTATGAAACGCATCGCGATATACTCAGCAATATCCACGCTCCCAGCCTGCAAAGCACCCCCAATGACAGATATCACCGCGCCGATGAAAATCGCCTTCCGGCGGCCCAACCAATCGGCCGTCGCGATACATGACAGAGCCCCGAATAGCCCCCCTGCTTGGAAAAGGCCGTTGATAGCGCCCTCCACGTTGGACGCATCCTGTCGTTTATCCAAAGCAAAATAACTAACAAAGGAAGGCTGCGCCAGGGTCGTCGAGATGATACTCGCGGCATAACCGTACGTGAAACTACCCAATGCCACAAACAGGATAAGCTGGAGAAGTCAGTTTCAGAACGTCAATCCAATGTAGATATCACGTTAGGTACTGTACACGCACCATGGAACGAAACGCGGAAGAGGACCGCATGTTGACGAACTATGCTCGCTGCTTGTGTCAACGGCCTGTCCTCACAATCAGAGCATTCCTCTCCAGCTTTGGGCAATAGCCTGTTTAATAGAGAGGCAGGGCTCGTGCCCCCGACGCGGGGACCCCAGATACCCCACAAAACATCGAGCGTGTTTGAAGCGTTGATCACTATAGACTATAGAGACTAGTGTTTGCGGGATCCCCAGATTTACTACTCCGGCTGCGGAGAAGCATCTGCTATTTGGATGCGGTATTGAATTGCGAAAGCAATTGGCTAGATCATTTAGTCTACTCTAGAGAATAATAACTGAACGAAACTCCGGTGGAAATTCCGGTGGAATCAACGTGATATCGAAAAGAGGGGTTAGACGTTGAGACTTTCCACCGGAGGGTATAGCCAGTTATATATTCCCCGGGCGTAGAGTAGTCCTCGCTCATTGAAGATCTATATTATCCAGGAACTTGCTAAGCACTGGTAGTGAAACTCTAACCACGAAAGCCTATTCTTCACATGGAAAGTTGTCCGCAGTTTACAGTAACTCCTCCATGATACGAATAAGCGTAGTGCGGGGGATTTCCGGGGATACAGGCGGGAAGGGTAGAATATATTCCCCCTGATGGTCAATAGAAGATAGATGAGGCCCTCGAAAATGCCCTGCACCCACCTTTTTCTAGCTTTAGAAAGTCAGATAATGTGGTATTCTAAAATCTGCAGTGTGGAAGCACCGTAAGATGAGGTTTTGCGAGATCCAAGCTCACCCTGCATATCTGGAAAACTGCAATCTTCAATATGGAGTTAGAATGATCCAAGGTAGCTTATTAGACGGCGATACTCGTATCTAACTGTCTAACAGGCCAACCAGATTACGGCATTTCAGCGGCAAAGAGCCATACACGTGACTATTCCACATCTGGAATAGACCGAACAAAGTCCGGGGTTCTTATCGGTGGCGAGCTTATCGCCGTCGATACTCATCCTCAACTATTTAGGTACTGTATTGCTGTACAAGTATTGACTATTACTCTGTACATCACCAGATCATACATATGGAATTTTGAGTTATGCAATAGTACGTTTTCTCCTGAACCTTGCTCTAAGGTTTCCTTCGACACACCGTCACTGACCGACGGGTTCATCTGAAGAAATGGCGGTACAGAGCGGATACGCGGCTTCTCCATTGAACCTCTACTCGCTCCCCAACGAGGTATTACTTATCCCAATATGATGCCATTCATCGTTGTGCCATGAATAAATGATGACCGTCGACTCGATTTCAGGTTCTCGTCAGCATCCTCACGCCGTTTCCCACCCGGAGCCTGCTTCCACTCACGGTCGTCTCGCACCGATTCCACGCCCTCATACTCCGCATATTGCACTATCGCTTGCTCATCGCAACCTCCCTGAAAGATTATAAATTGATGTTAGAATGTTTTCATCCGAGCTCCAAGCTCACTGAACCCCACGTATTCTGCAAATACCTCGGCACCGATGGATTGAGCGATAAACACGAAGGCGTGGGCTCACTCTACGAGAACTGCGAGACGGCCGAGCAGTTGGCCCGACTCGGATCTTTATATTCACGATTCCGCCCCGAGCCACCCATGGAGGATGACACCGGACGTACTTTCTTGGTCCCACCAACCGGTAGGGTGCTCGAGCTCGCCGGTGCGATTGAGAGCTTGAGCGCTGACAATACCGGTGAAGACTCGCCCGCGGAGCCTCCGCAACTGATCAAACGCGCAGTGCACCTCGAAGAATTCGAAGACTTTTCGCAGCTCTGCACCGTGGTTAATTTAGTCAAGGTCGTTCCCAACAGCAGCATGCTACTCAGTGCAGTGACCATTGAGGATGGAACTGTGCGTGTATGGAGGGATTGGCTGAAGGATCAGTCCAATCACAAAGACAAATTAGGTATATCTTCCAACGACCCCAACAATACTAGAATCTTGTGGGCAGACACGAATGAAAATGTTGGCCTTAAATTAAGGGTGAGAGAGAAGAGGTGGAACCGCTTTTTACCCGTTCTGGTCCACAAAGATGAAGAGCTCGCTGTGAGCTACGAGCTTGAAATTGAAGGTATGCCTGGAATCATATTCTCCGATCATTAGTTAGGTACTAATAAGCATGATCTAGAATTATATATAAGGACGACCCGTCTCTTGATGACTCTGGAAGAAAGTCTTCAGGAGGAGCAAAACTGCTCCAAGGCCATAGTCTTCGGGTCATATCGAGTATAAGGTCTCGGAGACTCCGGACCTAGTGGGTTTCTGACGGAGTTCTCAAACGCCTTTGTCTCAATCAGCTCCACCCAAGGGGATGCATAGCCCTATCTTGCTGGAGAATCCAAACGCCAGGCAGCTTTACCCTGCGGAGATAATGCATTTAGAGGTTAGAATATTCTGGATTAGATTTTTGAACTATATATAACAGATATGTTGGACCTCGGTTGATATTACCGCTCACTTTCCAGTTCGAGTTATGGCATTCCTCGCGATCCGTGAAGTTCTGGTTCTTGTGTAACCATGCCTCGTCTTGCCAAGCCAATAACAGGGGTAGGATAGACGCGCCGAGGCAGTGCAACAGAATTCACATGGCTTCTAAATTAAGAGATCGATCCTCTATCTGACATTTCTATTGCTGGATCCCGTAGAGATATAGATACATCGGGTCTCATTTGTCCTGCAAGGTATTATGAGCATATCACTCTTGCCAATATCCGTTGGCAGACGATGATTGGGATGCTATGAGATGGCCCCCTTTCCCACCCTCATGTCAAGGAGCGGCCGGATTCTAACAATACCCTTTGAACATGGACTGATGGTCAAGGCTGCTATCCCAGTGAGTCCAGTATAAAAGAGGCGAAACTGTCCCGATCTCGTGCATAATCTGAGGCGTGAAAGACGGATAGGCCGAAAGCCAACCCGTGAAACTAAAGCTCAACGCACGATCTGCAGAAACTAATGGGACAAAGAAAGCCGGTGACTGGGGTGGTCCAATCATTTCAGAAATAGGACTGGCCTTTGTATCACAGCAGCTACTTTAAGTTGCGGCCCCCAAAATAACCACCGCACATGACTACGGGGGGTTCAAGGTGAACTCGGGAGGTATTACTCTGTACTCCTATTTGACATGATCGACATCCATAGTAGTGACTTTATCTTGTCTCTATCGAAATAAGAAGAGATCATGTCTCATCGTCTATACTGTTTCGAGTCCCTACTCTATTCGGATTCTACCGGTCATCGCCGTTGAAGCGTCCAGTCTGCGGGGTGGACTTTTGTCATCACGAGCCTCGGGACTATTCTGCAGGACAAGCGTGTGCCTCGTATCTCATCTAAGAATCTAGCAGTATTGATTCTTTTGTTCTGGTTCTTCTTTTATGTCTATACTTTCGGTGGACTATGAATTTCGACGCGACAGGTCTTCCACAGCCGCGCCAACGCCCAGCACGGCTTTATCATAAGAAGTCCCGAAATGGGTGCCTTAGATGTAAAGCGCGTCGGGTCAAGGTAAGAAATCCGTACCATGCGAGAAGTTAAAAAACACCTACCTGGCCGCTGCGCCGCTCAGAAGTTTGCGTCGACCATGGTGGCATATCAAGCCGAGGAACTACTGCTGATATTTTACTCCAGTGTGACGAGAGACGACCCTCCTGCGGTAGCTGTGCGCGGCACATGGTATCTTGCATTTACCAAAAGCCAAATCTCCCGTCAAAGCCGTCACCAAATCGGAAGAGCAATGGAAGCTCGATAAGCCCTCCGTCAATGTCCACTCCATATGGAGACAATTCGACCGGCTCTCCAGCAAGCAGGAGCGAGGCCGTGTCTGAAGAGTTTCTGCTGGGCCTTAATGATGGTGATGAAATCCCAGAGTCGAAATCAAGACGACTCCTGGAGCTCCAATTACTTCAAAACTACTTGACAAAGCTCTCGCAGCCTTTCCCGCAGACGCCAGAAGCAGACGGAAGTGCAGTGTGGCCTTTTCTCGAGGTTCCGCAGATGGCTTTGCAGCATGATAATCTCCTGTACGCCATGTTCTCTATATCTGCTACGCATTTGCTGAGAACTCAGCCAAACAATGCGAAGCTACTTGCGGCCCGTCAGACATATCTAGGACTGGCATTGCGCAAACAACGTGAAGCAGTTTCGCAACTAAGTGGTCAGAATGCCGATGCGGTCTGCTTCGCTTCCACTCTGATCCTCATTGATGCTTTCGCGACACTCGAGGGACGGGATATCACGCCTTATCTTCCACCGATGGAATGGTTACATATGGGTAGGGGAGCTGCAACCGTCTTCACCGTTGCCATGAAGAGCGGGCTGGATAGCGAAATGTCGAAGATCATGTCATTGATCGATGCACCTCCAGTTTCACTTTTAGACAATGAAAACACCATGTTTGCAGAGAAGTACTGGAAAGACTTCAGAAATCTACTCCGTGACGACATCGGTGGTGGATACGAAGACCTCTCCGACATGGAGACTCTCCAGGCGTATCAAAGAACTCTCAGCTTCGTCGGATCCGTGCACCAGGCCGTCATCGACGGAGAACCGATTCACCCTCTATGTCGACGATTAATGGCCTTCTCTCCGCTTATTCCGAGAAAATTTATCGATTTTGTCGAGGAACGGAGACCACGCGCGCTTGTTATACTTGCTCATTATTTTGCTCTTGCTTCGAAAGTACGATCAGCCTGGTGGATGGGGAAGACGCCTGAGCGGGAAATCCGTGCAATAATGATGGTACTGCCACCAGCGTGGCAGGAGCATATGCACTGGCCGCTGGCAATGACAGGTTTAATACCTGGTTGAAATTGAACCAGTCCTGCTAGTCATGGCTAACGGTTAACTATGACTGTGTACTGTACCATATCTACGTGAATGTTTCAGAGCGGGCTTGAGACATCTAGTGGTTCTATATAGCATCATCGAAAGAGTTTATTCTTTTTCTTTAATTCGTATCTACCATGTTATCGACCTACTGGTATCGCTCTGGCATACGACTCTATGTTAGAAGGAGGTCTCCGTCCGGAAAGCAGACGCGAAACCGAGAACGCAGCCAGCTTTCTATAAATTAGGGTGTCTTCTTATAAGACTGAGTTCTTTGCTCCTTTCAGTCTTTCGAACGGAATACTAGCTTCAAATGGAGAGAAGGAGAAGGAAATATCAATAAATGAGTTCATCCATTTAACAACACTCATGACGTTTGTGGGTCTCATGACTTTCCAAAAGGAAATCCAACTTGCGAACGCAGAATGATACATTAGAAAGTCGACATTGTAGCATGAATTCTCCGCCTCACGGCTCCCCCGACCAAATATCATCTGCCACCTCGCGAATGAGACGCATCTTGCGAACCATATCTTCATATCCCATATTTCTGACCTCAACAGTGCTCGAGAATCCACACTGCGGACTAATCCCAATCTGTTTCAACGCCTCTTCCGTGCTCGTTCCATTACCTTCAGCAATACTCTCAGCTGCCTCAAACACACGACGCTTCAATTCGCATTTATCTTCCAGCTCTGGGTATTTGCTCGTTACTACTCCTAGGATGACATTCTTGGTTCGAGGAAGATATTTCAAAGGTGAGAATCCACCTGTACGAGTCTGGTCGTCGTATTCGAGATAGTATGTATCTACGTCCAGTTCTTGAAAGAGCGTCTGGGCGATCCGTTCGTATCCACCTTTGCGCGATGAGTGACGGAAGTTGCCGCGACAGAGATGAATCCCGACGTGAAGGTCGCCAGGACGGGGGGAAAGGACGTCGTTATATAACTTGATGTAGCTGTGGAATAGCTCGTTCGGGGTACGGGTGTTGGCTTTATCGGTTTCCCAATCTTGCAGTGTATCCTCGGCGCAGAAGACTACACAGTGTTAGCATACAAGTTTCCGAAAAGGAGTATAAATGAGAAGGCAAGTCATCAGGTCCAATAGATAGATTCATGTTCCCGAAGGTTAACATACACGTAAGATTAGGATCATCGAACTGTACGTTCCGCAACCCAGCTTCATACAGCAGATCCAACTCCGTCCTATACGCAGCGGCCAGATCACGGAAATACTCCTGATCATCACGATACACGTCCTTGGGGTATGCATAGCCTTCGCGGAACTGCAGATGATACCAATTAGGTGACGGCAGGGTAATTTTAATACCTCCCCACAGGTCCCGAGGAACAACTTGCTGGAGGTACCGCAATTCCTTGACATAGTCGCTTTTTCCAGAATGACGAAGCTTATCCTGACACACTAGGAGAGTGCCAGGCCTGAGCTTGCCGCCTTTGACAAATCCAGCCACGAATGAGCGAAACATAGCTGGATCCGGATCAGTCACGTCCTGCATGCCTTCGAAGTTCTGGAACAATGTGCCCCAGAAGACATTTCGCCTGTAGTAGAGTTGAGATATGTTAGACAATGCCTCTTGTTTTTTTCAGAGAGCTAACATCTCTCAGATCATTATATGTCTGTTCCCTCCTACCGAAACTCTCCATCTCCTATACCTCGAAGCCCACAGTCCAGCTGCAACTTGACGATATCATCGATCGCCCGGTCCTCCACAGCCGTCAGCTGCGCCGGATCTAATTTGCTCTTATTATCAGGGTGCAGGCTTTCCGGACGCAGCAGCGAGCCCATATGCTCTGCTCGGAATGGCGGACTTCTATGTAATCTTTCTGTCATGATATCGATTGTAGTGTTGAATGTTGGGGAGTTGAAAGAGGTCAATTATTTCGAACCCCGCCTCGCCTTTTTCTCTATGCTTTACGATCGTTTAGTATACTTACTTACCATATAGAGTATAGTCCTCTACTAGTGTACGTATATTGAGGGGGTTTCCCCGCCGAAGCCGAATTGAATTTTCTCTTCTTGATGTCGCTGGTTTTATGGACGGTCCATAAGGTCAGTCTCTGGTCGCTTCGGCCACGCACGGTGTATTATTAGCAGTGAACCCACTATTATAGGAAGCGGGTAAGGCTTCCAGGGTTACTACTCGGACCTGGCTAATCAGTTAAGCTAATAACTAACTAGCTCCTAGGAGACCCGTTCCGCTGGATGTCTTCTGAAGGCTATATACCTAGTAATAAGCCGAAATAAAAGATGATAGAATCCTAAAGGTTATTTATTCTAATAATACAGTATAGCGAGATATAATTTAATTGGAAGCTTAAAAGAAGAAATATTAAACCAACACCTTTGAACCGTGCTATATATAAATATTTTCATGTCGTTTCCAACTTCAGTCAATAAACTACCTAAAAGAACGAACCAATGGATGGAAACGAAACGTCTTTGGAAGTAAATGTTTCCGTTTCTCACCAGTGCATACTGGTGACCATGCTGTTGCATAAGTTCTAGTCGCTAGGGAAGTGAACATAACCGATAGCCGGCACAATCTCGAGTTCATTCTCCGACGGCCACATTTCTTTCCGTTTCTGTCTCTTGATTAAGTCTCGCTGGTAAACTCGCATGAGGAACAAAAAGTGGGTCCATATTCTCGTAAGTACGCGTCTCTAGTCTACAGGGCTGGTAATCTCACAAGATATGAACTCAAGACCCTTTTAATCCTCCTTGCTTTTGTTAAATATCGCGCGCAAATTTGATGATGAGGAAAGTCTTGTTTTCCTCAGTCAAGCCGTCTTGTACTACGCCCCGATTATCCTGTCCATTGGTCCAGTACAATCAGCTTCGGTCTGCATTATCTTCCACTGCGTCGCGCTCAATGACATACAAACATGAGTCTGTCCCCCAACTCTTATACGTCCCCATCGAGGGCGTTGAAAGACTGGAAAATTACCGGACAGGGGGTTATCACCCTGTTGAAATTGGGGATAATTTTTGCGGTCGATATCGAGTAGTCCACAAGCTCGGTTACGGATCGTACTCGACGACGTGGCTAGCCCGTGATGAACAGTTAAAGAAATATGTGGCAGTTAAAGTCTGCACTGCAGACTCAGATCCACATGAAATCAACACTTTATCCGCTCTGACAAGAAGCCAATCTTCCTCCGCCAGAAGCGTAGGTGAGACTATGATCCCTTCGGTTTTAGATACGTTCAACGTTCAAGGCCCGAATGGTAGCCACTCATGCTATGTGACTGTTCCAGCGAGAACTAGTCTCTCTGGTGCCAAAGATGGGTCGTGGAAACGCCTCTTCCAACTTGATGTCGCGAGGGCGTTGGCTGCGCAACTTACGATTGCTGTCGAATATATACATGCTCGTGGAGTTGCTCATGGAGACCTTCATCTCGGAAATATCCTTCTCCAATTGCCATCGGACTTTGACCAGCTCTCAATCGAAAGACTATACGAGAAGTATGGAGCACCAGAGATGGAACCGGTGACTCATTTAGATGGCAAGCCTCTTCCGCCGGGTGTCCCGTCCCATGGCATCTCACCAGTATGGCTTGGGGAAGCCAGTGAGAAAATCGCCCTTTCGGAAGCTAGGATCCTCCTCACAGATTTTGGTGAAGCATTTTCGCCTTCAGAAAAGCCAAAGTATGGATCTCATGCCCCTCTTGGGATCCGTCCCCCGGAGGTACGATTTGAACCAACAAAGCCTCTGTCGTTTTCATCAGATATCTGGATGCTCGCTTGTACTATCTGGGCTATTATTGCTCAGAGGCCGTTATTTGAAAGCTTTCTTGCGACAGAGGATGATATGACTTGTGAGCATGTCGACGCTCTCGGTATTTTACCACTCGAGTGGTGGCAGAAGTGGGAGCTGCGACGAGAGAGATTCACGGAAGATGGTACTCCAATAAACCATAACCCTTATCGATCGTGGGCGGATCGTTTTGAGGACAGTATACAGCAACCACGCCGAGAAAGTGGATTGTCACCTTTTGACCCAGTGGAAAGAGATGCCATCTTTGCCCTGTTACGATCCATGCTGTCATTTCGGCCTGAAGACCGACCCACGGCCCAGAAAGTTCTTGAGTCTGAATGGATGGTGAAATGGGCTCTGCCCGAATATGAGAGGATTGGAAAATCCCTTTAGATACTTAGAATGGCGACGAGCCGAAGTGAAAGACGATGAAACCCCAGAGATTATCAATTCCGATGACGCGGTATGGCAAGCCGTAACCCAGCTGGAAGCCTGAGGAAGAGATGAAAACTACCTACTTACCCTCGGCAGCTGGCATGGGTGAAACGACTCAATCACGACCAGATCGTTAGGTGACGAGTGCGGATGAACTATCTATTCAGAGTTGGAGTGCCTTTTTTGCGGGGAAGGAGATTCCGTACTAAAAACAAGAATTTAACACAACGTAGGAGAAGCCGCTTTTACTCAATAATAGTGTAAGTACAGTACAGTACCACAGCTAGAGTCTTTTGTGCTGGTAAATGCGAAGTTGCAGCGACGGATAAGTAGTGCTTATCGTTCTCTATCTTAGATTCCACGACATCAAGAAAAGCAGTTAAATGTGGCTTTCTGTGCTATCTACTGCAGGCAGGAGAATGCTTAATAAAAATCAAGCATAAATTCTATAGAATGAATGAACATTCTGCACACGCACCTGATCACTTATCCCACGGCCGGCTGGCTATCACGAGCAGAAAGCGGCATTAGTCTAGAGCGAAATGGAATCTGAAGCTCTGTGGCATTGGCCCAAGCAAATAATAATTCTAGTGAGTTATATGAGCCGCTGAACCACTATTTCTACCTAGGTATCTACTTCGCAAGGTCACTCCTAAAACAGTTAGATAAAAGTGATTCCCAGGATCTTATTAGTTCAGAAGTGTCGCCAATTTTCCCAATGGATCTACGTCCGCGCATCGTCAAATTTTAATCGTGAGAAGTTCAGCAATATGATTCGAATAAAGATGTGGGATCTAATAACTGTACGCGAAAGTCACCCCCGTGACCTACTTATCTGAGGGATCTTGGGGTTACGCCAATCAACCGATATCTCCAGTGATCCCTTTGGATATCAATTGTTCCTCCAACGAAGAATATGATATCGTTTGCCAGAGGAAACGGCTTTTACTACCGCATTAAATCTATTGGATGATCTAATTTTCGGTTTTAGTATTTGAAACTGAATTCCAGTGAATTAGTTGAAAAAATTGGATTTCTAGGATAGAGCAACACTGTCGACGGAGTATATACTATACTTTCTTCAAGCGAATACTGTCAGAAAAGATGCAGCTGGATACTAACCAAGACACATTTCGCTGACTACTGCTCCGGCTCATCTTCACCTGGCCTGGGGATACTCAAAGGACGAGACAGGCCAACACGATCAATTGTTCTGGTATATTCAACTCCGCCATTCACGCGGTCCTCCTGAACGACCAGGTCCTTGCGGTTGGAGTCAACCAGGAGGCGAATAAGATCGGGTCTCATGTAGTGACCGCCCTGAGAAAAAGAATATGGGGTTAGTTTCTGCATATATAGAGATTTCGAGATAAGGAATGGTCAGAAAAGGGCTCTTACAAAGTCTGCTAGTGCTTTAGTAAGGTGACATTCATCAAGGTCGATCTAGATATTTGCTCTTGTGTCAGTTCTCATATATCCCTCATTTCCGCCTTCTTGGTGGATGAAAACATGAAAGGGGCATTACATCAACGTAAAGAAGACCCTGGAAATCAACGTCCGGATGAGGCACGAGATTCCGACCGTCTGGGGAATAGATTCTGCCGTGTCCATTATATATACTCGGGTCTTCGAGCTCCTTGCCAGGGGGTGTGTTCAGCTTGATTCCCTCGGCGGTGATAGTCTGCCAGGGAGCAAGAGTATAGGTGCCTGTTTCGATGGCATAGGCGGGTGTCACGAGCTACGCAGCTGTTTAGTTCTTCCGAGTCCAAGAGATGGGCAAACGACAACAAGATCGAGGTTAAATACTCACGTCACAGTTTGCCTCGGCGACGTTAGTGTATGGATCCGGGTATTGCAGAGTCTGCTTTCCAGGTAACAATGGCCAGGCTGCCACATGCACTTGTTCGCCAAGGCTCGCAGCATAGGACTTCATGAAGGGGTTCATGTTTTCCCAGCAGTTCAGGTGGCCTATACGTCCAATCTCCGTCTCGACAACGCTCTTCGTGGTGTCGCCGGTTCCATCGCCAAAGATTAATCGCTCGACATGTGTCGCACGAATCTTTCTGCGATAGTTGATGATATCTCCCGAAGGCGAAATCATCACCTGGGACATGTAAAGACTAGCCAGGTCCAGCTCAGAGTAACCCAAGGATACAAAGATCTTGTTTGCCCGAGCAGCTTCGCGGATACGGCGCATCTCATCGGAGTCGGAAGGGAGGGAATTCTCGCGGTATTTCTTCAGCAGAGGGAGCGATTCCTGATAGTTAACCCTCCACATCCAGTACGGATAGCCCGGAATCCCTGTGCAAATGTAATTAGCAATTAGCCAAATACAACAATATAACATTCGCGAAGGGATGTTCGAACTGGACATTCGTACAGAGTTCAGGGAAAGCGATGAGCTTGCAGCCATTCTGCCCAGCCTCGTTGATCCAGTGAATCGTACGAGCAACAGCTTCCTGAAGATCAAACCACCCGGGCTCCGCATTGACTGCGGCGGCCTTGTATTTCTTCAATACTGGAGCCATTGTGGTGGTGTTTATAATCTATAACAGAAGATTTCAGGGAAATAGGTAAACACAATTGAATTTCTGTGTTGATATCGATACCATTCACCAAGTCTTCAGGAACAGAAATCCATCCTCTATATATACTTTTTTTTCGTTCCTTCTACATCTCCTCGGTTTTCCATTTCAAACCCCATCAGATAGTGTCGTCCAACTTGATTCGAGATTCTGTGTTTCACTCGGTCTTTGCTTTTAGTTACATTTGCTTCAGAGCCCGATGTACACTGGAATTACACTCTGAGGCGACGTAGAAGAATTACTAACGCCATCTAACTACTAGATTGATTGACCCGGTAATTTCCGCGAAGTCTGAGCGTGAGTTCTTGCTCAGCATAGACTAATGCTGCCATGTGTTCTGGTGCAAATCCCGTCTCTTGACAAAGTTATAGATAACACAGAGGGCGAATCGATCGGATTAGTCACTATCATGTTCCTGTGTTAACTTGGTTATCAGCTATCAACAACAACAACCACTTATCTATGATTACTCCACATCTGTCGTTCCCTTCCAGTTTTTGCCGTGATCATCCCAGATGTTCAACACGGAATATATAGGGGAATTATTAATCAATGTAATTGAATTACTAGTTAGCCATCAATGTATTTTCACTCCGCATACGATTTGGAAGAACAAGCTCTCCAAAATCAACGTACTGCGCGGGAAATGGCCAGGCTCATCTTAGTACAAGTACAGTGGTACGTGCGTGCGGAGAAGCTGGATTTCCATGTGGAGCACCGGGATCTCCTTCAGAAGCAAGGACGTTAACTATACGAACAACCCCTCCTTTCATTGCAATGATCCGCCTTGTACAGAAAGTTTATTTCGGTTTAGAATTGATCAAACTGCCCATGATCTGCTAATGTTTCGACCGAATCCAGCTCTAGGCAAGAAATACAATGTCAATCCCTGGAATTAGCTTCAAGGCGTAAATAGTTAAATGTACTCCGTATTTACCACTACACAATATGTCGGAAGACCTCCCGTCGGAGTTCTCTCCGCGCCTTTCTAGCTCCACCCGCAGAGACAAATAGCTTGTGATAGTTGCTGGAGAACTCAAGCTCAGAGAGCTTCGCTCCCAGATAATACGATTAGTGCGCACACGACTGTACATAGTGTAATGGTAATGAAAGGCTCGATATCTAGTGACGGACTCGGTCATCCAGCATGACAGACAGGATATTTGCCATGTACTCTGGCCAATGAGAATCTATACAATTCTGCTCAAAGCCTCAAGGCCTCTCGATAAGCTTTCCAGTATCTCAGACGGTAGCTTCAGATGGTAGCTCGAACAGGGCTTGATGACACCAATTCCCGGGTACGCTCCGTTGACCGGGCTCCCGTCAGAGATCTTCGTCTATCACTAAGCTAGCAGCTTATCTCTATACACTGGTTCGATAATTCGATATTATTATTTCGGCGGATCTGTTAAAATCAACTATCTTTCAATAAAGGAGGATGTTGGGGAGGGGATCCTTACTCCTAGCGAGTCTTGTAGAGATATCCTATACCCTCCACATATAAGTTATCCTGTGGCACAGCGGGAATTCTTAAAATTGCTGGACCAACTGTAACTAGATCGATCACACAGTGGTCGGTTCGAGCCTCAAACGTATATCAATGACGTCTGGCGCTTTATATCACATAGCTCGATCTAAATCGCGGGCTAGTGTATCTTAGATGCCCTTACATTCCTAGGAACACCCCCTGTGGCTGAGGCCTTCGATCTACACTAGTATGATACATTGATCTGGCATTAGGATTAAGTTTTAGCAAACATAAACACATAACATTGCGTGTCCATCCAAGTCATTTTCGGCATCAAGTCATATAGGCGTGTGGTTGAACAGGAAAGAAACGCTCTCGCCATTGTGCGTTCTCCGGATGGCCTCGGCAATTGTTGCGCTGACATCGACAACGCGGAGCTTGGGACACCTTTCTTCTTTGTCACCAAGTGGAACCGTGTTCGTGACAACAATTTGGCTCAGACAGCTGTGGTTGAGTGTTTCAATCGCGTTGCCAGACAAGATACCGTGGGTGACAATAGCCATTACCTCTGTAGCGCCCTTGCCCTTCACGGCCGCTGCAGCTTTGGCCAATGTGCCGCACGTATCCGCCATATCATCTACGAGGATTGCAACTTTGTCTTCCACGTCTCCAACGAGTACCATGCGTCCCACCTCGTTGGGACGGGGTCTCTCCTTGTGAATCAGGGCGAAGGGGCGATCTAGACGATTCGCGATGGAAGTAGCCCTGCAGCTTCTTAGTCCATAATTCATTCCAACTACGCATATTTAACCTACCTCTTAGCACCACCTGCATCCGGGCTGACAATCACACATTTGTTCACTGGAAGGTTTTCGCGTATCCATCTGACAACATCGGGTTCTGCGAAGAGATTGTCGACAGGAATGTTGAAGAACCCTTGAATCTGAGATGCGTGTAGATCCATTGTGATGACATGATTCGCGCCGGCGGTCTGTATCATATTCGCAATCAATCTGGCGGAGATCGGGGCACGAGACCGATCCTTCTTATCCTGGCGAGCTTCATTATCTCAGTATATCATCCATAATGAATGAGCGATCAGATGGACTACACGGAATCGAGGGATAAAGGGTTTCAATTATCGTCCTTTCGACCGGTATCCACTGAGCGCAATACTAACCATATGCTATCAGAAGTTAGCTTTCGTTCTCGAAGGCGACTTCGGATATTATGCAGAAGATCGATCAAGTATTACATACGAAAATTAGGGATCACAGCAGTGATGCGCCTAGCTGAAGCGGTTCGACAGGCGTGCACCATTATGAGCAGTTCCATCAGAGCATCGTTGATGTCACCCGGAGCCGTGGACTGGATGATGTAGACTGAGAACACGAATTATCAGCAAAAATATGCCATTCTTCTTCCGATCAGCTACGCAACATACCATCCTCGTCTCTGACAGACTCTCCGATAGTGACGCTTGTCTCATTGTTCGAGTAGTTCAGACACAGGGTCTTTGCGATCTCGATCCCGAGCCTGGCAGCTCACGCAATCAGCTCCAGTTAAATGGCATCTCTCGTCGGATCTAAGTATCGGGCACACACACCGGTCAGCCACGAGGTGGGCAAGAGCCGGATGGCTATTGCCCGTCAGGAGCTTGATCTCATTCGCCATGTCGCCCATGAGTGTCAGCTATTTTGGAGTGAGGATAAGAAAAAAGATGCTTCTTATCAGTATCTACTTAGTGACGCAAAGCTTCAACGCGGGGTTGTGCCAATGGATGAACGGTTGCACGGCTAGCGCGGACGAAAGTACCATAGCTCCAATGTGGCGTTCGGGATAGAGAACCTTAACTGGAAAAAAAAATGTGTCCTTCATTTTTATACACTGCGGTGTAGCACGTGATCTCATTGTCTTAATACGGCGTTTGCTATTCTCGCTATCTGAACAAGATGTTTGAAAGGATAGCGGGCAATTTTGTGATCCTATACAATCAGAGGACTCCCCTAGTTTGCTCCGATCCTTTAATTATTAACATCCATCATGACTCCCAAAAACTGGATAATGGCTTTCTGCCAGTTGACCAAGAAGGAGAACTCCTAGTTGGTCTCCGTGGATCGTTAACACGGGATACTAAACCATATTGCTGACCTATTCCTTTCACATCCACTGATATATGATCAGAACTCTCTCTGTATTGTCGATCAGATCACGTCAGGTGTAATATTTTCCAATTGAACCCTGAATTCAGTAGCAGCATGCTTATTGCAGGTCCAAAAGCTACGTTTGAAGGTATTTCAAACCATGAAATCGCATTATCGAGTGATATGGAACTAAATTCCAGCATTGTTCTGTTACGGGCGGGGAAGTGAGACTCAGGTATTAGTTACAGGAAATGGATCCAAGAAGGTGTAGTCCGCTCAGACTTGATTGAACCATTCATCTTCAATGAGCTCCTTTGCAGTCGGCCTATCTCTCGGGTCGAGCTTCATTATTTTCAGGATGAATTCCTTATCTTGTTTGGAGATCTCTTTCTGGCTAGCCAGTGAGAAAGGTCTCAACTTCTCAGGCGGCACATTATTCATAACGAATGATAGCACTCCCAAGGTCCCCTCATCAGCAAGATCGCGATATGACAGAGGAAATGGTCCAAAATAGATATGGTATTTTGCAAGGATCTCTAGTTCATAGTCATCGTGGCCACGGGGGACTTTCGGCCTGAATAGGCAAAAGTTGTCACCCCAGATCATGGATATCACCTTCACAAATTTATGGTTACTAGGGTTCATCGCAAAAGTAAACACGCTGGTATAAATAATAATTACCATTGCCCCAAATGACCAAATGTCAGTCGGCGGTCCCCATTGCAGCCCCAACTGGGCCTCCGGGCTCCGCCAAATAGGTGTACCGATTTCATCGCGGTTCTTGCAGAAATCAGATGTTATGGAGACTGTACTTTCGAGATCTGCGAGTTGGACATCACTAAAGCGTTGTGTATCCCCAGTCTGAGGTGACGCGTAGTTCACAAGGACATTGTCCATTTTGATATCTGTAACGGGTATTTGAGTACCTATACTTAGCGCTCAGAGTCAAAAAGTTTATTTTAGGCTGAACACTAACCTGTGTGTACATAGCCATCGTCATGTAGTACTTTCAATGCCTCAAGGATCCTCTTTGATACATATCTGATCTCTCTTCCACTAAGCTTCTTGCTCCCTGAAGCGGCCCATAAATCATCCTCGAGATGTTTCAACACGATGGCAGGCGGAGACAGTGGCTCAGTTATCTCATCGACCAAGGGACGGAGATGCGGTGTTCTGTCCTGGAACTTCCTAAGAACGTCCCTCTCGTTTATGATGCGGAAATGCCGCGCAGCTTTGATTATGACAGTTTGTCTGCTCTTGTCACTATTGACAATATGCGTCAGTGAAAAAGTTGTTATAATCGGGTCTCCATACTTTATGGAGTCGAAAAGACCTATAATTGGCGCGTACCTTGCCTGCCAGATAAATTCGCCGAGTTGTCTGGTGACGGTATATGTGCTAACTTTTCCAGTGAGAGATTGGCCTAGCTTCAAGAGAGGAGGTGATGTCGAGCTTGCTGAACCAGCGATTGACCGGCTGAGCTTCATAAGAGGAGACGTTGGGGTCATACTTAAAGACGGATAGAAGTTTGGAAGTGAAACTAAGCTATGCCACCGGCATGTAGTTTTATGTCTGCGACTACTTCCTTGAAGTAAGCCTCGAAATGCCCTTGGCAAATATTATCATCTGTTCGACCCGATATTTGGCTCCTTTTTACAGTTCTCGCAAACAAGCTAAACTTTAAACAGAAGGTCATGCACCAAACCATATTCTTGCTTCCGTGCCATTTATATGTGGTTGTAATGATAGATGCGGCCTAGTGTATCTTGAAGAGACGAGAAGACTCCAAGGGATGATCGAAGAAAATAAACATGGAGCACGATAGAAAATTGAGATCCCGTTAATCAACTACATGTTATTTCCAGATTGCGTTAAACCTGTATTGTATTATTATGTTCATTCAGAGGCTTGTCTACGACTGGGCTGCCGGTGGTATTATATTCATACATGAGGTAAATGCTACAAAAAGGAAAATAAAAAAGCAGACCCATGGCCTTCACACCCCATTCATGAGGTTCCAGACTCAGATGCTGCCGCCTCGGCTTCATCGAGGATCCCATCCCACTGTATTCTGAGTTCCTCCATCTCCTTCCAGCACCTGCGTCCCAGCTCCTCAAAGTGCTGTCGATCCTCGACCGTCAAGTCGCGAGCGCCGAGTTTGCGACGCCGCAGACGGTCCTCCTCCACCGCAGCAACTCCCACAACACCCCCATGGCCCCAGCCCTCGACCTCGCTACTCACAGGGCGATCGATGCCCCGGCGGTTCACCGAGGATCCCCATTTCGCACGTCCGCCGCTACGCTGGCGGTACGGTGCCTCTGCGTCATCGAGAACAGACTGGTTGGATAGCGCAACCCAGACGGGTGCGCAGGCGCCAAAATAGGTAGAGATAGTGTGCCACGGGGAACCGAGCATGCGAGCGAACCAGAAGCAAAAGAGCATGGAGTAGAAAGCGGGGAGGATAAGAGGAACGATGGACGTGCCGCAGATGCCGGGGTGCGTTACATAGATATTCGGCTTCTGGTTGGCTTCTTGTTCTTCCTTCTTGGGCTCTTTTGAAGGGTCCTCGGAGAGAAAGCTATTCACCCACGGAGCGGTGCTGGGTAGGTCGGAAGTCAAGGCCAACACGTCCGTGAGGGACTTGGACGACTCGTAAGATGTATCTGTCCGAAGGCCTTGGATGTCATTGACGTTGAACATCTCAATCGTCGCCTCCAGGCTAGACACCCAGATAATACGACCCGGCCCGTTCGGACTCCCCGAGCGCTTCAGCAGCGGAACGACATTATGCGCGAGCATGTAGTGACCAAAGACATTCGCGCAGAAGACCGCACCCAACCGCGGCTCTTCCTTCTGCAGAGAAGTCTGCTTCTTCGTAACCATGCCCACTGACCCCAGCTTGAACGTGGGCCACGACACCGCATGGAGAGGATCCGTCATGACGTTCCAGATGGCTTCGGCCCAATTGATCCCCGTCCAGCCACCGAGTCCCGCATTAAGAACGATCGCATCGAGTTTCGGGATGTTCTGCAACAACCGCCGCGACAGTGCGCGGACGGACAGCAGTTCTGTCAGGTCGACATCTTCTGCCTGGAACGTGACTCGCGACGCGGCGGAGGGTTGCTTTCGCACGATAGAATTATTGCGTAGATGCTCCTGAAGCCTAGCCAATGTATCCTTTCCCTTCTTCGGTCCTCGAGCCGTAAATATCACCGTCAGATGCTGCGTGTCGGGACGATTCTGGAGGAATTCATCTGCAAGGCGGCAACATACTGAGAATCCTAGGCCGCTGCGCGGAGAGAATGGTGTTAGTGTACAGCAACTGATAAGGTGATACAACGTCTAGATCCTCGCAGACCAGAAGAAGAGACCACATACCTGTTCGCACCGGTGACTAGAATGAAGATCTTGTCTTTAAGATCAAAAGAAGCCCCATTGGAGCTCATGGTGGCTTTTCTTCTGATAACGAAGCCCCTGGATGGTTTAACTCTCAGGGGATCTTTTTAGAGTTGGCTGACATAAGCGGTGTCCACGTTCCAGAAATGGGCTAGTCAAGTAAGTCTAACCTCTCTGGGGATACTGCAGTGCCAACTTCTTTCCTAAGGAGCGATATATTCCCTACTATTGAAGAGAAATGCTCTCTTATTAAAATACGAAGACATCGACTAAAGGAATAAGGAGTGTTTCCTCAAAGCAGCTATAAGGACGATAAAGCACTTGTAGAGGATGCCAAATCCTTGCCGGTGGGAACCAGGAATATCTAGGGTATTTCGCATCTTTTAGCTTATATTCTACTAAGACGGAAAAGATATCTTTCTTAGGAAAGAATACTTTATGGGAAAGTTCTTGAATTCGAAAATCGCCCCTGTAGTCCTCATATACAAACAGGAAAGGATTAAAATTATTTACTCCTCGTGCGGCTTAGGACAAATTAATGTATTTAGAATAAGCTCTACGGCAGAAAATAGATTAAAAATCTTTCTTTTTTGAGAATAGATGCACTGGCCTTGTGTTCAGAAATATATTAATTCGACATTTTCTCCCCCGCGAGTTATGGTCTCTAAAGCATCCAGAAGTAACGAATAACTAAACTTAGTCGATACTCTAAGTTCACGCTGAGGCTCAAAGGCATCGACAACACGATGTGGATATATAAGGACACTAAGTTGAGAAAACTTTATACAAGTTGCAGGTTCGATTGGCTCATTCCCAGCAGGCTATATAATGACTCTACTTGTGGGTAGTTATCCTACTATATATGGAGAGAATTGATAAGCTGTGCCAGATGGAAGGATATTGTCTCCTCGTCTATTGGATTAACATAGTGGCCTTGGATTATACCTGTATAGCACGATGTTAGTGTTTTGTACGCAATATAGATATGAAGACGAACTTGCAGAACTGGATGGATCCCTTCTGGTATCGAGTTCCGATGGGCCTGTTCTGTCCAGTTAGTCGAAATGTGAAACTGATGACGAAGCAATAACTAACGTAAGCTAGAAGTGTTGGCATCTCTGAGGTATGATTCAGTGAGCCCATCTGTTTAGCCAAGTTTATTTCTGTGAATGTGTATGGAGCAATGTTTTTGCCAGAAACCCTTCGTCGTCATTCAGCTACTGGAGAATACCCTGCGACCTTAAAATTAAGCCTATGTGAGGGTTAATAGCTTTACCACTAGTATTCAACCCTCAGGAAAAGTTCATTATGATCAATCTAAGTCAGATGCGTGATAGCGGTTGCGACCGCTACCAGAATGGATAATGTCTTCGCTATCGAGTAAATGTTTCGCCTCGCGGTCGTCTTGATGTAGAGGTGCAGTCGATATCATGCATAAGACAGAAACGTCTGGTCACCCGCATCTAGAGATGGATTTGCTTCCAGTGCATCCTTCTTTAGAGCTAGTGACTAAAACAATAGATTGTCGATTGGCATCATTGTGTCTATTCGACGCTTGAGCCCGGTAAGTGTTGGACGATGGTTCGGGGACTTAATAGGACATATCGAGATAACACTTAATCTTTGTATCTAGTGCCAAGATTCCACGCAATGATCAAGCGCCACGTAATGACGCTCAAAGTAGCGTCAAGTCCTGCGGCACGTTGCATTACCTGACCTGCTGGAAACCCTTTTCAGCTGATTTTATGTTGGCTGCTGAGGCACCATTAGTTAGGCAACAATGGCTCCTTTCTCTCCTTTGGCTAAACTGCCGCAGCCTGGCACTGCTGACGAGGATCTCGCTCCATTGAGAATATATCGTATATATAGATCCTAGTACGTGCTACAAGATGGCTATCAATTCCGTCGCGTTGTGGCAGAAGCGGCCCATGATTTGTGTCTTCCATAACTCAAATTGTTCTTCTGGCTATCATCGAGGTGAGCCGTGAAACCTTGTATCTATGTGTACATGGCTGAGAATGATTTGAAAGCAGCTAGGTCATAATGTCCGACAAAGGCGACACCGAACAAGCCAAAGAGGCAGCTGTTGGCTTCAAGTCAGATTTGAAGACACTGCAACAGCTGACCTCTTCGTCGGAAGCCGTCAAGAAGCATCGAGAAGCATCTAAAGATGAGAGGGCAATGCGCAGCTTGGAAGAAGCGCTTGAGAAAGATCTTGGACAGCAAGAGGAAGACAGGCAAGATTCGGAAAATTAAGATGCCGGAGATCGTTCATTCGGTGATATGTCGCATTCGAAGGCTTGCTGAAGGCGAATGTCATATTCTTTCCTGTCCGATAATTTGCTAGCTGCGGTCCTGACCCAATCCTGTGCCCAGTACCATGGCATGATCTGCTGGAAACCATCATGGTCGGAACAATGCTTGACGAATCTTGGCTGGATTTGTTTGAAAAATACTGCAAAGAGGCCGGTAGGGCTAGCAAGCGCGAGAGAATACCAGAACGTTCCCACCCTCCAGCTCTCATTCATAATAGATGATAGTTGCGGTCTTCCATGGTTGTTAGTCGACACAGTGCTGTCAAGTCTTTGTTCTTCAGCGGCCATGATATTCACGAACTCCATGCGCCTCGTGTTATATTCCCCCGAACTTTCAGCAATCTCATCCACAGCCTTGTTCGTAAGCCATGTCGGAGTCCGAAGCATCTCAACTGGTCGGGTACATGCCCATTCAAGATCTACCAAACAGGTAATGTGCCATTCTTTATCAACAAAGATATTGCTTTGGTGAAGATCCGTGAAAGTAAAAGCGAAAGGACCACGTCGGAGTTCTGGTTTGAAAAATGATGGAAAGACTGTTCGCATTGCAGCCAATGCCGAAGTCTGATAGATATAGTCCCCTGTATCGTTAATTGCGTTTGGCTGATGGCGAAGTCGATTGTCATGGATTCGAAGGATATCTGTCACATAGGACTCGACCGTGGAATAGGTATAGTCTCGGGGTATGTTTGTAGGAATATTTTCGTTTTCTAATTCTTGAATTTCAAGTGAAAGCGGACGATTCGTTAGGTGTAAGAAACCATCATGGTCAATCATAAAGGAGCCAATCTTTGGCAAGGGAATCCGTGTGATACTCAATAAGATCCGAGAAAGGTCACGAAAGAGATTAGTTCTTAATCCGATATCAACCTGTTTCTCTTGCCAAGTATTCGAGAGCATTTCTCCTTGTTCTTCTTCGATATACTCGATCAATAAGTAGCCTGTGCCTACTGTGTCACTGAGTATATTGTTTGCAGCTTGGTGACGAATAAACTGTGTAGGAATAGGACGACCAAGCCATGATAGAAGTCGCCGACGCAGATATTGAACACAACGGGCAATCAACGGTAGGTTCTGCAGTAGTGTAAACTGAGAAAAATCATTCAAGTCAGCTTATAGAACATTACACGCAGTAATAAGCCATACAGTTTCACCGGTAGAGGTAGCAAACCCGTATAGTTTTGGTATCGGGACATCTGGGCAGTTTTCTTGAAGCCACGCATAGGCTCCTGCCTCACATCGAATCTTTTCGTCTCCATTTCCAGGTCGAAAAGCATCGCCGACCCGATATGGAAGAGGAAACCGAAGTAACACGCGTTCCCCAGGCTGTTGTTTCCATTTCCACCCGTTAACGACAACTGGAACACATAGGTTGAAGCTCCCATGGCGCCAGTTCTCAACATCCTCCATACGACAGTTGGATGGTCCTAGATTAAGGTGATGAGCAACTATGGATTCTATCCAGTCCTTTTTTGCCAGAATATGTGCAAAGAATTTACGCCTTTGATCATGGTAGCTTAGTCGGTGGAGGATATTCACCTCTTCTCTTTGCGCAGTTGAGTATGTGATCTCTCCTCGAAGAAGAGGACGCGTTTTTGGCATGTTGAGAAATCAAGAAGTATGTACAAGAACTCAGGGACGTGGAAGCACAGCGCAATAACAATAGTCTGGCCACAGCATCTCTGTTCTAATGACCGGGTGTTCCCCCTTTTTCGCGTGACCGTGTCTACACCGCCCGGCAGGGTTGGCTAGCCAGCTTGGCGCTATTCCATAGGTAACAAGACAGCTTCTTTCTTTTTCAAGGAGACAATATTTATACCCACCTAGGTATTATATTATTATAATGTCCTGAGGAACTGAGGAAGCGAACCTCCATCAGTATAAGCTTCATTTCCGAGTCCGAATCTGTTTTGATCTAGAGGAGCTCTGTCTCATCTCTGATTATAGCCAGCCTCCGCGTGATAAGCAATCTTATCAAATGCGGAATCCTCAGAGGCTACTGGTCCATTCTCAAGAATGTTGACTTTTGATATGGATACCTATCTTCCCTTAGCTAGGGATCACCTTCTTTACCTACAGCGAATGCTCAACATGATCGGCTATTTCAGTCAGCAACAAACTTCCTCAAATTGCAGCCCAAGAGAACCCGTCTGGTTGACTCGACCCTCTAAAGAGCATCCCTACCAGGCGACGCCACAACTTATGCAATTCACCTGCATCAAAAAAGGGTAGAGACCTCAGAGATTCGCCAGATTTCGACCCCCGCAAAGGCCGCCGCGAGAGGCGCAAGATTCTCGAAGAGATTCTCAAATCCGTGATTAACCCGGATGATTTGACTATGTCCTCACTCTTGCTGTGTTGGGGTACCAGTAGCAACGCTCGCATGTGGCCAATAAAAGTTGCCAACCCGGATAACGAGATCGTTATGGCAAGATATCCACCGCGCATCGTATATATATAGAGGATGGTGGAGAAAGCACATCCCGGTTCTCAACATCAAGGAAGTAGAGATTGTCGAGGTGAGCTCTCGAATAGTGCGCCCGAGCAGGTATCCAGTAATTCTGATAGATGTGGTGAGATTTCTATTGCAGGCTCAGATCCGCGTGCGATTAAGAATCCTACGTGGATGAACAGATATGTTGGCACGTTCATGAAAGAGTATATTCGCACAAAGAAAAAGAGATTGGAACATGCAATTCATAATTACCAGGAACAAGAGTACCAGTGCGCCTACGATCCCACTACGGGCGAGACAGATTGCCACCGCATGTGCGTATCACAGCTGGGTTTGGATATAAGTTGCCCAGAAAAGAATCTCTTCAAAGCCCAAAGAGATTTGGAATACCTGAACTTACGTTCCGAGAGTCTAAAGTTTGCCCTTACGCAACCTCATTCTGCAGCTCCGTTTGATTTACTCAGTCGGGAACATGTTATACTTAGCCATCTGTAGGTTCTGGGAAAACTCAAAGAGAGATCACGAGATTCTAAATGCCTGCACAGAGATATATTAGGACAACTCGACACATGGCACTCTCCCGAGCTAGAAGAGCTTAGGTTTCCTAAACTCATAATCCGTGAAGGCCTGGAGTTCAATCGACAGCACATAGTCTTGCCTTTAAGCGTCACCGTGTTTTTCATCATGGTGGTAACTGCCAAACTGACATATAATGACTGAGAAATAGCGTGGGCTGTAGGCGGCTCCCTAGTCGCGTTGGCGACACTTCTATAAAAATCGACATTGCCCCAAATATCATGAATTCTACACGAGGAATTTCGGGGAACAATATATGTTCCTCTATAATAAGAATTCCTCAAAGAAGCAGGGTCGCTGACAAAATTCACCCATAATAACTAACCATCCCACTCGAAATTGTATGTCAAATGAGGGATCTCACCAATATATAATAATAAGTCGAGGAAAAGAGAAATAAATCCTTCCTACTTGTAGAAGCAACCGGTTAATGCAACGGGTAAACACATTCCCTTGAGTCTACCCCGAAACAAATTAGGGTAGAATGGTTAGAAGCGGAGGAAGTAGAGGATACTTATCCATTAAAGTAAATAACCCCGATATTATTTCTTGCAGGAAAAACCCCTTTCCCCACACGGCTTTCTTTCCCCGTCGGCGATGTGCAAAACCGCACGGTCTTGTGGATAATTATTATTAGGCCAAAGCGGGAAATGTCCCAGCGTGCCGAAAGTCTATCAATCTAGATCTAACTTCGGGCAGGAGAAGAAGAAGAATAAAAATAGAGTCTGTAGTGATAATTGTTATCATGAATGTTATCTGAGCATCGTTTCTGGTTACTGTTAATCGTATATCTACCTGTCTTACGAATCATGATAAAGTACAGTAAGCAGAATTCCAGACGTTTTCGCGCCCTGGTATATTTTTCTGTTTCAAACCAAGTTAGACGGATGCTCCTTTGCTTAGGGGTGCACATTACGTGCATCAGTCGAAGTGGAGATGCTAGATCATACCCGCTTTCCTCCCAGCATCTTGTAATAATTATTTCGTACGGCAGGACTACTACTGCAGTGAAGTTGTCCCTCGAATTTTCCCCTCTCACGAGTAGGTCTAGATGCGTCAACTGAGCTCGAAGCGATGAAATGGGGGGACATTGGGGATGTACCTCTAAATCCTGTGGAACCGAAGCTTGGACTCTCCACTTCCTGGGGCGGTTCTCGAGTCCTCGACCCTCCTATATCGAACAGATAATCGTCGGGAACTAATTTAGCAGATCAGCATGGAAATTCCAGTGCTGTCGTACTGTTTCTGCTTCTTTCGTCCTTCTCCGCTGCTCTGCACGATGAAGCAAGATCCTCAGGTTGATGGCTGTATTGTTATTCCAGAGGGCTTTTCAGAACCAAGATATTGCACCAAGGTCTAGTAACAATACAAAGAGAAAAAGCAGGGTCGGTGGTCGGTATTTCACCGAACTTCCTAATCCTGACTTGACGACTTGGTTGCGGGGCGCGGCGGAACTTTGCCCTGATGTGGATATCAATTGACTTTTCGATTGCTCCACAGCATAAAGATTGAGTAGATAGAATCCCTTGTCTCACTCTCCTTCGAGCCGCGTAGCGTAGGAAAACATGGTCATCGCTGCAGGACACCAGAGTAAGGAAGGACAAGCGCCCTCCGGGGAGAGCGTGCCGATCCCGAATAAGATCGAAGTTAACGGTTGTCATCGCTCAGAGCACTCTCGACTCTCTTGAAAAGGTCTATCCACCTATCAACCGAATATATGCGCTTATGGGATCAGATGTCGCGCTGGAAGCATATTGCTGTCTATAACCGTCTTGATCGGAGGGTGATCAGCGATGTCCTTTGAAAAAAGAAAGGAAATGGCCATGTCGCACAGGAGAAACAGTGGCATCAGCATTGCTTCAGATTCTGACTTCTAAGGAAACACAAGGTCGTATCGCAGTCAGATGGACCATGGTAAAATCTGTATGGCTTCGCGGATAACCGGTTACTAGATACTACTGGTATCACGTCAGCATCAATCGCATGAGCTGTAAAGACGAGTCCAGAGATACAGTACATTGTGTTGCTTGAGCACTTATCCATCTCGAAGCCAGTAACTAGTGTACTCTTGTTGGAGCGAGACTGGCTCATGTGCACCGCTGAATGTACCGGGGTACAGTATCTTGCAATAATGATGACCCATAGCCAGTTCATTATGCTCAAGAGTCAAGCACAAATGCCTAGCAGCGCACCGGATACACTAAATGTCGCGGCCTCCCGGAAAAAACACCGATCAATTTAAAGCAAATAGTGTGGCCAGGGGGGCACCACTGTGAGAAGCATTCTTGAAAACCAGGAAGTGTCCCAACTCCGCCGTTCCGCCCATCCCAAGGAGCGTAATGGGCCCACGCAAATACGCAAAAAGAGTCTTCACCTGAAATCTGGTACGAACGATCGCTGAATACTGTGTTTCCGGTCCGAGATTCTAAATGAGAACATTGTCAAGCCTCACCCCTAGTACAGTTTTTGCTGGGTCTTGCATATGAAATGGTCAGCTACTGACCAACCCTGTGGATCAGTATATGGAATAAGATTAATATTGGGATGGAAGGGCCCAGGGGAAACCATCGATATGAACTAAAACTTGTCACGGCGCGGCTCTGGCAGTCTCCAAAAGGGTAAGATGCAACCTAGGTGTATTTGGGAAAGCATGACAGTTGCTGGCAGAGTTAAGCGATTGCAGGATTCACCCAACTGGACTTTAATAACTCAGCACTTGCAATCTGCATGGTGTTGCAATTCTCGAACAACATGAACACGCGGAACTCTCATCGATCCGGTACTGATGTTTACGAGGCAGTTCAGGGATATCGAAAGGCCACTGGCTCAAGAGTGCATTTTTGAGCTCGCTGCGGCGCAGCTATATTGTACGGAGTACTTGCATAGTCCAGAACCTTAGCCGTGGGAGCTAGCCAAGTTCGAATAAATATCGGTTAGACTAGCACACCAGATGACGACCACAAAACGACTAAAGCCGCGTAAGTTGGCCGGTCTGCTGAATTTGCATAACTCTCCAGATGTCTGTCGGAAGGAACTGCTCTGATAGTTTTTCGATCCCTGCCTCATGCCGCAGCCAAGTTGGTCGATATTTCGCGGACTCTGTGCATTCACTGCAGATTGGTAATTATTTCATCCGTGGTTAACTCAACTAAAGCGAGATGATTACCTAGGTATGCAAGGGTCGATCACTGCGGGCTGTCATCAAGATCACATATCAACAAGATCGACGACGATCAAAGTTGTTTCTAACAATTGGCTGCAGCCGTGGTGAGCCAGATAGATAAGTAGTCAAGAGTAAGACAGTGCAGCAGATCTTGGCTGCGTAATATGACTGGTACTCCTTGGGAGCGCGTCTAGTATGCAAGTGACCATGTCGTGCTGGATCGCAACCATCGGATGGGGGCGGATATACTCTAGACCTGCAGCTGTGCCGCGATTGACAGAAGGAAGATGTTTGTGTTTGCACCGACTCATGCAACCGAATGTGTATCATCCAATCAATCCTACAGATGCCTTACTTAGCCTATGCATCTCATTGTCTCTTTTGTATTTAATTTGGTACGGAAATAGAACGCTGGCTTCGGTGTTTTTTTGGACCCCGTGTGCCCAATACTGGTTATGCGCCGACTTCAGCCGCACCGGGCGATCAGACGGGACATTGACATGTTTCTGGCGGAGAACGACAAGATCCGCCAAATGCTGCATCAGCTGGAGGCAGTCGAACTGGAGGTGACAGTGTCGTTCTGTATCGAAGCACATCCCATATACCATTGTTAGCACTTATTGGAGACTCTGCTGCAGTTCGCCCCGCCGGCACGATGCAATGCCAGTCATCTGGAGAGGTGGCTAGCGCTGTCCTCCGCATCATACTATCGAGCCAGGTTCGGTTCTATGAGCGGTTCATTGGATGCCAAAACAGACCGTGGTCTTGCTTAGCTATCAGTGACAAAGGAAGCTGTGGACAAGCAAATAAATCACAGTAGCGGTGGAGTTGCAACGGCGCATGACGGATTGTGATAAGAATGCGGGGAGGATGTGGGGAAGCGGCCAAACTATTGTACTTGGGAGAGGGAGACCGACTATCAGAGAAGCAGCATGTGGAGAGGAAACCATCTTTTGTAAGGACGGAGTGCCATACTTAGTGAATTGCATCCTTTTAAAACTTTGTAGATCCTAGAAGCACAGTGGAAGAAGGTTCCACGGCCTATCCTGATCGATGTCCCGCGTGGCCCAATGCCTAGAGAAACTCTGGTCTCATGTCGATCTGCTTAGTCACATTAAATATAGTTGACTAGTTAGTTAGTTAACAACTAAGTAGGTAGAGAGCTTCCTCTATACCTGTGTAGGAGCCATGAAACAAATGACAATACATTCGTACGAGGGAAGGCGGAGTATTTCACTAAGAAATTGTATGTATCTCTCGTCAGAAGCAGCATAACAACGCGATGGAGGATATTCCAAGCTTCGTCCTTACCGCGGTTTATCCCCAACGCTCCACTGTCACAAGAGATCGATCTGAAGGGGAAATTTTGTCGGAAAAGCCCACGAGGGCTAAACTGTTAGTTAGTTATGGCGTAAGTGGCTTGTTCGTCAACCAGTCTACGATTGCCATATCTCACTGCAATTTCTTGATACCAGACTGTCTGGATCGATGGAATTGCTCACAGCTTTAGCGGTTGCTGTTTCTCGGAAGTCCTGTATCGAGTATAGCCTCGAAGAAGGGGCGGCTTGGGGCGAAAGCCTTCCGCGTCGCTCTTCCAACTCCGCATTCAGATACTCTATAAAATATTACCCCGGAGGATCCTAGAAGGAAAAGAGCTCAAGCGGCATTTCCGTGTCAACAAGTGGCAAAAGTCAAACGAGTCCTCCCGCTGGGTTGCCTTCAGGAGGCATCTCGGTATCTGCAATAAACTCGTGCTCGCTGGTATCATGAGAGGATAAAGAGGTTTTAGTTAATTGGACATGGAAAATTTGTCCGGGGTTGATCCAACGAAAATCGCGCGTATGACTCCTGAGATGCTGACCCCTTCCCGACTACGTGGTTGCGTGAAACCAAGTGCACGTCTTATAGAATTAGTGTGAGAGTTCATCCATCAAGGATTAATGGGGCCGTCTGCATATAGTAGTGCGATTTCTTAATGTCGAATAACCTGCTTTTTTTTTCTTCTGCTTCTTGTCTGCACCATTCACCCCTAGGTAAGTTAGGGGTCACGCATCTCCTATCCTAAACGCACCCTGTCAGAGTGCGCCGTGGGCAAGGATACTTAGTTGATCACTTGTTTCAACTAACGTTGGTCTTATCGATAGTCCATGTAACTATGGGGTTATGAAGCCTCGAGAAAAGTTCGAGAAATAAGCTGCGCCGTCAATCAGTTGTAATACAGTCTGATAACTACCTCGACGGCAGGGCACTAATCATCTGTCACAACTGGCTAGAACGATGATTTCGACCGGCTACTGCGAGCATCGATGCCTAAATTCATTTTCGAACCGTTGATTCCCCGGACTGGACGTTGAAGGGGTAGAACAATAGGGCCGTTGTACAGTACATTGTCACTGCTGACCTGTCCCGTCGCATCATATTGGATTCCAGCTCCTGCACGTATCTGCTACGAAGCAGACGCAATGTAGACTCTCATCAACACCAGACAAGTGGCCCAATCCACAGATTCTAACCCAGATGACCAGGTATAATTATATGTGCGTATAGAATCCCCTCCCTGCGATGTGGCGGAATATCAATAGCATCGAGTATAGAAAGAAAGATCGATCTGGTCCTAAATGCAACCGCTACTGCGCAAGCAAGAAGACCGCGTCATAATAAACAATAATAACGAAACCATCTCAAGGTACTGTCCGACACTAGAAGCACACCTTCCTTGTGCCCTTTGCCACTTCCCAGATCTGTAGTGAACGCACCCCGGTCAACCATTTAGGGTTAGAATTGCTAGTAAGACAGCATTCCAAGTAGAGTTTCAGGCTAATTCTGCCCGTCTCCAAGGATATAATACGAAAGATGCCGTCGAGGGAGATGCAGACTGGCGTAGAACCTGGCGAGAATGAACAGTAGCTGCGTGAAACTATCTCTCACCCAGTGTGAATAGCGACGAGGCCCGGAGCACTAAGATCCGCTACGGACACGGTTTGGAGAGCTTACTCCTCGTCGTCAGAAAGGATTCATCGTCTGGAAGAGAGGCATAGATACTGATAGGATCTAGTTGCCGGCTCTAGCGGCCGCCCTGTGACGGGGCCAGAAGCTGCTCCTCGTCTCAGCCCTCGGGAAGACCAAGCACGATGATAGCCGGTCCCGAACGAACCTGGCCGGCAGTGCAATTGCGCTAGTCGCCTGGAACGCGGGGAGAGCATAAGAACGGCAGGTCTAAGGCTGCTACGATGTTCCAGATGCTGACCGGTGAGTCTTTCCGACAGTTTGAGCAAGAGAAAGGGGAGGCAGGTTACGAGGCAGGTTGGAAAACGGTGCTTTCTGAATACTAGAAACTAGATAGTGACCGGTGTCCGGGGGAAGTCAAGAGTGAGTCCGATATCCGACTGCGGGCCGGGTCTGGCCGATATGTAGATAGATAGATATGACAGGACGGAGGCTGCCAAGTGGACTAGATACGGGAAAGAAGATCGCGTCCACGGAGGAGAGGAGAGGAGAGGAGAGGGAAGGCGACGAAGTATGATAATTAATTACATACCATGTGGTATTATTCGGGATTTGGATTACGGATAGCCCAGGGACATGAAAATCAATACGGCTTGGGCAATTCCCGAGGGGGTCGTCGGCTCCAGCGGTGGTAACCGCTGACGGCCCGATACAGCCGCAGAACGTAGATTCGTATTATTTGATCTGGGACTGTACCGAATTCAAGGTAATAATGATACCAAGCGATACTGCCTCAGCCTTCTGTCCTCCTGGTAAGTGCAGGATGATCAGTAATATTAATAATAATAATAAATAAGTAACTACGTACAACTAAGTTACACCATAACTGCAGCAGTAGTAACGTCACTTGATCTGCTAAGAAAGTCCGAAAAAAGTAATGGGAATGGTAATACTGGGGACTCGTTGACATTCTGGGACAGCCAGCGGAAATCATATTATCTCTGTTGTGGGTATTTTTCCCATTCTGGACAAATATTGCCCCCATAATAATCACTACTACTGCTTTTTGCTTTTTCCCCCTTTCCCTTTTCGATTCGTCTGGTCCCCAATAACAATGCAGCTGGATACTACTGTCTCAGTACTGTCATGGTGTTGTGTCCTTTGGATCTTCTCGACGCGTATTGATTGGATAGATGGCATGGTATTTAAAAGAGAATAATAATAACAGAGAGAGAGGTAATAATAATAATAAGAATAATAATAATAGTGCTCACCACCACCACCATCACCACCGTCATCATCATCATCGCGACTAGTAGAGACCTGATCTGGTCTGGACTAAATGACCGGTAGTAGTGCCTCAGGACGACGCAGCAATCCCTCTACTAGTCGGGACGGGGAGCCGCGAACAAGCCAACGTGCAAGGGCCAAACACGACCTCGCCAAGCAGCCAACCACGAGCGCGGCCACCCCCCTCAGCCGCCCCAGCCCACCCGGCCATGGATGGAGCCGGGAAATGAATCGTGTATCGCCGGTGGTGCATGCGCCCCAGTTTATTACACTTTGGGACCCCATCGGGCTCATCGAAACCAAGCGGTCCCACCCGGCCTGACCAACCGTGTCCCAGTACCAGGACCGCCCTTGGCTGCCACTGGCGCATCCAAACCTCCGGGGGAGGGGCCACCCCATCTAGATACACGGCACCCATCCACGGCCCATGCCGCTCCATGAAAGCTCTCGTGCTGTGTGGAGAGACGCTGTCGAGCAAAATAATAATATGGTAAGATGGTAATATGGTAATATGGCTAAACTAAGTCGAGTAGAGCAGAGTAAAATAATCACTAACTACTACAGTACTACTACTAACTACAACTAACTACTACTCTCTTCTAAATCTACTCTAACTTACTCTGTGAAGTGTGAACCCAACAAAGCTCCCGCCCGCGCCGTTCATCCCAGCAGCCAGCTCTTCCAAGTTCCAACGCTGCAAATAATAATAATAATAATAATACATAGATAGTTAGTCTAGCTCGTCTGCTTAGTTGACAGCAGCACAGGGATCGCATCGACTGTTACCCCGTGTGTCGAACGCGCTACACCCCCCCGATCCAGCCAGGCTTCCTATCCTGTCCCTTGCCGCGAAAGGTAAAGCCTTCTTCGTCGCCGGCTAGTCGAATTAGATTCCTTTCCTTTACGGGACTTGGACTGTACCTCATCGCATCTCCGTGGCCAGGGTGTCTATCCCCAGCTCTGCGATGCCGTATGCCTGTCTCCCTTAAATTACCGGTGGCGGACCCCATTCTCTGCCCGCAGCTTTCTCGAACACTACTTCGCCTCTCGCCGCTTACTAGTTACCGCTCCTGTTAACTACTCTACTACTACTCCGTACTCCTCTAACTACTACTACTACTACTATTACCTACCTACCTTCTTAGTCTTGCCCATCCCACACTCGTTCTCCGACTGGTCGTCTCTCTGTCCGCAACGGTCGACCCAACCCGTTCGTTTCCCATCCGCTCGATTGCTTTGTCTCTATCCGGGGTCTCTATTGTGCTGGGATGTGCCATCGAGTCCTCTTTGCGTCTCCGTCGCAACAGGCTCGCTAGGTCACTGGGTGGTTCGTGAAGATTGAGGAGGGAGGGGGACTTGGCTTTTTGCGCCGCCTGATCTGACCTGACACAACTTCACCATGGCGCCTGGGGGTGCACGCGATTTCAACTGCACATGGGAGAAATGCGGCAAGGTGAGTGACAAACTGGATTCTTACAATGCCAAACAGGATCAGTTCGATCTCTTGGGGATGGGAATGGGGATCTTGGATGACCTGTGCTGACCAATGTGCAATGTCACCAACAGTCCTTCAATCGCAAATCCGATCTTTGTAGACATTATCGAATACACACCAATGAGCGACCCTACCACTGTACAGTTGCAGACTGCAACAAGAGCTTTATCCAACGGAGTGCACTGACTGTGCATTCGCGAACCCATACCGGGGAGAAGCCCCATGTATGTGACCATGAAGGCTGCCACAAGGCATTTTCAGATGTAAGTAGCAGGCTCTTGTGATGTGCGGTCTTTTGGTCGGTTGATGGTTTACGCATACAATTCATTCCCATTTCTAGTTCCTTTGCTAATATTTCGAATTATAGTCCTCAAGTTTAGCCCGTCATCGAAGGATTCATACGGGCAAGCGTCCCTATATCTGCCAAGAACCTGCGTGTGAACGGAGGTGAGTCTCGTCAAGGAAGGAGCCAAAGTAAACTATCATCATCTGACTTGTCGCTCAGTTTCTGTCGCAAAACTACGTTGACCAAGCACCAGCATCGTTCTCATCGACCCGGGGCGACAACTCGAACGCCTTCTGAGGAAACGACCTCGGACTCGACGTATCATCAACCTGCAACGACGATGCCTACGGATCAGTATATGATGGCCCATCAGTCATATTATCCTCCACCCACCACTTCTGCCCATGAATACTATCCGCCGCATGTATCAATCCCTCAGGTGCCCGTTCAGGATACATCAACCATTGTGGCTCAGAACGTCCATGTCACATCGCCTGTCGAGACGCAGCCATACATGCATATGATGCCCCGATACGAGCCTGGCCGTGCGAATTATATGCCCCCTGAATATCATCAACCACATTTTCCCGGACAGCCGATGAACCCTGAGGGGCATCCGATGATGATACATTACCATCAGGATTATCAGTACAAACCGGCACCGCGGCTCTTGAATCAGCCAGAAGGAACGGACTGGCAGTTTCTCGGTGTCGGCTAATAGAAATACGGTCATTGATTTTGATTTGTTGATACGAACCCCTCGATCTGTTCGCGCGCTCCGGTTTTTGCACGGAACACTTGAGAGGACAAATACCCCACGACAGTTGTGCAGTCGTCGCTTTTTCCTTTATGCTCTTTCTTTCGCGGCCGCTTAGTCCGCCATCTATTTCTACCCAGGAGTTCGGTCGCGGTCTTTCGACTACAAACTGGCTTACGTGTCTTCCAACGACGCCTATCATGATTGTCTGACGAATGTGACTATTTTACGGTATTTGGCGATCGGTTTCTCGTATCTTGTGTCTCATACCCTGCGTAAAGGACTCGGAGCGGCGTCTTTCACACTTTGATCTACTAGTGCTTCACATCTCTTTACGGAAATTACTCGTGCACGCCATTTTTTTGTTTTCATAGTTTATCTTCGTGGAGGACGGAGACTTGACGCCGTCTGTTAATTTCTTTCTGAAACGTTTCCCGCCGCTACCTCGTGGCCAAGCTGGTATACCATGCTAGTTCACATGCTCTACGCATCATACATAATTTCTTTCTAGCATATTTATGATACTTAGGTTGTCGACAGAACAGCTGTGACGATCTTTGGTGGCGGCGTCGATATGGAAAGTTGATATGTCTCTGGAGGCGTCTACAGAGATCAAACTGAGTAATAAATCAGGCCTTCTCTCTCTGGAAGATGAAGCCGGTGGGTTTCGCCAAGAATAGCTGTACGTGCCATTCTAAGCGTCACAATTCAAACGGCAGCAGTATTACTGCTACCGAGAACCTACCTGGAAGATCAGGAGCTCGCTTGTTCAGGACGATATGATATTTTCATCTATGTGGTGGCGAAGCGCGATGCTACTTCATCCCGAAGTTGTCCTCGTATTGTTCACTCTGTGGCAAATAATATACGGGCCTGGCCGACTTTTCTTTGCTGAGTCCCAGGTCAACATGTTCTGGTCCATTAACCGATGGCCCCTTCGATCCGCTGGGACGGCTCTTAGAGTGGAAGAAACGGCAAGCGCCCCAAAACAAGGAGTTTCCGCCACGACTTGGTCTGTCCTCAATATCATTATATTATTACCACTAGAACGTCTTGTTCGGCATCGCCGATGTGGACAGATTATGATGGTTTCTCCCCCCCCCCCCGAAACTCAAGTCACTCGAGCCAAGGATAGCTACGGTCTTGGCTCGGGATGAGTACTTCAGCCATTGAGCGACGAACGGAGATAATTTCCTTGTCATCCAACAGAAAAGGCAACGATCGTTGATCCTGCATATCGTGCAACGTGTATATCTACGTTGGAGTTGTTTGGTGGAGAATCTTTAGACAGGAGTTCCGCCCGCTACTTCTCGTAGCGTTAATGTAATTCCCGACCGACCTGATCACCCGCCCGACCTGATCACCCGCCCGACCTGATCACCCTATAAGCTTCTCTCGCGATTATTAAATCAGTTTTATTTAACCACCTACTATGCTATTAAAAAAGCCTATTTTATTAAAAAATTATACTAAGCAGAAGAGGAGGGTCTTATTAGTAATTAAAGCTTTAAAAAAAATTAAATTCTTTCTATATAGAAGGTAGTATTAACTTTTAATATTCTTTATATAATCTTTTAGATAAGACTTTAAGAATATTAATTTTGCTATAATATCCCTAATAATATATTTAAATTAAATGAAATATAGCAGAAATTACTTATATAATAGATATTGTTTATAAATTTATAGGGATTAAGTCCTCGGCCTGTATAAATCTAAGAGATAAATAGTCTTCTTATAAGTTAAGATAGTAGGGTTTAGCTAGAGAAGAATTAGGTATTTATATTTATTAAATATCGCCTTAAATTAAAAAATATTTATTTTAGATAATATTTTTATTAATAAGCTAAATATAAAGACCTAAAGGTTATTAAACTTTATTTTAATATTATTTAAATAATTAGAATAAAATATAAGATTATAAATAAAAATATTTATAACTTTAATAAAACTAGATATATAATAAGCCTTATTATTACTGCTAAAATAGTAATATAAGCTAAATATTATAAAAAGCATTAAATTATCTAATTAGGCAATTATAAATAAGTTATATTAATTAAATATATTAACTCTATAGGCTAAGTAATACTACTATATATTATTTTTAAAGGTAAAACCTATATTTAAGGCTAGTATAAGAATCTTAATATATTAAAAAATTAGAGAATTAAAGTTAGCAATAATAGCTAGACTATAAACTAGATTAAATTATATTAGCTTAAAAAGGTTTTTATATCTTAAATAGCTTATTAGAAGATTAAATAATATTTATTTCTTATTCTAGATAAATATAGTAATTATTTAACCCTAGAATTTAATAAGATATATAATAAATATAATATTATTTTAGTCTATATATTACTATACTTATTAGCTTTCTATTAATCTTTAGATATTAGCTGCTTTAAGCCTTTAAAAGGAGTATATAATTATTTAGTTTAAGATAAGTACTATTAGAGATTTAATTATATTAATAAGTTTAACTTCCTAAATATTTATTTTAGAGCTTGCGCTTAAATATTTATTTCAGATATTATTAAAAGCGGATTTAAAATAACTGATTTAATTTCTTTTAATCTAAAAAAAGTGTTTAAATAATTTATTATTTAATTAATTACTCTTATATTATTAGAAAGCTAGTTAATTGCTTTTATAGTCTCCCTATTTAAAATATTATAAAATTATAAAGATTTAGAGAAGTATAAGACTATATTTTAAGGCTTATTTAAAAGATAAATCTAAAGTCCTTTATTTATTAATTAGCTAGTCCTAGATTATTTTATTTAATAATATAAATGCCTAATAAGTAAAAAAACCCTTATAATATATAAGAATTAAAATCTATATTTAGCTAATAAAAAATTTTAGTAAAAAAAATAATAATTTAATTATTAAATAGGTACTATATAGAGTTTAAATATTAAAAAAGATTAAGTTTTTATATAAAAGAATAATAAAGCCAGCAAAGCTCTTACTAATATTATAAAGAAATTAGGTAATTTAACTATATAGCTATATTAACAGGCACTATTAATATGTTTAAATTATAATACTAGGGGCTATACTAGAGTTAGATATCCTAATTAATATAGCGATAAAATATTGTTAAATTATGCTGCTATTTAGGTAGTAAAATTGGACAGTATTTCATCTAGGTGTTTGGGGTGATCAGGTCGGGCGGGTGATCAGGTCGGTCGGGAATTACGTTATCTACCACGATGTAGTCAGTCCAAGGCGGGGCAAAGCGATAAATTCTTACTGTGTTGAGGCTTCCTGGTGCCCGTTTATTATTAATGCGTGAGACGGGCCAGCCCTCTGACTACTACTGTCGTATAGCCATGCTTTACGAGCCTTTGCGAGCAATAGGTGACGTAGAGGGGAATATGTACTGCAACGGAGGTATGACCGTCTTACTGCATCGAAAAGCTTCACCTTTTCATCGTCTCTCACAAGGTATAGGAGTGTGCACTGTGCATCCGCAGACTTCCCAATCATCTCTAGCGTTTATTGGTGTCTTCGATGGAGTCGATTTAGACTGCAGGAAGCGATCCTGCTATAACAACTGAGGCCGCCACAGGAACTCTATGTTATTCTTCCCGTTGTGAAGGCTTGTCGAGGCTTCAAACCGTCGGTTTTCTGATAGCATCCAGGACGACACGTACTCTAGATTTTACCCCGCGGCGCGCGCCTTTTGGATGCTCTCCCGATGTCTCCACTGGACTTGGCGGGGCAGTCCATGGTGTCTCTTTGGTCTATCCAATTCCAACTGAGCTTCTGTGAGATCTCTCTGGACTCCTGGAGGAGTGAAATGCAGCTGACTTGGCGGATACACTAACAAGAAAAGAGTATCACGCCTAGTAACGGGCTCCTGAATGGCTGTGGTTGTGGTTTCCCCCAGGTCGTCATAGAATATTCGACACCTCAGGCATGAATTGCCAGTGGGGAAAGTTCATCTGGAAGTTCATCCGGAAGTTTGATGCTAAGGTCGAGCTCGAGTCAAGACGCCTATGCATTTGACTTTTGCCAGTCGGTAACTAACTCAAACTTCTTAGTCGCCCAGAGAACGGGAATCTCGACAAGGAGAGCTCTGGCAGCTCGACATTGTTGGGCGCTAGACTACTTAGCCGTGATAGCTCGTGTCTGATACTGAATAGCCAACGCCTTTCTCCATCACTTCCGGCACTATGGTCCGCTGGAGACCTTCAGGGGCAGCGCAGAGAGACTCGGATTGGCGACGAGTATACTTATTAACAGCAGTGTCCGTCAGGGGCTGTGTCTGGTTGGTTCAACTCCCTGGGTTCATCAACTACGGGAGATGTGCAAGCAGGTGGATCGACATTCGGGTCACGCTTGCCAGGAGCAGGAGGTCTGCGCGTACCGTTTCATGGATCGCCCATGCGTATTTGTATTATCATTACCATCGGGGCACTGCCGCGGCTTTACTCGGCATCACGATCTGCCAGGGCCCAGACGGTGCTCTGTACTGGTGTCAACTATTATTATCATCGTCCCCCGCAATCTACGGTATGAGAACAACTGGACAGCAGAAAGCATCGAAAGAATAAGTTTCGTCTGAAATTGCCCGAACCGTCTTGATGCTGAAAATAAATATCCAGGATTTCGAACGTCAGTCGTCCCATCTTGGCTCGTCAATACTCGAAATCTGATACTTAATGTCAACTGTTCCATGGATTTCTCATGTTCTTTTATCCATGGCTCTTGTCGCGCGTTGCCAACAGAACCAGCTCCACAGCCTGGTCCAACGTCAGATCCATCTTATTTGACCATGCGCTGTCCCGCGCGTTTCATTCCCGCTTTAGCACCAAGGTTAATTTTTAAATTCGTCTCTGAACGGGGCCCGTGGACCGCTTGTCTTAGCTTTACCGTACACAATGGGACCGCCCATCATTTTGTATTATTGTGATGAGTACAATAATCATCTAGCGTGTCCGGTCGCAGCCAAGCAGAATCGATGGCAAGCGAATGGGCCAAGGGTCTAGAATTGACAACTACTCTGCACCTCTGCTAATAATTCCGTCCCGCTGGGGATGATCCTCCGCTGATGGACCCTTTCCCGATCTGGCAGGTACTTAAGGATGCCACTAGCAGGAAAATAATTATAATTAATAGAGCTATGGAGCCAGCACGCGCGATCTGGTTACTACTCTACCGTTGGTGGGCGACAGCAGGACGGTAACTTATCCGCACTTCCTGACACAGCAGGGTGAGTAGTAATTACGGACCAAGAACGTTGACAAACATCCCTTCTGTTGCGATTCTGCATCTTCTCGAGAATCATTACGTCTTGTCGGGGACGGGCCAAGGACATTCATTCTTCGTTGTTGAAGATCTTGCCCAAGCTGAAAACAATTGTCATCATTGACTTTGTGCGCGTATTTCCGCTCCAGATCCCGAGTACGGAATACCTTACGGCGTAATCACCTATACTGGACTTGGAATGGGTGTATTCTGATATGCTAGACTCCTCTGCGTTAGCAGAGGTGGGGATACTCGATGACATGCCTTTGCGTCCTCAGTGGCCGATGGAATCAATACAAGCTATCTATCGTTGACATGTCCGTCGAACTTAATATCCGAGCGGCTAAAAATGGATAGTGACGATGAGGCCAGGATTTGTTAAATCCCCAACTAGCGGCAGTGGGCCCGATACATGCCCAGCCAGGCGGCGCGCGGCTGTGAATCGATGCTAGTTACGATTATGATTCGGGGGACCCTAGTGGCTCCAAATACACCACCTGCTCGAGTCTCCGCTGGCTGGACCAGGTCTCTTCATTGGGATCGTCCGGTTCACGTCTCTACACGAGTTCATTCTACCGACAGAAAGACCGTTGAGGGTGGATATGGAAGTGTTCGTTCCTCCTTTATTATTATGCTGGGGGAGCGGTTCGTTCCAGAACAAACGGCTGATCTCGGGCGGGCACCTCCATTGGCAATTTAGCACGAATCAAAAGCCGCATGATCTGGGCAGTGGTGGGAAGAGAATCAAGAGATACAAGGAACAAAGTGGATACAAATCGAGTTGATTTGGTCGTTGGCTCTTAGGCGTCTCTTCTGCAATTAGATGATAATACTTAGTGGTTAGTAGTAGCCGCCGTCGGACGTACAGTTGAACGGGGTTACTAATGGAGCTTATTGGGGGTAGAAAAAATGCCAAGACTTCTCTCGGCCGAGACTCTCTACCCCTAATCAGCTCTTACTAAGTTATAACTAAAAACCTATATCTTTTCTAATTAAAGTATACTATATAATAAAAGTAATAATATTTTAATCTATTATAAAACTATAGATATAATAAATTTTATCTTTATATATATTAAGTATACTCTTATCTAAGGTATAATAAAGCCTATTAAGGAGATAGAATCTAGTAATAAACTTTTTAATAATAAACTTTCTAGTAATAAATCTCTTAGTAATAAATCTTTAAATAAAGATATAAGTATTAATATAAGATTATTATAAATATATGCTTATTATATACTTAATATATATATAAGTATTAATCTCTATAAGAAATATTTATTAAGTCTAGTATTATTATTATATTTAATAGTTACTTAAAGATTATTATATTAAAGGTATAAAATTATATATATATATTTAATTACCTATATACTAGTAGTATTAGAATTATATATTTTATTTATAAAGTTAAACTATAATATAATAATAAGAAAATAGATATTAATTTAATAATTACTTAAGAAATATTAATAATATATAGTATTTATACCTAGTATATATAATATATAAGCCTAATAAATATAGATTTAATTTTCTCTTTATTATATTAATAATTAAAACTTAGTTTATTTTAAACTATTAAGAAATAATAATAATAATCTAAAAGAATATATAAAGATATATTATTAGTTCTATATATATAATAAAATTTATTATTATAAATATTATTATCTAAATATATTTAATATATACTCTATATATAATAGGGTTATACCTAAGTATATTAATAACTTATATAGAGTTTATAATTAATAATAGTTAGAGAAAATATTATAAGAAATATAGCTTAAAGTAATAGAATAATATATATATTATAAAATATAAAAAGAAAATAGAATATTAATATTTAGCTATAGCTATTACTATTTATATTATTAGAATTAAAGATATTTAAATATCTATAAATATCTATAAATTAAAGAGCTAATATATAAAAATATTAGCCTAATATTATTCTATAGAAAAAATATATATATCTTTTATATATATTAAGTATATACTAATAATATATTTAGAAACTTTATATTAAGTATTCTTAATCTTTAAATAATAAATCTTAATATAAGGCTTAAATATTATTATTTTTAATATATAATATTAATCTCTAATATCTTATAATAATTATATAAGATAAGATCTATATCTTTAATAACTTTTATACTTATATTAAGGCTATAAACTCTTAATAAATATAATATAGCTTTAATTATTATTATAGTTTAAATAAAGTAAAATATTAAAAATATTAAATTAAGTTTAATATTTATATCTTAATATATTAAGAATAATTTAAATTTTATCTTCTTATTATTTATAATAATTATATATATTATTCTCTTTACTTTATAAAATTATTAAAGAATATAATAGAAGAAGTATTTATTTTAATTTAAAAATAAAATATTCTTAATCTTATTATTTATATATATATTCTATATATATATATATTATATATTTAAGATATATTAACTAGCTTTAAGATTAATTTATTATATTCTCTTAATTAGCTATATTATATAAGATATATAGAGAGAATATACTATAGATAATTTATTAAAGCCTTAATATTAAGGATAAAGTTATTATATTAATTAAAAAGAAAAAACTATTTTATTATCTTATAAGTAATAGTATTATAAGAATATAATATAAATTTATTTTAAATTAAAATTAACTTAATTAAAATTAATAAATTTATAAAATTTATTTTTTTAATAAGGAGTATTTTTTATTATATATTATATATATATATAGATAAAAATTTTTCTAGATTTATAATATATTAAGATAAATCTTGCCTTTAAAATAGTTTAAAGATAAATTAATCTCTTTATAATTATTAAGTAAAATAAGATAAATAAGTATATATATATATTATACCTATATATATAATATATATTATACCTATATATATAATATATATTAACCTTATAAATATTAATATATATATTTATACTTTTATAAACTATAAATAGTATAAAGTATATATAATTATATTTATTAAATCTTCTAAATTTTAGAAGATATAATATACTTATTTATTTATTTTACTTATATATATAGAGATAAAATAAGAATATAAGCAATTAGAGTAGTTATAGAAAATTAAAAAAACCGAATTAAATTAAATTAAACTGCTTATAGTTTAATTTAGTTTATAATTTTATAAACTAGAATAGTTTATAAACTTTATAAACTAAACTAATAGTTTATAGTATATTATATAGTTTTTTTAAGTTTAATTTTTTTAGGTTTTTTAATTTAATTTAGTTTTTTAGTTTTTTTTAATTATTTTAGATTAATTTAAATTTTTATATAAATCTTATTAATCTTTAAAAATTATTTAAATTTTTATTTCTTTATAATATTTATTATTAAATATTAACTAAAATTAATAGAATAATATTAGAATATAATATTAAAGTTTAACTTAAGTTAAATTTTTAATATTTATATTAGCCTTTAATATAGTTAATTTAGTATAAGTAATAATTAAAAGACTTAAGCTCTCGAGAATTATTATATT